CATGAAACCCAGTCAAGGCCAAAAATCATATGATAACTTTGTCGGCCGTCCGCAGTACAGCCGGCTCGCTTTAGCTTGCGGGGCAATGAAGGGATGAGCCTCTGAGGATTCAGTCTGAGCCCATTCAGAATGCCTTGTGATGCGCCACTCCTGTCTCTTCACGTGGTGGTAGTAATGGTGGTGGTGGCAACCATCCTTTCTCCCATGGATAACAGACCTGGGGTGATTACCTTAGATCAATCAGGAACTCCGGCTATATCATATCTGGCCATCCGTGGGTCTATCTTTGTGCCACCTCCGATTCTTAACGGTCTGCCAACCCAATCAACCGACCATCTGGTCTGTTCCACTGTTGGTAAGAATATAAGAGCATGGGGAACATGAGCCCACAAAATAAAGACGACATGAACCCCTCCACGTCCTAGATACATAGGCGGCATCTTTCACTTTTCCGTAAGGAGGGATAACGAATCCGGGTCTGTTGACAGGTGACACAGGAGATCACCCGACAGCAATTGGTGGAGGATGATCAACACATGGATCCTTGACTCTGGACGATAAAGAGACCCTCAGATCAGTTGGGCTGCGAGTCATCCGCCACCCTCCATACGTCTTTATTCCGATTCACGGTCCGAATCCTGTCGGATTCGCTCGTGTCGCTTCCTTTCCAGGGGTGGTCATGCACGTTGCCTCCGTCGCTTGGGGAAATGCAGGTGGGTTCCGAGAACCTGTTGTGAGAGGTGCGATCGAAGTATACAATATCAAAGTATATGATGATGGTTCTTGTTATGATAGCAGATTATAGAGTCCTGATAGTAGATGTTGATACTACTCCATAATGTCTGATCAGGTTGGAAGAGACTTATACCATGATAGTTGACAGAGAGTATGTTGAACATTTCCCTATACCTGATCTATAGGGGTGCTCTGTATACCCTGGTAGATGCTATGATGTCAATCAAGCAATGAACCCAAGAATATATTTCTTTGAACCATGCATTAACATCCACCACCCCTCCATTTTCAACTTTTTTTTTTTCCAACTGCGATAGCTTCCTCATAGAAAGGACTGATCCAAACATAAAGAATGGTTATAGAAAACAAGTAAACATAAATACTCGGTGATGCAATGAGCCAGAGAATCAAGCTGTCAGTCACGCACTAAACCCGGCCGAGGGTAGCTCGTACCTTATCAGCCGCCCAGCCAACCATCCGGCCGCTCTGCCTCACACCTCAAACTCACCTCCTCTCTCGCTCACTCTCCATCTCCATCTCCTCTCTCCCTCCCCAACCCCCTCCCCGTTGCCCGCCATCAATGCAACTTTGCTCCCGGGAACGGTACATCCTACAGAGAATCTCCTAGAATTCATCGCACCGGTAAATGCGCCCCCCCCATACCTTTCATCTCTCCTATCACGCGACGTTCTTGACCCCCCGACAGCTCCAACCGGAGCACGCTGGCTGACATATGATGCAGGACTGCGTCCCCCTATCGTCCTGGTCTTTCTACACCTCTACCCGGTCACTTGATTCGTTCTTTCGACCCTATAGTCCATCCCATTCTTACCCCATCCCCTTCCATCCCCCCGTTGTTGGAGAACACAACACGCCGCCGCCGCCCCCCGTATCGCCGACATACCGGGAAATCAGGAAGCCCGTCACAGTCTTCCTTCCCGCTCCCGCCCGTCGTCATTGTCCTCCGGTGTCCCTGATTCGCACGCTGGCGGGACCACCCTCGGGTCCTGTGGGCCACTGATCGTGAAGGCATGAGTGGAATCGCGAACGCATGCCTGTCCTGCCTCTCCACCGTTGACCGCTGGTGTCATATCACGGCGTGTCTCGGTCCCATCGGTGGTCGCGCAAGGGACAGGATCTATGAAACAACGTTAGCCGACAATGAACGGGAAGCGGTGTCCGACCTGCTCGGTTATCTCGAAAATGTAGGTTCCCGGCCCGGTCGGAATCTTTGGTTCAGTCAGACTCGAGTTCCGCGAGAGCTTGAGCATCTCTGGCATCTTTGGCTAATCATCCCTCCCACAGAGAAATGAGACCGATTTCTTCTCCGGCGAACCACTCCGGGCGTTAAGCACTTTAGTATATTCTGACAATGTCGACCTGCAACGAAGCGCGAGCTTGACATTCGCCGAGATTACAGAGCGAGGTACGTGGCGTAAAACCATGGCGCCGTCATTCTTCTAACACGAGCGATCAGATGTCCGTGAGGTTGATCGTGATACCCTGGAACCGATCTTATTCCTGCTCCAAAGCTCCGACATTGAAGTACAGCGTGCTGCGAGCGCTGCTCTGGGAAATCTCGCGGTGAACGGTTTGTCTCCTTCGTCTTCTGTCCCAACGATAGCCGCTGACGTCGCTTAGCGGACAACAAGGTCTTGATTGTCAGTCTAGGAGGGCTGGCCCCTCTGATAAAACAGATGATGTCGCCGAACGTCGAGGTCCAATGCAATGCGGTCGGCTGTATTACAAACCTAGCTACGCATGAGGAGAACAAGGCCAAGATTGCCCGGTCGGGAGCTCTGGGTCCTCTGATTCGCTTGGCGAAATCCAAGGATATGCGTGTCCAGCGGAACGCAACTGGCGCCCTGCTCAACATGACGCATTCAGGTGAATGAAGCTTCCTGCGAAGGAGACGATCACAGCTAACCAGAGATGCCCAGACGATAACCGACAACAACTTGTCAACGCCGGTGCGATCCCCGTGTTGGTTCAACTCCTCTCCTCCTCCGATGTCGACGTACAGTACTACTGCACAACCGCGCTCAGCAACATCGCCGTGGATTCGTCGAACCGGAAGCGACTCGCCCAAACTGAGTCCCGACTGGTTCAATCGCTCGTCCATCTCATGGACTCGTCTACTCCCAAGGTACAGTGTCAGGCTGCCCTGGCGCTTCGTAACCTCGCTTCGGATGAGAAATACCAGCTGGAGATCGTGCGAGCGAAAGGACTCCCACCACTTCTGCGCCTCTTGCAATCCTCGTATCTCCCCCTCATTCTCTCCGCAGTCGCTTGCATTCGGAACATTTCCATCCACCCTCTCAACGAATCCCCGATCATCGATGCGGGCTTCCTCAAGCCCCTCGTGGATCTCCTCGGCTCGACGGACAACGAAGAGATCCAATGCCATGCCATCTCGACCCTCCGGAATCTCGCAGCAAGCTCGGACCGCAACAAGGAGCTCGTCCTCCAAGCGGGTGCGGTCCAAAAGTGCAAGGATCTCGTACTGCAGGTGCCTCTGAGTGTCCAGTCGGAGATGACGGCTGCAATCGCTGTGCTGGCTCTCAGCGATGAGCTGAAGCCTCATCTGCTGAACCTGGGCGTCTTCGACGTGCTGATCCCTCTGACCCAGTCGGAGAGTATCGAGGTGCAAGGAAACAGTGCTGCGGCCCTGGGTAACCTGTCTTCCAAAGGTATTGTCTCTGCCACATAGGTTTCACATATGATAGGAGCTAACTCCAGCAAGTTGGCGATTATTCCATCTTCGTCCGTGACTGGGCTGATCCCAACGGAGGCATCCACGGTTATCTGAGCCGTTTTCTCGCAAGTGGCGACCCCACCTTCCAACATATTGCCATCTGGACTCTTCTTCAGCTGCTCGAGTCTGAGGACCAGACATTGATCGGGTACATTGCCAAGTCGGACGACGTGGTCCAGATGGTCAAGGCAATTTCTGACAAGAACATTGACTCCGACGAGGAGGACGCCGAGGATGGTGAGGGCGAGGTTATTGCGCTGGCACGGCGATGCCTCGAATTCCTTGGGAGTGGTCCTCGACCGACACTTGTAGAAGGCTAATGCGGTTATAGCATCCCCACCTCTCCTAATGCATTATCACTACTATATGTTGATTCCTCTACCCCGTTTATAATCAATCCCTGTTTTACTGCTGTGGTCTGATACATTGATCTTCACTTCTACCGGTGTTGAGCGGGCATTTCACTCGGTGTTGTTTCCTTCTTTCGCATTCGGTGTGATGGCATTTCTTATCCTCGTCGATTGTTTGTCATTTGTGGTCTCGGGGGGCTGTGATAATTAGGTAGTTGAACTGTATGTAGCTGCATAAAGGAGAAATCGAAGGACCTAAGTTGTCTGACCCTTAGAGTGGACGATGTTGGCCTGAATGAGCAGGCAATCCATAGGGAGTATATTGTAGTGTGTCGGGGTAACCTTCTCTCCGGAACAAGCCCCACCCTAGCTGGAAAAACGAAAGTCCGTGCTCTTTTCTTTTCGCTTGATCTTCTCCCCAACACCACCGTCCCAATCCACGCAGCGCCAACAACCCTCACCTCTCCTTCTTTTCTTTCGTCGAAGGCCAACCTGCGAAATGGTAGGCTCTCTGCCCACGTTGGCCATTCCCGGCCAATGTCTGGGCTCAATCGCCTCATACTCGGCCGGACCGGGCACGCATGTGCAGAATGCCAATATCTATGCCTCAATCGCTGGACCCGTCGTGGTCGAGCAAACTCCCGCGAACGCAAAGGGAAAGTCTACTGTGAGTGTAGTACGGTCCATTGCCAAGCGGGCGGCTTCTACGACAGCGAAACCGGTCGCCGGGGCAGGCTCTGCAAAGCCCAAACCCAAATACAACACTCTGCCGGCCGTGGACTCGGTGGTTCTGGCACGGGTGACTCGCGTGCAGAAACGCCAGGTCACCGTGTCGATTCTGGTTGTTCTGGATGAATCCGCCAGCACACAGCCTCTTAACCCGTCCCAGACAACGTCGGATAACGACGATGTCGCTGCGATCCTCACCTCTGCCGCGAACCCCGAGAACCACAGCAGCTCGGACGAGCTTCGGTTCCAGGCGCTGATCCGGAAAGAAGACGTGCGTGCCGTCGAGAAGGACCGTGTCGTCATGGATGAGATGTTCCGGGTGGGTGATATTGTTCGTGGGACCGTCATCTCTCTCGGCGATCAGAGCTTTTACTATTTGACGACGGCGCGGAATGACCTCGGCGTTGTCATGGCGCGCAGCGAAGCCGGCAATATGATGTTCCCCGTGAGCTGGAAAGAGATGAGAGATCCGGTCACGGGTCTGGCGGAATTGCGGAAGGTGGCGCGGCCGTTTTGATTGCGTGAGCGCGGCTGTCGGACAATGTATTGAGTTCGATGTGATCCAATGCGTCCTCCTTGTTCGGCCAACCCTTGATGATGAGTGACCAAATGTAAGCTCATATCCTCCCCCCGGTCACATCCCGCAGATTGGGGCTACCGGGCTGTGGCCACGTTCGGGCCCGGCGGCATCTATGCAGCGTTCTGCTCAGCTGCATTTGCACGTTACATCCCATTACGTGCGATCGCGCCAGCCAGCTCATAAGCGGAGGCGTGGTCAGCTTGCTACATCTAGCTCCCTTGTACATACCTACCCAGCACCGGGACTCGTCCCGCTCCATCGTCAGCAATGATGGATCATGAACTCATAACGATCATAATGAGACGTGAATGATATCTCTCCGAGGCTTCATACTCTGCTTCCAACACCACTCCCACCTCCATAGTATCCATGGTTCTGGCCTTTTCGATGCTGAACTGTGTTTGTCACCGGAGGAAGATCGACGGTTTTTACACGTGGAGAACTTATACTCATCTCCACGGCCCTTGTCGGTACCTTTCTGATTCTAATGGTGGATTGGAAAGTCAATTGACGAGGGTACATGCGTATCATAGAATCCTGTAGATCGTCATATGCAAAGCTATTTTGACAGCTCTAATCCAAACCTCCTTTTTTGCTTTATACATAACCCGTTACGCGCACGCTATCCTCCTACTTCTTCAGCGTCTTCTGCTTCTCCGCATCAATCAACTTCCGTCCCTGCACCACCAACCCCTTCCGCGTGCGCACCGCATCCATGTACCGCTTCGCGACGTTCTCGCGATCCGCCAACTCACCCAGATCCTCGAGCTCCTCCTCCGTCGCAGGCACCCAGAAAGGGTCTTCGTCGAGGGCGCTAAAGCCCGCAAAGATAAGCTGCGGCTGCGCCGCCCCCGACGTCCGCTTGCGGATTTCCTCCGCGAACCCGAACGATTCAGCGACGGGGAGCAGCGCCAGAATCGTGAAGAAGGGCGTGCCCTCTTTCATCGTTTCGGAGAGAATGCGGCCGCGACGCCGGGTGATCACGCCGTAGACTCGGCCGAGGACTTCGGCTGTATTGGGGTTTGAGTTAGTCTATCTGTATTCAACGTGATAGGTTAGAATAGGGTGAGGACTTACTGGACGCCTGGATCTCACAGCTGTACATTGCCAGCATGATGCGCGGACTCCAGTCGAGGAAGCCCTGCGAGATACCCTCGCGGACGAGGCGGATCGCCTCGCCGGTTAGTCGGCCGAGATCGAGGTCCTCCTCGCTGGTGTTGACGGCTAGCTCTTCCAGGAAGACCGCCACGCCCTGGATCGGCTCCTGACAGAGGGGGCCCTGGCCCGTGGCGAGCTGGAATGCGTAGGCGATCTTGTCGCAGAAGTCGCGCACGACCAGGGCATTGCGGCTGCTGGTCTCAGGGTTGATGGTGGGTTGCTGTTTTGGATCGTCGACCAGGCTGGCGGGTGTTAGTGGAGGATTAGATTACAGTGAAGGGGAAGGGGAGGTACAATTTCTCGCAGGTGTTGACCTCGGTTGCGTCGACGAGGATGTTAGGGCCGATGCGCCGGGGACCGAACGCCGTGATCCGCCCGACGACGTTCTTCCACAACTCCCGGTCCTCCTTGACTTCCTCGTCGAAGATCTTGGTCAGCTGTTTCTTGAAGTCCTGCAGAGACAGGATGCTGCCTTCCAGGGCTTCGTTCGTCGCGTCGCTGGTTTCGACATGGGGCGTGCCGTCCGGCGCTCCGTTCGCGTCCTCGCTGCTGGCCTTGGTTTCTGCGGCGGATCGCTTCTGCGACTGCAGCCGTTTGACCGTGCCCACCTGCTTGGTGAGGAAGTCCGTGACGGCCGCGGGGAGTGGCACGACGCGCAGCCGCATGGTGAGCTGCTTCGATGACGAGACGGTTTGCACGCCGCCGCGGCCGAGATCCGGGTTCTTGGGGGGCGCCATGTCCGGCACGCTGACAATGGTTTCGCGGTAGGGCACGATCGTCTCGCCGGTCTGGATGTCACAGCGGGCGAAGCGTTCGCGGAGATCCTTCAGACAGCGCTCGAGATGGAGCTCGCCGGCTGTGAGGATGACATGTTCGCCGTTGGGGAGGACTTCGTACTGTGCGCATGGATCGCTCTGCTCAAGGAGACGTAGGCCAGTGACCATCTTCCCCAGATCGGCTGGGTTGACGGGTTCCAGGGCGACTCGCACAATCGGCGGCGTGTGCAGAGACACACCGGCCAAGTTGATGCCGCCTTCGAGCTGCGAGCAGAGCGTGCCGGTTTTGAGGACGTGTCCGGCGAGGCCGCCGATGCCGAAGACCACTCCAGCGGGGACGGACTTCAAGGGTTCCAGGCTGCGGCCCATGAGGAGATATAGGTCTGTGACGGTGACCTTTCTTGGTTCAGGGCTGGCGTGGGGATTCTCGGGGGAGAACTTGGGTGGAAGGACGTAGATCGAGTCGCCGACAGAGAGCGTTCCGGAGTAAAGACGGGCGAATCCAACGAGGTGTTCGGGGTCTTCTTTCTCCTCAGGTTCGGCTGGCTCGCCGCCATCTTCCAGCGTCGTCCGTTCAAAGGCCGACGTGATCCGGGCGTAAGCGTCTTCTGCCTGGCCGCCACCGTTGGCCTCAGCCTGCATCTTCGCGATCTCTTCGCGCTTCTTGCGAGCGATTTCTCTAGCTTCGTCGGCTGACATGGTGGCACCAGACCGCTTTTTGCTCGAGGACAGTTCGCTCTCAGGAATAGACACCATTTTACTGACGTAGGCCACGACTGGCTCGTCCGGGCCCGTCTTGAACTTGACCATGGCATTTTTGACCTTTTCGTCCACGAACTTTGCTCCGGGCGACTCCTCGATCATTTCCGGCAATCGTAGCTCCTGCGCGGCTGGTGGACTTGGAAGATATTCGATGACTGATACTAACAGGGCCGTTGACAGAGGCAGCCACATTGAGAACAGAGTGGTCATGATGTTCCTGGGATCACGGGAGCGTAGAATGTATGGTGGGATGGTGATATTCAAGGACTTGGTGATCTTCTCCAACAAAGCAGGGTCCCTGAGACTTATTAGTAGAAGTCAGACATCTATTAAGTCAATGTATACATACCCCTTTCCTTTGCCTCCACCCGTCGTGGCCTCGTACGCCGCCCAGACGCTCTCCAAGACCAGCTGGACAAACATGGGCTTCAACGCCCGTCCTTTTAAATGCTTCTGGCCCAGGACACGTTTCGTCTTGGGATCCAGATAGTAGTCTCCCCAGAGCACCTTCTCGAGCACCGCCCGTTTGATCCCGAGCTTCTTCTCGTAGATAGCGGCGAATTGGCGGACGGTGAAGGCCCACCCGTCAACGGCGCTGCAGAAGATCACGTTGTTCTTTTCCGGGGCGAAGTAGAGGTCTTCATCATCCCGTTCTTCAAAGTCAGCCGCGCTACCGGCGATGGACTCGTCGTCCGCCGCCTGCTTCTTGGAGCGGTCTTTCTGAGCAGCGGCGGCGTTGGCGCGCTCTTCCATGCGTTCGCGCCACTGGAGGTCCTCCTCCATGCGCTCGCCCTGGTAGAAACTTCCAATGACGGCATTGACCTGCTCCAGTAGTCTGCTGAGATGCGAGTATGCTTCGCTGGCGCTCATCTTGAGCTCCGTGACCAATCGGTCGAGCTTGTTGATCACCAGAATGGGTTTCAGCTGCTCGACCCACGTCTGACGGAGCACGGTGACGGTCTGACTGCACACGCCCTCGACCGCATCGACGAGTACCACGGCTCCATCGCAGAGGCGCGAGGCTGTCGACACCTCGCTGCTGAAGTCGATGTGGCCGGGGGAGTCGATCAGATTGATCAGATACTCTTTCTGCACGGGGTCCGCGTCGGGAGCCGGACGACGCATCATGGAGAAGTAAAGAGAGATCGCAGAGGACTCCATGGTGATTCCGCGGAGCTGCTCATCCGGACGGGAGTCCAGGTAGCGGATTTTGCCCGCCAGCTTCGGCGAGATGATGCCATTTGTGGCGATCAGGCTATCCGTCAAGGACGTTTTGCCATGATCCTGGGTTGGTTAGCTGGGCTCAAGAATAATTATGGGGCTCGTTCAATAGGGCAACCCCGGATGTAGCGACGTACAACGTGTGCAAGAATACAGATCTGTTTATGCGTCAGCGTTGGAGTTCGATGGTGGCCGATCTGCCGGTGACATCAAGGTGGGATGAGGAGGGGCAGCCTTACATTCCGTATGTCTTGGGGTTTCCGTTGAAGACGGACGAGATCTTCGACATTGACCACGGGCATCTTAGGAACGGCTGGCCTTGGTCACAGCCTAGCTCTTTCGTCTTGAAAAAGCCCCAGAGAAGAGGCCCGGGGGAAGAGAGAGAGTCGGTTTTTGGTGTTCGGGATGGATGACGAGAGGGAAAAAATTGTCTACCGCAGCAGGAAGGAAATCCGCTTTGCTGCGGAATAATAGTTCGCGGGACTTTGACAACTCCAACCGATAAAGTCTCGATAGATTTGCTCCTAAAGAGTTTTAGAGCAGCATGATCCGGTTTATTGATTTGATTATTAATGCGCAGCTACCGCGATGATGATGTTACTCCAGTTGCGCCAGGCTACAACTATCTATGGCGATGGAGAGGATGCGCCCACGCCGTGCGCCGCAAAACCGCTTGCAATAGTATCCTATCCAAAATCCATTGTTGTATATTATGCCTCTTCATCAAAAGAGAGCTTGATTTTCTTTTTCTTCTGCTTGGGTTTCCGCGACCCAGCGTCTTTCCGCGGGAGATCCTCACTCTCCTCTGGAGGATGGTCATCACCAACAACCTTGGCTTGTTTCCGCTTCTTTGGTCCTCCAATCTCTGCGATAGCCTGCTTTGATGCGGGGGCTTCTTTCTCCGTTGTTGATTTCCCATCTTGATCCACCCTCGACGGGGTTTCTCCATCTTCCGCCGGACCTTCCTTCGAAGTCTCCTCAGCGCGCACGAGAGCCTCGTACTCCTCTTTGGAGATTACTTCGTTGGTCTCTTCATCGACGTAGGTGGGTTCGTCATCATCGACATTGGCATCCTTCGGTTTCCGGGGTCGCGTCATCGGACGTTCCAGACGTCCTGTGTTATTTCCATATTGATTCCGGAGGCGTTGCAGAAAGGCCGGTTCCTTTGCGTCTTTATTGTACGTTAGTGGGAGCGATTAGAGCCAATGCGACGAGGGAGTGAGGGTACAGACCATAAGAGAGGTTTTTGGCCTTGAAGGACATGATGGGATTTATTGGGATGACACAGGGGACTGGTAGAAAATCATTGCGATCGCATGAATCGCATTAGCTGATAGATCCGATCAAGTGTTCAACCGGTCATGGTAGAGTTGCTTGCATACGTAGAAGAGAAGGCACAGAACCAACTGTACTGTTCAGGTAGTTAACTGACATATGGGTCATTAGATCAGCGTGCGGCTAAACCCAGTCGGGCGAACGAAAAGTCCCTCCCGCAACGAGAGCTTTCGCGTCGAACCTCTCCCTCGCTCTCGACTCTCTACCCCCATTCATCCATTTCCCACACGAACCATGCTGTGCGCAAGTAAGTCGTGCGCTTCCTCTGGGCGATCGTCTCAATACTGACCAGGATGTCCTACAGTTTCGGGAGAGGCCCCTCAAGTGCCTGTCGTCTCGCCCAAGAGCGGTACGTTGCTATCTGAAAAGCACCCGCAGTCTCACCTAGGAGCTCTGATCTAATACTTAAATTTAGGCAGCGTCTTTGAGAAGCGGCTCATCGAAGCATACATCGCCGAGAACGGAAAAGACCCCGTCAATGGAGAGGAACTCTCGACCGAAGACCTGATCGAGGTGAAAGCTCAGCGCGTTGTTCGACCCCGGCCACCGACCCTCACCTCCATTCCCTCCCTCCTCAGCGTGTTCCAGGAAGAATGGGATGCCCTCGCCTTGGAAACATACACCCTGCGACAGACCCTGGCCCAGACCCGGCAGGAACTGAGCACCGCCCTGTATCAGCATGACGCCGCCGTTCGCGTGATCGCTCGTTTGACCAAGGAAAGAGATGAGGCTCGTGATGCGTTGTCGAAGGTTACGGTCGGTGCCAGCCGCGCTGGTGCTTCCGGCGGAGAGGCTATGCAGGTGGATTCGGCTGGCCTTCCGGAGGCTGTCCTCGCACGGGTTGAGAGCACACAGGCATCGTATGTTCCTCTCTTGCATATAGGGTTTATATGATCGGTTGGTACTGACAAGAACAGTCTCTCCAAGGGTCGCCGCAAGCGTCCCATCCCTGAGGGATGGGCTACTGCTGATTCCATCTCCACCTACAAGCCGACCGACAGCGCCAAGGTTCTCCCGTCCGGCGGCAAGGCTTTGTCTATCAATGCCTCTGGAGACATTGCGCTCGTGGGAGGAGTTGACGCTGTCATTAGCGTCTTCTCCTTGTCTCAGAAGCAGGTCCTGCAGCAACTTCAAGCGGACGGTCCGGTTACCGATGCCGTGTGGGCGGGTGAGAAGGCGGTTGTTGCCTCGTCTACGGGCTCTGTAAAGGTTTTCGAGAACGGTAGTGAAGTCGCCAGCTTCAGCTCCCATGCCGGCGCCGCGACGGCTCTTGCCGTGCATGCCACTGGCGACATTGTCGCCTCGGTTGGTGCGGATAAGAGCTACGTGTTGTATGATTTGACGACAAACTCGGTGATCACCCAGACCTACTGCGACGCCTGTAAGCAAAACCCCTTTACTCCTAACTTTCTTCTGTCGATCTGGATCATTTTGTCTAACGAGTGTTTTAGCTCTTCTCTCTGTGAAGTTCCACCCAGATGGCCATCTGGTCGCTGCCGGCGGCGTGGACTCCCAGGTGAAGATCTTCGATGTCAAGACCGGTGCTTTGGCCGCCACTTACGCCATGTCTGGTCCGGTAAAGTGCTTATTCTTCTCGGAGAACGGTACCTTCCTGGCGGCTGTGGCGGATAACTCTACAGTAATCTCGATTTGGGACCTGCGCACCTCCCAGGAAACCAAGGCCCTGGAGACGGGTAGCCAGATCGAGTCGCTCAGCTGGGACTACACTGGCCAGTTCCTGCTTGCTGCTGGACCCAGCGGATTGACTGTCCAGCAGTTCTCCAAGGCCGCGAAATCCTGGTCGGAGCCCCTGCGGAGTGCGGTGCCGGCGACGGCTGTTGCATGGGGTGCGGCGGCCCAGAGTATTGTGGCGTTGGACAAGGAGGGTGCTGTCACAGTGCTGCAGGCACAGTAATCATGATACCTTTCAAATAAAAGATTTCTCTTTCTTGCGTGTTGTACTTATAGGCGTTTGTGTTGAGAAATGTTCATATTGGCTATTCTGCAAGTGATCCGGCCGCGGGAACTGAAGAGGAGAAAAGGAAGAATAAAGAACAGGATCTGAGCATAATAATGAATGATTTTTGGCACCTTTTTTTTCTTTTGTCGGTCTTGTTTCTGAGTGATCAGGGTCATATGAGTCTGTGAGGGCGCCTCTACAATAATTCGATATGGCTTTACTTTGACCTCACCTCCTCCGCCTCTCCGATCTTACGCCAGACCGACTATTTAACCCGACCGCACTTCGCGCCCTCTCCTGTCGATACCCGATGGTGCAAGTCCTTAGGTAGGAATTTATTCTCGTCGGTATTACTACTCCAGACCCAGCCGGAGGAGACTCGGGATCCAGACCCAGACCCATTCATTCATTCATTCTTCTCACTAATCATGGCCTCCACCCACGGAGACGATTCCTCCACTCCGCCCGCATGGGCGTTCCCTTCCTTCGCCTCTTCCCTCTCTTTTTCTCCTCCTCTTCTTCCCTTCTCCCCTTGGTCGCCAGCTTTGCCCTTTGATATGAATGACGATCCCGGTGTCGAGTTTGTGGCCGCACGGCCACGAAAGGTTCGTCCGATCCCTTCTAACCGCCGCCTCATGAGCTAGGGCGGGGTACGGATCTTCCATCCTTCTTGGTACTGACGACATGATCATGAGTTACAGCGATCCCGACGAGCCATGCCTCCAGAATCCTCTCAGTCAAGCCGTTACCAAGGTCCTCATCCCAACGGCGAACCCTCGTCTTCACGACACCCGCAGCCTCGCGAATCATCCTTGTCCTTGCCACCCATCCGATACCCCGGCGATGGCTACGATTACCGCAGACCTCTCATGTCCTCTCCTCCCCAAGAAAACGAGATCATTGATCTGACAAACGACCCCGATTCTCCTCCTTCTACGTCGGGTCATTCCTCCCGTCAGCAACGCCGGAGACCGCCTCGATTTGCAAGGGACATCTTGACGGAGGTAGTAGACTTAGAGGACGAGGGGGAATCGCAGCAAATACCCCCTTCCAGAGATGCGCCCAGTAGCCCTGAAGTGCAATTTGTCGGCTCTGCCGTTCGAACAGAACCGTTGCCACCGCCGCCGCGTCGAGGCTTTATGGGTCCGATGCTACAGATGCTACGTTACTTCCCCCGACATGCGGCTCAAGGGGGAAGTATAACACAAGGGTATCGGTGGCGAGGTCCTCGAGCAGAAGATATCGAATCGTTCTGGATCGGCGATGTGGGCGATGGTGCCGTCGACCTCACCATCGACCTGGGAGGTATGGATGGACGCCTGGGCATGGACTTTCAAACACCTGGCGTTACACCGGATCGAGGAAGAAGCACGTATAAACCCCCTAGTCCGCCTCCTGAGGGGTTTACAAGGAGCGTCGGGGAAGAGGATATCGTGTGCTGTCCGAACTGCGATGCAGAGCTGGGTACCGGCGACGAAGTCAAGCAGCAGATCTGGGTCGCCAAGCAGTGCGGACATGTTAGTACTCCTATTGCTTATGTTTGAGAAGAATCATGGCTAATTCTTGGGATCTAGGTTTACTGTGGCGAATGCACAAGAAATAGATCAAAATCCAGCGCGAAGAGGACGACTTCGAGGGTCAAACCCTTCTCAAAGTGCCAAGTGGATGGCTGTGGAAAACCCATCAGTGCTCCACGGGCCATGTTTCAAATCTACCTTTGACGAAGGCGCCCTGGGTTTCATGGGAATTGGCGTACAGTATGCATAGCGGTGTTTGGCTGGGTCCTACATCTCCTTTTAGTTCGATGGCTCCTCATTGACTCTACGATACCCCACTGCATTGATCTCGGCGGACATGGTTATGTGTTTTTATTCTTCGTGGGCTCTTTTTTGATAATAATGACGTTTCTTTTTGGAATATGGTCGTGGTGTATAAGTTTCGGGTTCTTACGCTGCGTGGTGGCGTCTCTTCGCTCTTATGACTCTTACGTACCCTCTCATGGATATTGACACTGGCTGGCCACATATCTTTGAAAGCAATGCATTTTGTACATGTGATGCAGATCCGTTAATAACAGAAAGCCTTGCCTTGAGGCACCCTAGAAATTAAACAAGAAAACAAGTAGGCCCATAATACATGATATGAAAACGAGTCGGAAGGTCCGCAATCCCGAATATAACTCCGCTCTAACAATTCAAATCCCACTTTACACAGTCTTGGTGTCCCCGTGGTACGGAGACCAGATACCTCGGACGCTCTCGTTGATACTCGAAACGGGTTTCTTGGTGCGCTTCAGCTTTTCGCCGCTGGCTTCCTTGAGAAGGTTCGCCTTGTTGAAGATTTGCTCGGGCTCGAGATTGCGCACGCAGACGGCCTTTTCGCGTCCATTGATATAGTGGCCCTTGATGACGGGATGCTTGTGTGGCCGGGGAGAGACTCGGATTTCAATCTGAGGGTTGGCTTTGGCGAACGATGGTAGGGAGTGTTTCAGGAAAGCCCTGTCAAGCAACACAATCATTAGTCTTAGTCCACAATGTTATCCAGACAGAGTCACATACACCATCCCCCGCGAGCTGCCGGCCCAGTCGCAGTAGTGAAAGTCGAGGCGCTTGCACTGCAGGATGAAGGCACCTACACCATTCTGCTGGAGTTAGCTCTCTGTTTCTGATCACATCGTCCAAGCCATCACCTACCCGCGCAGTCGTCACTGCTTTGATCCCTTGTACCGGCATGTCTGTGGAATTGTCTGTGGTTGCTTGGGGATCGCAGTAACACCAGCGACCAACAATGTTCTTCGGGGACTTTTCAGCGCCGCCGTCAGTTCCGCCTGTCATTGGCCCGCGGCAAACGCGGCTGCAGCGCTTGGCGGCTATTCATGACACTAAACCCAAGAGAGCTTGCGACGGAACGCGAATCTCGACAACAAGTGAGGCCAAGTTATTGGGGTGATCGAGGACCACGCTCATACCACCAACCCCTTCCCTCATGTCGGTCCCGGGTACTTACTAGTCTCTCACGAATTTCATCGCGCTTTCAGTTGCACCACGGCTGGGCTCCCAAGATGACGGACAAGCTCCCCCCTCCGCTCCTCGCGCTTTTCCAGCCCCGGCCGCCCCTGCGTTATGTGACGCCGCTCGACCGGGCGCCGGACGATGTCAAGAAAAGTACAATAGGCGGCATCGCCGACTTTCTTCCCGAGATCAAGAAATACGAAGAGGAGATCCCATACAATGCCACCGACAGCTGGATCCAACGCAAGTGGCGAGAGAAGGTCGAGAAAAAAGAGCGGTTGAACAAACAGTTGACGGAAGGTCTTGAAAACTGTCAGTCGCCTCTGACTTGTGATATGGCCCAGTGAGGATGAGATTTTTGTGTTCCTGATGCTAATTCTTGTGCAGTTGACCCCTCGAAGGACCCGCAAGCACGAGGCGACCCGTTCAAGACCCTGTTTGTCGCACGGCTCAGTTACGATGTGAAGGAATCCGATCTGGAGAGAGAATTCGGCCGCTTTGGGCCTATTGAACGGGTATTGAGCGGGATCCTCCCTTTTCTCACTTTCAGTACCACTGACACATCTAGATCCGCATCGTCAAGGATAATGTGACGCCGAAGGGCTCCAAGAAGCCGCACCGTGGATATGCGTTCATTGTTTACGAGCGCGAAAAGGACATGAAAGGTATAAATGCAGCGTGGTGCCCGTCTTGTCCCGAGACTTCGATATCTGGGACGTCTCGTGATCTTCTAGCTAACACCGTTCTTTTCATCCGATCACAGCTGCCTACAAAGAAACGGATGGGATTCGCATCAAGGACCGCCGGGTCCTCGTGGATGTGGAACGTGGGCGTACTGTGAAAGGCTGGAAGCCTCGTCGTTTCGGCGGCGGACTTGGTGGTCGTGGATATACCAAAGCGCTCCCTTCTCGCCCGATCGGCCCAGGCTCGTTTGGCGCTCCTTCGGGCCCTGGAGGATTTGGTGGTGGATTCCGTGGAGGCTATGGCGGACGAGGAGGATTCAAGGGAGGTTTTCGCGACCGCGGGTTCGGTCCCCGTGGAGGTGTTGGATACCAGGGTGGCCGCAATGGATTCGGTGGACAGGCTCCACCAAACGCACCTTCGGGCCCTGGCGGCGGACGCAGTGGTGGATATGGTGGTGGACGCTACGACCGTGACCGGGGCGCAACCGGCAGCAACCGCGAGCCTATTCGACCCAGAGACGGATTTGGCGACCGTGACCGACGGGATTATGACCGGGAGCGTGACGGGGACCGCCATCGGGACCGAGACCGGGACAGCTACCGTTACCGGGACCGCGACCGCGAGCGCGGCCATGACAGGTACGGAGGCCGTGAGGACTATGGACGGAAGAGATACCACGAAGACGACTCCTATGATGATCCTCGCGCCAAGAGACGGTACTGAGTTTGCCGTGCAATCGCTTGTGCAGGACTCTTCCCATTCCAGTATTCAGACAATGGTTTGCTGGTGGGTATGCTCAATTGATCTCTCTTCCCCCTTGCGACGATGGGTAAGGCGAGGCCAAGCGATGAGCGCTATCTTGAGGGGCCAACACCATTACTTACCACAGACAAGGCAATGTGTCTTTCGCCCTTACGGATCGGGCTTACACCATATTTAATCCTCCGAGGTCTTGTTTCATCGTTATGGCCGTGGGTATATTACTATCATTCGATTCTGACATCGAATTGGACGTCGACGTTGAGCGACTCCTGCCTGGGTCGTGGTCCCATCTCTTTTTCTCTTTTTCTCAATGCTTTTTCTATGTTTCTTCACCCTGCTGCGTGTCTGGTCTTTGTTTCATGCACTGCTTTCCAGGGTAAGTATGTACGTTAGGTAGTCAGCATCTGTTTTCGGCATACGGTGGGAATCCGGGAAGTTCAGGTAAGACAGGTAAGGCCTCCAGCAGCCATGACCAAGCTAGGAATTCTCGTACGGTTGTATATCAAGGCAATGCGTCTTTTGTGATGTGCATTTCTGTCCAGACTGCAGTGGACGCATAAAGTATATATACGGTAGACTTTTCTTTTGGCTTGGTATTCATGTATGTTCGTCATACGCTCATCAAGCAGGATACACCACAAGGCCTCCAAAAGGAGAGCCTCGTAACGGAAAGGTAAGGTAGGTAAAAAGTATCAGAGAAATTCAATGAAAAGCGCCTATACCAAACGCCGCAGAATGCCCCAGGGTTTCATCGAAAGCCGACAGGAAGATAGGGAAAAAAATATTCGGAACTTTTCTTTATCCAAAGACGAACCTCTCACTGTCCGTCAACTTCCATACCACCCTGCGATTCCAGGAACTTGACGTCGCCGGTATCCCGAGTCCAGTAGGCCTTGAGGTCGACACGAAATTCGGCACTGGCAACGCCAAACATCTTCAGCAGCGTCGTCTGCCGCGAGTCCAGCACCTCGCCCTCCCGGCACACGGGGTAGCCTTCCTGGTCGTCCGTCAGCTCGAGCATGACCTTGCCCTTGACCAGACGGGTGGGGACGCCGAGTTTGCGCAGCTCGGGCTCGATGGTGTGGCTGATGGGCTCGTCGTCGGCGGTGGGGATCTCGCCGGCGCGCGAGTACACCAGGCCGTTGGGGATGGTGAAGGAGCGGGTGCTGACGGTGCCGGCACGGGCGAAATCGAGCGGCCGGAAGGTGTCAAAGTAGCTGAGCACGGATTCGGGGTCGCGCGAGGTGAACAGCAGACCCACGGCGCCGGAGAGCAGCGGCGACAGTTTGTGAAGGTTGGGGGCGGCTTCGGACTCGGGGTTGTGGCCGAGGGCGACGGCCATGACTTTGGTTTTGCCGAAGAAGAGTCTGCCACTGTTGTTAGTACTGTATGTTCTCCCCCTCCCCGGGCGATTGTGTCAGGTGGTAGAGGTAGACGTACCGGCTATCGGCGAATTCGGTGCGCACATCCTTCAGGTATGTGTTGCGCATGTTGTCGACGCCGAACACGAACAGATGCTCGTATTTCTCGACGCATTCACGAATGTTGGCGTACAGCCGTCTCGTTTGTTCCTTGTGGGACTTTTTGGCGGTCTTGGACTCGTGGACGACGCGGGCACGCTTGGAACGAGGCATGGTGTATGGAGGGGAGTATTGAGGGTATCTAAGGGAACGGTTGGGAGGAAAAGGGGAGAATTGAAGACTGAAGATGATATTTGATATTGTTCTGGTCGTCTCGGAGGAGAACAAAATCCATATTTTTTTTCTTCGCTGATAACAGCCGGAGGAACATTGATGCGGGGCTTATCCGATGCCGCTAAACCGCTTGGGGCAGCCAGCTTCACCATCTACAACAACACTCTCGGTCAACACTCTGGACTCTGTTCTGGCATCTCTGCATCATGTGTTGACGATCTGCTTCACTTACCCTGTATTCACCACGAATTGACCGACATGCTCGACTTCATGGAGTATATCCAGCTCGGATTCGCCGAGGCCACCAACTGGAACCGCGACAATTCATATTCGTCGCTGACGGCCACAGCACAGTGTATGTATCGTTAGAGGAATCAATTGATCCTATATTATATCCCTCAGAGAATATAGCACAAGCTCACATATTACAGCTCTCCTGGATTTCAAGACCCCCGAGCGACTGCGCGTCCACCTATCATCCCTATCCACCCCCCATTTCGCAACCAGCTACACCCTCGGCACAGTCGGTCTGATCGATGGCTCGGTCTCCTATCTCTACAGTACCGTTCCCTTCGACCACACGCCCAGCCGAAGCGCCTTGATCCCCCTCCGCAAGCTCGCCCCGGGGTACCGACAGGTCCAGCCGCCCGTCGCCCCCATCGAGAACTGGGGATGGGACTCCACGCTCAACCATGAGACGACCCCTCTCGCGCAAAAGGCCACCCTCCTCCACGCCACCATGCACATGCCTCCGCCCACCACCCTCAACGCGCTCTTCCTCCGCCGCATCTCCCCCACCATGCAGCTCACCCTCGCCGTGTGCTCGACCCGCGGTCCGCCCCTGTCCAAGTCCGCCCCCCAGGCCTCGCTGCTCACCCAGCTCTCCCACGACACGGGCAAGTACAGCAACGAGTACCTCTTCAGCACGGATAATGCGCTCTTCGGCTGGCGCGGGCTGTGGAACTTCGGCCCCGACCCGCGCAACCCGGCCGACGACGCCGCGCCGCGCTTGTCGCTCCTCTCCGCCGGCGCCGAGGCCTACTATTCCCCCGTCTCGTCGCTGGTGGGCATGTCCACCGGGCTCCGCTTCAGTACTCTACCCGCGGCCACGGACGCGTCTTCCGCGCCATCGTCATCGTCATCCCCGTCGTCGGCGACTCCTACCCAGATCTCCACCTTCCCCTACACCCTCACCCTGACCCTGACCCCGATGACGGGCTCCCTCTCCACGACGTACTCCCTGCGCGCTTCGCCAAATCTCTCCTTCAGCTCGCGGTTTGGGTTCAATGTTTACAGCTGGGAGAGCGAGATGGTCGCGGGCTGTGAGTTGTGGCGGCAGTCGCGCAAACGCGTGCCAGCGGAGGAGGAGGACGACGGCCTCGAATGGGCCCGTCGTAAGCTGCGCATGATGGATGATGCTGCCGTGCCTCTCCCACCGACAAGCAGTGTCCCCGCTGAACCCGAGCAAGACGAGACTACGGAGTCGGTGCTGAAGATCCGTGTCGACCAGTCGTGGAATGTGCGGCTCCTCTGGGAAGGTCGGGTCAAGGAGCTGCTTGTCAGTGCGGGCGTGGGTCTGGGCCCGAGCTCGTTCTCGTCGTCGGCGTGGACGAATTCCACCGCTGGCGGCGCTGGAGGGCAGGCTTCGGGCGGAGGCAATGCTGGGACGTCGTATTGGCGGGGAGTTGGTGTGTCGGTGTCTTATTCTTCGTGAGGAGAATATATACTCAAGTAATACCCTATACATATGTATAAACGATGACTGTATATACTGCATGGACTTTTATTATTATTACAACTGCTCAACGAGGGAACCTTCAAACACCGTTATGTACGTGATTCAAATTTTGAAATTCATGACTAGATAGGGACTTTATATCTGGACACGTCTATGTCTGCGAGAGCAGGCATTCGGGATATCAATTGTCCCTCATTAATATTGGTGTCGTTTACAGACGAGCGTTGATGATGTCGACGACTGTTAAGAGGTTAGTCAACGGAAGCAACAGAGGGACTGCAAAAGACCGAAACATACAGGCAGGCTTCAAGCTGGCACCGCCAACGAGGAAACCATCGACATCGGGCTGCTTGGCCAGCTCGCGGCAGTTCTTCTCGCTGACGGAACCACCGTAGATGATGCGGGTGTTGTCGGAGACCTCGGGGGAGATGGTCTCGGTGAGCCACTTGCGAATGGCGGCATGGACCTCCTGAGCCTGCTCGGTGGTCGCGACCTTGCCGGTACCGATGGCCCTGGAATGTGTGAGTAAGAGCATATCATGCGGGGCGGGAGAGATCGTACCAGACGGGCTCGTAGGCGATGACAACCTTGGCCCACTGCTCCTTGGAGAGCTCCTTGGCGACGGCGTTGAGCTGGCGGGTGACGACGTCGATGGTCTTGCCAGCCTCGCGCTCCTGTCAGGAATTAGCACATGGTTCAATTGCCGTTATGCGCCAACTGCGCTTCTGGTCGAGGGGTAGAAGCAATGTGGGGTAGTGGAGGACGCTTACCTCAAGAGTCTCACCGATGCAGAAGATGACGCTAACGCCGCCGTCAATGGCGGCCTTGACCTTGCGGGCGATGAACTAACGAGAAACAATTAGCTTGGTCCCTCTCTTTCCCTTTCGCGAGGGTAGCGCTACTGGTTACCCGATGGGGAAATTCAGGAAAGGGAATCGGTCATACCTCGTCAGACTCCTTCAGAATCACACGACGCTCGCTGTGTCCGATGAGGGTCCAGTCGATCTTGGCATCACGGAGCTGCTCAACGGAGATTTCACCGGTGAAGGCACCGTTGGGCTTGTCGAAGACGTTCTGAGCGGCGACGCCGATGTTGGAGTTGGCGACCTCCCGGGCGAGGAGGAGGTAGAGGGCGGGCGGGGAGATGACGACCTCGGAGGAGGAATCGAGCTTGGCGTCGTTGAGGTTCTTGATGATGGAGGTAATGCTGTCGGCAGTACCGTTCCTGTAGAATGGGTGCATTAGAGGTTGGTCACTCTCCCGAGGAGGGGATGGTGGGGTTGCAGAGCTCGTACATCTTGAAGTTACCACCGACGAAGAATTGGCGAGGCATCTTGAAGGGAATTGAGGAGAATTGACGAAGTGACCTGAAGAAGAGGGAAGACAGTTTGATTGAGTGGGAGTGGTTGGAGTAAAGTAGTTGGGAGGAGGAAGAGAAGAGAAGAGAAGACGAAGAAGAAGAAGCGAGAAGACGGAAAAGGCGATGACGAAAAGGAAAGCATTTGGCGGGGCTCCCGCTTATATGCCTTGCCGGTTATCGATAACACGTCAGGATATAAGTACAACACCACCTGGCGAACCTCCAACGCATAATATTATGATGCCCATGATATTATCAGACAGTAATTGATATCAAGAATTGATTAATTGGTACATAACTACCTAGGTATCACGTTACCAGATGCCTGGCTCATCTGTCGTAGAATACATCGTCATCGTATCTAACGCCAACGCCATACTCCTATACAAACAGTCTCGGAGCACCAACAGACTGACAAAACCAGAAGAAAAAGGCTAGAAACTCACAAGAAAAAGATCAAAAATGTCGATGATAGTACGGCTCACGCATCGACACACACCGTCCCAAATAACACGAATTGCCCAGCTGTTCCTCCAGCATGCGTTGTCGCTGTTCCACCAGCCGTTCCCGACGCTCGACCAGCGCTTCACGATCGTCCAAAATTTGACTGCGCATGTCATGGCGGGCCCGTAACTTGTCATACTTCTCGCCCAAGCTACCAACCAGCGCCAGGTCGTCGGCAACCACGACGGGGTCTTGCACGATTTTCGGACGATCCCGGGACACCCGAGCGACCTCCCGAGTATACCCTTTCGGCACCCGACGCAGTGGGTTCCTGCTGTCCGCCGGCGTCACCTCCACGGACCCGTCGGCATAGCGCCCAGCGTGATGTCCGCCGTGGGCGTCCAGCGCGCGCACGTACTTGGCGTCATGCGTGGCGGCCTGCCGCGGCTGCTTGCGGTAGTGCGTGCGATATCCCGGGTCCGATCGTCGCGACTTGGACGAGTGTTGCCGGTAGAGGCTGCCTCGTGGGTGCGGCGACCGATTGCTGTATCGTCCGTCGTCGTCGGAACTGTCCGTCGCGGAACTGAGGTCCTCGTGGTCGAACAGTGTCGACTCTCCGTCCCCCGCGCTGCTGGACTCGAGGATGTAGTCCGCCTCCGCTTCCATGGGCGCGTTCGGGCCCCGCGGTGGTGGTCCTCCATGCGGCGGCGGCTGGGTTCGACGCGAACATCACGTTTTCCCGTCCTGGAGGGACGAATGCGCGATGCCCGTTTGGGAAGCCCTGCGCTTGATGGTGTGCATCGCCTCCCAGCGGGGCGTTCCTGTTCAGGACCTCAAAAGGTGCGCCGTTTCCGAGGTTGGCTGCGCGCGCGGCATTCACCAGGTCGGGGTGTAGGTGTTGCTGAGGGTGCTGCTGAGGGTGCTGCTGAGGTTGCTGCTGAGGGTGCTGCTGAGGGTGCTGCTGAGGGTGTTGCTGAGGGGTGTTGCTGAGGGTGTTGCTGTGGGTGTTGTTGTGGGTTGTTGTTGTGGATGTTGCTGTTGTGGACGCATACCGGCTGGGATTCCGGCCCATTGGTCTTGACTGACCGGCGGCACTTGCGCCATGGGATGTTCGGCCGGGGGAGGCGGAGGCGCTCCCTGCGGATGGTATTGCGGAGGCGCCGACTGCGGGACTTGAGTGAAGATGGGATGGGATGCTCGTTTGGGGTCGACACCCGCGGCCCATTGCACGTTCTCAAACGGCTTGTTCATCTGGCGCGGAGGCTCTTGGTTGATCACCGGGTCTGCAAACTGCGGCTGGAAAGCCTCGCGCCCCCGGGGGGTGGTATCGAAGTTCACCTGGACGGGCTGGGGCGTCTTGGAGTATGATCCGGTGTTGACGGATCTCCGCGACAGGATGATGTCCATGGAGAGGGTCTCGTAGTCGCCGCGGCGCGCGTTCTTCCCTTTGACGGGCTTTTCCGACTCCTTGATATATACGCAGGTCCATTCGTAGCGGGGGTCCTGTCGTCGGAGCTCCTCGATCAAGTCGTCGACGGCGGTGCGCTTCATCCGCGACAGGTTCTGATACTGGGCGGCGGCGGAGAACTTCTTCGCGCGCTTCTGCACCTGGTTGTGGAGATCCAACTGAGACAGATGCATGCGCGTCTTCTCGACGTTGCTCCAGGTGGACTTCTGACCCGGCAGCGCGTCCGACTTGAAGAACGTATACCCGACGTAGTGGTAGACGGCGCGAGGGTCGGGTCCGACTTCTTTGATGACGACGGGCTCTTTGACTCGGTTTCTACCCTGGTTGATGTCCAGCCGAGACAAGTCATCGACGAGGTGCGCAGGGCCGGGAGTGGGATTGTGAATCACTCGGGGGATGTCGCCTGGATGCATCTGGTGCTGCGGAGGATGATGAGTTGGAGGGGGAGGTGGGATATTCTGGTTGATGACCGCCATAGTGGGAGTATAGGGAGTATAGGGAGTAGAGTAGTAGAGTAGATTGATGAAGATAGTAGCAGTAAGACGACAATACTTTTTGACTAAATTTTACATTACTTTCATGAGAATAGGAACAACTGACAAACAGAACTAAGAAGCGAACGGATGTCAAAGAGTCAAGACAGTGGGGATTGCAGACTTGATATACACCATCCTCCTCCACGGCATGCATATGCACCTCCACACCAGATGGTGAGTAATGTTGCACGATTCGCAGGCCACTGCTCTGCTGCCTGCCATTAGGTTTCCGCCTAGCAGTCTAGCCGTTGGGGAAAAAGGTCAGACCTCACACGCCCGACAGTCACCACCGTCTCTGTCCTCCAATGATGGCGATCGTTTCTGTCGCAGATAGGAGCAGCTCATGTTGCATCTTCCAAGGGCACTTTGCCCTCTTTGCCCGTCTACGCCCTGCGACACGAGAGATTCTGATCCTGATCCTGGTCCTGGGGCGTCACACCCAGCCCGGGCGTTTACAAGAGTGAGGCGCAGGCGTTTTCTCTATCTCAGCCTCAATGGGGCGATGCACCGGATGTCAGACGGTACCCTCCATGTTACTCTGGAATGAAGACTCGGAGGAGGCATGAGACGAGATGCAAAAAAGACGCAGAGCCGTGGCGCATCGAGCAAGGCTGCATGAGCCTGAGTCTGCCTGACGAGGGGATTCGAGGATACGCGAAACAAGCAAAGAGCACGGTCATACCCTGGTCCGATTGCATTCCCTTTCTATTCATTTCTTGGGTTTCTGTCGATTCACTCGTAAGAGGCGGTCGAGAGTTAGCTATCTCCAACGGTGGCTGCTGCTGTTATTGGCGTTGATGCCGTGATGGGCTGCAGGATGCTGCAGCCAAGAACAGGCAGAACAGGCACCGCAGCTGGAGAGTCGCTGACAGACGAAGCCCTTGCGTGGAGAGTCGGCCAGTGAGGGCACATTCTTCAACTCGGTTGTGGCGATTCCACTGCTAGTGCTTGACTACAATGACTAGTGCTCGATTTGCCTGCATTGAAGGAATCCACGAGCCATTTGGTGGGTCAGTCTATCACTGCACAACATATGAAGGTGTTGCAGAAATGCAGCTGTATGTGCTTTTCTTCCTACTTCACTGTTTGACATGAACACTTGTAATGTCAGCATGTTATCTCTGGTATGCTTCAGCTGGGATGTCTTCCGCCCCCACTAACGAGGGCGTTTGTTTGTCGTTGTCAGCATCGTCTCGCACCCGGGCGATCAGGATGAAATCCCCGCATATCAGAAGCCGAGCGCAACTGTGCCTCGCAACGAATAAGAGTGGCTGATAATAGCTCTGACTCATGGATTGGCTTCTGGACGTCGCGTTTCCTCTCTGGCCTTGTGACTCTGGTGACCGCTCTTTCACCGTCCCTCTTCACTTGTCGCTCTTCACCTTGCTCGAGGGTTTCACCTTCATTGTCCTTGTTCCGGGCGGCCGAGGATGGGCTGGCTGGAGAGTCGGTCCAATGATACATAATACCATAATACTATCATAATCAACTGTCTCACCGGGTATGCGGCCGCATATAAGCTGGACCGATGTCTATCGATCGTCTGTACGCTGTAATGTACACAGCCACTGTTTACTCTATGCTTATGCTGCTCACCTGGTTGTACCATCATCCGTGGACTGCATATGAAGAAGTATGCTCACCGCATAAATTTGCCTCACAGTCTCACTGGAAAGCCCATTGTGACACCAGAACTACCACATCTACTGGTGTTCAACTCACACACCGTGGTTGGATCTACGCAGGGCTTCTACTTCATCTCCACTTTAGGAGGGAAAGAATTCTAGAACCACAACGTTCTTGCGGAGAAAGCATCTGTCATCGCACTTTGAGCAGAACATCGGGCAAGTCATCTCAATTGCGGTGCGGACTCTGGGAATGCACGTCCGATTCGGGGACTACAAGGCTTCCAAAATGCAATGGACTTTACACCATCTGCCGGTTTGTTCTATAGGAAGAATCCCGACATTGCAGTGATCGACGATGACCAGCCTGATTCTTCTGGTAGAGGCGAAGACCCATGGCAACATGGTATTGAAGGCTCGACACGAATAACTGCAAATACTCTTCAATCTATCACGACAATGCAACCAGATACAAGACCTGGACTATCCGTAATGCAATTCTCTATATGCGTGTATACGAGCTCATAGCTTGTGTCCAATCTTCCCCTCCAGAGACTGTAAAACCACCTCGGTCATCATCAACACCGTTTCCTCTTCCAAGCGCCGGCCAACTAATTGCAGGCTCACCGGCATTCCGTGCACAGCATCGGGGGAGTCTATTAATGGTCAGTTCTGAATGCGCCCACAGAATCAAACGGGCTCACATACAGTCACTTTGAACCTGCGCGTCCACCTCCGACAATGGCGCATGATTGGCATACGCCACGTCAACGCTCTTGTCGCTGTACACGCCACAAGGGAATGATACAGCCGGGTAATCCAGCACGTTGAAGACGCCCGTGTATCCCACATACCCAAACTTGCCGTTCTCCACAAAACTATACGGTGTCGTCGGGCCTGCAGATCACTAGTCAGCTGATGGATCCCACATCCCCAGGGGTATACTACGCACCCAATATCGCATCGATCCCACTCTCATTCCACCGGTCCTGATACGCCTTGCAGAGGGTATTTCGCGCCACCTGTAGCTGCCACATCTCATGCACGCCTAGCTCCGTCGCCTCCTGATAGGCCTTCATTTCCGGACGCCACGGCTCCCCGGTCGGCTGGAGCAGCTTCTCGACCGACTTTCCGCCGTCGGCGACAAACATGCGCGCCAGCGTCGCCAGCAGCTCGGCGTGGCCCGTCGGTGCCCAGTCCACGATCTCATGGCCTGCGGCCTGCAACTTGGCCAACGTTTGCTTCAGCGCACGCGTGACCGGAGGCGTAGGTGTGACCACGCCGTCGTTCCACAGGACCGCGATCTTGAGCGTACGTTTGGGCGGAACGCTGCGCCATGCGATGGGCAGACACTTCGGGTCCCTAAGCCATGGTTCTTGGCCGACGACGGTCTTGGACCAGAGGACGATCTCCTCGAGCGTCGGCGCCATGGGTCCGTTGACGCTGTGGACGGCTTCTTGACCGGCCAGACCGGAGCGCGTTTGGAAGTTGGGGAACCGGCCAAACGACGGCCTGATAGTGAAAATACCCGTGCAAGCAGCCGGGATACGGAGGGAACCACCTGTCACATCGTACGCCGTTAGTTGTCTTTGCCTTCGTAGATGCAGGGCGACACCGGGGCCGTACCAATATCTGTCCCCACGCCCAGACGACTGCCCCCAAAGGCAATCAAGGCCGACTCGCCACCGGAAGAACCGCCAGACGTCAGCTTCCTATTGCGCGGGTTGACGGTGCGGCCGAAGACGTTGTTCACCGACTCGGCAATCATCATCGCTGTCGGGACGTTGGTCTTGACGTAGAGCACGGCGCCGGCGTCAAGCAGCAGGTCGATCAGGGTGCTGTTGTAGGTTGCGGGGTCGTTGACCAAGGAGGCGAATCCGATGGTGGAATCCGTGCCGATGATGTTGAAATTGTCCTTGATCGAGATGGGGAGGCCATGGAATGGGCCGACAGTCTTGCCTGTCTTCTTCAGCTGCGCGTCCAACTCTCTGGCCCGAGCGATGGCCTTTTCAAAGAGGATCTCCGAGAGACAGTTGGTCTAAGTAATCGTACTATTGTTAGTCTGTTATAAGCTTCAGGAACAGACGGATAAACATACCAACTGGTGAGCAGCAGCAGCCGTCTTGCAGAATGCTCTCGTCACTTCCTCTGAGCTCCATGAGCCAGACGCCAGCTTGGACAGGAGCTGCGGCGCCGGGGTGGCTGTGATCTCCAGCTCCCGCTCCGTAAACCAACCCGACTGTCGGGGAAAGGTGGTTACATCTAATTGACTGTCTGGCGGGAAGATGCTGGCAGGAATCACCCATTCCGCAGGAATCGCGTCTCTAAGAGCTTGCCGTTTCTTCGCGGCAATCGTATCCCAACTCATGGCGACGGTGAGGCGTGAAGCAGTCAATTGCAAGAATCCTAGACGGGTTGTCGTACGTCCGGGCTGGGTGGCTTCTGGAACCGCGGTTCCATTTGTATACAATCAGGGCGGGGTTCATCCCGAGCGATAGCCGGCACCGCCCACGCCGGGCGGTTCATGATACGCCCTCTAGGGGACCTGCAGGCTGAATCATGATTCGTCTCAGCAGCCGTGACGATAGATAGAACTAGTGCTATCGCGGGATCCTGGTCTGGAGTCGGCATGTTCAGCCTATGAAGAGACGATCGTCGGCACTTGATGCGGAGACGGCGTTAGGGCTTGGAGTCGTCTGTGGAGATTAGCTGCTTGATAAAGAAAAGAAGAGCAAGATAGACGACAGTTCGGAGGATTTCCGACGAAACTTCCCCTCATTCCAATAATCCATCCATCCATCAACCCATTAATCAAAGAAAATACGAGCCAGCCGAGGCCGATGCCGCTCATGGCGGAAGTATAAGTCGGCGGGCGTCGTAGAACAGGCAAAATGCAGACTAGATAAGCCGGCCACCAGACTCCAATCCCCCTCTTCAGGGGACTTGGCTGCCAAATCAAGCGTAGAAGAAGATAACACAAACAAAGTATTATAAGATGGACTTTCTCCAGGGGAAGATGATGTACGTCCAGGGACAGACGCCCACAAGAAGATACAGAGGGAGTTAGAGAGCGAGCCCTTCTATGTGATCATGCTGTCCAACTTCATCTCCTACCTCAAGGGCCAGGAGAGCGTCCCCGGAGAAGCTAAGCTGCTCCGGAAGCTGGACTGCTTCATCCTGTCCTTCTGCTGCCTGTGTTATTTTGCCAATTATCTGGATCGCACCAACCTGTCCAATGCCTATGTGTCCGGCATGAAGGAGGAATTGAACTTCCAAGGAAATCAGCTCAACGTGATCAACACCATCTTCACCGTGGGCTATATTATCGGACAGGTTCCCTCGAATCTAGCCCTGACCTATGTTCGACCGCGCATCTTCTTCCCGACCATGATGGTCATCTGGGGCGGATTGACCATGATCACCGCCGCGGTGCATAACCCCCAGGGCATCATGGCCATCCGGTTCTTCCTCGGGCTGGCTGAGTCCAGCACCTTTGTAGGAACGCACTATATCCTGGGATCCTGGTATACGGAAAAGGAGCTGGGGAAGCGAAGTGGAATCTTCACGGCGTCCGGGCTCGCAGGGACGATGTTTGGCGGTTTCATTCAGACCGGCATCAACTCTTCTCTGCATGGCGCCAGAGGGCTCTCTGGTTGGAGATGGCTATTCATAGTTCGTACACACCAATCTTTGTGGCTTTAATATGACCCAGAATACTAATAACATGGCATCTTCCAGGTCGACGGACTGATCACCATCCCCATCGCCATCTATGGCTTCTGCCTCTTCCCTGACACTCCTACCACGACTAAAGCGCCATACCTGTCCGCTGAGGAGCGCGCTCTCGCCATAGCCCGCATCCCAGAGGCCGGAGTCGTCAAAGTGCCCCTGAACCTCGCGTTTGTCAAACGCGTCTTCAGCGCCTGGTATTGGTATGCATTCACCATGCTGTGGGTGATTGCCGGCGAGACCGAGTCCTTCTCGACCAACTCTCTCCTGGCCCTGTACATGAAGTCGCATCCAACCAAGAAGTACACGGTCGCCCAGCTCAACAACTATCCCACCGGTATCCCCGCCGTCGGGATCGTCTCGACCTTGTTCTGGGCTACGCTGACCGACTTCTTGGGTGGCAAGCGATACCTCGTGGGTTATTGGATAGGCATCACCGGGATCGTTACCTCAGCCATGATCCTGACCCGGTTTGACTCCACGGCCGTCGTCTTCGCCGCCTATTACTGGGCAGGCTCGGTCTACGCCTGTCAGGCCACCTTCTTTGCGTGGTGCAATGACGCGATGCGCTACCAAGACGACCGCCTACGCTCTGTGGTCATTGCCAGCATGAACGCGGGCAGTAATGCTGTCAACGCCTGGTGGAGTATTCTATTCTACTCGGCGACGTTCGCGCCCAAGTTTGTCAAGGGAATGTGGGCAATGATTGGGTGTTCGATTGCCCTGGTTATCTGGACCTCGGGCATTATCTACATGACGGTCAGGGCCGAGAGGAATCGTGAAGATCGTGAGCTTGGTCCCGGGGAGTTGGACGTGAAACAGCACGCTGTGGAGGCGTAAAGACATCCTACGTGGTATATAGATTATGCTTGATGGGATACGATGTTGTCGCATAAGAATGTGAGATACACCGCTTGTAGCATATCAACTATCGACCCACTTGAACCATGGGGATCGATTCCATGGCCCGAATCGCCAAGTCATGTCCGTAGCGGAAATGTAGAGAATAGTTGGTGCAAAGAAGCGCCCACGGGCTGGACAAACGGAAGGCTGGTTGAGCAAAGGATGTAGTAAAACGAGATATAGATCTGGAACAGGCGAAGAACAGACATGGCAAGGGTATTACTGTCGGAGATTGTCCAGTCGTGCTTGCAGATCGTCGTCACTTGCAGCAGCACCACCTCCACCTCCTGCGCCGACGGCCTGGGCGACTCGTGTTTCGCCAACAGCGGTCGCTTGTATGTCCGTCGGGGTCACACCCAGCTATTTGCGAACGATCGTTAGTGCTTGACAAACCGAGAGAGAAACGGGCACAAACCGCTTGGTTGAGATCTACGCCGATCTCGTCGAAGATCTCCTTCAGAATATCCTCGCCTTCTTCCTCCTCGCCCTCCATCCCCGTCGCTTCGTCAATCGCATCATCCATCATCTCCTGTCGTTCGTCCATGATCTCGTTCTCGCGCTCGAACTCCATGGCGATTCGTTGCAGCGCGGGGAGGTTCATCTGTCGGTTCATGCTGCCCAATAGCATCGTCGCACCTTTCATCGACTGCATCATTTGTTCATTGCTCCGGACCGTCTGCACGAAGAGAGGCGCAAGTAAGTCTATGGACAACAAGGGATGGCGGGGTCAGAGGGGTAAGCGCCCACCTGGATCCGAAGAGAAATAGCCTGTAGTTGTGTGCGCATTTGATAGAATTTTTGGATATACCTCATCAACCATATCAATCAGCATGGAAATGCGACGCAACGGTCTCGGAGTATCAGTCGGTGCTTTACCTTCTTGTCCGAACCAGGTCCTTTGCCTGGATCTTACAGGCGCCGACCTGTCCATTCTTGGCACTCTTCTTAATGTCCTGCACCAGTTTCTTCTCCTGATTCTCCAATTTGACCCTCTCCCGGTCTAGTTCCCGCTGTGTCCGGTCCAGCGCCCTTTGGTGTTTGCGCAGGCGCTCCGCCGGGGTCATGCGCTTCCCGAATGCCCACTCGACGATCTGAGAGGCGATAGTCAGAAAACAGATATCAGGGCTGTAACCTGGCGATACATACATTCATGATGTGTAGAAATGATCGGATCTGGAGGTCGAGACGAGCAGTGCTAGGCAGCGGGGAGGAGGGAGGATGGTTGGAAGGTGTACCTGATAGGAGGGCCTCTATCTCTTGGTGACATCAAGTGGTAATTAATCCGCGTATCGACAAAACGGCAGTACGGGGGTTGTCATTACCGTTGTCACATGTTCCTGATCCAAAAAGGTATGGTCCGGAAAGTTGCATGGCTGAATCACGTAAGCTTCCGTCATCCGTCGGTCACGTTATGTCCATCGTTTATTCTACTGCGCCGATGCTTGTTTCGTCCCATTTCATCCACGCTCAAGTCGACATATTTCCATGCACCGCGCATCGCTCTCGCTATGAGCCAGGAGTACTTTTCCGGCACGAGCGGTTCCTCCGCCGGAGAGGGTTCGTCCCGACACCCTCCCCAGGAGGAATCCTCAGAGAACCCTTTCTTTTCGTCGCCCCCACCCGCATACATGACAGTCGGAAATGGCTCGACTTCGGAGAGCGCCACCGCGTTGATGGCCTCGTTGAATCAGGACTCAGGGTACGGCGGTAGTAATGCCGGTGGAAGTTTGATGGATGGACATGCTGGCAGTGGTTGGAGACCGGAGCTCATGGTCGACCGGCCGACCCCCCAACATACGCCAACACTACCAGGAGAATGGAATCCGGCTGGTTTGTCACATCCCACCGATATTGGATGAAAGCAGTATATAACTTACTAACTTATTATCGCTACAGCGGAGCATGAACGACAAGTGGTCGCGAGCCATGTCCACCAACTCCTATAGTACGTTCGAACTCAGAGTGACGTGACCGAAAGGTATGTATGCTAACAGCCTTGCAGTAATTCGAATCGAACGAAACTCGGGCGCGCCATCTCCCGGACAATCGAAACTCTGAAAGAACTCCAAGATATGAACCGCCAGTGGCCCGCGCATTATCCCTCCGTACAGGCTACCCCCGGCACCAAGACTCCCGAATCTCCGTCGCAAAGGCCAGGCTTGAACCAGGCCCAATCGTACCTCAACGAATCGAACACTTTCCCTGATAACTTTAGACCTAGTCCGCCGAGGCGCGCGGCAACGTTGTCTACGAGTGAAGATTTGGCCGAGTCCAGTGCTGCCGCCGAACGTCGCCCTCCGCCGGAGCCGAGATTGATGAGCCCCCAGATCGCGCGGGAGTTTTCGATTTTGAAGTTGGATCTCAAGCTGGGTGCCTTGTCACAGGCTGAATTAGTGCACTCGTTGGAAAAGGCATCTATCGCATCGTTGTTGGATGGGAAGATCAGCCAGAGCATCAAGCATCTGCTGTCCTTGCGGGACAGAATCGAGGATACGTCCAGCAAAGTCCTGATCACGGGTGATCTGAACGCCGGCAAGTCGACATTCTGCAACGCTTTGCTGCGGCGAAAGGTGTTGCCCGAGGATCAGCAACCCTGCACTAGCATCTTTTGCGAAGTTCTCGATGCACGGGAGAATAGCGGAATCGAGGAGGTGCATGCGGTCCACAAAGATGCCCACTATAACCGAAACGACGAGAGCACATATGATGTCTATGCACTGACCGAGCTTGAGAATATTGTGGTTGACAACTCCAAGTACATGCAGTGCAAAGTTTACGTCAAGGACACACGAACAATCGACGAATCGTTGCTCAACAACGGAGTGGTGGATATCGCGCTTATCGATGCTCCCGGGCTGAACTCAGACTCCTTAAAGACCACCGCGGTCTTTGCGCGACAGGAAGAGATCGATGTGGTCGTATTCGTCGTTTCAGCCGCCAACCATTTTACGCTCTCGGCCAAGGAATTCATTCTGAATGCCGCTCATGAAAAGGCGTATATGTTTATCGTCGTCAATGGATTTGATCAGATCCGAGACAAGCAAAGATGTGAACGCATGATCCTGGAGCAGATTGGCAAGCTCAGCCCTCGCACATACAAGGAAGCTGCAGAGCTTGTTCACTTTGTATCGAGTAACGCCATTCCAGTTGCACCACCTATGTCTATTGGGAGCTCGGGCTCCGGTAGCGGTGGCGGAGACGGCCCGGACCCAGATGGTGACGATGATGACGATCAAGCCGGGGACAAAGGAAAAGGGAAAGGCAAAGAAAAAGAGAAGATTCAAGATTTCGAAAACCTTGAGGGCTCTCTGCGACGCTTCGTTCTGGAGAAGCGCTCTCGCTCAAAGTTGGCCCCTGCGAGAACCTACCTTCTCAACTTGCTTGCGGATATTAATTCCTTGGCCTCGGTCAATCGTGATGTCGCTGAATCGGAGCTCAAGCGTGTCACGGATGAACTGACAGAGCTTGAACCAGCATATGAAGAGGGCAAAAAGAAGAAGGTGGAACTGGGAGATCAGGTGGAGAAGTCCATCGACGAGTCGTGCGAAGACGTCTACAACCACACTCGCTCCACGTTAGGGAACACCATTTCTCGCGTCTCTGAGGCTGATCTGGGCGTCGAGTATCCCGGCCTGTTCTCAGCATTCCAGTACGCTGAAGATCTCAAAGTGGCCATGCTGGAACAGATCTCGGCGTCTGTCTTGGATTGTGAGGACTACGCTCGTGAGAAGACCGTGCAGGGTGTCGGTTTCATTCAAAATATCGGCCTTCTTCATGTCGGAGAAGATAAATTCACCCCCCTTAATTTCCGTGCTGATATGATGTTCCGCCGAGGTCGTCGCCACACGCTCGCTAGACAGGTCGACACTGAGGTCGAGCTGTGGGATTTCTTTGACATTTCTAGCCTGTGGGAACGACAGGAGAAGATGGCTGGAACTGGAGTGGCAATGACTGCTTTGACTGTTCTTGGAGGCCGTGCTTTCGGTGGTATCAGCTGGGTTGATAGTATGTTCACCGCCACCAAGGTCCTGGGACCGAACAATTTGCGACGTCTTCTTCTTCCCGGCATTGTCGCAGCTGGTAAGTTCAATCCATTGTCAATTTTTGGCCGTATGCTAACTTCTGTAGCTGCCCTGACTACCGCCTATGTCCTGTCTTCGATTCCTACGACGCTTCCCCCTCGCCTCTCACGTAAACTCGCTGCGAAACTCTTTGAACTGGACTATGTGCACACCAATGCCAGCAGGATTTCGTCCGAGGTTCGTCGCATTCTGCGCATACCGGCGACCAACCTCCAGAACAGCCTCGCGCAAGACATTGAAGACCTTGGAAGACGCAAGCACGAGGTTACGAAGACAAAGCAGGAGAGCGAAACTGCCTGCAAATACTTCTCCAACCTCTTCCGTGACAGCAGCGAGAACAGACGCTCTGTGGAAAGCATTGATCTCGATGGTCCATTGCCTGGTGGATTGGCAGCCTACGAAGCCTGATTGCATCTAACTCCCTTCTTTTCTTTTTCACCCCTTTCATTGTACAAATATTCACGATGTGGAATGGATCGTTCTTATTATCTGCTGGAGCTGGTTGATTTTTATACACATTTCCTTTATTAGCTTGTCATCAAAATATCCTGTACAATTCTCAACCTCCTTTACTCCTGTTTTACCATCTATGCATGGCTACGACACTCATCTCTTGGATTTTACAAAGAGATATCTATTATCAGTCATCATTTGTATTAGCGCTCTGAAAAGCTTTATATATCCTGAGTGTTACTTGAGACTACCGAAAACAAGACTGTTTACGCTTCACGTCGTCTCCTGAATAGAAGAGTAGTACTTGGGGCATATTGTTGCTTTATCAGCATCACGTAGATTCTTGTATCTGCCCCCTTGACGCCGGCAATGGCCAAAGAAAAGTGAAGTACGACGCCGCCATGCTATATAAAACTCCTCAAGGACACCAAAAAGACCATGCACTCCGTACTTCAGATATCAAAAGTCATTATTTAAATCATTCGCGGCCTTATGTGCGTTCCTTGTTCTTCGTCCCGAGCCCCATCCGGGATTCTCGAGCTCTCTCACCTGTCCCATAACCAGCGTCGCATCCGCAGTTGGTTTCTTCTCAACGAGCTTGCCGGCATGATGGAGGAATTTCTCCCTCATCGCGACGGCATCTGGATCCTCATAGTTCAGTTGCGTCATGGGAGGAGACTGGGTCTCATCCTCCTCGACTGGACGGTCTCCTGGGGCAAATTCGAATCTTCCGCTGTTGACAAAAGACGCAATCCCGTCCGTATTGACGCTATCGATGGCGCTGCCGCATCCGTCGTCATTGAGGGTATCGATGGAGCTAGCGCGGGAGATGCCCTTTTGCTCGGCTGTGCGGAGAGAGGGCGCTCGCCCGAGCAGCGGCTTTCTTCGTCTTAGGCGATTGGATTCGCCTGTTTCTGACGTTGAGCGCGAGCTCGCTGCCTGCGCCTGCTTCAGGAACCCACTGATCGTGAGGTCAATGGACTGGGCAGCGGAGTTGGTGGATTCATCTGAAATGCGGCGCTTTGCAGGCGACAGATGTGAATTTGTGGGGTTTCGTTCCTTTGTTGGGGATTGGGGATTTGAGGGCGGCTGGTTTGGAGCCTTCTGTGTGGTAACGGGCCTTTCCTTTCGCGGGGGAGTGTCGAGTGCTGTGGTCTTGTGGTTGTCAGGCGAGGAGCTTCTGTTCGTTCCATTCGCGGTGACATTCGGCGAAGTATGCCTGCTTTGTGCACTCTTGGAGTGATTGCTGCCATTGGTCTGTGATTGTGGCTTCTGCTGATCTGGGCGAGGGCCAGCTCGCATTTCTAGATCCTTGCTGCCTTGAGAGGGCGGTTTGCGAATAGCATACGGCTCCAATGCTTGCTTTTGCTGTCTCCGAATGGAGTCCCATAGCCAATCTGCAGAAACGGCGGGCACGCCCCATTCTTGCGTATGTCGGAGCTTTTCGTTGTTCACTGGCCCTGCGTTGTTGCAGACCAAGATCGACGCACTCGGGGTCAAGTATTCGTTATACGAAGCACCTGCGTCGTCAGTATAAGCTGGAACAGAAGTCGAGATTTGGCTCATAGCTCACCGATCAAGTTGACCAGTTTGGATAGATGTAACAGGTCGATGCGGGAGAACCCAGTCGAGCATACTTTCATCCCCGAGAACCCTACAATGCTCAGCAACGACTCCACATACCAGGAACGCAGGACTCACCCTTGATAGGAAAGCTGGGGACCGGAGTGTTTGCCACATGAGTTTCTGGCGGTACTAATGTTTTTGCATCCAGGCATCGTTCCAGCCACATATCGGTCACTATCTCGCATTCGAATGCCAAGTCATCGGTAGAGGGTATCTGATTGCGAGGCATCTTGTACGGGACAATAGTGTAGAGACCATGTCCTCGCTTAGGAATATCAGGTCTGGAGAATTCATTCAGGGTGCCCACTATCTTGGCCCCGTTGAATGATAAATGGTGGCGGAGTACATTTGTCTTGCAGAATTTAGCCTCGCGCACTTCAAGAAACATAGAAAGGACATACCTGCTTGGAGGAAAATCCATGGATATAGAAATAAGTCTCTCTGAGAAACCCGTCACTCGAATTCAATGTCGGCTCCGCACTTTGTGGACGGGATGCTTGGGGCTCCAGAAAGGTACTCTCACTGGCAAATGACTTGACTTCCTGTATTATGGATGCATTTCTCCGAAGAGGTTGGCTATCGCTTCTCGGCTGACTGCCGGTGGATCGCCTAAAGTCCGGGTTGTCAAAACCACCACCCACGATATCTCCCCAGATTCCTTCGTTCTGATCGCCCAGCTTAGCGCTTGCAATTCGGCGCAGTTTGCGTGGACGTGGGTTCGAGGAGCTTGCATTTTCTACAGGCTTCTCTTTTACTGGAGGCAATGACCGGTTCCATGCTCCAACTCCCTGTTGGTCTTCTGGCAAATGAAGATCGTACAGCGTCTCCTCGAGAGTCATGCCTCTTTCTAGGCTGTCGGTGAACCATTTCATGGTAACAATCTTGATATTCCATTGCGTCGCAAACTTGTATTTCTGGCCTTCGGGGCTGCGCGCTATCAGATGCGTGACACTCTTCGTTAGGTCCTTTCTGAACTCGGCTCCATTGGCGGTGGCCGTGTTTTGGATGTAGTTCCGGAAAGCCACTGTGGTCCGGAAAGTAAGCTCCAATTGCCTCCCAACCAAGCAATCCATCTCCAGCACTTACTGTCCTCGAAGCCAGTTATACATATCGACAAACCGGCGAATGTTGGGAGTCGGTGTAGCTCCTCCAGGGCACGAATGTCCGTATCGTCGCCTTGCATCCATGACTGGCGCACAGCCTCGATCCACTCCGGTTTGAGAACAACAACATCTGATCTTTCTCGCGCAACGAACTTATACTTTGGAGTATTTGTCTCGCCGACGATCAAGTGAGTAACATCGGACGTAAGGTCGAACTTGTGGGTTGCGCCCATCTGACTTGCGATCGTGGCTAGCTCAGTCTAAAAATCACGGAAAGTGTTAGAAATCAAAGAAACGACAGAACACGCGCAAGATCATAGCGAAATGACAGCGTATCGCGTACCCGTTGCTCTGGGAGAATGGAGGTGAAGCAAAGGACCACCCCCGCAAGAGGATGCTCCTTGTCTGGTAGGTTATCAGCATTGGTTAAGTCCCAACAGTGCGGTAATTGAGCGACCACTCACTTGAGACAGCTTTCACTGCCATGCTTCATGTTTGGCAACGCAACAGAACCTCAAGTGCGACTGGTAGTCGAGGGCTTTTGCTTGAAATGGAATCGATGCCGCTTTGCAGCGCGCGTTGCTTATCAGGTCGTCACGTGCGATAAGCGGCGCGTGTCTTTCCAGGAACGCGACAATAATCCGTGCGCGCCAAAAGTTCCCACTCCCATTCAATCCAATGATTCTATACTCATTCCTCGATGCCAAAGGACATTGGTCTCCTGCGCATTACACGCTGAATCATCCTAGCCGATTGCTGGCTTTTTATGTATGCCAGGAAAACCACCACCACACTGGTCTGCTATCGCATACGAACCTCACATGCTTCCCCTGTGATATCGCAATCCGCCCTCGGATACTCGACTTCGCGGGAAGCAACGAAACGGGCCGCAGCTATGTTTAAAAAGGCTGTAAAGGACCATTCAGCTGCGTCTTCGCATCCCCTACAGTCGACACTCTCGCGCAACAATGGCGTGGCTCAAGCGAGACCGCCTCCCCCGCAATCAATAGGAGTCAAACGGAAGATCGAAATGACGAATGCCGGAGGGTCTGCTCTAGGCTCTCTGCACAGTGCCGTTTATTTTGACGAAAATGATTTCGACGATGATGACGACCTGGATTTCGAAGCTCCGGACCCAATTATTCCCCCACCGACAATCGTGAGACCAGCTTCTCAAGAGAAGCCCTCGACCGACTACCCCAAGCTAGACCGAACACCAGAGCCCTCAAGCGTCACCCAGTCGCCGCGAGAGCCCGCGGTCCGAACGAACACGCCGTCGGACGTGAAGTACCCGGAGTTGCCTCCCGTTTCAGAGGAGAATGTTGCGCCATCCAGTAGCATACAGTACCCCTGGTCTTCTTCGCCCCCCTCCCATTTTCAAAAACCTGGCAACGCTCGAACCCTGCCATGGCTCAAGAACGAAGAACCTGCACAGCCGCCGTCTCCAGTCGAGGAGTACAACTGGAAAATCAAACCGAAGGATCCTCATCTCTCCAAGCAGAACGCATTGTGGAATAATTCCGAGAGCATGATAAAGGAAGAACAAAAGAAACAGAGGAAAATGCGACAGCAGCTCAAAAAGAACCAAAAAACTGCTTCTCATCCAGCACGTCCAAAAATCGCATCCTTGTTTCTTAGTGATGAACAGCGACATGTCCTAGATGCAGTTGTCCAGCATGGAAAGAGCATTTTCTTCACCGGTTCTGCTGGAACGGGTAAATCCGTGCTTATGAGAGAGATCATCAAGAAATTGCGAGACAAATACCGAAAGGAGCCCGACAGGGTAGCCGTGACCGCTTCCACGGGCCTCGCTGCGTGTAACATCGGAGGTGTCACCCTACACAGCTTCGCTGGTATCGGGTTAGGCAAGGATAAAGTCCCTGAACTCGTCAAAAAGGTAGGGTTGCTCCACTTTACTTAGGAAGAATCATTGTGCTGATCGTTCATAGGTTAAGAGGAACCCCAAAGCCAGGAATCGTTGGTTACGCACCAAAGTATTGATCATCGATGAGGTATCTATGGTTGATGGTGACCTTTTCGATAAACTGGAAGAAGTGGCCCGTCTGATTCGAAACAATGGGCGTCCTTTTGGAGGCATCCAGCTGGTGGTCACAGGCGATTTCTTTCAACTGCCCCCGGTGCCGGAGGGGGGCAGTCGAGAAGCCAAATTTGCGTTTGCGGCTGCTACTTGGAATACATCTATCCACCACACCATCCTCTTGACGAATGTTTTCCGACAGGCAGATCCTGAATTTGCGGGCATGCTTAACGAAATGAGGCTTGGGAAGCTCAGTCAGCGTACCATTGACGTGTTCAAGCAATTGTCTCGACCGTTGAACTTCCACGACTCTCTTGAAGCCACAGAATTGTAAGGAGACCAACAACATGCGACGACTGTACTAACTTCCAGCAGGTTTCCAACTCGCAATGAAGTCGAGCATGCAAATGGTGCACGGATGCAAAGACTCTCTGGTGAACTGATGACCTTCAATGCTGTGGATTCTGGCACTATCCAGGACGAGAAATTCCGTGAAAAACTATTGTCCAACTGCATGGCTCCTCAGGTCATTCAGCTCAAGAAAGGCGCACAGGTCATGCTCATTAAAAACATGGAAGATACGCTTGTCAATGGGTCCATCGGAAGAGTGGTTGCTTTCATGGATGAGACGACTTTTGAAGTCTACAGGGAACATGAGAACGATTTCTCCAGCAGTGGCGATTTCAACGATTTTGATGAGGATAGTGCGGTGCGAGCACGCAAAAAGCTCAAGTCCGCTATTAACAAAGATGGTGGAGTCGTCGCGAGCAGAAAATGGCCCTTGGTATGTTTCGTACAGCCCGACGGGTCCGAGAGACACCTGCTTTGCCAGCCTGAGACGTGGAAAATCGAGTTGCCGAACGGCGAAGTGCAGGCTCAGCGTCAACAGATACCACTGATTCTTGCCTGGGCCTTGTCGATCCATAAAGCTCAGGGTCAAACCCTGCAGCGGGTGAAAGTTGATCTCGGACGGGTCTTCGAAAAGGGACAAGCCTATGTCGCTTTGAGTCGTGCAACCTCGAAAGATGGCCTTCAAGTCACCCGATTTGATCCTCGTAAGGTCATGGTACATCCTAAGGTTACGGAGTTCTACTCCAACCTGGTCAGCATTACAGAGGTTGTCAAGCCCAAAGGCTCCAATACTTCTAGGCGAACCCGGCAAGAGGATTTCCCGGACGACTTCGAAGAAGACTATGAAGAGCTTATGGCTGCATAACAAACAAATGATTATTCATAATGTTCACACCCATGACGTGATGCATTCATACTTTGAATCGCCGTGTATCTATGTTGTCAGCTGATACTGTCATTGCTTGCACATATACATATCTGTGCTGGGTCAGATTGACTCTGTCTATATTATACGAAGGGTGCCAAAGAGCCGGTCGAAGGCCGCATGCGCAAAAGATCATATGGCATGATACTTTTTTATATTAGCCATCACTCAATGGCAAGGGCTATGTCCTGAGAACGTCCGAATGAAAAGACTCTTACTTGATGGTAGTCATATGTTTAAATGTGCCCCGCACTCTGAGGCATGTGCTTCTTGGACTGTCGCTTATTACAACTTGGCCATGGCCTCTGTTCGATCGATCACTCGTTTCATTGTTGGGTCTCGGTCCTCTGGAGCTGGCCAGAAGAAACGTCGGTCCCGGATGATACCTACTGCAGTACCATTGACGCTGTCATCGTCCAGGATGCTTTCCACTGCCTCCACTGACCCTTTCCAGAGATATGAACTCATGCCATCCGACTTCGTCCCATTCCTCCGATTTGAGCAACCCTGTGCCTACTGAAGCGGGACATATGCAGGTCACACGAATGCCATCTTAAGGGTAGCCTTGGCTAAAGAATGTGTCAAGCCAAAGCAGCCATGTTTCGCCGATACGTACATTGGCAAATAAGCTATTGGGTAGACCCCGCTGCAAGAGGATGTAATGATGATCTTGCCTCGTGGTGTTTATTTCTCCACACGAGATGCAGGGCCAGATAGCAAGAGTCAACGACAGACTCCATCTTCAGTTGCTGCGTTTCTCAATGGTCTCTCAACGGGGAGCTTCAATGAGATTCAAGGATTGTCTAATATTCCAATACTCTGGACAAATATCTATACCTATGCTAGTACCTAGTAGTACACGTACTTGACCAGTAAACTAGTTCATTCGATCCGAATATATTTAGATTAGAAACAGTACTTTGTAGAAAAAAGAGAGAGAGAGAAAAAAGCCCCGCCGGTTATCGATAAGATGCACGTGACTGTTCGGGGAGCTCGAAATGGAAGTGGACAATTCGGCTTTGCGACACTTGTACGAGTCTGCTCGGTCCTTTTTCCCCTGTTACCCTCGTGGTCTTCTCGTCCTCTTACCCTCCTGTTCAGATGCTCTCCTAGCTATCGACGACTGAGTGATTGCCCATCATGGCGTCTGAATTCATAGGGTATAATGTTCTCGTGACCCTTCGGGCGCCGCCTGATGCGACCATCCAAGGAGAGGTTGCCAACGTCATCGGTCAGCGCTTGATGCTGCGAAACGGTGAGTCCAGCTGCATAACGATAGAGCGCCGTCCAGTTGTTCCGGTCGCATCTTGCTAACATCTCATGTCCAGTGACTCTGTCGTGGAGCCACCAGCAATTACCCACCTATTCCGTCGACGCCCCTGATATCGCGGACTTGTCTCTAGGTCCTTCTGCACACCAAGTGCCTCAACACCGTGATGTGGTACAGGCAGTCCCTCCTGCTCCACAACCGCAGACCTTCCAAGATCCCGCCATCCTCAGCTTCTCGAAGCCTCCACAGCAGGTCACTCAACCAGCGGAGTATCAGCGGTCTGACGGATATGTCCCACGACAAGCGCCATTAACCGAATCATTCAGCAAACTGGAGCTGAGCGGGGATAACCATATCGGATCTTCAGGTATACCTCAGGAAAAGGAAGCTCCTGAGGCTGTAACTGTGCCCACAGAAAGCTTCGTGCCGGGACAGGCTGCCCAACCTGCAAAGCATGGCCGTCGAGTTGCTCAGAAGAATGAGAATTCGGCACCCCTAAACAAGCATGATGGAGCTACCAATACAAACCCCAAGACTCGAGGTTGGCGCCAGACTGCGTTTGTAGAGCCATCCTTCCCGCAACCCAAATCGAACAAAGACAAGGACGCAGGCCTCAATGGGCGACGTCGGAAGAAGAAGACCCGAGGCAATTATTCCGAGGACCCTAATGGGTGGGCGACAGAAGATGCCACAGACATCCAGGAGATGGGTGATTTCGACTTCCAGAGTAATCTCTCGAAATTTGACAAGAGGCGGGTTTTCGAAGAGATCCGCAATGACGACACTACAGCTGACGAAGCTCGTCTGGTCAGCTTCAACCGGAGAGTCCCTAAGCCTGGAACTAATGGCGGAAAGAACCTACACTGGTCAGAGAATGTTCTTGACAGCCCGGAGAGTGAAGACGCTCTATCGGAACAAGAGCCCAGTGATGCGAAAATGAGCGGCTCCAACTATTCTGGGCGCGAACTATCAAGGGGATCAGCACGAAGCCAAACTGCGCGAAAAGGAAGCGCCATCCTCGGGCAACCATTAGTCTTGCCCCAGGTCAATTCCATTGGACGCAGCCAGTTAAGCACCTCGCGGACTACAAGCCCTCGGCCGAGTAAGAATTCGGTGACGGCGTCACCCATTACCGGACCTGGTGTTCCTGGGGCTTCACTGCGCCTCACCACCACCAATAGGAGCTGTCCGACCGTGAGCCCATTGCAGACCCTCGAAGTCGAGCAGATTGCAGTTGCGGAGCTTGGTTTGACCGAGGACATGATCACGGAGAACGCTGGAAGAGGCATTGCCGAAGCCGCAGTTGGTCTCTTGTCCAGCGATGCTGCGGCCCCGACAATGTTAGTGCTTACCGGTAACCATCGCACCGGGGCCCGAGCTATTGCTGCAGCCCGACATCTTCGTAACCGAGGTCATCGTGTGACAGTTTGTATGCTGGGCATTGAACATGAGAATGAACTGCTGGAGAACTGCCGCAAGCAGCTGGAGGTGTTCAAGAAGATCGGTGGGCGCGTGCATCGATGGGAGGACCTTGCTGTGCGACTCTCGGCGTCAGACTTCAATCCTGACCTGGTGGTGGATGCACTGTTCGGTATCCATTTGGCTTTCGATGATCTCCGCACCGATGATCAAGCCACAGCTTTCGAGATGATTTCCTGGGCCAACCGAAGCAACCTGGGCGTCCTATCAGTAGATGTTCCTTCCGGTTTGTCTGCTTCCAATGGTAAGAACTGGCTCCTCGTGTTTACATATTTCGTGACTGACTTTCTGTGTTGCAGGTGAGGAAACCATGGTCGATGGTGGTCGACTTTGTGTCGACTCGACCTCAGTAGTATGCCTTGGTGCACCCAAGACTGGGATACTACATGCTTTGCTTGCCCAGGAAGGCCCATCCTGGAAGCTTTCAGTGGCAGATATCGGCATACCTCAAATCGTTTGGCGGAAATACGGCACCCGACGACGACATGGAATTGACTTTGGTAATCGCTGGGTTGTTCCTCTGCGCTACCAGCCGTCATCTGCGTGAGGGCTTACTATATGGATGACGCCTTACGATCAACACTCATCTAATGACTTCTATAAATCATTGACGGCGTTACGGGCTTGGAAAAAGAGGATGCGGGTCGGCCTACTCGGAAAGTGAGATTGTTCCAATAGGACTCTTCGACAATATTGATGTATCATATGTAGTATTAGACGTTCGCACATTAATGTCATGTTGTTATTACTCAAGTCTATTGTTCCGTCTAGTTGTTTTTTGAGTTTTCTTTAATTCAACTGGTGTCGACTTAATGCAACCCGGTCTGATATATATCTAGGTATATTGTGCACATAGTTTCTGTTTCGCTCTAACGATCATTGCTAAAGAGACCATAAGCTTAACCGACGATGACGCAGCACATATTAAGGTATATTCTCGTATCCTTAGGATAACTTGAGTATTCGAGGATCGACCTCATCTATTGATGGATGGATCTTTGTGTCGGGGAGTTGCAACGTAAATCCATGACAAAACTTACGGAATTTTTACCACCACCCTAACCCAATATAGTTTAGCCAAGTCTGATACGATACGGCAATACATCATTCATGTCCAGGGCTTTAAAAGTTGCGACCTTTATCGCAAGACCATCATCCACGACTGCAGCATACATCAGCATCGTGATACTCCACCGCCAGGATGGGAAAAGGTTAGTGTGCAAACCGTATATGTCGCTGCCTGAAATCCAAAGCTAATCAAGCGTTCTACCTACAGGAACTGATAAATTATACGTATGAGATCTCGACCTCCATTCAATCGCGTCGGCCCAACCAAGCTGACTCTATTCACCACAGATCACACACTCGGAATGGGCATCGGAAGATGCCTTTTCTGCGAGCGCGGGAGCGGGAGTCGCAAAGGCGCGACGCGGGGGAGACACTGCGGCGTTCAAGCGTCTTCCGTTCAACTTTTGCTCCCTCTCTCTCCAACCGTTTGCGCATCCGGTCTGCACGCCGTCGGGCACGATCTTTGACCTCACAAACATCCTCCCCTGGATCAAGAAGCATGGAACGAACCCAGTAGACGGCAGTCCGCTGAAAAGCTCCGATCTCATCAAGCTGAAAATTGCGAAGAACGAGTCGGGCGAATACGTCGATCCGGTCACATACAAGGTGCTGACGGATAACACCCACATTGTCGCGCTGCGCAACACGGGAAATGTTTTTGCGTGGGACACGGTCGAGCGGTTGAATATCAAGGGCAAATTGTGGCGCGATCTGGTTACGGATGAAGAATTTGGTCGCAAAGATATCATTACATTGCAGGACCCTCAGAATGTCGAGTCGAGAAACTTGAGTTCGTTCAATTATCTCAAGGAGGGAGAAAGTGGAGTTCCGGACGACAAGGCAGAGTCGAGCAACGTCAACGTTAATGCGCTGGGGAGCTCTGCGAAGATCCTCAAAGCTAAAGAAGCTGTTGCAAAGGCACGATCGGAGAGAGCGCAACGGGCCGGCACTGGTGCGGTCGCGAAATCGAAAACCGACGGCGCATCCTTGACGTTATCTCAGAAGACTGGCTCATCGCAGTCAGGGAAACCGATCCCCTACAATGCCGCACGACACACCACCGGATTAGCTGCGGCATCGTTCACTAGCACTGGGATGACACCACATACCTCTGCGGAGCTGGCACTTCTCTCCGATGAAGAGTACATGCTGAAAAGAGGGCGTGTGAAACAAAAAGGCTATGCACGCATCTCGACCACCTCTGGCGACATTAATCTGGAGCTACATACGGAATACGCGCCGAAGGCTGTGTGGAATTTTATCAAACTCGCAAAGAAGGGTTACTACAAGGATGTTACATTCCATCGCAATATTCGCGGGTTTATGATCCAGGGTGGTGATCCGACTGGCACAGGCCGAGGGGGTGAAAGCATCTGGGGCAAGTACTTCAACGATGAATTCGAGGGCCCTCTGAAGCATGACTCCCGTGGAACGCTGAGTATGGCGAACAAAGGGAAAAACACCAACAGCAGCCAATTGTGAGCTTCCGCCCCTTGTCAATGGTTTTCCGAACTATTTGTGTACTAACTACTTTCATCAGCTTTATTGCGTATCGCGCGCTACCGCATTTAAACAACAAGCATACGATCTTCGGCCATGTCATTGATGACCCCACGCCATCATCTCCAACATTGAATAAACTGGAAACTCACCCTGTGAACTCATCGACGAATCGTCCTACACCAGATATCCGTATCCTCGACGTGACGGTCTTTGTCGACCCGTTTGAGGAGTTCCTGAAGCAGAAGCAGGCGGAAGAGACGCGTGGGAAGGCACCCGATCCCGGGGAGGAAGAGACGAATGCCCGACGAGCTGAAGACGACCAGGTGACTTGGACAGGCAAACGAGTTCGTGGCTCAACTGATGCGGACGACAGTTCCGGTGGAGGCGTTGGCAAGTATCTGAAGGCCGCGCTAGCAGATCGTGCAGGCCAAGAGGAAGACGAGATTGTTGAGTTTGTGGATGAACCGGAGCCGGAACCTGCGCGCAAGAAAGTCAAGGGCCGGGGAGGGTTTGGCGACTTCAGTTCTTGGGATTGAGCCTGGGGACTGGGGATGGGTTGCAGGCTTTGGATACGAAACCTCGTGTGGGGGTCATTGAAGCGGTTTGTATATTACGCTATCCTTCAGCAATTATTGGATGGGATACGCTATTGGTGACTATCTACATCAGCATCGCCTTGGGCACACTTGCTCTACCGGATGTGAAGCCATAAATGATACGTCATCTGGGGACAGTAGAGCACACCTACGGAGTACATAGGTAGAAAGAGATCCCACCCCCATCACGACCTCTGCATCTGCAGAAAAAGGAAGTCCAGCGGGGACCAAAAAGCAAAAACTGGATTGATGTGAAAGATGGATGTGGTCATGAAGGAACTCCCTAGACTATGCATGACTTCTCCTTTATACAGTCAAGTCCTAATCGAGACCACCTCCTGGCCTCACTAGTTCTTTGAGGCGGATCCACCAGTCTTCCTCCCAGGAAACAAGGGGAGCATTCGGAAAAAATCACGGTCCTGGGGATGCTGGGCAAGAGAAAACTCTTTCCGGGTTTAATGACCCCTTTGACTGGGCATTCTCGGCATTTGGACTGCTGGTTGTTGAGGGGGTTTAGTTCGAGAGGGTCCCAGTCTAGTGGGGGCAGTCTTATGTCAGGACACCCTCTTAGTCACCCGCCTAGCTTAAGTTAGTACTAGTAGGTTCAACAATACATGCTCCCCCATCGAACTGGACTGGACCTACTTCGTTTATCTATTCTACATCTTCTGCGATCCGATCGCCGATATTCCACCAGCCTTGCCCTCCGCTACAATCCTTCTTGATTCAGGTGTGACCTTTCTCAGGTCGAGCCTCTCCGTGAGTCCTTCTTCTCGTGCTTCCTCTCCCCAGTTTACGCACTCTGGTCCATCTCATCTGCGCGCTGTGGGGTTGGTTGGTTGTTCGATCACGACAGCAAGGCCAGGCCACACGCTGCCTGATTCACGGGAGGAAATCAGCCTGACGCTCATGCGGTCATTCGTATTTAAACCCTGAATCTGGCCAAGGCGATCGTCATTTCCCCTCTGATCTAAATCGACAAGTTGATCTTCTTGTCGACCGGTTTCATCATCACCTCACCCACCCCCAACCTGCACTTTCGTCATCCGACCATTGCTTGGATGGGAATCATCTGAATAGTCACTACTGCGCTCTCTTCACCTAGTCCATTGTTGGATGTGTCCTTCTCTTCTAGCGGACTGACATTTCCCTTTCATTCAGCTCCATCCCCTCGCTTCCGCCGCAATTCCTACCTACGTCAGTCCCCCGGTCCCGTCCGCTCTCCGCCGCCGCCGCCCTCGTCCTCCACCCTCTCTCCACGTTACTGGTTTTTTCCTGCCGACGTCGCGTCCACAATCAAGCTGGCAGGGAATAAGCGGAGAAGTTTTTCGAGCCAGGGTGGGTTGCTGAGCAGAATGTTCAGTGGCTCCTCGAGCCCACCCAAAGACAAACTAGATCCAATCCCCCAATCCAGTGCGGCGGCTGCCACGCCTTCCTTGAGCATACACACTGAAGAAAGTACGGTGCACCACAGCAAGTCTTTCCCGGGTGGCGGCTTCTTCAACCGTCGGACGAGCGAAGATCAAAGTCCCAACAGCGAGAAAAAACGTCGGAGTAGCACAGTGACCAAGGCGGCTACCTTCTTCACCAACGCCAAGAATTCGTTCAGCTTGAGCAGCAGTCCTCGCGAATCGTCCTCTGTCAACTTTGCCGCTCGACCATCGCCTACGCTACAATCGCTTGGGAGTATGGACCCGGCCTTGACTGTCCCACAAGGGTCGTTCAACAATTCCGCTGGTGAATCGTTACCCACGCCTCGTTCTTCCTTCAAAGTGGGTGTCACAGAAGACCGGAATCGAAAATGCCGTCGGACAATGGAAGATACCCATGCCTATCTGTACAATTTCCTAGGCACTCCTGCACCGGTCGCCCCCCTTGACGGCGGTAATCACGATGCCGCTCATTCTCCCCCCTCACCCACCTCGAGCAAAGTGGTGGAAACAGATAATGGTTACTTTGCCATATTTGATGGACACGCTGGCACCTTCGCCGCAGAATGGTGCGGAAAGAAGCTACACTTGATTCTGGAGGAAGTGATGCGAAAGAACCCTAATACCCCGGTTCCGGAACTTCTCGACCAGACGTTTACCAGCGTGGACCAGCAGCTGGAGAAGCTACCCGTGAAGAACAGTGGATGCACGGCTGTCATTGCTCTCCTGAGATGGGAAGACCGCATTCCAAGCTCAAGTTCGGCGACCGGTTCTGCCGCGCTTGCCCCCGCTGCGGCGGCCGCCGCAAAGGGTGACGCCAATTCGGATGCTGGGGATACCCCAACCCAAGCTACAGGTTCTTTACTCCCAAAGCTCCAGGAAAAGGCTGTCCGTCAACGTGTTCTGTACACCGCCAATGTCGGCGATGCCCGAATTATTCTATGTCGCAACGGCAAGGCTCTTCGTTTGTCTTACGACCATAAAGGCAGCGACGAAAACGAGGGCAAGCGGATAGCCAATGCGGGTGGGTTGATCCTCAACAACCGGGTCAACGGAGTCCTCGCCGTCACCCGTGCTCTAGGTGATGCGTACCTTAAGGATCTTGTAACAGGACACCCTTACACTACCGAAACGGTGATTCAGCCGGATTCGGACGAATTCATAATATTGGCCTGCGACGGAGTAAGTCTGATGAACGACCCAATAATGAGTGTCGCGCTCGATGCTAACAAAATCGACAGCTATGGGATGTTTGTAGCGACCAGGAAGCCGTGGATCTGGTTCGCAATGTTGCCGACGCTCAGGAAGCATCCAAGATTTTGGTCGACCACGCCCTTGCTCGGTTTAGTACCGATAATCTCTCCTGCATGGTCATCCGATTCGACTCGGAGCGGGTCAAAGGCGTGGTCAATCGAACCGCTGAGCCCATCGGCGTCGATGGTGACATGGACATTGAGCACGGTGTCAGCGAGGCGGACAAGATCGTCGAAGGAGCTCGAAAGAGCATGGCCAATGCCGGCATCACAGATGAGTCGGAAGCCGAGAAGGTGAAGGACGAAATCTTGCACAAAATGGCGAACGATGAGCCCGGGCCGGAACTCGCAGTCAACGAGCTAGGTGATGCGCCAGTCGAGTCACCGTTGAGTGGCAAGAATGATCAAAAGAATTGACCTTCACGGACGAGTCGTCTTCGTCTCTAAATCTTCGGAAGAAATATAGAAAGCTACACCCCCATCTGGATTCAGACCAATGCAGTTGTTTGATTTCCGCATCTTTCGTTTCTTGTCTTGTATCTTCGCAAATTACAGGCGTTGATCGCGAATGGCAAAGTCCATCTTTCATTTTAAGGGATTGGAGCCCTGGTGGTGTCTGGCATCGGTCTGCACCAGCATACTGAGGTGCACTCTTCTTTTCCTTGTTACACCTTTTCAACCCGGGGCATGTGGGCTTCCCTCTGTTTTCGTTTCTACATTTCTTTCATCTATCGTGGCAATAGCCGGTACTCTTGTATTGCTACACAACCTACTTCGAATGTAAATTTCTGGGCCTGTCGGATCTTCCTCGAAGCTGATCTTCAGAACTTATATGTTATCTAAACGCCTTGAATCATGTCCAGCGCACAAATACCGGAGGTAGTATCTAAAAATACAAAGTTGTATAACACAGAAGCTGGAGGGAAAACATATGCACACAGGGTTGCGTCCTAAGTTCAAACAGGTGTGGTGTTGGTTTAGGCCTGCTTCTCCTTGAAGGGCTCATCGGCCAGCACCTCCACACCATAGATCGGCTTCTGGCCGGGCATGACATGGTCCCGAGAAAGCTCGAGCTCGCCATGGCGGACACGCTCAGGCCAAGATTCGGCGAAACGAGCGTCCTGAATATCAGTCCAAAGGACCTTGACGCCATTTTCCTTCAAGATGGCATCCGTGGGATCCTCAATTTCCTGGACCTTGTATTCGACCTGGGGGTTGCTCAGCGTCTCCTCAAAGTTGGCGACCCGCTCGGCTTGCTCAGCGGCCTTGGCCGCCTCCTTGAGGCGAGCCTCCCGCCGACGCCGTCTGGCAGTGCGGGTCAAGTAACCCCGTTTGCCGTCGGCAAAGCCGTTCTTCAGCTCCTCCTCCTGGATGGCCAGCACCGCCGAGACATCCGCCACGCTGGTGGCCTTCTGGTCCATCAGGGCGCGGGCACGGTCCTTCTTCTCCATCAGCCAGCCAACCTTGTCGCCGTACTTCTCGTCGAACTTTTCGGCTTCTTGCGGATCCTTCGGGCGCTTCTGAGCGAGAAAGCGTTCGCTGATGGTGATCATCTCCCGAGGGGGGGAGAGCTGGCGTTGCATGGCGAACTCGCGGAGCAGGTGGTACGCGCGCAGACCGATTTTGGAATCGTTGAAGTGCACGGAGAAGTAGGGAACCCACATATCTTTGCGGAGGGTGGCCGGGACGGTCTTTTTGCCGTGGTAGACTAGCTGGCGGAGGACATTGTTTTTCTATCACGGGGACAGTTAGTGGCTGGACATATCGAGGAATCGGAATCGATGGAAAATCAAGACCACGCACCTCCAGATACCGCGTCAGAGAATAAACCACCTGGTTGGTACGGATGTTGTGATAGGCAAAGATGTTCTTGCCATGGGTCAGGGCGTTGATGGCCTTCCGTAACCGGACTCCTTCCTTGAACTGATGTGTTTTGAAAGCATTTGAATTCTGTTCTCGCGGCTTATCCTGGATCACGGTGTGGTTCTCGACAGGCGGACGACGGACGATGTTCCAGGTCCCGATCTTGGTCGGGTCCAGGATCTTCTGGAAGCGCTTGGACACCGATTGGGAGGCCATTGCGGCCGGAAATGCAGGGCGACGCCGCTTCTATGGGTGAATGGGAGTCGATTGGAGTCGGAATAGAGCGCGGGGGGACACTCTATTGCATCGCGATGGACGGAGGTGCTGGTGGTGGTGATAGTTGATGGGATGGTGAAGGTTGACGGAGCGAGCGCGGATCAATTTTTCGACCGCCGACCCAAAACGGGAGAGGCCGCCCGCACTTCCGCAGTCCAACCTTATCCACCTTGCTCTCTCTCCTTAATTCCCTCCCATCCTCGCCCCGTTCTGTCTCTCTCCCCGTCTTCTACAAGGAATTCTTCGTCCCAGGGATCCATCAGTAATGACTCGATAAAGTACCGTCCTTCCCGACTGCCGCAATGTCGCTGACGGTCAATGCCGCGGACGGCGTGGACAACAATGACGATGATGCGGGCCGTCGTCGCGAAAGACCCTGGCTTCTCCCATCGGTAATGCATCTCAACCAGCGGGATTATATGTGGCTACTCTGTAGAATTGGCTCTAATCCTTGTCATCATTAGAATCGCAAGCTCCGCCATCTCCAGGGCATCTCCGTCCGTAATCTTGCTGTCACTCCTTTGAGCCGGGCTCGTGGGAAGACCATCGACGATGAGGACATCCCCAACTCATTCCAGTCGCCATCCAAGCTGCTAGCGAATGATGCGAATCGTTCTCTACAACAGTCCAGATCCTTCACCAATCTCAAAGCCCCCGGCGCGGCCGGCGAGAGCCGCACGCGCAATGAACCGCCGCCGCCGCAGAAGACCCGACCACAGACCCGGCGCAACACCTTGCCATGGAGCGATCCCAACCCACTAGCCAGACAGATCAAATTGGAAGACATCTTGAAGGGTCGCATGGCCGATACGTGGTTTTCGTTACATTGCGAGGGGATCACGGATCCCGTCTACATTAGCGAAGTGGTGGAGAATGCGACAAATCCCAACTTCAGGTCGTTCGATCTGAACATATGTGGACCTCTCGTGACGCGACTGAACAATTTGACCCTCAAGCTCTGGGCGAAAAGCGTAGCAATGGAGGATTACCTGCTGTTAGTGGAACTGCAGCTGAATCTGCAGTCGCTTCAGTTCCTCGGCAAGTCGCTGGATAGCTTTCACCAACCGCTACCCCCCAATTCCATCCTGTTTCATTTTCCAGATGGTGTGTACACTAATCTGACCGACATCCCGCCGGTTTGGACGCCCCTACCTGCAAAGAGTCCTAAATCCTCTGATGCGCATACTTTGCCCACCTCGTCCTACGATATGTTGATGCGGCTGGCGAATCTGGACGAGTGCATCCAAGATGCACTCACGACGCGGGAAAAGCTTGAAGCTCAAATCAGTTCAGTCTTGGAAAAGAATCAACAAGCCCTCGCGATTATCAGCGACGCGGCGCGGGCTCGCGATAAGCTCGCGCTCACCAATCATGCAGTGGCTTCCGAAAAGAAACAGCTTCGCATGGCCGCGAAACGGAAAGAAGAGCTGCTGGCTAGCATTCGGACGCGGAAGGCTGCAATGGAGCGCGGACGCGAGGCCCAAGACCGGGCCCGCAGTCATCTGCCCGATGCGCAGCAGAACCTCGGCTCCAGCCAAAAGCTGCTGGAGCAGAATACAGAGGAGGCGAAGGGGCAGATCCGGCGCATATCTGAGGACTTGCTCGCAGTATACCCCATTGAGCCGATACCTGACAAGCCACTTGCGTTTACAATTGCCGGTCTGGCTCTCCCCAACTCGAACTTTACCGATATCGACCGGGATGCGGTGGCCGCTGCGCTGGGGTACACGGCCCATCTAGTCTATTTGCTTTCTTTTTACCTGTCTGTTGCCATACCATACCCGATCAATCCTCATCTCTCCCACTCAATCATTCAGGACCCGGTGTCTGCCTCACTTCCTCAACGAACTTATCCTCTCTATCCTGTTAATGTCACATACCGGTTCGAGTACGGCGTGTTCCTGCTGAACAAGAATATCGAGTTCTTGCTGAACAAGCAAGGTTTACGCGTGCTGGACATCCGTCACACCCTCCCGAACTTGAAGTATCTCCTGTACGTCCTCACTGCGGGGACATCAGAGGTCCCCGCGCGAAAGGCCGGTGGCATCCGCGGCCTCCTCCCAGGCCGTCTGACACCCAGTCTATCGCGGCGGGGAAGCGCGGACAGCACTGAGTCCTTCTTTTCCCGGAAAGTCCTACACTCGATATCGAAATCCAATGGCGATATCACCCCGGACAAGGGGAAGAAGACTGTCCCTCCTTTTGCCAATGGGTCTCCGTCGTCCCAAGTGGTCTGAATAACATGTATTGTATAATGACACTGCCTACTTGTTTTATGGCCCTTTTTGGCATTGGCTAGCGTTTGATTATACCTCGTCTCGCATGGTGTTCATATGTACCGCTTTGAGAGTTAAAGATGGATATATGTACTTGATTCTCAAGGACGGTAGATGGCCTACTCTCGGGCACACCACGGAAGCTGGAGTACAGTATATATCTCCATGGTCGCCTAACCCTTGCCATTCTTTCTCGCCATTGTGACGGTCATTTACTTCTGCGGCCTCTTCATCCGGCTACACCTATCCCTTCCTGTGCGGCTACGTTCTTCCTTACGCGCCTCGTCACAGATCATAAAGAGCCCTTCCGAAAGCGTCCTGCCGCCTATACCAGAGCTTCTCTGTTCTATCGATAATGCTCCATCTGTACCAGAAACTGTGTGGCGCGAAGGTAGCTGATTTTCTCTGCCCGATAAACATGAGAGAACCTCGCAACCAGTGACTCTGCCGAGTTCCTTGGAGGTCTTTCTTATCTTTAGCTAGGATCCGGTGCCCTGTATGTCTCCGTGCTCTACCGTTGATTCAGAGTATCTCCTTATCGCTTACTGAGTCAGCGTCAGCGTTGCCAGGTCTCCACCACCATCTGCTGCAGCACAGCAGCGTGCTCCAGCACGCTAATTCACCAACGCCATCCAGACTTGGGAAGAGGAATGTACTAGGCAACAGGAAGAAGGGTCCACGTGGACTTAAAGAATACGCGGATCTTGGGAAACTGAGAATGATCGGTATACCTAAGTACAGCAATGACAAGTTGTGAACATACAATGGAGCGGCAGTTATCCACGTCAGCTCGCAACCTATATCGAGATCTCGTCCGATTGAATCTGTCATGACCGTAGTCATCCCTGAGAAGATGGCGGATTGCGCAAGGCGAACGTCACCGTCAGGACAAATAGGCATTCGGTGATGGTACTAGAGAAGCAGTCAGGACGAGGAACATCTGTCTTCTCGATGTTTCGAGCATTTATGCAGCCTTATTGGTCTCCAGTGAAGAGATAACATGTGCCTGTGTTGCCTTGCGGTTGTCCAAGCTCACTGAGAAGGCCCGATCGATAGAGCTACTGGCCACTGTGCCACTGTCATTTATGCCACCGAAGGCTTTACGACTGCCACGTTGATGCGGGGGCTTCTGAACCGTTAGATAAGAAGGTGTCTCACAGCAGGTTGTCTATCGGTCACGCTGCAGATCGTATCCTTCTTCCTTCTATGGGATGTGAACAGCCAGCGTCCACGCATCCTGTGAGCATTCCGGTATTTAGAACCTCCAATCCCCATCATCGATACCCGGAAATACCTCATTTAATTGGAACATTGGAGCTCAGATCGCTTAACTTCGGCTTGGGCGACCCTGGAGCGTTGGGAATCTCCCAGCCTGCCACATGATTGCGCGAGCCTGGATTGCGCAGAACAAATGGTATTCCGCAGGTTATGCGAAGCATAGTAATCACCTTTATGGCACGGGAGCGATTTCTCAGAGGGACATTTTGTTCGCGCCATGTCCTACAGCTGAGCCTAGGGTTAAAGAGGTTCCGACTATGGTATACAATCTGTCCACCCAAGGGACTACTACATGGTGCATGATGGAGATCACACTGTTACCGATAAAACTGGTCCTTATAGCCCTGTCCTGCTGGATGTCGAGATAGGGATCACCGACCTCACCAGCAACTATGGAGTGTTGTCGCTATCCCGGTCACAAACAGCCATTGCTGTCATCGGAGTCTCCGTTCGGTCCCCCAGGTGCGTCCACACAGACCCACCAGGTACTATCCGGCAAGTAACGCATAGCGTTGGTGTAGATATCGCAGCTCAGGATTCCCAACTTTTGCCGCTGGTGCCTGGGTGTTGCAAATCAAGGTTCTCATCTAAAATTGAGGCATAGTCACACACGGCATCCTTGACCTTTACATTTGTCAATGAATCTGGCATCAGAGATTTGATGGGTCTTTCCAGTCAGCAACAAAAGAACCGTTATCGAAAGAGGCTCCCCGGTTCACATAGATCCCTTCTCAGTATTGCTGCACTAATGACACATTGAAATAGATGTGGTAGACACCATTGGGTGTTATGGTCGGGGTGCTCGAGGTCTGGGTACTGGTCGATGTAGGAGTTACTCCAGACCACCGTGTGGCGTCCCAGGCGTCTCGCTGACTAGAAATACTGCTGGAAATGGAGGACTGAACCGAAGTCGGCTCTACCGCCCTTGCAATGTACATGAAACTGTTGGTGAAAGTAGATATGGATTCCGTTGTGCTGATGGTGGCGTTGTTGTTGAGCGGGTGACGGAGCATCCTTCAGTAATGCCACACTCGGTCTAGGGTGACAGTCAGTATGCGTATGCCACATGATAGCTGCGAGATTGCCGACTGACCGTTGGTGTTGTCGAGGAGGAGGCCATCCCCGTGGTCGAAAAGCTCCGTACAAACTCTGTGCAGATACTAGCTGTAACCATTGAGCTGCAGTCATCGGCTGCGTCTTCGGGATGATTCTGATTGAGACCGGTTGCACCAGTTCCCCCGCCACCACCTTCAACGATACACGAGCCTGAACCACGGCAAGCCATCAGCTATCACCGAGGAAAGGAGTTCTAAGACTACCAAGATTATTAGGTCCCCTTTCGGAAACGGAAGGCTTCAGAGAGACCCAGTGGCGGTGGTAGGAGGGTGGACCCCGCTAAACCGACCTCTGTATGCCCACACAACCCTCAAATTCCCATTTTCAAGAGCTCTACCGTCTGGTTTGGACTTCCGCCTCTTCCACACCCGGACGCATCTTCAAAATGTATTCTGATGAAGCGAAAACCAAACCCTGTCTTCGAAACATACCCTTCGACTCAGAGGGAGACGTCAGTCAACTCCCAGAAACCGGTGTCCTTAGCATTCTTCAGTTCACTCTCCATCCTGGTGTCGACCTTCTACAACCATTACAACCAGTATCATCTCTATGGCGCGACTCCTTAGAATTTATCTCTACGATCTCCGGCTTTCAGGGGCTCTACTGGGCGCTAGTGAGCCAAGACACTGTCTATCAACAAATCATCATTATCCTAATCCAATGGGAGAATGGTCTAGCCTGGCGACGATTTCAATGTTCGATAGGGTTTAGCATGTTGCTAGGATATCTAGCGGAATCGTTTAACCGGTGTATAGAACTGTCTCTTCCTACCGGCCTGTCTAGCTCGAAGTCTCTTCTCGAATTAGTCTCTTATCGATACCCACCGCGACTATCCTCTACTGGCCTAAGGTCCTCCGAGGTTGAGGAAGAAAAGCAGAGATTCAAAGAAGTCTGGGGAGTATCAGTCCTTCCTCTTGCAAGTATTACCCCATCCCAGTCTGGGCGTATCTTTGCTTTCGGGGGCTGGCTGCAGCGGGATAGCCCTTTGGAAGACCAGATCTTTATCGGTCTGCTCTTTTGGGGAGACACGCAACCAGGCAGACAGCAAGACCAGACTGCCTTTGATGTTGTCACAAGGCTGAATGAGCTATCAAAGGATGCGACTTCCGTCGTCTCATGTATCACGATGCCACTTTGCTATATACCAACTGGTTATTCTGGGGCAAAGAAACCCACAAAACCTTCTACTGACTCCCCGCCATGGAAGCATCCTCTATTGAAGGTGAACGTCACGCCAATATATGAACCAACCGAATCCACTGGCCCGGGTTACGCAGATCAGGTCCATCTAAAAAGTGTTACAGAAGCGAAAGCGGTTTCTACGACATGCATATCAGCTGGGCCAGCGGGTCGTTGGTATTGCATGGGACTGTTAAGCCAGCATTATATGCCAAAGCGGCCAGAATTTACACCTAAAGCTACTTTGGAGCTAATAACCTTTCGTGTCAGGAGTGGTACCTCCATAGCAGGGGCTTTCAAAGACCTGCGACTTAGGCTGTGGAACTTAGCCCAGGACTCTGAAGTCCGTTGGGGAATTGATCATGAGAATGTTGGATGGTATACCCGATACTCTTTATTGATAAGTAGGGGACTCTTCACGTTAAATGGGGACCGATTACTGATGGTTTTATCATATAGACCCGCGCGGCGTGCAGCTAAACAATGAGATCCAGGCAGAATTCCAAAATCTCATCCATGAATTTGCTCGCCAATGTGGGGATAAAATATTCGACATGTCACAACGGAAGATCCGCGGTCCAAGTGAATTACGTCTTGTAAAGGATCTTGAGATATCGACCTTTTATATCCCAGCAAATGACTATGACATGGTCTCTTTTGAATATGCGTATACACTCTATATCGGGTATAGTCCTCCCATCGAGAGCCAAAAGACATTACCGCTAATATAATATGATTTAGATCATCATTCGCCCAGCTTAGAGATGGAATATCCTTGATCGAAACACCAGCTGCACGACCAACAGCACACGGCTGGGCTATAGAAAACAACCTTCAATCTGACCCTAAAACCGTGCCTTTTACTTCTGTGTTTAGCTGGAAGAGCCAGGCCGCTCGACAGGAGTGGTACGGCGATTATGCAAGACGGGCTCGAGCGGAGTTCAACCGGCTGGGACATATAATAGACTGGTTGCAGACCCTATGCAAGCGCGTTGATATTCAATTCCTACTTCTGGAGGAAGAGGACAGCGAGATCAGCGAGGCGATATTGAAGTCAATGATGCAGAACCTGTCGCAGCCACACAAGCCTGTATTCACACTGTGGTAGCCTGGGTGCCTTCCATGATGGTCTTGGGGTACGGAAATGAAGTAAAAGATATCTTTCATGGTCTCTATGTAGTGGTCATATAGGTCCTTCAGTTCCTCGGCGTAAAGCTCCCTCTCCATTCAAATCAATGTCAATGCCAAGTCTTGTGTGTTTTCGGATCTGCTGTTCATCACTTGAACCCAGACGGCTCTGCATTGTAGAACTGCCTAGCGAGATTCCGGTCCTTTCATTGACCTGCGTGTCATCGCTATCGATATCACTGATGGAATTGTTATCACGAGGAGCAGGCTCAGAGCCAATGTATAAGTGAAATGCGTCTGCCTGCTCATATACATTATTTTATCCAGCATTCATGCACCGGACATGTGGTAATAACTGAAATGTGATGTCGTATAAATGGCTATTTCCGGAATGCACTTACACTGCAGAGCCAGCAACCCCTGCGCCATACTATGAGTCACTGGGTAGCGCATATTTTTTGGAGTGTTTCCGCCATACATCTCAAGGGAATGAAAAATAGGGACATTTTTTCGGAGGAGTAGCACAGTGAGGAGTGGAAGGAGTGAAGAACGGAAAAATTGAGAGAAAATTTTACGGTCAGAGCTCAGGGTCTATATCAGGCCACTCAAAGCACTGCGAGTGGTGCAAGGTCATTATTTTATGGAAGCCAGCCGTCGTGAGAGGTAGCAGCACATCAGGCTCCTATGTCGATTTCTTTAGGAAAGGAACGTATCATTAAGTATTAAGATCCGAATAATAACATCAATAGAACCGAGGGATATTAGTATCTTAGTGCGCCCTAAGTTAGCCGGATTTATAGGGACTAGTCGGACCAATTTCAGCCTACGTATGTCTTGACACATGCGGATACCAGCTAGACGGGTGAAAAGCGCCGAAGAGGGATGTAAGCAAGGACATCCTCCGCCGATATAGGTCTCCTGTTGATGAAAATATTATTTTAGTGAAGAATTATAGCTATAATATTAGTTCTTTAGAGAATAAGAAACAACTATGACGAGAAATTCTATAATCCACATGCAAATAATAATAGTAGTATTCTAGATCCCTTTGTTGCATACTCTAAAGCTTACTTACACCCACCCTACTCTGTGTATATAATATTATTGCCCTCGTCGTAGGGCGTATTTCGATTGCTTGATTCTTGCTTGGAGTGCTGTAGACAGCATTGATTCCACCACGCATCAATAGGGTGTGCAAATGGCAAGTAGGCAAAGTGCGAAGCCAGAGTCTGGTGCCCTAGAGCCGATTAAGCGAATTTTATGGGAGATCACTTTTACAACAAGCAGCAGTAGCATGTTTCTACGCAATCTATTTCTAGGTTAGGTTAGATTTGGGTTGAGTTTCTTGGGTGACCCAGCCAAGTCTAACCTAGCCTAACCTACCTTAATCTCGTTCTGATGCGTAATTCCCTAGCCTGGCCAAGCCATTACAGAAATGGCTGGCTGGATGGCCAAAGACCACGGCAAGGCCGTCGCCCAGCGTTAGGGGGATCCCTGCTCCTTTATCACATGGTGGTGTCTCCGTCGGCCCTGTCTACGCGGTGCGGCACTTCCCTCTTACTACTTACAACGGTATGTGGCTGCGGCTTACGGCGTCCGGCTACTCCAAACGAGACTCATTGGTGCACCGTTGCAGGTCTCTCATCCTGGCGCATCTGGGCCAGTGCACGCGTACTCCATTGGATGGACACGCCTGCGGGGAGTTCGTTGCCTGTCTCCCATGCACAGGGTGTTTGCAACCTAAGGCTGAGACATCGGGCATGCCGAGCGTACTCGGTGGGTTGATTAGAAGCATGGATCTTAATCTTGAACTTTTTTCGACTTGCGTCGCGGATAAGCATGGATCACATGGGTTTTTCCCTCCACAGTGTTTTATTCGAAGTGCTGGTTCACACAGCAGATAAGTTAAAAGACTGACGCTGGCTTGCCTGCTGAGACAGGAACCCCCCGTGTTGGAACCCAAGCACAAAACCAACGACACCTTGCTCTTAAACCAGGTCCCGCGAAAATCCAAGGACCGTCAAAGTCATGACAATCCTCAACAACCGCGCCTACTACCTCGTGAACCACAAATACAGGTCCAAAGTATTCTACTCGATTAACCAGAACACCTTGTTCGGCCTCCACAGGCCCAGCTGGGCTCTGGCCTCAAGCCAGGCCCTGATCGCCTATGTAGCGCCCGTAACCGGGCATCTCACCTTCACCATGGGCGATCGATACCTTACTCTCACGGGCACCGGTGCACCAAGGCTTGTGCTCGCGCCGGATCCGCGCCGGAACGGCGGGCCAGACATCAGTGATGATTACCAGTACTGGAAGCTTGTCTCAATGCATGATGACTCTGGAAAAAGGTTGGAAAATATTTTCTCTCTCTCTCTCTTTCTCTCTCTCTATGTGTGTGTGCGCTCTTTCGTGCGGATATTTTTTTTTACCTAGGCTAATAGTACTTTTTGTGCACTTGCATCAATCCAGCGGCCTGCAAATCCAAAACGTCGAGACGGGGGGTTGGCTAGAGGTCACGAACTCCGGGACACGGGTCCAGTGTGGGATGACGGAAGTCGGTAGCGAGACGATCTGGGATCTTGTCTTGCTTCCTACGCCATCGGCCCTGCTTCAAGGGTTGGCGGGCACAGGGGCGGCTTCTCGTGGTGGCTCTAGCCGCTCGTCGCGCCCTCGCGGGCGACGAGATGACGATGAGGATACGAGGGAAGACTCTGATTCCTCTATATTGGAGTATAGTGATGACTCTTGTGACGATGGGTGGACGATTAGGGCAGACCCCGTTGTGAGGCATCGAGACGGCCTGGCGCATCAGGACATTACCATGCGCAAATGCTGATACCCGAGTAAGCTGGTCGCGGTGAATAAGTCCAACGTGGTGGAGCGCAGCCCGGTAGCCATTTTGACTCGCGCGGCTGCAGAGCCACATAGTGACATGCAGTGCCTTGGAGGTGACCCTTTAGAAATCCGACAAAGCCTCCGTCCTGGAAACTTTTACCGACAGGATTAATACATGGTGCCGTTAGTAGGGTTAATGAACAGACAGACAAACTAACGCAAATTGGCGACAGGCTATCTTTTGAACTACTGGTTGTGCTGATGGAGAGTGGCATATATTCTAGCAAGTTCGGAGTATCCAATCCCGGCCGGGATAGAAAACACCATCAGCATGATACCCGTAAATTCCAGGTCAATTTTCTGCTGCCGACAGGTTGTTTGATCTTCATTTTGTTCTAAGGTCCTGTCAGCAGGAGATCCTCCGTAGATGTGGCTGGCTGAAGCCGTGTTCAGGCAGCGGATATTAGCACATGCGAGAGCACTAGCCCCGGTCTCTGTCCCCAGATGTCATAAGAGCAATCAGACTACCACAATAAACTCTTCCTATACGGTTGAGTGTCGGTTCAGCGTGGTTTGATCAATAGGAATTAGAGGTAGTTGTGGTGGCTGGCTGTGACCAGGGCGCGCACGACAGCCCGTCAGCACCGGCATGCATGTTGCATTGTTTGCTACCAGTACATTTCACGGCCCAATAATACTTCACACACTCCGGACAGGTTCATAGCCAGTTTGCGGGGGGTTGCATGTCAGGTTCGTGAGTGAGAAGTATCGTGCCAGGAATCTGACCGTCTGACAGCTGGCAGGTCCATAGTGGAGGAGTTCGTGCTGGCTCCTTTTGCGAAGGATCCGGTTCCTGGTCTCTGATCATGAATCTGATACGCGGACGGAGCATTCCTTTTTAATCATCGGGTACTTGCACTCAGCCGAAGAGAGTTTAGAGCAGTGTTTTGATACCCTTTTGAATGGTGTCGGCCCGCTCATGCATACAGCAAATGTCTTCCGGAAGATTTTATAATAGATGCACACCTCGCAGTGACTTTTCTATCACTCCCCTCCACGCGACCTTGAGCTCAACCTCTCCAACATGCCCTGGTTTCCAAGCAACAGAAGTCCGCCTGAGGAGGGCTGGCGCTTTGACATCATATCTCTCGTGGCGGTGGTTGGGGGTTCCACGGTTGCAAAGCACAGACAGGCCATCACTGCTTCACGATTCGGGAACATCCCGCGCCTTATGCCAGCGCCTGACACTTTCCTCGACACTGATCGACCAGTTCGGTTACCCTCCGTCGGCGGCATCGATATATTTGGTGTGCACTCGGGCAACCACTTCACTGAATTGAATTTCTTCGCCGATGTTATCCACAATACCCAGTCACTCAAACGCTACGAGTTTCTCGCCTACGAGATCACATACCGACAGCGTGATGAAGAAAACCCTTCAAATACCGACGGAGACAAAGCGAACAACAAGGGTCAGCGTGCTAGCATCCCACAACACCCGTTCTCCTTCTTGAATATGGTGACGGTCGTCTCAATCGGGATGACGGTGGGTCTATTTATTTGGGCGGCTCTCATCCACGATGGAGTCGCTCTGCTCGGAATAGGGACTATGTCTCTATCCACAAGTACGGCCTGTCTATCGGGACGATGGCGTCCGACGCTCACGGTACGACCTACTGGCGCGAAGGTTCCCCCCGGTGACGTTGTGATCAAAACTCGCGGTGGAGCATTTATAGTAGTCCGCTGTGCAGAGGAGATTGCACGCGAGCTGTATGGGGGGATCGAAACGTGTGACTACGTCTATGAAGGCACTGAGCATCAGCTTCTCCTGGCGTGCAGTACTATTCTCCTCCTTGCATCCATCCTCTTCCTTAGCAACTCCGGCTGGACTATGCAACTTGCGATCGGTTTGGCGTACATTATTCTAAATGTGCTGTACTGGGTCATGTCGCTGATCACTACCCCGGAAAAAATTTGGGATACTGCAAGGTATAACGTGAAATTGTTGAAAGCCACACCTCCACATGGGGTCCAAAAGAGATGTGGGAAGCGAAAGGAGGTGGAGCTAGACATGAGCGAGAGACGATATGCGACGAAAGATACGGAGTTAGTCAAGCCCAAGAAAAGAGAAGGAGAAGAAGATGGTGAACTCAGCTTCACCGAGACTCTGTGGTGGGCAATCGAAGCGACTGGAGAAATCGACTGGGTTCGGAAACACAAGATAGCTCCAGACACCCCAAACTGGGACGGATGGCTACAAGAGGCAAAAGCGAATTCTAAAAACCCAGATTGGGATGCAGTTGAAGCGAAGGATCGGTGGATGGTGAAGGAACTGCGAAAAACTTCGACAGAGGTAGAGGAAATCAAATAAGTCCATTACTGCTTTCAAACTATTTCCAAGGGAGCACAATGGTCTCCAGTATTTCAGGACGCTCTCGGAAACTATTCCCCTTGATCACATCCTGTACAAATGATAGATCTCGCGCTACTACAATGCCTGGAGTTCCCGGTTGCGGCTTCGCATCGGCAAGAACCAAAGACAAAAATCGCATGAAAGCAGTCAAGGCGCGAGTGATGCTCTCTTCGGATTGATCGACTGTATTTCTCAGGGCCGCCGCTAAGAGCCCAGGTGCGTAGTAGGGTATGATCGCCACACCATCGTCAATCCCGTCCACGACGAGCCCGTCTACTAGGGCTTTTTTGTTCGAAGAGGGCATCCGGTCGAAAGCCAGTCTAAAAATCCGAGCCTCTTTCGGACTGCTGACCCGTCCCATGCAAAGCAGTCGAAGGAGGGCCCGCTCCTCGTCATTCTCTGCCGTTGGTGATAGGAGTACGAACCCCTGCTGGTGAAGGAACTGCGCCCGAGCGCCCAGAATACGATCATAGCACGCACGTGGTGAAGGAATTTGACCATCAGCTAATCCCACTAGCGCGGTGATTGTGGTTTCATAGGTCTGGAACACTGTCTCTATCATCACAACGCAACCGCGAGTGTCGATGTGACCCGCTGCGCCGGCGACGTCGAGAAAGGTCACCATCACTCGGAGGTTGAATCCTCCTCGTTCATGATCCTGTAAGTGTGACAGGGTCGCCAGGCTTCCTGCGGGACTCTCCCCTTGTGCGACTTGGGAAATATTAAGCGACGAACCGATCCGGAGACAAGCGAAGAGGTCGTTCCGGTTGCTGTCTGAACCCATTTGGTTGACTGCAGTGATGACCCCTGCCCGTGCTGCATGGAAAACCACCTCCGAATGATCCGCGTCATGATTATCTCCAGTCTTCTTCCTGACTTCTTCACCAAGACCAGGGTCTTTGCCAATATCGTCAACGATCACTGCGGTCAGCAGCGTTTGTAAGTCTTCCGTGGTCTGAACCCGATGGACAAAGAACTCCCTTAATCGTTGGAACGAAGTCTCTGTCAATCGATGGCTGCTATCTTGGCCCGTGGTAAATGTCTCGTAATCGTTTGCAAAAAGCCATCTGAGGGCGAGCATGCTGACCAGTGTTCGGTTGACTTCTGCGAAGTTGACGCCGAATAACACCGTCGAGGGAGTCAGGTTCCCATCTGTTCCGAGACAACCCAACGACATCATTCCCCCTGTCGATTCGACGGTGGGGCATGCGTTCTTGAGATGTGATAACTCGGATGGAAACACTTTACCGAATAAGTGGATGGCTTCGAGGTCAGACATTCGACTGAATTCCGCCAGCCCGACGGGCCTCAAAAATTGCATTGTGCAATTTCACACCATTAACTCTCCAAACAAAACAGAGAAGTCGAGCCTGCTAGAAATTTATGATGGCCACAGAGTGGCTTCGCTGAGCTTTATAGAATAGTCGCCTGAGCCTGTACAACCGCCGAAGAGGGGGTGATGCCATGTACCTCCAGGATATCTTGGGTGTTCCGAGACTGCCCAAAACCCCCAATTCCCTGACCGAGAAGCGTTGTCCCCGCCATCTTCGGTCAAATATGTCTCCATAGGGTTTAAATAACGCGCCCTAATTGTTAGCTAGTTGCATCATGCAGTCGTAGGGGAGCAGTGTTGCGGCCTTTTCGAGCCTGCAACGACTTTCACAACCCACCTCGGGAACTGTATCAGCGAGTGGCTTCACCTGCATTGTGACAACAATCTCCCTACAGACACCTAGGCAACTATGCACGGATTTTCCTGGTTAATGCAGAGGCAGAATACTGGTGGACGTGCAGTTACAAGTCCTGTTGGCTGACATAGAGCCGGGAATCACAGCAAGCCACTCCGTATGTCGTTGGCGTACACGTATGCTGCCCATACCACGGTGATATGGTGAGATTTTAGCGCCTTTTAGATGGAGCAGTACTCAACTGACTACTTAGATTGATGTAATGCTGCCATCTCAAGGGTGAGTCGGCACAGAAGATAAGGCACCAACATGGCCGAAAATTTATGTTCAAAATGTAGGAAGATTCCTCGACCACGGTATTTCACGAGGAATTCAAACTTCCCCTCGCAGCATATAGGGACAAGGGAGCGGATTCAGAAGAATAAAGCGTCGTGCTCTTTATGCCGCCTTGTCTCTCATGCTCTGTTCGACGGTCCTGTGCGGTATCCCGGAACTGACAAGTGGAAAGTCGGAGTGATTTGGGATGGGACCTACTACTACTTTAGCACTGGCTTCAACGAACCGGATGTCCGAATCGGTGTTATACAAGAAGAGAATCAACCACTATCACCAGCAAACTATGCTAGAGCCATCACTGACCCACGAGTCTCCTTTAGCCTCATCCAGTCATGGTTGGATCTATGCGAACAGCATCATCAGCAAGGCTCTGAGCTGCAACAGACACTCGGGGAGCCTGCTCCGTCCGTGATACCGGGACGCCTCATCGATGTCCATGATGCTTGTGTGGTCCCGACCTCAGGACATCGAGAACCTCCCAAATATGTCACCTTGAGTTACGTCTGGGGAGAGGCAACTCAATACGAGTTGACCACGGGTACAAAGTCTCAGCTTATGACTTCTGGTTTCCTCGACGCTGTTGCGGATCGAATCCCCAAAACCATCAGAGACGCAATGGCGGTCGTCAGAAAGCTGGGTATCCGTTATCTCTGGGTGGACGCACTCTGCATTATCCAAGATGACCCTCAGGATAAAGCGAAGGAAATCCATAGAATGGATTCAATATACGAGGGTTCAACGTTTACTCTGGTTGCTGCGTCTGGAAGCCACGCAGATGCCGGACTATCTGCCGTTTCTCGTCGGAAGGGCCACCAGATGGTTGAAACTATATGGCCTGGGGTTAGGATGACAGCGATTCATTCCTTGACTGATGTGATCGACAATCTGAAATACGGGACCAGGGGCTGGACGTAAGTGAGAAGAATACAATCGCTAGTTGAGACTGTACTGACAGACGCGCGCAGATTCCAAGAACAGATCCTCTCTTCCCGAATCCTTGCCTTCACCGACGATATCGTCTATTTCCGGTGCCATGACTGCGTCTGGAGCGAGAACAGTCGAGCTGATGCGACTCCGGACGTCTCGACAAGTATGGGAGGTCCTCGATCACCGGACACCATCGACCTCGTGTCCAATCCATGGCAGTTGTACTCGGAGTACCTGGAGAAATACTCCGTAAGACAACTCACGAAAGAAGAAGACATTGTGAATGCCATGACTGGTATCCTTCTACGGATATCACGCAAGCTGGAGTGCAGCCTAGTATATGGGTTACTCACGGACTCGTTCGAATGGGGTCTGCTGTTCTCGCCGACAGATTACCATAGGCGCGCCGGGTTTCCAAGTTGTTCGTGGGCCGGGTGGAAAGGCCAGGTCCTCTGCCCGTGGCCCGAACCAGACGACTTTGCTTCGGAGAGTTCGGAGAGTTCAGACGAGGACAGTTTCAACGTGGATCGGTTAACCCTTCAGGCCAGGGAAACAGCGGCGAAAAATAGCTGGATTGTCTGGTACGAACGCCCACCACAGGGGGCTGCCCGGCTGCTCTGCGAACGCGATGCAGACCCCGGTCGCCAGCGGGAAATCAAGACCCGGAAGCACGATCTATTCAAGAGGCGAGCACGAATGGAGCGTTCTGTCATGGAGACGCGCCCAACAGCCACTCTTGGCCATTTGAGGCTTCCGGAATATTCTGTGCTCCAGTTCTGGACCGTGTCTCTCAGACTGCAGATCCAAGAGTTTCCTGTCCCCTCTGCTCATCGAGCCGATATTGTGAATAATAAGGGAAATGTATGTGGCCAAGTCAAGTTACCGAAAGGACTTAGGCCTGCCTACGGAACATCGGCGGAGTTCATATTGTTGCTGTCGACCAACGTGACGGAGGCTCTGGTCGAGAACCCACAAAGATGGAACAAAGTCGATTCGGCCGGGGCAATGCAAATGGCACGTGGAGAGCCTTTGGAGCTCTACAAGGTAATGTGGATTGAATCGCACGAGGGGGTATCAGAGCGTGTGGCTGTAGGTGAGATAGAGCAACGAGCGCTGCGATATGCAGTGGAAAGCAAGCCGGTATGGAAAGAGATTATCCTCAAATGAGACGCCATTTAGTTCTCTTGCCTGTCTACTTGCGTATTTGCCCGATAATCAGGTAGTACTCAAGACAATCACACTCGACTTATTTAAACGTGGATCGCATAGACGGCGCAGCATACCACTCAGTACTCGATATCAACCCACTTTCCGTCTTTCTTCTCCCGGTCAGGAAGAGGAGGCTCGTCCATCTCATCACCAATCTCGTCCCACTGGCGCTCAACCCGGTCCTTCTTCTCGATCCAATGGTTCGCTCTCTTCGTCCAGAGGTCGTCATCTTCTTCGGATTCGGCATTAAGAGACTGCTCCTGGCAGAATCCAACGAGTCTGTCGTCCTAAGGTGAGGCTCAGAGTAGGTAATGTAAAGACTCGTTCTTACTCTTCGCATATATCGACTAGCCGAGACAGAATCTTCTCTCGTTTACGGACGTCATCAAGGTCTTCGAGTCTGTGCTCTTTGTGCGTGTCTATGACTGAATTAATGCAGACTGGTAGCCTGACTATGTGATGCGGTCATTTGTATTAGCCTTGACAACCGGATATGGCTTCATATGGGCCTTGCTGGCAACTAGTCGCGAGATTCCCAGCCATCACCACCAAAAGATTTGGGATTCGCGTAGTATCACCCAAAACCGACATGCGACATTATGAGTGGAGTCCTTCGTGGCGACCCCAGCACAACCGTATCCCTAGTACCTCGTAGTAGCAAGCTGGGACATTAGGGGGAGCTCCCAAGCTCTGAAGCCTCATTGGCCCACCTAAAGGGGGAGGGGGTCCAACGATATCGCTGGCGGCTTACCAGTACCAGGCAGTACGTAGAAGGTTCTGCCATCCACCTGCCGCCTCTCTGCCCTTACAAGGTTTAGGACCCCAGGTTGCTAGCACGGTGATGTTCGCTATCGTGGGGGAATCTCCCCGCATCAACATTTGCAGCCATGGAAGCCATCCATTCTCGGGCTCCGTCACCGGCTCCCAGTCCCCCGTGCCGAGATTAGCCCCTACTACAGTACAAAGTATACTCCGTACTCTGGCGGACCACGAGCCAGTCCGAGTGCCCATCGGGAACTCGGACCAATCAGCGCCGCGGAAAAATCCCGCACCGCACTTGATCCGTAGTAAGGTTACTAGTCGTTTGTACTCCGCGGAGTAGTCAATTCTGCTGGTCGACGGGGGCCGGGGTGGTGGGTACACCCTGCCCGAGCAAACCTGGACCCGAAAAGTTTCTCCTTCAGAATCCCCGAAATCGTGCCGGTCTCGGTGAGCCCGGCTCGGACTGAGCTATAGACTGTTGGCTGTACGGGTTTGCCTGCAACGTACGACGCTTAAGACTTGATCATAGGATATCCCATCATTGATGATTCGAGTAGGCGGGTTTCCGTCAACGGTGGAACCACAGAGTCCCAGGCCATGTTCATGGCCGATTCTCGAGGGACGGCAGAGGGAAGTGGGTTTTTGCGATAGACGGGGCATAATAAGGGCCTGTTCCAGACTAGTCGGTAGGTATTGCCACTTGTGTCCAGTGCGATATTAGCTGATTGCTACCTAGGTAGTTGGGCGTGTACATCCTTTCCTTGACACGGCTCGTGGCCCAAGGTGCTCGCTCTGCCCCTCGCGATCCCATCCCATAACTTTGACTTTAACTCACTCCCGGGATGCCACTGATGAGACCATCACTTTCATCCAAAGGAACGAAACTCACGATTAAGCCGGGGATTCTCCGACCGTCTTGTCTCCTTTCCAACCCTTTCAACGCTTCAACGCTTCAAAAAAGCCATGGTTGAGGAAGAAACCTCATTTACGCCACCGTCCAATGGCTGCGCTGGGCCTGACACCCAACCCACCCTTCCCGGGCGTATCATTGGCCTATCCGCAATTAGCCTTCCGCCCACATCTCGTACCTCCACATTTTCCTACTTCTGGCCCTTTCCAGCACTAACGATGTACTCCATATGCACTCCGTCTGGAGTACAACCCCGGGATCGAGAATGGACTGGGGATTTCTGTTCTCGGGCTCATTCGATGGGGTTCCCGCTGGTGGGGTGTGGACATATTCGCCTGCTGGTCTCTCCATCTACTATTTAGCTCGGGCTTTCCGCTGTGAAGTGGCCGTCTTTTGTATTCTCCTCTTCCAGGGCTACACAGCAGGCATTGGTTTCTTTGGCTCTTTGAAACCCGTCCGATTTATTCCTCTACTACCTTTCAACTTCTACCAATCTTTCTCACTATGGGTTTTAGGCTGAAGAAACCCGATGATGCTGTCGGCTCGGCGACGCCGGCCATCATCATCGGTCTATTCGTCGCCTTCGGTGGTGTCCTTTTCGGGTATGACACCGGTACTATCAGTGGCATCCTTGCAATGAAGTACTGGCGCCAGCTATTCTCGACCGGCTACATCAATCCTGCGGATGACTACCCTGATGTAACCGCTTCTCAATCGTCTATGATTGTCTCTCTGCTCTCGGCCGGTACCTTTTTCGGTGCCCTATTCGCTGCCCCTATGGCCGATATTTTCGGTCGCCGCCTTGGTATGATCCTCAACACCGGTGTCTTCACGATCGGTGTCATCCTGCAGACTGCCGCCACCGCCATTCCACTGTTTGTGGCTGGTCGTTTCTTTGCTGGTCTGGGTGTCGGTTTGCTCTCCGCAACCATCCCTATGTACCAGTCTGAGACAGCTCCCAAATGGATCCGTGGTACTATTGTCGGTGCCTACCAGCTGGCCATTACTATCGGTCTGCTTCTAGCTGCGATCGTCAACAACGCAACCAAAGACCGTATGGATACTGGTTCTTATCGTATCCCCGTCGCTGTCCAGTTTGCATGGGCTATTATCTTGGTCGCTGGCATGCTGGTTCTGCCTGAGACTCCTCGCTTCCTGATCAAGAAGGACAAGCATGAGGCTGCCGCGAAGGCCCTTGCCCGCCTCCGTCGCCTTAATGTTAACGACTCTGCTATCATCGAGGAATTGTCTGAGATCCAGGCCAATCACGAGTACGAGCTGAGTCTCGGTAAGGCTACCTACCTTGATATCTTGCGTGGCACTATGGGCAAGCGGCTTGCCACTGGGTGCGCGGTCCAAGCACTCCAGCAGTTAGCTGGTGTCAACTTCATCTGTATGGTCCCCTCTCCCAACTCCAACATCAATATCAGTCGCTAATCTATTCTAGTCTACTACGGCACGACCTTCTTCGAGAACTCCGGGATCTCCAATGGCTTTACCATCACCCTGATCACTAATATTATTAATGTCTGCTCTACCTTCCCGGGTCTCTGGATGGTCGAGAAGTGGGGTCGTCGTAACCTGCTTATGTTCGGTGCTATTGGCATGGCCGTCTGCCAACTGATCGTGGCTAGTGTTGGTACCGCTCTCCCCGGTGACCCAGTCTCTAATAAGGCCCTCATCGCCTTTGTCTGTATCTATATCTTCTTCTTCGCCAGCTCCTGGGGCCCTGTTGCCTGGGTTGTCACCGGTGAACTTTTCCCTCTCAAGGCCCGTGCTAAGTGCCTCTCTATTACAACCGCCACCAACTGGCTCCTGAACTGGGCCATTGCCTACGCCACTCCTTACATGGTCAACGCCGGCCCTGGTAACGCCAACCTCCAGGCCAAGGTGTTTTTCATCTGGGGTGGCTTCTGTTGCCTCTGTCTCGTTTTTGTTTACTTCTTCGTCTATGAGACTAAAGGCCTGTCCCTGGAGCAGGTCGACGAGCTTTATGCCAAGGTTACCAAGGCCTGGAAGTCGCCTGGCTTTGTGCCGTCCGTTCATTTCAGTGATGTCCGTGACGTTGCGGGTGAGAAGGGTCGCGACTTGTCCCAGCTTGAGGCTGAGGCGCTGGAGAAGAGGGAGGCCGCTACCCATCTTGAGCGGACTGAGGTTTAGGTATTGATGTGATATGATGTACGATTACTCGTTCCTTTCTTTGCGGTGAAGAATAGTCTCAGCCGAAGAAACGAGGATACCCTGCCAGCCTATGTGCTAAGTTACGCTAAGTTATGCCACTGGGTTATCCAAGTAACTTCAGCCATCAATAGAATATAGTAGCTTATGCGACTCTTCTGCTTGATTAACGAAATCTGCCCGATGCCTCCATACGCATTATGTTATCTCGCATTCCATTAATGCATAGCGAAGTACTGTTCCACGTCGACCCATAGGACGGACGGATAGGTCTAAGGAAATCGGTTCGGCCTCGACGCCCTAATTCCCAATTCCAAGACTTCTGCGGTTCGTGAACTTATGGCTGAAATGTGATATCGTAAGCTAGCTAAGAGCGACTAAAGCCCGGTCATACCACACGCAACTTCATCCTCCCGCCACGATGTACAGGGATCAAATTAGCGCCAGGAGGCGCCTTAGTGCGCCTAACGGCAGGCAGATCAATATTACCTGGCAGTGCTGACGGTCACCCTTGGGCGCCTGCGCCACCTTTTGGGGGCCATCCCTTCCCGTCTGGAATTGATATAACCTGGGTGGGATATCCAGAGCGCGACCAACATCCCGCCATCCGCAATCACCATGTGGCGTCGGGGTCTTCTAAGACGGGATGTCGAGTTATCCACGATCCCCAGTCAACACCAGAGCGAAGATCGTCTCATCAATAGTCCATCAGAAGAGTTTCACTCCTTTCGCAAGGATGCGCCCGTGCAACAGCATCAACAATCCTTAGATGGAGAACGGTTCCAAGGCTGGAGGTTCACCGTCTTTCTGGCTTTCATAGCAAGCCTTGTCGTCCTCTTGTTGAACCTGGGCTTTCTGCTATATACCGTTCCCCACCACCGACTGAAGGATCAGAAGGGCGTGTTGTATCAGGGTGACTGTGTCAAAGTGCAGCATATGAGTACCGGCTTCCATTTGCTGGTCAACGTTCTTAGCACTGCGCTCTTGGCTGCCAGTAACTTTGGAATGGTATATACTCACAGGATACATCGTCGCAATAGAGCTGACACCAGCAGCAATGTTTATGTGCCCCGACGCGGCAGAACATTGATCGAGCGCATCAGCAAGGGAAATGGCTCGACATCGGCGTGCCCAGTATCCGCAACCTGTTCCGGGTGTCGCCATGGCGCTCGTTTCTATGGCTGTGTCTGGCATCTTCCTCACTTCCCTTTCATTTAGTGTATGGCCCCAACGAGCTCCCCAACGCCGCGTCTGTTAACTCGGCCCATAGATACAACTCAATAATCTTCTCCACCACTTCAGCTATGGAATACAACATATTCCTGGGCAAGGGCTCTCTAGGCCAGAAGCCGCTATCGAATCTCCACCTCATAACACCGGACTCGGAATTCCGCGCTTCCTTCGAGGGACTACATGCCTCGGCGCAGAATGGAACGCTGCAACGCCTAGACAACTCGCAGTGCGTGGATGCCTTCGCGCAGACCTTCCAAACGACATATAGCAACCTCCTCCTGGTGACAGACGACGTGAAAGAAAACGACACATATCTGTACTTCACAACCCAGGAGGTCTTCAATCCATGGCAGTACTTGGTGCTTCCGCAGCCACAGGCCGATCCGTACAGATGGCTCTGTCCGGGCGACCTGTTCGATGACTGCAGCACGTACCTCCCCACCGTGCGCTCGCAAATCGCACACAACAACTGGACCGTGACGGAGAGACCGGATCGCGCGATCAGTTGGAAAGTCAACTACTGTCTGGCGGAGAAGGGCCGCCAGCTCTGCAAGCTGCAGTATTCGTTTCCGCTGATCATGCTCATCATCGGCTTCAATCTGGTCAAGACATGCATCCTGTGCTATATGTGGCTTGGGATCCGCGACGCTCCGCTCCTAACTATCGGGGATGCGATTGCGTCCTTCTTGCACCGGTCGGACCCGACTACACAAGGCGCATGCTTACTGACGCGCCGACGTGCCCCAGCTCTGCTTCGGAAACGGTCCCTCCATCAACCAGAGAAGTACACCGGGAAACGGAGACGCTGGGGCGCTGCAGCGTCGGCCCGAAGATGGATGTTCAGCATAATCTTGTACGCACCCTCTACCCCTCAAACCTACCTCCAACCTAACAGAAAATAGATGGCTCATTGCAATAACCGGCTGCATCATCCTCCTCGTCTACGGCATCCACAATGTCCAATCCGGCACCAGCGCCTGGAAGCTCTCCCTCGGCGCCATCAACGCAACCACCCTAATCAAAGGCGACAACTGGCCGGGCTCGCTGATCCCCATCGTGATCATCGCCAACATGCCGCAGCTCATCTTCTCGTTCCTCTACTTTGCCTCCAACGCCCTCCTCACGGCGATGAACGTCGCCGCGGAGTGGAGCGGGTTCGCCATCCAGCGGAAGGGACTGCGCGTCTCGGGTAACAGGGTCCTCGCGCAGCGGAGATATTATTTCTTGTCCCTGCCGTATCGCTATGCAGTGCCGCTGCTGGCGGCGTCGGCGGTGCTGCACTGGCTTATCTCGCAGAGTTTGTTTATGGTGGAGGTTGAGGCGTACGACTATAATATGTTGAGGCTGGCGAAACGGGATGTCGTTACGTGTGGGTACTCGCCTGTGGCGATTGTGTGCGCTATTGCCGTTGGGGGGAGTATGTTTCTTTGCACGCTTGGGCTTGGGTTCCGGCGGCTCGATTCGGCCATGCCTGTTGCCGGGAGTTGTAGTCTTGCCATTGCGGCTGCGTGTCATCCTGCGTTTGATCCGAATGGTAGCGGAGGCGCAGATGGAGACGCGGAGTCCGAGTATGGGGATGAGGATATGGGGCTTCTGCCGGTCAAGTGGGGGGCTGTTCCTGTCGATGGAGGGATAGGACATTGTAGTTTTACGGCGGGTGAGGTTGAGACGCCCGTAGCCGGGCAGCTGTATCAGTAGACTGACGATATCTAGAGGTACGATTCTCCAAGCATATGTCCGATAGGATTCTCCTATATACTATTCACAAATATACAATGCCACCAGTGACTGGTACACCTCCTTTCGCTCCCAGAGCGCAGAGAACACATCTCGTATCGAAACGACCGGAACGGCGCAGTCCAAGACGCTGCACTACACCTAAGCCTGCGCGGCAAAGCCGAGTCTGGGACCCTGCGAGTCAAACACAACATACTGGCTCTTGAGGAACACATCGCCAAAGATGGAGAACTGCATGCCCTGGTTGCTCTGGATGCCGCCGAAGCAGGTCTCGCTGCCGTCAGTGATGGGCGCAAAGTTGATGTGCTTGCCGGGCACGACGGCCTTGTAGCTGCCGATGGTGACGGTGAAGGTGGGCAGCTCCGTGCTGCAGGGGAACACCCAGCCGCCGGCCTGCTGGTCGTTCTGCGCCGAGGACACCTGCTTGTAGTAGGCCGAGACGACGTCGTCGGGGAGCATCAGCAGCGTGGTGCCGGTGTCTGCATTTGTTAGTTACGCGTTCCTGTGAGGTTGTATATGATCTGATCTTGGGGGGATGAGGACGTACCAGCAATGCCGCTGATGGCGCTGGAGCTGGCCGCGCCGTCGCCGACGGCGTAGCCGTCCGCGGTGAACTTCCAGAAGCCATCGCTGTTGTCGACGTCGGCGTAGGCCAGCGACCCGGTGAACTTGGTCTTGTCGATGAAGCCGAAGTCGTACGAGCCGGGCGCGTGATACTTCAGGCTGACGGCGAAGAGCGGGGCGTCCAGCTCGGACTTGACGGTGTCGAAGAAGGTGGTCTGCGGCTTGGGTTGGACTGTTCACGTTAGACAAGTTCCCCGGAAGGTATGGCGCAGAGGGGCTGTACCCGTGTTGATCGAGCTAAAGGCCAGACCCAGGAGACCGTCGTTGTTGCGGTCCTGCATGAACTGCTGGCTGATCTGCTGGGCGGCTTCGACGGCCTGGCCGTGCGCGGTGACGCTGCCCACGGAGACGGTGTCTTTGTAGACGTTGCCGCTGGCGCCGCTGCCGTCGCCGTAGGAGATCTTCCAGGTGTAGCCGTCCATCTTGGTGGAGTTGCCGGCGGGCTTGTAGACGGCGTGGCCGGACTGCTCCTGGGCGGAGAGCTCGGACGAGAAGACCCAGCTGGAGTTGTCAGTGGGCACGACTAGCTTTCTGATCGGGGGGACACATACAGATCCGCGGAGCCGGTGTCAAAGTCCAGGTTCATGACCGTGCCGCCGACGTTCACGGGGGTCAAGTACTCGGCGTCGTTTTCCTCGGGGGTGGTCACGACGCTGCCGCTGCTGGCCGCATCCATGATATGCTGCGGCACAGTGGCGCCATACTTGTTCAAGGCGCTGGCGTAGATGCCTGGGATGTTGATGCTCCGAGAATGAGACTTGGGGGCCACCAGCTGGTTGACGGTGAAGCCCTTGCGAGTCTTGGGTCCGGGCAGAGCGGACGCAACGGTGGACAGACCAAGCGCGACGGTCGTGACTTTGCTGAAGACGACCATGGTTACGGCTGAAAGAGAGCGAACGGATCAAAAGAAGGACAGACGGGGGTCTTTGAAAGAGCGACGAGCAAGATAGAAGGATCTCTGGCTCTGGAAGATGAGAGAGTATGAGGAATTCTCCCAGCTCAGGTTCTGCCAGCCAGCGCTCTTTATACCTGAGCCCGGACAGGTTTCCAACACGGCCCAGGAGCCCCAGTCCTCGTTCTTCAGACCTCCCATGAGGGAAGCTCCACACCGTCTGCAGCGGTCTTTCTCCTGAGGGCCTAGCGAATGGAAGATCGCAAGAAGGGGGCGCACGACTAAGCTTTGAGAAGCCTTCCAAGCCCCGCGATCAAGCAACGACAAGCCCGACGAGGTTGCAACGAGAGGCCCGCCAAGATAACCACAGACCAGATTGAGATGATAAGGGACCGGGGTAGGAAGCAATCAAAAGCCCCGTAGGCATCATGTAGACCCTGACGCGACGCCATCGCGAATGCTACCGTGGAGCCACGGGCTTTGCTAGTTTAGGGCAAGATTCGACGGTGTCCAGGGCTGGGCCGGATGCACGGAGATGGCCGGCCGGAGCACTATCCAGATTGCGTCGTCGCCGGCGTGGAAAGACCATCGATTCGACCGGGGGCGACGATCGCCATTCGGACAGTGTTGTATCAGTGTGATGAGCGGAGGCCAGGGGGCTCGTGTTGATACGCCAGTACCGAGTAAGAGGAGGACGGCAAGGCTGATCAGGCACCAGGAGGAGATGGTAGTGATTGGAAGACACGGCCAACACGAGCAGACGGATGGGACGGTCTGATTGTCCGAACATGATCCGACTAACGGTTGATCGTCGGTCAGGAGTACCACTAGTACGGAGGACGGAGTATGGTGTTGTGCGTGGAAGTATCTACTATAGGTACCTAGATGACTCCGTATCGCGATAGGTAATATTGGTGCCTGCAATGCAGTATCCCTCTATTCCGTACATTGTACAAATGACTATACTGAGGTGATCTTCCACATCCTGGCCCTCACACAACACGAGACTCCAATGCGACGGTGATACTGTTAACTTTGGCCATCTCGGGCTCCGTTTCAAGATAATATCAAACGGATCCTCCCACAGACAAATCAACCGCCTCAGCCGGCTCTCCACAACACACTAAATCTTCGCCCGTGTCGATCTCCGGCGCTCCGCCGATGGAACGGATCGACTGGCCGACATCGTATCGTCCGATGGCCTATGATCGTTTCTGTAGATAGAGCGGTGTTGGGGCTGATAGTCATAGGATGTACTATACTCGTGGCAACACGAACACCGACATTCACGCTTTACGAGATGGCTCAAATGGCTCAAGATCGCTTCATACAAATGATTTGCATGTGATGCGAGTGGAACTATTCTGAAACGCAGACGCGCATAACACGCCGTTGACAGCTATAGCAGAGCAATATAGTCCAGACCAGACCACCCTTGACACAACGTCTATGTCGCATCTGCCCGTGAGGGTCCACAGCTTCTAACCCAAATATATGTCGCTCATGGAAAGCAATAGAAAAAATCGCAGAAAGGAAACAAGCACGTATCATAACATGGATGACGGGGATACATCAGGGTATTTCGTTCCGACAATAAGCGTCAGATCACATTCGCATTCAATACAGACACACAACATCAGTCATACACTCTCCGTAACGACATCACGACGACGGCATAAACTGAGACGGAAGACTGCCGCCCCCACTGGGTTCCAACGGCGTGCCGCTGGCATCGTATTGCTCGTTGAGGAGCACTTCCAGCATATCCAGCTCGCCTACCATCGGCCCCGTGCCACCTAGCCCCTGGTCCACGACCGCCGTCGAACTGGTGAAGAACTGGTCCAGCGGGAGCGCAAACCAGTCCGGAAGTCCGCCCGACGTGCCGTTGTGGTCGTGGATCGACTGCGACGGAACGTTGGAGCCTTCCATGTCCCCGGCCGGAGGCGACGCGTTCGGGTCGTAGTAATTGTGATAGACCGACGGGGGCGGCGGCATGAACGAGACATTCAGGTTGGACGAGTTGATCGGCTGTGCAGGGATCCCGGCGAGCGGATCATGCACGGAGGTGGTCATCGGAGTCCCCGTATGCTGGTGGTTGCTGTCGACATATCCTAGGTTCTGAGATGTCCACGCTTGCTGCGAGCCATCTCGACGGACCTGCCCGCCGTCCCGCGGACGAGGGGATTGGGCTCGTGAATGAGGTGCCGAGGCGCGATCTTGGCCGTCACCGTCCCCAGCCCGGTCCATCGGGGCGAAACGCAGGAAGCGGGTGCGGATGCTGGTAGTGAGAAGCTCGAGCAGACGCGAAATCGCATGACACAGGTGGACGTCGTCGACCACATGCGTCCGGAGCGCTTCAATGGTGCGATCTTGCAGATCCAGGGAGACGCGCACATCATCTTCTTTCGCACCCAACGTAAAAGTCTATCGATGTCAGGCTGGCCTATAGATGGGTCCCTGTATGTAATATCACTCACCTTGAGGATGAAGATCATGCCCGACAGGATTCGAAAGCACGTCCGCACAGGCGCGTGCTTCAGATGATCCCCAGGGACAAGCTCCTCGAGTACGGTCTGGAGGATTTTTCGCGATGCATCCACCACCTCTTGGATATATTGCTCGTTGACACGGTACAGCTCCATCAGCACGTGGAACCACCCACTGTTGGACGAGCTCCCGCAGCCTGGCCTGCCGTTTTGAGCCTGGGCCGCTTCGTTCGACATGGTCGTCCAGCGATCTACCACCGCTTGTAGAGCCAGGGAGTTGACGTATAATCCTGGAGAAGTCAGTCACACTCCAAGTACCCCCGGGTCCATAACTTACTCGTATATTCGTATTCAATCATCAAAATTTTTCTCATCGGCGGCGCGACTGGAAGAGTCAGCATTACACTGCAAACAGATAGGAAACGCTGCACGCACGATCGATGGTGTCAATGTTCTGCCGCCACTCGCGCAGGAATGGCTGGAATCGGTCGATCTGATCTCGATATCGACCGCTCCGAATCAGTTCGGAAGTCTGCTCGTTGGAAGCGAATAACAGCTGGTTGCTTTGATACATGATCTTGGAAATGCCAATCCAGCAATCATGCATCCGGTCGACCGTGATATCGCCCGCGTTCGCTCCCGTCATGGTGGTCGGCTGGATGTCGTTGGCCCACTGTGGCAGAGGAAGCATGGACGGGATTCCCAGGCGGCCACTGCTCTGCGTGATATACACCAGGATGAGGCGACGCAGACGGCGCTTTCGCGTCTGTTCCGCGGGCGGTTCACTGGCCGCTTTGGCCTCGTTTTTCTGATCAAACACCCCCAGTTCAAAGGCCAGCGCCTGTGCGGTGCTGAGCAGCATCCAGGACATCCGGTCGGAGCGCCATGCCGGTTCGAGCCATTTCTGGAAAGCCAACCGGCCCTCCGCCATGTTGTTGGGGGCCCGATTCGCACCGTTTTCGTTCTCCAATTCGATATCTTTTTCAAACCGGCCCTGTGCTTGCGCATCCAAGTCCAACAGCGCGTTTTCATCGTCGCCAGGGGGGAAGTGTAGATTCCGCGGGTGCCAATCCGTCAAGACCAACAAGGCCTCGATGGTCCCCAGGGACCTCAGGTTGCCCTTGTTCACTTTAGGCGCGGCAGCTGTCAAGTCGAACGATCGTGGCCCGCTGATTCCTGATCCGGCACCACCGAATTTCTCTTGACCCCAGATCAGACGCTCGATCATTCCTCGGAGATATGACCACAGTCGGTCGTGGATGTAGAACGCCCGCGTATATGCCCCGTCTCCTTTCGGTTTCATGTGCCTGGAGGCGGTCGTAAGGATCGTAACCGCCAGTACAGGCTCCTCGGTGAGGAGCGTGCGATGGGTGGACGGATGGGAGAAATCGGGAATGACGATCGGGCTCATGGGTGCGAGGTGTTCGTAGTAATATGCCACATAATCCATAGACTCTTCCACCGACAGCCAGCCCGCACGTACGAAACGTAACCGGGACCATGCTTTGACCGCGTCCACAAATCCAGGGTCCTGGGTATTGTCCGCGGGGGCCGACTGATCACGACCGTTGGACATGGGCGCATCCGCTGAGCCGGGTCCCGCGGACTGGTAGTAATTCGGCATGGACATGGCACCGGCTCGTTGCGGCCGCGAGAAGGAGCCGCCCGCACTTCTCGGGGTGCCCGCTTGGGTGAGCGGCGACATGGGAGAGTTGAACGAGGAGACGGACTGGCGGGCGGCATAGCGATTCTCCAGACTCTGTCGATTCAGATCCTCCGTGCGCCCCGCCGCCTCGGAGAGCAGATGCAGCGCATCGTGGCTGTTGCTGATCGCAGGCGACAGCAGCTCCACGGCGGTGCGGTTCATCATCGGCTGGCCGCCTTCGAGGCTATAATGCGCCACCGGACCGCGGTCGCCGACCGGGTACATGGAAAGCCGCGAGTTCTTCGCATCGGAATATGGCGCGGTGGAGGACGGGGGTATGCTGGGCGTGTAGCGCTGCGGTGGCGCGGCTGACTGGGGAATCTGACTGGGGGTGATGGGAGGGCCTTCGGACCATTTCTGGCGGGGACGATTGCCATTGGGATCGAACGAGGAGGGATCGGAATGCGCGTACGAGGGTGCATCATTAGGCGATCCATTCGAGACGACCTCGCCGACCATCATGCGCTTGTCTCGACGGAGGACGCCATCTTCGGTGGGTTCTTCGACCTCGGACGGTTTGCGCTTCCGCCGGGTCGCGGAGAATTCGCAGCGCTTGCTCTCGCGACGACATCGCACGCAGGGCGGGGGACGAGGGTTGTCGACACCTGGAAGAGGTCAGCAAGATTGAGAGGGTCATGTAAATCGCTGATCGTGACGGTCTCTGGGATTTGACGATGAAGTAGATGGCGAACATACTGCCAAGATCACATTTCACCTTGCGCTTGCGACACGGGTCGCAGGCCTGATAGCCCCGGCGATGCTGGGGTTGGGGCGAGGACGACTTGGGATCGCGATCACTCTGGGCATATAGACCGGTCTCCTGATGCGAGGTACCGGCAGACATCATGATGGACGGTGTATCGCCGCGTCGTGCCGGGGCGCAGTTTGGGGGGTGGATTCGAGATGGGGGGAAAGGAGGAGATTAGCCGATGCAAAGCGAAAAGGGCCGTCAAAAAGCGGTGGGGGGAGGAGTCGCCGATTAAACTATCAGGGGACCACGGACGGGCAATCCTATGTATGCACTCCGGAGACGCTCCGACAGGACACCCTCCAGCAGAAGAAATATGGTGAAAGAGAGAAGAAACAGGCGCACAACGTGGTCCAGATCAATGCGGGGTAAGTCAGATCCTCCTGGAAATCGTGCATATCTGTTATCAATGGGAATTCAATAGACTCCCGCTAGGAGGTTATTAGGGTTCGTTCTCTGGATACTATCCGGTCTGCTATCCGGTCGCCGGGTGGCGTAGAGTACTTAACGGCTTTATTATCCGTAGAACGTGTACTTCTAGAGTACAAAGTGTACAAGAAAGCATGATCATACAGTCCGTATAAACTCAGTCGCAGTCGCGAAATAGACAGGAAGAACGGAAGATGGATGCCATGTCAGTCCAGATATATATATATATATATATATATTGTATACGGAGTATTGTGCACCAGACCAGCCTCTTATCAACAATCACGTTATAATCTCTTTAAATATGAATACAATATCTTAACCTTTGTCACCAACCAATGTATGACTGTCATTGGGAGGCTGTTTGGACGAGAATGAGCGCTCACACCCTGAACTACCCAGTCACTCAGTGAGCAAGCCCCAGCTCCTCATGAAAGCGTCTCCATCTAAAGAGGAGTGTCATATTATGTGTCGAATCAAGTCTGTATGTATAGGTACATGTAATGTATAAGCTCATCGGGTATCATCATAACTCATGGGTGTCCAAGCCCCAGATCTCCCAGTGCTGCAAAACCTCCCAGCCGACCCGACGCACGCGCCGTCTCCAACAACGCCGATCCGCGTTCTGTCTTTTGTCACCCAAGAAGCACTCGTTCGGCAAGATCTCGCGAGCCGATGGCGTCCGCTCATCCTCGCGCGATCGCTTGCCGAGCAGGGAACGCGGCTGGACCGGCTCATGCGCGGGGGGCTGCGCGGGGGCTGCCCCAGGAGTCAAGATACCACTAGTGCAGGGAGAGACCCCGGGTGGAGCTACATTCTGGCCGTTCGGCGAGGCCCTCGACTGGGTTCCGTTCGTCTCGGCAACCCCCTCGGCCATTGTTGGGGTTTCTGGTACGGACTCGGCACCGTGGGGAACACAGTCGGCAGGTACCGTGTAATACTCGCCTAATTGGAACGCTTTTCGACCCATGCCGATGATCTTCAGATTGCTAAACACCTGCTGGTCACCAAACTCTTCCGATAGTTTCTCCAGCAGAATTTCATCGTCCACGTTGACCACGTCCGCTAGCGAATGCGCAGCGTCAAACGCCGCCTCGCTCTTGGATTTGGTAAGCTGTCCTGGATGCTTGTGCGTCTTCGAAGGTTGCTTGGACGCCACGGCCACGGGGCCGGTGGGAACCAGCAGCCGCAGGGCGACAAGGTTACGCAGGAACGGCAACACCAGCCCGAGGGTGTCCACGTTGGACAGATCCGTCGCAAAGCCGAGCTGCTCTAACTGCGGGCTGGCGTGGACCAGGCGTGCGATGGTCTGTGCCGAGAGAGCCCACTTCGACGGGAGTAAGAGGTGTCGCAGCGTAGCGGCGTGGTTCATCATAATGTTGTTCAGGTAGCTGTCGAGCACACTGTTCTGTAGGCGCGGCGAGTCCACCGGCGTGACATCGGGAGAAGGAGCAGTGGCACCGTTCGACGACGGATTGCCTGATTCCAGAGACGGAGGGGTCAGTGCCGAAATCGAGAGTTGGCGGGGGCTGCTGGCGACATCGTTTGGATTGGGCACTTCATTCACAAAATACAGCCGTTCCAACCCCGTAAACCCCTTCAGAAATTCGGAATGTCTCCTCGAGATGGCATCCTGGCGGACGCTTTTGATGTTCATCCCCTTCTTCGGCGGGTTGATCGGCCAGGTGCTGTCGACGAATGTGTTCATGGCGGTGGCGGACGAAATGTCATTGAGGATGGTCACATCTTCGACGGAATGCTGGTCGAATGCCAATACAAACTCCTCCGTGTGGAGGGCATATAGGTTTTGCAGGCCTAACTTCTTCACCGCCAGAGGCTGTCGGCTGGCGATGCACTTGCGAAAGTAGTCGTGCAGCATGACGCTGGGCTCTTGCGCATTCCTCATGCGCGGCGACCAGTGCATCTTCAGCACGCGCAGCTTCCTGCATTTCCACAGCAGCGTCGAGATGTCGTCCGGGTAGCAGAGCGGATCGATGTCGGTGATTTTCAGGTACCGCAGATGCGGCATCGGGGGAATGACAATCGTCGGTCGCGGGTGGCGGCTGGAGGGGAATCGCAGCGTCAGCGACGTCAGCTTCGGCCGCTGCGTCAGCCCCAGGTAGACGGTCTCCAACATCTTCGTGTTCAGCTCCCAGCTGAAACTTTCGAGGTCCGGCATCTTATCGACCGCCGCGCGCACGGCAATGTTGAGCATCATTGACGAGTCGGGCACACGGCCCACACGCGCGTGCTCCTCCAAGTCATGTTCTCGCCAGTCTCCCCGCAGCGTCAGCGACCGGACGAGCGACCCGTACGGCCTGGTTATCAGGGCATTGAGGCCCATGGAAAAGGGCGACGCACTGCCCATGCCCTCGGGCTGTTCATCGCGATACCGGATCTTGTCGTAGGAGGTGAGCGTGAGGCTTTTGTAGAGCTGTGGGAGCGCCATGTAATTGAGGACGCGAGATGTTCGGCACAGCCGAGCGAGGTCGCCGGGATCATCCACCTAGCGAGCGAAGAAAAAAAGCAACCTGGTCAGTCGACAAATTGTATCCATCCTCTGCGAAGCCAACATACATGAGAAATGATGAGTGCAATCAGATTCAAAGGCAGCGCCATCAACGACCCCTCACGCGGATTCTCCGTGGTGACGCTGGCGTCAAACATATTCCGGTTGACAGCCGCCATGGTGCATGATGCGACACCCCGAGGCGAGAATTGCGCGGCATCGACCGACTCAGACGGATGGATTATCAGGAGAAAGACGAGGAAGTCATTCGAAAAAGGGTTTGAGGGAGCGTTAGAAGGGCGGAGAAGTGGAGAGAGCGCGAAGAGCTTTGTTGGATCTGACCGGCCGGAACCACACGCTTCCCGACTGCGAGTTATGAACCGTCTAACTTTTTCAGCCCAAGGGGTCCCAGGAGTTCGGGGCCCTCGGAGACCGCCCGATACGATTCTTTCTTACCTACCTAGGAGCTAAGCGTAAGGTCGGAGATCGTCAATTGTCAGGTTTATTCACATGCTACCTCTGCATAAGTACTTGGTCGGTAGATCGGAGTGCAAGTCCATGGGTATCTTTATACACGAAAAAAGATGAACTGTTCAAACAAAGGTTTCTTTGAAATCCCATACCCAACATTGCTCCAGTAAAAAAGAGAAAAAAAGGCAAAAATCAGGCCCGCTCGATGGCGTGGGCATGTTCCCCCGGTACTCCATGCTCGAAGATAAGAAGAAATACGAATCACAAGTTATGTAAACGAAGATGGCCGAAAAGAATCCGTGTAGGCGGGACAGGTGATAACAGGTCCAACGAGTCTAACCAGGCCCTTGCGGTGGCGGTTGGGTCGGTGATTGATCAAGGATCGACCGCCGTTCGGGATCTCCGGGAGGATGCTCGGCTTCATGGCTTGTGGATTGGTTCTCCGCGTCACCCCCATCATGGCCAACAAGAGCCGCCGCTTCAGGATCATATCGCAGTTCGTAATTGCCAAACTGCCCATCGCCATCGGTAGAAGCCCATGGAGCTGCGGTTCGCGTCTGCGGCTGGATCACCTTCATATGGGGATCTACACGCCTCGGACGCGGGGGCTGGCTGGGGGTGGAGTCGAGGATACTGGAATCGTTAAACCACTGCGGTGACCAGGTCTGCTGGCCTCGGCGACGTGCAGGAATAACGGTAACGGGCAGGGGAGCATCTGCGCCCTGTCGTCCAGAGCTGGGCCTTGTTTTGCGATTGAACGGGAACAGTTGGTCCGTCCCCGATCGGGTGCCATGCTCTTCGTCGTTCGGTGCTCCATGCGAATCCCGCTCATCTTGGGGTGGAAACTGTTCATCATCTGCCTGGGCAGAAGCGACCTCCCGCGGGAGGGAAGCTCGCCGCCGTCTGAAGGGATTGAGAATCGTCCGCCATCTCGGGTCTGTGTGGATAATCTGTGGAGACTCTTCCCGGTCCTGCTCCGCCGCGGAGAGTCCGTCCTGGCTAGAGCTCCCTTCTTGTCCCTCGATCTCCTTTACCGCCAGATTGCCGCTTTCATCTTCCTCCTCCATATTGGGCATGGCGACCGGTGGCGTGGGACTAGAAACTGAATGGTAGTGAACGTTGTACATCGTGCTGGCCGCGCTCGTGGTATTCGCCCTGCTGACCGGGGTGACAGCGGCAGGGGGTGGCGTCGGCCGAGCTGGTTTTCGGCGGCGATGGTCTGCAGCAAGGCCATCCCGAGGCGATGCATAGGACGGCCAATGACGGCCAGGATTCTGGAGGCCGACTCTGGTGCGTAGCGGCCGGTTCGCTAAGCCCATCATGCCTCCCCATCCGGAAGACGCCCCAGTGCCTCCGCCCTTGTCGTTGCCTCCATTGTTGTGTCGAGGCCAGTCGACCTCCTCCGACGGGGTCACCTCCAACATTTCATCCCCGTCGAAGATTTCCCGGCCGAGAATGCCGTCCTTCCTTTCGTCGCGTTCGAGCGCCTCTATTCGCTCCACCCATTCCCATACAACGACACTCGCAGCCGCTGAACCAACCCATCTGATATAGGTACCCCAGCCCGCAATTTCAGGTTTCGCAATATCCAGAACAAAGAAAATCACCGGGATGAGAATCGCGCATAAGGAGAGCAGAGCCACCAGGCAGATGTTTCTCATTTTCGGGTGGAAGAATGCAAAGCGATGTTTCGATAACGAGTAGAAGATCACCCATGCTGCGTATAGTAGGTTGAGCGCCAGCTCGAAAAGGTAGCTGAGGGCCGGGATCGCATCGTCGTACAGTCGTGGTCGCGTCGTGTTTGTCTGGACCAGAAACTTGTCCAGTGCGCTGAAAATCGTATCTAAGACGATCAACGCGAACCCTGCCCACTTGATCATAATTTTCTCCTTGTGTCGAGGGAAGAGCCGAATCAACGTTTGGACCTGCGCCAGCCATAGAAACGTGCTGGATATCACTCGAATAATTCGAATCTCCATGCCATCGATCACTTCTTCCGCCAACGCTTCGGCGTCCGAGTACCCATGATTGTACTGTTCCTCGGCCACTTTGAACGAGTTGGCCGTCGCGATGGTCAAAGATATGGCGACGAGCAGCGCGGCAACCTTCTGCAGCCACGGGCGGCCTCCGACTCCAACCACCGAGGAGTTGCCACTGTACGAACCGCTGATCATGCCATGGCTCCCCAAGAAGTTTGCGCCACCGCCGGGGCCGCCGACGTAGAAAGTACGGGGAGTTATGAGAAGGATGATAACAAGAAGGTAGCTGACGACCGTTGAACATCCGATAGCGTATAGTTGTGGGGTCACCGAGGCGTAAAAGGGGTCGCGGGTGTCAAGTTGCGGGGACGCATGGTTCGTCGCAGTCGGCGTAGTCGTCCCAGTGCATACCGGCTCATATATGGCATTGTTCGTAAGGGTCATTGCATACGTGCGATTCAGATAAATCAAGCCTGGAGGATTCACACAGCGGTGTTAGCAGCAACCTTACGTGTATGCGACAAGATGCCCCCGACGGCAGTAGGTCGACAAAAGGGGGAGGCCATCCACCAGGACATCGCCAAACATACCATCACTGGGAAGAAGAAATGGTGTACAGCCGGGGGCATACGACTTTGTGGCTGTAGTCGTAGGCTGAGCCCATATCTGGCGGGGAGCCAGATGAGCACCATCCCCCATGGTTGGTCGGGCGGACAGCTGACAGAATTCACGTCGCGAAACAACTCATATATGCCACGAGATCAACCGAGAATGTCCTCATCGGGGAGAATGTGGATAATTGCTTCCCCTCGTCTTCAGACCTTCATCGTCGCAACGCTTCCCAGGGGGTCAATGGTGGTCGAATGCCGAAGATCGGGATGAAAGGCGGGAGTCGAGCTGATGCTGACGATGCCGGGTTCACGGTGGTTTGGAAGAAGGCAACGTCGCAGAAGGAGGAGAGTAAGATTCTATACGGAAAGGTTGTGAGAAAGACGAATGGACTGTACAACCATAAATGAATGAATAATAACTGCCATGCGGATGAGAGAGGAGGTTGTCAGTCATTATTGGCCACCCGCGTGATGGCCCAGATCTCGGCCGTCATGTTCACCGCCTAGCCGTCTCTTTTAAACCCCCCGAGATGAAGTATAATTCTGTCATTCAATCAGATAAAAACCTGTGGTTTGGGATATATACTACCTAATATAACATAGGATATGGAATCTGCTATATACGTGGTCTGGCTCCCAAAACGCAACGCTGGACAAAAGACCGCTGTATGCAACGCACGAGGAAATGTACAATCTCTCACACCACACCAGCTTGAAAGGTATGTCCAATCAACGCAGTCCAGACAATACACATGGCGATCATGCAGGTCCTGGGCCATACGACATCGGCGTTGGCGCCGCATACGGGGAAGACAACATCGCCCCAGACGCTCTCATGGCTCGGGCGCGCTCTTCTTCCCGCTTCCTGATCTCAGTCTCGTCCTGGATCAGAGTGCAACAGGTGCAGCAGGTCGCACGAACACAATCCGATGTGATGTCGCCTCTGATCCCATAGGTCTTGCGGATCCGCGTATGTTGGATGGTAGCAAGCAGCCCTGAGTGGCAAGTTAGCTTCCAATCAAATCAACAAGCTTGATCTTGCGCATGAGCTTACATTGGCACCCGCACAGCACCGCCATCGCAGTGCATGATCCGTTGCATGTCTCGTAACCCAGCATGTTGGTTGGGTCCTCTCGTCGCGACAGCATGGAGAGACGATATTGGGTTTTCCCATAGAGTATGCAGGGGCACGTAAGCCCTAGACAGCACGTCCATATATTGGAACAGTCGCACAAGCCATGGCTCCACGCACCTCCTTTGATTTGTTGATTGGGGTGTTGTATTTGTCCCGGCTGGTGATACGTCCCCATCTCTCGGACTGGGGTGGTCATGGGTGCACCGGCCGCCGTTGGTGGAGGGAAGTATGGAGGCTTGGGGGATTGGAGCGGGTTGGCATCCGGTGCGATCGGTAGGTCATGAGGTGTTTGCTGTGAAACTGTGCGCTCCGGAGACTTTTTCGGGGGATCTGGATCGGCATACGAGTACTGAGGGGCTGCCGGATTAGAAGATTGGGTTAAGGGAGCGGCATCGGCGTAGGGTGCATAAGTCGCCGGATGCTGATCAATGTTTGGATATCCTGAAGCATATTGAGATGGTTCGTAGCTCTGAGACTTTTCTTCTAACCAGGAAGGGTGCTGCGAGGGGTGCTGCGAGAGGTGCTCCGCTGCTGTAGGCTGCTGCGATACGGTTTGGACCTCGGAGACTGTCGTTGCTGGTTGAGGGGCATGAAGGTTTTGTTGTTCTGGCGACTGCATTTCGAGTGGAGTCTTCAGAAAAGAGTACCTTCGATTGTCTCCAAGATCGGAGGTATCCAAATGCAAAGCTCGGCTCATCTTAGGGCAGGTCCTGGCGTTCGCTCTTTGCTGTCGGCCTCTCGACTAGGATAAGTCTAGGTCTGGCATGAGGCCATCAAGGAGGCCGATCGAGTGAATTGCTGGGTGGTTCCTCGAAATCCTTCCCCAGACGCAGTAACGTCGACGTCGGAAATCATCAATAGGGACTGATCGCGGGACGCTGGGAAGGAGTTCGAAACGAATAAGACGGAAGGAAAGGGAGCGCCGGACAGCGAAAGAGAAGAGGAGCCAAGTGTAACCGCCCAGAGGTGACAGAATCGCAGGTGGAGAGGTAGATGCATGCACAGAGTGTTGCGGGGAGGACGAGGATTCGCAGGATTTAAGGATAGGTCGCATCTGTTTCGTACGACGGAGGGCGTGCCGACGAGCTGCATGGTGCGTCTGCTCAGGAGACTCTCCCGTTGGTCTACAGGCGGTTCGGAAGATGCCGTTGGACTCGAAGTGCTTCTCATCACATCGCCGGTCTGGCGCATCACACCCGGCAGCGCATATCATTGGAGAGATGGCTGCAGGTGCTGTGACTGCGCCGCAATACTCGGAAATGCTCCCCAAGGTCTTGCTATAGGGCTACCTCGGAGGATGAATGTGAGGAAGAAGTCCAGAATTGATACCATCGAAGTAGCAGAGTTGTGATCCGATTTATCTTGTTCTATGAGGATAAAGAATGAAGGCGATGGCATCACTTGCGGCAGAGGTCTCCTCTGGTGGAGACGCTAGGATGTTGGTGGCATTGCTTCTTATCCACCCCAGCAGTCCTTATCGTTAGATTAGGGCGTCTCCATAAGGGAACATCAGTCGGAAGGGTGCACGGAGTATGAATCGCTCAATAATACGTCAAAGGATGAATTAGATTAACTAGACGGCAGGAAGTTGACGATGATCTTTTGAAGTACGGAGTATATATCTCCATCCATCTACGGACTATATCCGAGATAGCCTTCCTCTGCATAGTGATACCTAGGTAGACATTTCCCCAAGCTACAAACTATACCTAGTATCAGTCAGGTAGTACCTAGGTACCTACACACAGCTTCTTTCGGGTAACTGATCTTTTGTCCTTGATTATGTACTCCTACAACCAGTTTCATAGAAACCCCTATGATCCCAACAGGATGGCCAGTGCGACCGCGTGTCCAGCATGTGGCGCAGTGATTGGCAGACGGATCACCGCTGGGTCATGCGCAGTACCGAAGTGGATGAAGAATGGGAGAATCACGACTCGTGGTCATCGTGCATGATGTCCATCTCGTCGGAATGGCGTTGGGGGGTGATTTGGAGTTTTTCCCTCTGCACCAGGAACGTGGATCTCCACCGTCGAGAAAAAGTCTAGAAACGCACATCGTTTGAGGATCCGGACTGATCCTCCTTGCGGCCAGATAACCCTACATACTAGGCATACCGCCAGTTTGCACCACGGACCACTCACAGGGCCATGATTGATCCCGTTCTCAATCGCCGCGGTTCCTGAGGACCGGTTGCTGGATTCCGCATTCCGAGACCTCCGATTCTTGTCGTCTCCCTTGCGAAATGGTTGAAGGTTGAGAGACTTTGAGGGACTTACTACGAATCGTCGACTGGATTATCGGGTCGAGGTGGTATTTGGGATTCACTGACTTCACCATACTGCTACCACCAGTGTCTTGTCTTTCGATTAGGGCCTAGACTACATTTTCTTCCAGTCTCCTTTGGGGGTCTTTTTTTCACCTTCTAAATTCAAGGCCCTGCTCAATATTGGGATCGTTTGCTGCCTGAGTGGCCAGGCCAAAAGACGAAGGCGGTGACGACGATCCGCGTCATTGGCAGCCCCCAGCCGAAAAAAAAGCGCCCTAACCCAAAACTAACTACTGCAACTTTCTACTGCTATCGTTACTGACTGCCTACTACTACTACCTTCCCCCCGGTCCCTCCTCCATCCACCTAACCTGCCTATCTATCTTTCCTTTCCGCCAACGATCCTTTCTCCGTTGCTCTCCCGTTGGGCCTCTCTCTCTCCAGCCTGTAAGATCCTCCCTCCGTCGAACGTGGCCTCCCCTCAATCGATCAAATCTGACTGATGCATGTCCGATCTTCTCCTTCTCCAGCCACCACCCAACCATCATCCTGATCCGCCATCCTCCCTTCTCTTCTCGCCCGCCGTCCCAACCAATGTTCTCCCCATGTCAAGGCCTCCGTCTGCATCAGAAAGCACCCTGTCTCGACCCCTGGTGACACCTGCCGCGTCTGCCCAACATGATTGCTCTAATGGGCCCGATCTTCCCCATCCAAAACCGCGCCGCCACCATGTCTGGGACCAGCATCACCATCCTCCTGAAGCTCCCTCCCCGTCCCGCGCCGAATCCCCCACTGCCCATCAATGGGCCAAGCCTGCGTCTTCCTTTGCTCTAAAAAGGGCCTCCACCGCCCCTCTGGAGAAATTCCCTCGTCCGCATAGTCCCCAGCTGTCCGAAAGGGATAGCATCTTTGCAACCCATTACCTCCCCTCCGACCCTGAAGCTACCACCACTACCACCACTCCGCAACTCCCCCCCGTGGAGGACGTCGCTGAAGATGACGGGCCCGGTGCCCTGAACCTCGCTTCCGCCAACGATGCGGCCGCTTCGTCTGTTCCAATCCCCTCTACGAAGGTCCCCCCTCGTCCTTCCATAGTCGACTCTTTCCCCATGGAAGTGGACCGACGCGTGCCCATCCCATTGCGCTCCCCTTCTTTGTCGTCTTCCACCCTGCCCGCCCCCGACCTCTCTGCGCTCCCGAGTCGACCCGATACCCACCTGCAGAAGCCTCATGAGGTCCTGGATCGAAGTGCCCACCTCCCGGCCTGGGAGAGCATGCAACCGCTCCGCAAGATTTCATCCGATGGCGCCGCCACCGGTCCCTCGCCGGTAGAGGAGAAGCGCAGCGTCACGTCCGCTCCTCTGAAGGATCCCGCGCTTGACCGTCTGCCAACAGTCCCTACTCGCGAGACCTCCGGCACGTGGTCGGAACGGTCGTCGCGGGAAAACACTCTGGACGGTCCAGGGGAGCGAAGCTCGAGTCGCAGCCGGCGCGGGCGTGTGGAAAGCTCTATCGAGGCGAATTTAACCAACGCAGAACCAGCCTCTCATGTGCGCAGCCGTAAGTCAAGCCATTACCTGGGACTTTTCAAGGAGAACACTACTTCGCCCGATCGGAAACGGAGGGAAGACCGGGGGCGATGGTACGACGAGACGTCAGAGGCACACGATAGCCAACCCCAGCAAATGGGTCAGTCGGATCTCTATCATGCGGGTGAACAGACGACCTCCCCGACGGAGGCTCCATTCGCATTGGAGCAGACCAGACTCAAAAGGAATTCGAAGAGTTTATCGCAGCTCTCGCTGATCGACCATCCGCTGTTCGCACCCCCATCCGAAGCTGAACGCTCCCCGAAGGACGAAGTGACGAAGTCTCCGCGTCGCGTGTTGCCTCGCAGTCTGTTGGAGGAGATTCGGAATTTCCACCTAACCCCCGGAGGTGCCCGCGGCACGTCCTTCTCGAAAAGCATCCCGACGCAATACGCTGAAGGGGGCCGGGATTACATCACAGCGAAGGAAGAGCCCCAGTTTGACCATCTATCCCCATCGTCCGGTCCTGATACTGGTCCGCGCCGGGGTTCCGCGCAATTCGAGGACGAAGAGGATGAGCAGATCTCCTCGGCTGTCTATTTCCCACATGAGCGCGTGACGGTCTCGGACGAAGTTGATCAGGTTCAGCCCTTTGCAGATGATCGGCCGGGAGCAGAACCGTACCAGGTGTCACCAACGAAGAGTAATCTCGGTTTAGTGTCAAAGAGACATAGTCTTGTTGATGAGCCGGAGGCCCATCATGTGGATATTTCCCTCCGATCTAAGAATGATAGTAGAATTTTGCATGGTGACCTACAGGAAATCCAGGCTCCACAACTAGAAGAGCTTACAGAAAAGTCGCTGAATGCCATATCAGAACGCAGTGGGGAGGAATCGACCTGTGGAGAATCCGAATATGATAGTGGCATCTCGGTGCAGGACGAAGCGTCCAGTTTGACCGATGAAGCGGAGGTGACGCCAACCGCGACTCCCACTCAGCGCCACCGCACACTGCGTCCCCGACGCACCCACGGCTCATCTGGTCCTCTCGGAGCGGTGGAGTTGAAGCCTTACCGCCATCAGGTGGGCGGCCATACCACCGTGTTTCGGTTCTCTCGACGTGCGGTGTGCAAGCAACTCAATAATCGCGAGAATGAATTTTACGAGCGGATCGAACGCAGACATCCGGATATGTTGATGTTTCTCCCAAGGTGCGTTCGTGCATCTGATATCATGTTGCTGGATCAAATCACTAATCGAATGCGGTTCGCAGGTATATTGGCGTTTTGAACGTGACGTTCTCCAAAAACTCCAAGAAACAGAAACCGATACCGGAGGGTGCTAAGGGGCGTGCTGATTCAAACAAGGCTGGGGACAGCAATAAGCATCAAGATGCCACGTCACTCACCGTGCCTCTTTCGCATGATGCCACTGATCAACCCCGAATCTTCAGTCAAAAGCAAGTTACGGGCATTATCCCGAAGGTCATCCTGGAGAACAATCGTCATATCATCCCCGCAGACCTTTTCTCGCGTTCACAAAGGCCCAGGACTGCGGACGGTGCCATGCCAGCAAGACATCGGTTTTCTCAGAGTGCTGGAGTGATCCCCAGAGGGAAGCAGTCGACTGGCTCCTGGGACGACAAGCATGCTCAGGCGCTGACCAAACCTAAAGTCAGCTGGGGCGCGACGACTGTGAATCGTCAACTACAGGAGCAGGTTCTCCGCGAGGTGTTTAGCCCTCCCGCAATTCATCATCATCGCCGTCATGCTCGGGGCCATGTCAACCTACCCCGGACGATATCTGATGGGATCCATCGGCGGGCTAACTTGTCCGAGGATCAGACCGCTAGTAGCCGGCGCAATGCACCTACACCGCCAGAACCCCCTCGGTCAGCAGCCATTGACATTGTGAAACAGTCGAATGAAGGGCCGGGGCTTTCATCATCGGCGTCCACAGCATTGGATGCTACTCACAACCGCCTGGAGCAGATTCGGTCCCAGGGGTCCCCGCCACGCTCCAGTTCCCTTTCACGGGCTCGACAGGTCAGACGTCGTCATTCTGGAAGTGGTTTACAGAGACGGGGTAGCATGACGCCGGGGAAGGGCGGTGGCGAGTTGATGTTCTTTGAGGATGATGGATATGGTGGGGACAGAGAAGACGAGATTTTCGCCATGGAAGGCGACGCTTCAATGGCACGATCGCGCGATCATAGCCAGCATACGGCTGACTCCGGGGTCCCGAAGATCGCCACTACAGGGGCTACCGACATTTCGGGTCGTAGCAACGGTGATTCTTCAAAATCTCCAAGCCGTCTACAAGTAAAGGATGACAGTGGCGCCCAACTCCCGGCCAACCCCAAGGAGGCGCAGACGAGAAAAGATGAGAGGGTTCAATTTTTCCTTCTCCTCGAAGATCTCACCGCCGGCATGAACAAGCCTTGTGTCTTGGACCTCAAGATGGGTACTCGCCAGTACGGTATCGAAGCGGATGAGAAGAAACGGAAATCTCAGAGGCGGAAGTGTCAGTCTACCACCTCCCAGCAGTTGGGTGTTCGACTATGTGGCATGCAAACCTGGAATGTCAAGAAGCAGGAATATTCCTTTGAAGACAAGTACTTCGGCCGGGATCTGAAGTCTGGACGTGAATTCCAGGATGCTCTTACCCGCTTCCTGTACGACGGTGTCAGCTACAACAGCGTTGCGAAGAAGATTCCTGTCATTCTGGAGAAGCTGGCCAAGCTGGAGAACATGATTCGAAGACTCAAGCGCTATCGCCTCTATGCCAGTAGCCTCTTGATTCTCTATGATGGCGAACAGACCAGTTCCGAAACGTCCATGCCAAATGATACCCATGTGGCCACGAAACGGGGCGTCTTATCGCGTCGTGCGTCGGAGGACGGCCATAATAACGAGGACGTCCAGCTAAAGATTGTCGATTTTGCAAATTGTGTTACCGGCGAGGACGAAATCCCTCCCACTGCTCCTTGCCCTCCGCAGCATCCGGATGACATCGATCGTGGCTATCTTCGCGGTCTTCGGACATTGAGGATGTATTTTCAGCGCATTCTCAAAGAAGTCAGTCATGACGAGTACATTGAGCGTGGAGAAGGCGAAGCTATAGCTATGCGATCCCAAGCTTCCGGTCACGACGATACGTCGGATCGTTATTGGGATGAGGGCGTGATGGAGAGTGACCCAGGCGAAGTCAGCTTCTAGTGGCTGTTTCTGGCACTCGTCTTCCAGTCTTACCGACGCCTTTCCACAACTTCTGCGTTGGCCTCTACCGGAGTGCCTTCTTCCTCCATTCATAATTCCCCTTTATTTCTACTTGTCTCCTTTATTATAATTGTCTTTTTCTTTTCTTTTATTTCTTTTTTTCCGCCTGTGGGTTTGGCGTTAGTGGCTTGCACTTCCAAGTCCCATCGATCCTATTACCATTCGAGAACTCAGGCTTCGTTTCGGCGTCAAATGTTGCATGGTACTGGATATGGCGTTACTTGTTTCATCTCTTCCCCATATTTCCTTTCGCTGAAACATCCGATGGGCCCGACGAGATGATAACGACTGAGATGGAGATGCAGCGAGACTTGGGTGAGAATGATACGATAGTGATGATTGATCCTGGCACAATGTTCACCCAGGGGCCATTGTCTATGCATGCCTGGAGCATCCTAGAGGGTCCTGGCGCGGGGGGAGCGATTACATTCTCATGGCGTGTATGAAATTGTCTTGTTTCTTCTTTGCTTGTTTTCTTCTCGGACATGTCTTATTGATTATACCTCTGGGGAACCAGTCCGATTCCCTGGACTTTTATTGGATTTTGTGTCTTTCGGGGTGGCGTTTCTGAGAGCTGTGTACATACATTCCTACATGTTGCGGGCCTTAGACAAGCATCATAATGGTTATCGTGTATGTATTGTACTCCTATCATAGTTCTTATCGGCTGATCAACATCACGTGGATCGATAGATAAGCTGATCGATCGCCCTGCCGCCTCCGGTCATCTCCAACTCCAACTCCTCCAACTCCGCCTCCTCTCTTCCTCCCTCTCCCCGTCTTGTCTGACGAAGCTCCGATCTTCTCACTCAGGGCTGAGAGTACGTTGTATAGGCGACTCGCAACAGCCTCCTTCTCCTCCTCTTTCGCTTTATCAGAATGCCCTTGGACTGGACCCTCTGGTGACGTAGCGGCGGGCCGAGAAGCGGAGACAGTATCATTGACACAGGTCAAGACGTACTTCTGACTCAACACACAAGTCGAATGGATGCCATTACCTCTCTATATATCTCACTTAATTTATACCTACAACCTGAAGCTTCTGAATCTCACGCAGCACTTTTGTCATGGCCAAGCTAGACCCAGCAATCGACAAGCGTGACTTTGACGCAAACCGTCCCTTGCTTGGCGGTCACGCCCATGGACCTCTTGCTCATGATTCATCTGATCCTTCGCGACCGACATCAAGACATTCCGCTATCGCCTATAGTGATGCGGACGATGGCCTTCTCACTGATGTGGTTGAGGAAATCGTCGAGAGAGACCGACGGAAGTTGGCAAAAGAAGTGGTGCGTATATGCAGTTTTGTCTGGGGGGTGATTACATGGTGAGTCCAAATGCTCGTCCGGGTTGATGGCTGTGTTAATCACGCGTAACTCGCCTAGTCTCGCCGCCGGCGGAGTGACTGCCTTCTCTCTCTACGGACCTCTCTTCCTCACCCGTCTCCACTACACTCAGATTCGGGTGAATGCAGTCTCCATTGCCGCCGAGATCGCGATGTATCTCCCTGTCCCGGTATTCGGATACCTGTGTGACCGATACACGCCCTCTCCGCTGGCTCTCTTCTCCGGGCTGATCTTTGGGCTGGGCTATCTCCTAGCCGCCTTCACGTACAAGAGTGGCCCGCCGCCTGACGCGGGTGGCGACGGATGGCCATTCTGGGTGATGATCGTGGCGTTCATTGCTATCGGCGCCGGCACGTGTTCCATGTATCTCGCTGCGGTGACGACCTGCGCGAAGAACTTCGGAAGAGGAAAGCATAAGGGCATCATGCTTGCTGCGCCCATTGCGGGGTTCGGCCTGAGCGGCATGTGGCAGAGCCAGGTGGGGACGTACTTGTTGTATGAGCCCCGTGACGATGGTAGTCGGGGGGATGTCGATGTGTTCCGTTACTTTGTCTTCCTCGCGGTTTTGACTCTCAGTGTCGGGATCATCGGTACCTTTGGGTTGAGGATCGTCGACGAAGACGAAGAGAAATATATCGACGAGACGGTGGAGGAGCTCGAGAGAAGCGGGCTTCTTGATGAGAGCGCTTTCTTCCGACCCCGGAGTGAGGTGGCCGCTGCGTATGGCACATTCTCGCAAGACGATGATGCGAATGAGTCAGACGACGAGCGCACGCTGGCTCAATCCGAGGAGGAGCGCGAAGCTGCTCGTCGCGAAAAGGAACGGGAGGAGGAGGAGCGTCGCAAAAAGAATTGGCTGTTGAACTACGAGACCAAGGTGTTCCTCAAGGATCGGACGATGTGGTTACTGGCGTTTGGCTTTTTCCTCGTCACTGGACCTGGAGAAGCCTATCTTAACAACGTGCGTTCCCCGCGCAGTCATGAATCCATCCCCGCGGCCTCTGCTGACTTTACTACTAGCTGGGTACGATTGTGCAGACCTTGACGCCCGATCCAACGATGCCGAATGCGTCATCCTCAGCGGGCTTGCCGTCCACACATGTCACGACTATTGCGCTCACCTCCACCATCGCCCGCCTCCTCACAGGATCGCTCTCTGACTTTTTCGCTCCGCCGGCCCTTCACCTCTTTCCACTGAATACCGGTGATAGTCGCCCCGCGCCACAGCAGCTGACATCCCACACTCGGCCTACTTTGTCGCGCATGATGTTCCTTCTACCTTCCGCAGTATTACTTGCGCTGGGCTATCTCTTACTCGCATCACCGCTCCCCATCGAGAACCCTGAACTTACTCATATCACTACCGCCCTAGTTGGCCTTGGTTACGGCGCTGGCTTCTCGCTGTGTCCTATCATTATTTCTGTGGTGTGGGGAGTCGAGAACTTCGGCACAAACTGGGGAATCGTCGCCATGGTTCCTGCTGCCGGAGCTGCTATGTGGGGGATTATCTACTCGCATGGCTACCAGGACGCAGCAGATGGGGGTCATGGTACCATCGATGGCCAATGTCATGGATGGAAATGTTATGGGTACTGGGCTGTTGGGTGCACGCTGAGCATTTGTGTCGCCATTGTGGTTTGGCTAGTTGCTTGGAGATCTTGGCGACGGAGGGGGGTAGTTGTATAGTTTGACTGCAACTTCCCGGAGTAGTTCTTTGTGGTCCATAGATTGATCATAGGTTGATACTGCATAGAGATGTGATTGGGTATACAATAGACGTACATTTACCGATTGTTAGTCTACAATGGGTAAGAACCTGAAAAGCCACCATCCGAACCTGTCGACGTGTAGCTTGAACCAAGATAGGCCAGTTCAGATATCCGTAGAAGTAGGGTTCATTCCCATGAAAACTTTGTACAAGCGCCTACTGGCTGCAGGTCCAATACGGGCATCCGCCAGTGTCCCGTTTTTGTTGGTAGATTTCTACACTTGTCAGTTGGTTGTCCAACATTTGTATGGTATAACGTACCTTGACGTTCTCCAGCATGCCAGGACCATGTCTGCGCATGCCAGTAACAAGATCCAAAACACTAGGATACCGCTCAGCGACACCATATGCCATCGATGCAGTGACCCGGTTGACCTCCTGGAGCATCTTCACGTAAGTATCGGTCTTGTTTTCGCCGGACTTGACCTGGCCTCCATCCATACAGAAGGCCGCATCGTTTCCGTCCATGCGCTCGCGGCGGTAGGGAACGGTGGACACATGCTCTGTAAAGTTCTTGATCCACTCGGCCGACTCCGGGGCGACGTTGGTATGGTGGATCAAACAGGAGTGTGTCACCTGAAGTTCGAGCAGGGCGTCTTCGATCGTATCATCGTCCACCGGCGGTGTAGACTCAGGCTTGCTGGGGGTTTTTCTCCTGCGAGACGGAGCCTGTGTAGACGAAGGGTCTTCAGACTGCTCCATCTCTCGGCGGACCTCCGCGACATATGCTCTGTTCCGCGAGCTTTTGTTCTTCCGCATCCACGGTGCCAGCCCCTGAATGAGGTAGATGAGTTTACAATTGGGATAGGCCGATCTGAGTTGCGAAACGTGAGTAGTCAGGTCCGTAGCGGACGGGTCAGTAGTCAGAACCATGTCGACAAACTCCTGTGCTTGCAAGAGAACCAGGACATGCTCCTCGTCGCGGATATGCAGCGGACACGGCTCCCAGTAGCCCAAAGAGTCGTTGTAGTGCGCCTTGACCTTGCGTCGCCATTTCACAACGTTGGGAATCACACTATCAAAGAACGAGTGCTCAACATTGAGGCTGTCCATGAACGCCATCGCCTGGGTGCCCACATCCGTCCCCTCAAAGTTCATCGCGAGATCGACAATCATCTCGGGGGTGGAGTCTTTCTTATCGACCTTGCGTTTATTGGCCTCGGTCAAATCCGAAAGAAGCTGTTTTTCGCGAGCCTTTTCTCGAGCCTTCTCTTCCTTTTCCCTTTGCTTTCGTTCTTTCTCCAGCTGGCGCTCGCGTTCCCGTCGAGCCTTCGCCGCCTCTCGCTCTCGTGCCTTGGCTTCCTTGTCGGCGCTATTTGTTGTTTTGGAGGTCTTACGCGGGCCGCGCTTATTCTGCTTCGGTGCGTCGTCGTCATCCAGCACGACCAGGTCATCGTCATCATCATTGTCCTCGCGCGGAGTAGCAGTCCTATGTGATGGGCGCGCTCCCAAACTCCCCGATCTCGACCGACTTTCCAGACTCGCCAGTAGATTCGCCGTGCGACTGGAAAAATGCGGTCGAGTACTACTCGCCTCTGGACCATCGCTGGGCAACCCTTGTAGTATCTCGTCTATATCGGGAGGGACGAGCTCATCACTGAACCCTTCTATATCCTCTACCATGCGTCTCAGACCGGCCTGTCCAGAGAGAGTTGTAGTTTTGGAGGTACGCTCCTGGTAGCTGCCGCAGTAATCGTCATCGTCGATGGTGATGGTGTTCGATCGCCGGATTTCCGCGGTCCGAGAGACGGTTGTTCGCGATGGTTCTGGCGCCGAAGACGTAAACACAATTGGATCCGATTCTTCCATATGACCTGCCGCAGGGAGGACACGGTCAACTTGGGGACTGTGACGTGGGGGTGGACCTTCGGAGGAAAGGATTATGTCTTCGTCGGAGAAGAGAAACAATGAGTTCTTTGACCGGTTGGGCTTGGGTTTGGCGACGAGATCGGTGCTGAAAGTGTTGTTGCCATCATCGCTCAATCGGCGTCTCTTCGGCGGGTTGTCCAACTCGTCATCGTACGTGAAGAGTGAGATGTCGATGTCGTCGGAGAGGAGAGGGGGTCTCGCGGGCGTGCTCGATGCGCGCCTCGAGGGGGCGGGAAGAGGTACTTGGTATGAAGTGGGTGGAGGGGGCGTCGAGGAGAGGAGGTCGATGATGTCTGGCATTTTCCATGACAGCAATGATCATGGGCGATGGCTGCGAGAGATGGGCGGCGAGCGCTGCAATGTAGCGGGCACGTGTTTCGCGCTCCCCGCGAGGAAGGCGCGTGGTCATGTGACATTATACAAATTGTAAGTCTGGTAATAGTATACATTCAACTGAACACTCTAAGGGTATTGGCTAAGACACATCATGACGACCTCAAGACAAACGCAGCAAAAGCAGCCAGCGCGATCCCCGCCACGGCCAGAAGAACAAATACCTGCTGGAATCCATTGAACGGGCGTCTCGGACTGGCGAGCATATCAGATATCTCCCTCTCCAGGTTGTCGCCCATCGCGACGAGCGAGAACTCCTGCTGTACTCGACGCTTGGCTGCCACAGACATGCGGTCCAGCTCCTCCTGGTCCATCTCGTAGAGGACCTTGTCCATGACAGCCGTCCAATCCGCATCGACCTTCGCGTCGCGTAGCCAGCCTGTTTCGCCCTCGACGATGGTTTCTAGCGGACCGCCGGTGTTTGACGCGAGGACGGGGACCCCCGCGCGCATCGCTTCGACAGGCACAATGCCAAAGTGCTCGTTGATCGGGGTATAGAGGAGCAGTTTTGCTTGCGAGAGGAGGGTGTCGCGGAAGGCGGTCGGCACGGAGAGTAGGAACAGCACGTCGATGGAGTCCGGGATGGATAGGGCAGAGATGACCGTTTTCGATGTCGCGGTCTGCAGCCCCAGACTGGTCGCAAGCTTGTCCAGCTCCCGATGGTACTGCACATTCTCTTGGACCCGGTTGTCGTAACCGCCTGCGCCGTCAGTATGCCGTAGTAGCCTAGTTTCATGGGCGGCGCGGGAACTCACCTGCAATTACCAACCGAGTGCCTCTCCTCTTCTGTTCTCCCAGCCCATGATACGCGCGAATCGCCAAAGCCATGTCCTTCTTCCTCTCGAACCGGTTGATACTCAGCAGTATCTTCTTCCCGCCCCATAATTGTCCGCCATCCTCAATGACATCCTTAATCGCACCTGCGGCGCCGGTCTCGGTATCCACACAAGGATAGACAACGCGCACATCGCCCAACTGCTTCGAACCAAAGACCTCGCTGATGACGCCGCGCGTAAACCGCGAGTTCGCAACAACTTTATCCGCCGCACTCAGCGCCCAGCCTTCAAACCAATCGAACGGGTACCGATAAAGAATCTTTGCAAGTCGTAAAAGCGAGCTACCCTCGTCGCGACGGGCGAGCAATTGATCCGGGAAGTGGCAGTAGAACAGGATGCGCTGGCGGCGGCGGTCCCATTGGGGCCCTAGAGTTTTCAAGAACGGTACACAAGCCGGGACTTGGTCCACGATGAAAATGTCGTCCTCCAATTCGTCATCCAGAGATTTGGTTTGCGCATTGTCGGGCCTCGTTTCGCTGGCGGCTGAAGAAGCCAGCTCTCTCAACACGGATATCGTCAAATGCAACTGTCGCAATATGGCCATCAACACGTGGAAGCGACCGCAAATATGCGCGGGGACGAGGGAGTTCCCGCGCACGCGAACTTCGAGCGTTCCGTCACGCGCCTCTTCGAAACAATGCGTCGTATCGCGGTGTGAGGTGTAGACCGTGACTCGGTGGCCTCGATTCTGGAGCGCGAGTGCCACGTCGATGATAAGCCGCTCGGCACCACCGATCCCCAGGTCGGGGTGGATGATGATCACATTGGACCGTTTGAGACTCGCCATCACGGTCGCAGTCTCGTACACGAAGAACAGGGGAAGGGAAGGAGAGCGAGGCAATGGAACCTCACCTGACTCGGAATGGGGAGCCGTGCGGAGGGGAGTTGGGGGACTTTCTGCGGAAACGGCGCCGATAACTAGTAGCTACGTCATGTGATGACGCACTCCCCAGTTTGATCTATAAAGTAATGCTAACTCTACTGGCTCTTCATATACAATCTGTGTCGACATACAAACAACGGGTCAAGTATTCTCAGCCACGAGAAAAGACATCATAAAGATAGGTACGATTCGTCAAATAAAGGTCAAAGAATAATACGTAATTTGGAACGGGGAATGTGCAGCAATCATCCCAGATGAAAGAGAAGCTGCAAAATACACAGAAGAATCAAAAGGTATCAACGAATCGAAAGGGGAATCGACATCGAATTCATAATACAGGGGAATGTTGAACATCGTGTCACAGGGGGAATAAAACAAGGGAATCAACAGTGAAAGAGTCAAAAAGGCCACGCGAAACAGAGACAAACACTAAGGTGGGCAAGGCGGGCACTTAAAAGCAGTTGAGGGTACTTTTCTTCTTCTTCTTGTTGAGCGCGTTCATCCGCTCCTCAAGCTGGGCCCGAGCAGCTTCGGCTTCGCGGCGCGCGTTCCTCTCTTCCTCAACGGCTTGAAGAGAGAGACGCTGGGAATTGCGTTCTTTCCGCAGAGTGGTCAGCTCGTCTTCCAGCTGCCAGGCCTTCTTCTTCCAAGCTTCGCAGTCCGCCTTGACCTTGTTCGTCTGCGCCTCGAGGTCTCCAAGGGCCTCTTCCAAAGTGGCCGTCAGTTGTTTCTCCGCATGGAGATGCTTCTCAATGGTGCGGATGCGTGCCTCTTGGTCCTCTACCAGCTGGGAGCTAATGATCTCTTTGCTAGTGTGCCGGGAGCTTGGGGGAGAGGCGCTGCTCGGGGTGCCATTGGCGGCGGAAGCAATAGTAGGAAGAGGAGGAAGGGGAATTGCAGGGGGAGGGGAGGGAAGAGATGTAGCGGAAGAGCTCTTCCGCAGATTGGAGGTAAGCGAGCTACTGCGATCGTGCGCGGAGTCCTGGTTTGAGGAATTCTTCAATTGGAGCTGGGGCCTGATCAGTCGCTGCGCACAGGGGATCTCCATGATGGGACTACTCACCTCGAGTTGCTCAATGCGCACGCGGTACGTTTCGATATCCTTCTCGTAAATGACGATCTTAGCGTTCGCGTCCTCCAGAGCCTGGTCACGTTCTTGCTGAATGACAGAAAGACGGTTGTGGTGCTGGTCGAAGCTGTTGGTAATCTGCTCTTCCAGCTCCTCAACAAGACGAACGCTCTTCTGCTTCTCGGCAGTGACCTCCGCAAGCAGAGCCTCCTTCTTCTTCACTTGTTCCTCCTTCTGCTGGAGAGTGTCTTCCAGGGTTGCGACCAACAACGCCAGTTCATTCACCTTTGCCTCCTTGGCGGAGTTGCTCTGAGTGAGCTCTTCCAGCTTCCTCGCGTCACTGCCCTTGAGCTCCAGCTGCTTACGAAGGTCCTCGTTCGTATCCATTAACTCGGCATACTTGTTAGAGAAATGCTGCTTCTGTGTCAGGATGTCTTGAATCTGGTCGGCAATGTTATCTGCAGTAACATCCGAGTTAAGCAGGCCCGAAACCATCTTCAGCAGCTTGGCTAGCTCGTCCCGAGATTCGGCGATGTCGGCCCTCAGAGACTTCATGGCTTCGTCATGCTCGGTATCCTTCTCCGCCAGACGCAACTCATGCTCGGCTTGTGCAGCAGCTATGGTACGTTCCTCCAATTCGACAAGCTCTTTCTTGTGAGATTCCCGCAAGGACTCCAGGTCCTTCTGGTAGGTCTCGGCAAGCGACTTGTGAGATTCGATGTCACGCTCCATCTCGGCGATACGAGCCTGATGTCCTTCGACATCGGTGGTGTTGCCGTCTTTCGCGGCGAGCAGGTCCGAAAGCTGTTGTTGGGTCTCCGAATGAGATTTCTCAAGACCGGCGATGGTCTCCTGGTGAGCAGCGGAGGCGGCCTTGTGCTCTTCGATTTCGCGTTTGAGACTTTCAACCACTTCTTGCTGGTGAGCCCTTTCGTTCTCGAGCTCCTTCGCAGCCGCTGCCTTGTCAGCAGAAGAATTATCGTCCACGGCAGCGCGCTCGGACCGCATGGCATCCACCGCAGCCAACGCACTGTTGAGTTCGGCCAGAGTGGAGCTGAGTTGCTCCTCCGAGGCTTGGAGAGAGTCGACGGCGCTTTGGTGCTTGCCCTTCCACTCGGTCAACTCGCCTTCCAGGAGGCCAATCTTCTTGTCCTGCTCCTCCGCCCCAGCATCCTGAGCTCTAGCGGCCTCCTCCTGGGTCTTCAGAAGAGCCTTCAGTTCCTCAATCTCGGCGAGCAGTTGCTTCTGTCTCGTCTCGTGGGCTTCCTTCATCTCGTTGATGATGTTCTCCTGCTGGACAACCTGGTCACGCAACTGCGAGACAAGGCCCATGTCGACGGAAGAAGCACCGCCCTGCAAACTGGACCGCTCGCGAGTCAGACCGGAGATGATGGTGGATTTCATCTCCATCTCCTTCTTCACGCTTTGATTCTCCGCCTCCAACGCTTGGATGCGTTCCATGCGGCTGTGCAGTTCGTGCATTGCCGAGTCAAGGTGAACCTCAAAGTTTTGCATTGTGTCAGGCTTGCTGTCAAACTCTTCCACAGCGATGTTTCGCAGGGCAGCGAGGGATCTGTGCGCGCGGTCGACATTTCCCATCAGGCTCTGGCTGGTCTTCCTCCGAATGACGTGGGACTTGAAGCCGGGGGTGGTAGGCGGAGACGTCGACTTGGACCGCTGCAGCTCTGCCTTCAAGGATTCGATCAGGTTGAGAGTATCTTCGTGCTCGGCTTGCAGCTCGGCATATCTCTGGGACATCAGTTGGACGCCCTCCTGGTGTTCGGAGAGTAGCTGGCGCATGTGTTCCACCTCGTCCGGAGTGGTGACGGCGGTATCTCCTTCCGCAGGGTCAACATGTCCATCGGTCGGTTCCGACTTGGCATTAGACGATGCGTGCGAAGCAGCAGGCTCCCCGGCCAAGGATAACTCCGATGAGAGTGACTGCGAGAATGAGTGTTGTGCTCCATTCGTCGCGCCGGGAGCCTTGCGATCCTCTAAAAAAGACACCGGGCGGGAGGTGACTGTGGGGGAGGCAGGATTGGGGATGTCCGTAACGGGATGACGGGCTTCGTCGGCGGCATCCTGTTTCATAGCGGCCAAAGCCTTCATGGCCTCCTCGTATTTCGCTTCCAGCATCTCGTATTCGCTCAGGGTCGATTCATGTTGCATACGCAAGTCGAGAAGCTCCTGGGTGACCGTATCCAGCTTATCGGCAACATGCTTCGACTGGGAAGAAACCTGGTCCTGATCGTCAACCTTTTGGGATTCCAGGCGACTGGTCGCTTTTTCCAGTGTCTCCAAATCTTCACCCGTTTCTGCTGTTGCTTCTCCCTCCGCAAGGCCATCCTCATCGGTTTCGGGGATGGGCTCGGCCAAACCCTCATCCGATTCGGGAATAGCGGTTTCGGCGGCTTCCATCAGTACGTCGAGAGATGTGGCGCGTGCGCGAGGGGTGTAAGCACCCTTGACAGGGGGTGGGTGGGAATTGGCTTGTTCTGGGGCATCCTCCTCGACGCCATTTTGTTGGACGTGGTCGAGCTCATAGAGGAGGTGGTCCAACTTTCCGAGGCTGCGTTGCCGCTCAATGACATGCTCGAGACGATCCACCTCTCGCTGCATCAGCTCCATGTCCTGATCGGCTTCCGCCAAACGCTCTTCCAGGGTGCTAATATAGTCTTCACAGTTGGCCTCGCTCTCGCGGGCCCGGCTAAGCTCTTTGCGCAGTTCTGCCACAATTGCGGCGTGCTTCTCTTCGCCTGAGGACTGTCCATCGAGCTTGGACTCCAGCTCATGTAGGTATGTCTCGGTGCTGGATTCCCGGTCCAACAGCTTCTGGATGCGGGACTGAAGCTGGGAGTTGACCGTCTCCACGTACGCGCATTTGGTCTCCCGTTCCAGTAGGGTACTTTCCGTCTGTGACAGAGAGGAGCGGGTGTTGGAAAGGGAGGACTCCAGGCTCTGGATGGTCTTCTCGTATTCCAACACGACTTGTTCGACCGACTCGGCGAAGGAATGGGAGCGCTTCAACCGTTCTACCGAGCTTTTGCCCACGGCCGAGGCAATATCGTCCGGGTTCGCGTCGGCCGCGTGCTCCGAGTCTTTGGTCAGCTCGGAGATCAGCTTCGCGTGTCGTTGGCTGAGGGCGTTGTAGCTCTCCTGAACGTCGAGAAGCTGGTTTTGAAGCTCGATCTCCCTCTCATTCTGGCGCTCCACGCGCTCCTGCGGCACCGTGGTGCGACGGTCGTTGTCCTCCACATTGCGCAGTTGTTGACGCAAGAAGGCCACCTCGGCCTTGAGGCGTTCGATCACGGCGTGTTTGTCGCTGTCGTCGGCAATCTGCTGGATGCGGGGCTTGCTCTGGATGGCTCTCGCTCGCTGGGCATATTGCACGGTGTTCAGGGTCTCGCTCAGGTGGAATTCGGCCGGGGTCACACAGGCGATCATGTAAGTGTACGCGTTCCCGCCCAGGGAATCTTGGAGGAGTCGGGTCAGTTTGGAGTCGCGATAGGAGACGTGGGAGCCCGCCTGCCGGGACGAAAGCTGCGAAATGACTTTGCCCAACGCCGCGAGACCGGCGTTGATGGAGATACCCTCTCGGGCGCGCTCGCCGGATGCGCCGGTATTCTTGAGTCGTTCACTTCCCGCCAGATCCACAAAATGGAGCTTGCTCTCCACTGAGATGGAGGCGTCTCCACCAGACATGATTTCGACGGGCATGGACATGCGCTTCTCCTTGGGCGAGGTGACGCCGTTGGAGGCGGATTTCCGCTGAACCAGGTTCAGACTGAAGACGGCGTGGGAACGGGACGACTTGGCGTTGATGGCGGTGGAATCGGTCTGACGGATGGAGGAGCCGAAGTTCAAGGCGCCGAGGAGATCCTCGATGGAATTGATATTCACCTGATGGAGACCCGTGAGGATGATGCGGCCTTTGGTGTCCTCGCGAATGGTGACAGTTGGACGGTCTCCTAGAGGGGTGGAATCGGGGAGGAGCAAATCTCTCAATTGCTCGTTGTAGATCTGTCGACGTCAGTCTCTCGGCTGGTTTGAACGGAATCCCGGGGCCTGGTACCTCGACATAGGTCGCCTTCATCTGCCAGTTCTTGTCCATGTTTTGTTTTCCGAAGCTCGAGGTCGAGCTTATGGAATAGCGCTGGGGGGTGCGTAGGCCCGTGGAACTGTTGCGATTATGTTTGGACGGGCCTTCCAGCTTCTCAAACAAGAACTGGGCGGCGCGGGGGATGATTCCTGCAGACGGTCAGCCACGGGAGTCGCCCACCGAAGGGACACAAGGCACCTACCCATCGCCTCGGGGTTGTTCTGCTCGTTGGGGCCGGAGGTTCCCATGGTGTAGGATTTTCCGGCTCCCGACTGGCCGTAGGCCAGAATGGAGACATTGTAGCCCTGGACAAAGGAATTGACGCTTTCGCTGAGGTATTCCCAGATGCCATTCTGGTCGACGGTTTCGGGGAAGACGCGATCGAAGACGAAGAGCTTGCGACCTTGTGGGACATCGACAGCTAGACTGGTCGGCGTGGTAACGTGGACCATGGAACGTTGGAAGCGTTGCGGGACTAATTCGTAACCGGGGTCGGTAGGTTTCAGGGCAGGGCGAACACGGACGGCTGTGGTGTGGTCAGCGATGGGATGAACCGGAGGACGATGCAATCGCGATATTTCGGGATCGCAAACCGATTAAGTTGCGGCATACGCCCGGGGCGGAAGGGAATAGGGGGACCGCGGAAGTGCGCATGGTGAGGGCCGACACATACCAACTTTGACGGCGGTCTTGCCGTCCTCATCGGAGGCTCGACTTCCTCCTCCATGTTTGGAGCTCATGCTCAAGCGACTGTTACTTCGAGGGGTGCGCATGATGGCGCTGAAGGGTCGCTGGGGAGCACCCGTAGGCGACGCTGGCGGCGAAGCCGTCATGACCCCCCTATTTTTCTTTTTCCCTTTATACGGAGTCCGTCGACAGAGTCAGGTCAGGCGACAGAGAAGGTCGACAAGAACTGATTATCGGGGATCACGAGGTAAAGGGAGCGAGAAAGGCATCAGCGACGAGCGATCGGATCGATGAGTTGTTTTGTTGATGCGCTGGATGGGGGAGGGTTGGGACTTTTTTTTTCTCTGCGTCGCGGGCGACGACAGCGACCTGCCACCGATCAATAAGGTTGACAGTCTCCTATTTGTCAATGAGCGGCGGGGAGTGTAGCGGTGAGAGGGATGAAAGAAAGAGGGAGAGGGAGGGGAGGGAAGGGAGGGAAAGAGGAATGAAGTGGATGGGGAGGAATTATCACTCGACCATTATACTGAGAGGAAGAAGAAGAAGAAGAAGAATAACGACAGATGTGTCTGTCTCTGTCTGGTCTGTCAGGATACCTAAAGGGAACTAAGTTCGATTCGGCAGGGACGACGGGGGAACTCCTGAGTGGACCGCGTGGTGCCTGAGCCATTATTATTATTATCATCATTCTTCTATGATTTTCTTCCTCTCCATCTATGTACTACTATACTGTATCATCTACCTACGGAGTATATTATGGCAACTATGATGATGTTCCAAGAAGATCGAGATAAAGTATCAATATCTGATATTATCGCATATTATTTCTCTCATCTACTTGATCCAAATCCCTACGTACCTGGATACAGAGAACTACAAAAGGGGCACCTAGTCTAGACCCAGATCGGCTAGACATCCACCCGTTAAGGTTGCTTGGGACCTCCATCGTCTCAGCCTGTCTGCATGGTTCTTTTGTCGGTATATCTACGGAGTAACTGCCTAGTAACCAAAGATTATTACGGAGTACAATTAACCAGGTGATAATAATACACATCTCTCCGAACACCAAAGCCAAATCCAAAGAACCATGGTTCCTCCCGTGGTTCCAGGAACCATCGGATCCCGGAAATCCATCCACACCAATTTCCCCGTGGATCTACCGAATCCAAGCGAAATGAGGACCCCCCTTGGGTCAGACATCCTCGCACGATGGCGTGGGGAAGCTTCTCATGCCACCATGACCCATTCCGACAGTTCCTTGACCTGAGAGGTCCTAACCTGACATTCTGTAAGTAGTTAGTTGCTACGGGGTATAATCATACCTAGTTAATCCCTGGTCACATAACAGATAATCCCTTTCTTCCCGTCCAAGAAGGAAAAAGGGGAACCATCAACCCATGTCCCTACTTGTCCCTACTTATTCCTACTAATCGAGACCGTTGAGCCAGGATGCATTAGTTGCGATGGCACTAACCCGATTCAATCCCCCGTTCATCTACGGAGTATTATTATTATTATTATTATTATTATTATTTCGCTTCAATAAGGAACCTGCTCTCTATTCCATATACATAGTACTCCGACAGCCACAATAATAATAATGATAATAAAGTAGACACCTTGATCACCCCTCTTCCCTTCTCTTCTCCCTCTCCCTCTCCCTCTCCCTTCAAATCATCCCTTCACCTACATTCTTCCTCTGTTAATCCGGAAAACCCGGACTTGACTTCACCCCTGAATCCCACTCTCCCGCCCGCCATGACCAACACCAGCCGATCCTCCCCCCATCCTGGCGTTGCGGGCATCGCCAGTTCGGTAAGGATTGTCCCAGAGACCCGTGGGACTTTCCCTCGTCCACTCGCCAACGTCTGCCCCCGTCCCATATCCACTTGCGGGCTAAGCCTAGCTTGTTGGGTCGACGCGGACGACGTGAACGGACCGTAGTACGGACTAGATGCGGGTACCGTGCGTATTACTATGAGTAGGGAATACATTCATGTCTGAGGGCTGTCCTGGTTGCCTGTCCTCCCACTCAGTCCATCACAGCAAGGAAACCATCATTATTACACATCGACCCCCTTTCTATATCAATCACCTAGGTGATATGCAAGGTGGGAAGGGATGCACGGACTATGAGCTGTCATACAAAGTATATATATAGTTCTATCTCGGGCAGAAAGAACCTTTCTGCAGCCGTTGGTTCGTCCAATAAGCTTCTGCAACTCGTATTGTAGTTAGTTGCATGTAAGGCGTTCGGATAGATCAACCATCAGAGAACGTGAACTGGAGAGATGCCCAAAGCCAATCTCGGAGGGTTGGCCGTTGGTTCTTCATGCAAGGGGTCGGATGCGTCTGGTTCTGCAACAACCATGTGGGTAGTAAAGGTGGATGTTCAATATATATTTCTGCTGTAAGGTAAGCCACTGAGACCGCATGGATGCATCCTTGCACAATCAAGAAAATCAATCCAGCCCTACAGGTGAAACCATAGGTAATGGGACTTGACTAGTAGATACTTCTTTGTCACCCTGGCTACGTACGAAAGATGCACATTATACGAGAAGTCAAATCGCATCATAGACATTATGGACATACTCTGAATGAAACACAACAAAAGCACTTAGATGGAAATCCACAATCAATATTCTTGTGCCCTTCGATGAAACTATACGACGTTATAACCCCTATAGTTCCTCTGATCCACCAATAGAAAGAGGTCCCTTCTTCACCATCATAGTCAAGACTTCGTAAAGAACATCGGCGGCAGCCCTGGAAACAGTCAGCCAAGAACACCTCTATCCCCCAGAAAACATACATGGTAGAGAGTTCGGCATTGGTGTCATAGGCGGGCGCCACTTCGACAATATCGGCTCCAATAAAGTTGAGTCCATCAAGACCGCGAATGATGGTACGCAGCTCGCGGGTCGACCAGCCACCGGTCTCAGGGGTACCAGTTGCGGGAGCATCTGAGGGAGTCAGATCGAGTTCACATAATGATCAGGAGCCACCTACAAGCCGGGTCCAGGGTATCGATATCGATGGACAGATAGACCGGGTTCTTGGTGCCGACGCGCTCGCGGATTTTCTTGATGATACCCTCGGTGCCTAACCACATTAGCCCTTGTCACAGTCCCAGGTCCGACGCCATACCGATGGTGTCAATCTCCCGGGCTTCGACAATCTCAAAGCCACAGTATCCGTCATTCTCATAGTCTGAGGGGCCGGAGAGGGTGGTGCGGATACCAGCGTGGATGTTGGTGTCGTTTCTCAGAAGACCCTCCATGGCGGCATGGTAGAAGTAAGTCCCGTGGTTGACAGCAGCGACTTCACTGGGCGATCCGCCAAAGACCTTGGGCTTCCAGGAGTCACTAGAGCTGGGTTAGCATGAGACTAACGCAACCCGACGAATGACGTACAGATGGCTGTCGAAGTGAACGACGGTGACAGGGCCGTAGGCCTTGTTGATACTGCGCAGCAGAGGCAAGGTGATGGTGTGGTCACCGCCGAGGGTGATGACACGAGGCAGGGTTTTGCCTGCCTTGGACATGCCGTACTCGTCGGCATTGGTGTAGGGCTTGCGCATGAGGACGCTGTTGTGGCCCTCTTCAATCTGCTTGATGGCCCATTCATTGTCGTACCTATGGGGTTTCAGCGCGATGACCTATACGCTGCTGTTTATATACTTACGATGTCACGGGGATGTCGCCACAATCCAGGATTCTCAGATCACTGACGAAGGGGTTCGCCTCCAATGGCACGTTATAGCCACCGCTGAAACCCAATTTGCGTGAGCCTTTATCCCGGACCAGATTCAATGGTAAGCACAGCTCTGAAAGCACAACATACTAGAGATTGAGACGACGAGAACCTTGCCTGATGCCACTTGGTCCAAATCTAGCACCGGGTCTGTAGGAGGTTCCAGTATCAAATGGGGCGCCTGGATCAGTTAGCTGGATGTACAGAACTTGGGATGACAGTGAATCGCAAGACTGACCGATAAAAGCAATGTCGTATTTCTCATCTTCACTGGCGAGACAGGGGAAGTATGGAAGCCGACCGAAAGTCGAGATGCCAGAGAAGACAGAGTCGGCCTGGGTACCACCATCACCCGGAAGAGTGTTGTACCACAGCTTCTGGAGAGGACCAGCAGCCAGAGGGGTCTGACTGTGGCTACTATGAGCCGAGGCCACGGTTGAGAGAGCAAGAAGGCTGAGGGTGGAAGCAATCATGGTGGCCAGCGCAATGAGATAGGGATAAAGTAAAGGAGCAGTGAGAGGGGCAGGAAGCAGGTGAGGGAACCTATTTATTGCTGCAACTAAGTCGGACGCACCCTCGTCCACCAGTCATTTCTCCAGGTCTTACCCAATGGTGGTTCTCTGGTGTATCTCCATTTAGGTAATGGAATGATGCACTTAGGGAATATGCTCCAGATGGCCTACACTTTCAAGGCGGGATGATCGAATTGACTGACTATCTCAGCTTTGTTGGGCTGGATATCATTCACAACCCACTGAGACCCTCTTCTCCCTCGACCTTCCCAGATCGACCAGAAGCAGTCTGATCATTTACCGATGGGGAGGTAGGATATTCTCATTGCACGCAGTCTTACCGAGTCAGCCAGGTTACTATGCCCGAATAGTCCAACGGATTGCATGGGAGCCCATACTGGAACCAGGAGTCCATCATCCTACCGATAAGCCTGGAGATGATTGGACTCAGTAACGTCGACGTCAAGTATGAGCGTTGCCAACTCCACGGAGAGTCTGAAGTATACCCAAAAAGGAAGGCCGCAGGAGATCGAGATGCATTCTTCCTTATCTCCGCCTTATCAGCTGCATGACGTGAGTGGGGTAGACCCCTTATCTTTTATCAGTGTTTACTCCCTGTCCTTTTAGACCATCTCGTAGAAGAAGAGAATGACTTCATCTCCCCTCGCCTTCCTATTCGAGTCACTCGATAGAGAACGACTTCAAGAGAGAATCAAGCATTGCACAAAAGTATCCATTGACTAACAACAACCATATCTACAATCAGCTCATTCCTCTCCTTCAGCAATCCCACCAACTTCCATCCTCTCGTGAATGTCCATTCGAAGAAAAGCCTTTTCGACTTCGCCATCCCAATGGCTCAGAGCCACAATCGCCCACTCCAACGCCCCCACCAGATACAATGCGATACACTGTCCCACCCAGAGACCCTTGAGTCCCCAGCCGTGAAACGCCAACCAGATGCCGAGAGGGAGCGCACCGCAGTAGTAGCTCACTAGGTTGACCATGGCACCGACGTGCTGTCGGCCCATGCCACGCAGACTACCCCCGCAACTGCCATTCAGGCCGTCCGCGATCTGGAACAGGGCCACGTAGGGGAGCACCTCGGCCGTCAGCCGGACGACTCGCTCGTCCGAGTTGAAAATCTTCGCAAACTCGTGCCGCGTCCCCATCAGCGCCGCCAGCACCACGCCTCCCAGCACCATGCTCAGCCAGGCCGCCGCATTGGCGGCCCTCGCAGCCCCGGATGCGTTCCGCGCCCCTAGCAGGTTACCCACGCGCGCCGACGTGGCCACGCCTACCCCGAATGGGATCGTATTGAGGACTTGATCGGCGGTCATGATAACGCTCTGCGCGGCGAGTGGGATGGTGCCCAGTCGTCCGGCCGCCAGCGCCACTATCTCGAACGCCCACCATTCCGTCCCAACATGGATCACTCCCAGGATGGCCAGGCGCGCAAACGTTCCAAGGTTCTGAAAGGCCTCGCGCGACCACCCGCCCCAGCATTCGGACCCCGCAACGAATCGCGCGTACAGAACCAACAGTCCAAAAGAAAGCCAATATGAGATGCCGGTGGCGAATGGCGCTCCGAGGAGACCCATGTTGAAAGTGTAACAGAAGAGATAGTTCAACAGGGCATTGAATGGGGATGTGATGAGGAGGACATATGTGCCGGGGCGCATGATTCCTGCGAAAGTTAATCCGTCTGATGGAGAACCTAGGAGGGGCTTTCGCACCTTGGGCTTGCAGGTACTTCTTCATCACTTCGAAGTAGATGTATCCCAGTCCCCCGGGGATCAGGCAGGTCAAGAACCGAGCGCTATCCCGGGATAGCTGGGGATCTTGGCCGAGGAGAAGGAAAACCGGTTCCGAACATGCCCAGAGAATGGCAACGGGGATATAGAACAAACTCAGCACGAAGAATCCTCGCTGTAAAAGAATCCCAAGGTCATGTTTATTGGAGCTCCCCGTGAAGGTCGAGGAGGCCAGCGTGTCTAGCGCCGTCGTTCCACCCAGGGCAATCATCCATGCGGTTATCATGGCAAACATCAGGGAAAAGGCCGTGGTAGCCAGATTTTCCGGAGAGGAACGCCCGACAATGAGGACCGAGACAGTTTGAAGGCTATTTTGGAGGGTGTACGCCAGAATGACGGGGACAGAGCCTTTCAAAAGGATCCAGAACTCTGCGAGCCATTGTCGTTGGGAAGTATCATACTCATCCGAGTCATCATAGGCGCGGTGATCCGTCGGCTTGGGGAGAAGGGAGGTGTATTCTGTAGGGTCCTCTTCCGGAGTATTGGAAGTCATTGTGGGAGGCGCAGGAAGTTCTTCATACATCTTGAAAGGCCGGCCAGTAAGACTCATTGACAGGATGGATTGTAGCAGAGGAAGAATTGGATCGGGCCATGGTTTCTATATCAATTGCATAAGTATATACCTTGGGGACAGGCCCTTTCCTGTAGAGACAATCTTAGACCAATGCCACATCGACGCTATACATGCACCAATCTCCAACGTCTTGTCACTATCAATAAGGGCTGTGGAGTCTTAGACGGCCGCTGACGAGCAAGCCATGCAGGTCCATAGATTCTGGACTGAGTAGTAACAAGAATGCAATCCATTACAGCAGTGGATTATGAGATTATGCATTTAGTTCGTACTCCGTATAGTCCGGACAGGCTAAATCCTCGGTCCGCAAGACAGGTTAATCGCACTTAATTAGCTCGGCTGGAGGCTTCTTATCAGTGCCAGAAGATAATGAACCCTCCTGAATCGGCCTCCAAATATTGCCCTAATTCGGAAAGGATGGTCTTGTTGCGTTCCGTCTCCATCTGCAATTCTGATGATGGCGATATCGCTGCCCCGCGTTTGCTTCTGAATCTTGGCTGGAGGGTTGAAGGCATCAATGGCATTGCAGCGAGTTTGGCACAATTATATCAAAGGAAGAGGTATCTCATACTTTCAGACGCTCTATAAAGATCCAGGATCGGACTCCCCATGGACCGTGGGTTGTTATAGTTGTCAAAGCCACACAAACCCTAACGCTGCAGGTCTTAATCAACCGGATGACTGAACACGATACAGCCACTTATTCAATGATTCAGTGTCTTATCAGCCGTGTGTCTGATTCTCTATTGGTGCTTCTGGAATAGAGGCCTCAATGCATAGGAAATCCTGATATCTTGGTTCTACAGGCGCACACGTCTCCTCTTCTCCTAGGTAGAATGCTACCAGGTCCTCACATCAACAATCCTTCTATATTATGACCCTCCATCGTAAAGTTTGATATCCGAGTAAAGTAGTTAGCTCCATACCCCAGACTTCAATTAAGCAAGAGATAAGACGATAGTCACTGATATCTGTGGGCTGTCTGATTCGACAACTCCCATGTGTAACTGACCCTGGCGCCATTCGCGCATTGTCCGGGGTCTGATAAGCCTTTGTATAGTATACACACACTGTAGAATGGCCATATAGTCTTTAATCTTCTTTATAACCCTCCAATGGACCGCAGAGTTCAAGTTGCAAACCACAATGTCTACCACAGTTTTGTCTATGAAAGACGAGGCAGAGTCCACAAAGAACACAGCAATGAAAGCGCAAATGGACGCCACAGACATCGTCGATCGAGAGAAGGCTCATACTGCTGAGCAGAATGGCCTCAAAATCCATCCACAACCGACATCTGACCCGCTGGATCCATTGAATTGGTCCCGACTACAGAAACATACTATACTGGGGATTGTGATGCTAAAGTAACCGGACCGTCTCTTGCCAATCCTGCTTGTTCTATGCTAACGGCATCGCAACCTATAGATACTTCCTCTTCACCTACATCACCACTACAACCGTCCCATCCTTTCCCGAAATCCAGACTCAGTTCGACATCTCCTACTCCCAAGTCAACTGGACCGTAGCCATCCCCGCCTTAGGGCTATCCATTGGCCCGCTCTTTTGGTCCTCTCTCAGTGATATCTATGGCCGGCGCATCATCTTCATCCTGGGCACCGTCATCGCCCTGGTGTCGACAGTCGGAGCTGCTGTAGCCGACACTTATGGCGGATACATGACTGCCCGGTTCTTCCAGGGATTCGGAGTGAGCCCAGGCTCGACCGTAGGAATGGCCGTGGGTAAGCCTCCCCTATCCCGCAATCAAGCAGGTATATAACTGACCATATCAAGTCAACGATCTCTTCTTCGACTATGAGCGCGGCCAGAAGCTCGGCCTTTGGGTCCTAGCCATCGACTCTGGACTCCTCCTCGGTCCTACCTGTACGTCCCTACGTCGCCCAACTATCAAGTGTTACAATCCTAACGAGTGAAGTCGGCGGCTTCCTCAACCTCGTCAGCGCCGCATGGATCAATTGGTTTAACGCCATCCTCTTCGCCGCCCTCCTCGTCCTCGAGCTCGCCCTCATGCCCGAAACCCTCTATCCGCGCTCCCTCATGCTGCAACTCATGTCCCGAGACCCCTTGACAGCGCCATCCTCCGACATCGAAAGCCCGGCCGAGAAGCCCGTCCCGGCCACAACAACCCCACCAGGAAAGATGAACGACTCAACTACTCAAATGGTCGAAGTCTCCCGGACCAAGAACCTCCCGTTCATCAACCTCCGCCCCGTCCCGGGCATGCGCCACCCCAAGCCGTGGGATGCGGTGGTCCGCTTCTTCTTGACCTTTCAATTTCCCGTGGTCGTCATCGCCGTCATCGGGTACTCCTTCGTCTGGTACTGGTGGGTTCTGTCGGTGATCACGATGGTGCCGGCGGCGTATGCGTCGTACACGCCGTTGATCCAGGGTCTGCTTTTCCTCGGGCTCCTGATTGGCACTGTCGTCTCCGAGGTGTGCTGCTCCGGCCGCTTGAGCGACTACATCGTTGGGAAGCTGGCGCGGCGTAATGGCAGCGTGCGCGTCGCCGAAATGAGACTGTGGTTGGCGTATCCTGCCATCCTCCTGACGGCTGGTGAGTTCGATCTCCTTCCTCGTAGGAGAGAGAGTCCGATATACTGATGCATGCAGTCGGGTTGATTCTATGGGGTGTCAGCGTCGACAAATCCTACCACTGGATGGTGGGCCAAGTGGCTTTCTTCCTCTGTATGTCTACGCCCATTGTATGGTCAAAAGCACCGCGCTAACAGCCCCAGTCGCCGCTGGCATCCAAATCGGCAACACAGTCACAAGCAGCTATATCATCGACAGCTACCCGCTCCAGTCAACTAGCGTAGTCATATTCTATGCCGTCTTCCTGAATCTGAGTGCCTTTATCAATCCCGTATGTTGACCCGTTCAGACCAATATGACGCAGAAACACCGGAAATCGCTAACGACTGCAGTTCTTCATTGCAAACTGGCAGGCAGCAGTCGGATGGACCTGGACTTTCACAGCGCAGGCGCTGATTGTCGTCGTCGCCGGCACTGCCGTTTTTCTCATTTTACAACGGTTTGGAGCGCTTTTACGCGCAAAAGCGCCGGTACCGTCATGGGTTAATCCCGAGTTTGATTCCTAGGCAATATTCCCTGCCATGTATAATTAATCTACGGAGTTGGTGGTTAGTGTTATGTGCTGGGCATTCTGGAATGATACGATCAAGTTCAAACGATCCTTGTGAGACCTAACTCGCCGAATGGATATATCAAAAGCAAATCACAAACTGCCCATCGCCACGCTCAAAGTTCTATCCCATAACGATACCTCAACGCCAGTAGTGTCGTGTCCCCAACTCCCCTGACCAGGACTGGATAAAAAAGCAGAAGCAAAACCACGGCGATCCACTTGAAAGCAACTGAGCCCTACATATGACCGTATAGCTTCAACCGATAAATGCACGTTTCGTTCGCCCCCCAGTTGGACTTGACCCGGAAAACAACCCGGCCCACACGGATAGCGGGCACGTCAATGATTGCGTCGAGCGCAAACGCCTGGATGTTGTTCGGCGCGTCAATGTCGTACCTCCACTTCCCAATGCGATAGAAAGACGCCCCCAACAGTTTGTCATCGGAGTAGGCGCTCTCTGGTTCGCCTTTGTAAGCGACGCGAAGCGCACCCATGATGGTCTCATGCAGAGAAAAGCCCTCGGGCATCTGGGACGCTGGTAGTGGACGAAGCGGCTGCCCCGACGAAGCAGCGCTGGTGTCCACCACGGAAAATTGAGCCCATAACTCCATGTCTTGGGGCGCAACCTCAGGCCGAATGGTAGCGCCCTTGGGGATGTGTTCCACAACGACCTCTTCTGGCACAATATGGCGGCCCAGCAACACCGAGAGCTGCGAGACACCAGAACGGGGAGCGCTACACCAGCAGTCGCCTACCTCCTCCCAGTTCACCAAAGCCATGATAGGACGCATCGGGCCACGGCGTGGGGTTCGAAAGAAGAGAGACGCCGCCTTTTCCAGCAGAGTTGGGGTGCGTCCTGCCGTTGGACTTGTTGTGTAGGGGTCGATAATCGGGCCCATGCCAATGGAAAGGAAGTTGACTCGCGCTACCTCAGGGACGGCTGGCAGGCGTTGAACGATTGTAGTAGGCGCTGCAGCCACGTTGTCGACTTCGGCTCTCATGTTCCTGACATCCCGGGAAAGCGACGAGACTTGTGCCCCGAGTCGTAGCACTTGCGTCGATAAACTGTTCACGGCTTCCAGCCCAGTCGAGTTGAGATCGATATGAGACAGCCCCCTACCCCAGGAAAGAGGCGAGCCAATATTGGAAGAAAGCTCAGCCAGATTATCGCCGAATGAGTAGACGGCAACAATGGACAGTATAGCTACTATAGCAGATGCCACTAAACGCATAACCGCGCCCTTTGGCGGGGAGAATGCAAAGCTGGTTGTAGCGGGAGTATCGCGCATCGTGTGTTCCTGGCGGGGTGCAATCGGCTCGGAATAGGAAGCTTCCCCGACGATACGGTCCGGAATTATCGTTCGAACGGGGGCTGACGAAGTCATGGGTTCCTGTTGTCTGGAGTCCGATCGGCTCCTTGAACGTGACAGTGGGCGAGGTTCTGATGATTCAAAGTCGGTGGTAGGTTGCGCCTGTGTTGCCCGTTTGGGGGAAGGAGATTTTGAGGCTGGATGCTCCGACTCTGGTTCTTCTTCTTCGATGGTGTCGTTGGCGAAAGCGAGTCCGGAGAATCGGCGAGGAGGAGCTGTGATATTCTTCATCTTTGGATCTGTACGAGCGGTAGTCGGATGCACTCGTTGGAGGTCGTCGCCATGTATATCACGCTCCACGGACCAGGAGATAAGTGATTCGTTGTCCATCGAACTTCCAAACTGAGGTGAGCTCAACGAAACATCGCGCGTAGGCGATCCAAAGCGCAGAAGTGGAGAAGGATAGAGTTGCTCGGCTTGCAAATCTTGATGCTGGGGGTTCGTGAGATTGCGCGTCGCTGGGCTGGACATGGTGGAAAGGGAATGGGGAATAGGAGGTGTAGGCGTTGGGGTAGAATGACCCGCTTCAGGATGAGGCGATACGGTGACCTCGCGCAGCGAGTCGAGCAGTTGGATCTGATCGGGGGTTGGCTCCCGCCGACTGCGGCGAACGGGGGAGCGACTCGCAGAGGCAGATGCCTTGCGCGATCGAGTCTTCGTTTGAGGTTGGTCTTGTTCTCGATCCTGCGCCGTCTTGATGTCCTTGTCAATGGCATCGGCCACTTCAACCAGGCCCAGGTTGGGCTTCGCAGTTAGTTTGCGCGGTAGAAGAGGAGTAGACGATGACCCATAGGCAAAGGAGTGCTTGACGGGGATATCTGGTAGGGCGGGATTATTTGTTTCCGGGCTTGTTACGCTCGGAAGATACGACGGGCTGTTGTGAACCTGTGAAGATCGCGCTATTGCACCAGCACGTCGGGTGGAGGCACGCTTAGGAGGCATGTTGTGATGCTTTGTGATATAAACCGTACTGCCGCAATGTTAGTCTAATATGGAGCAAACGGAATACATGAAGCCAGGGCTAACTTACGAATCCCGGAGTATCTACCAAAAGGCGTCCAATATGCGCCTTAGGCAGAAAGAGCGATGGTCGCGCGACTTGATGGAGAGAGGACGAAGAGGAAGAGAGAGTTGGAAGAAGCAGCGCGCATTCAACTTGATACGTACTGGAGAGAAAAGTGAAGGGAACGACTGTGGTGACGGGTTGACAGTCGAAGCAGTGGTGAGATGGAGGTAAAAGAGATGAAAGACAGCGACTCCCGTCACCCACTTCTTTGTTCCAAATGAGGTGAAAGAAACAGACAAGTAAGGTGATCAATCATAGGCGACCGAGTCGGAGACACAAACGAATGTGTTATAACACCATCCCATGGGGACTATGTCTCGCAGCTCCGGGTACTGTAGTCCTGACTGCTTCGCGACTTGACGCGCCAATGCACGACGCGGGAGAAGGCGAGCGATTGAGAGAGCCACTTGGGATGATCTTGGGGACAGCGATGGTCGCAAGAAGTCCCAGACGAAGAAGAATGAAATACGAGGGCGCGGTGTCCCTAGCCTTGTCTCCGTGGGCAGAACAGATGATGTTGTTGAAACGCGAGAACAAAGGCGGAATCGTGATGGTAACACTCAAATGCCCCAATGCGGTAAGGGTTAGTGCCTGATATACTAGGCATGGACAATAGTCTTAGTCAGGCATAAGGTCCAGTCACATGATCTTGATACATCCAGTCCCGAGGAAACCATTCATTTCGTCTCTATAAACAACACAAAAATGAAAGTAAGGTAGATGTCGTGGGTGAATAATATACAGGACGAAAATAGAAAGCCCAACACGTTATACAGAACAGCAAAGTCATCAGCGGACTGTACACCATATGTCCTAGGACTAACATGTCCATGCCGACACGATTCCGTCTTTGCGGCCTTCGACCAGGAAGCCATCCTTCAGCCGGACCCGTTCGACTGTTGCCGGGGAGGGGCCCTCTGCATCTGCTCCTACGCCTGCGCCACAATCCCAGTGGTGTCCGTCGGCCTTGTCGTAAACCTTCACCACGTTCTCACCCGCAGCGGCGACGATTCGCTTGGAATCGAACATCATACTGGTGACCGGCTTATCGTACGCATATGCGTCATAGATCGATCCAGTTCGGAGATCCCAGATCTAGAGCATGTTAGATGATAGTTCCCGAGAATAGGAAAAGGAGAACGGGAGGCTTCATACCCGAATGCTGCGGTCCAAACTTCCAGTCACCAGATGGACATCGTCAAACTGGAGGCATGTCACAGGACCGGTGTGGCCGACCAGACTCCGATGGACTTGACCACTACGCAAATCCCAAAGACGGACCATTCCGTCCGCAGTTCCGCAGGCTAAAGCGGCATCGAAGCACTGCAGGGCGCCGACAAAGTCGGCCGAGGCGTCGGGTAGTCGTCCAGACGGCCGCCACTGCGTATCGCCGCCCAAAGTCGAAGCTTGGGCAGCCGCCCAGAGAACATCCAATGTCTGCACACAACGACCCTTCACGAGATCCCATTGTCGTAAGGTCTTATCCGCAGAGCCAGAAATCAAGGTATCGCCGCGGAAATGGAGCGCCGTGACTTCGTCCACGTGCGCGTCCAGAGAATACACGTAACAGTCCTCCAAGGTTGTCGACTGGAATAACTCATGAGCATCGTCCGCCGTGTCCTCGCCCTCGTCGTCCTTGTTGACACGCCCATCGCGAGTGACGGATCGGGCCCGGCTCAAATCCCACAGTTTAACAGAAGCATCCATTGAACCCGTTGCGACGATGTTATCCTCAATCTGGAGACACCGGACGGATGCATTATGGCCTTCCAAAAGTCCGGTGCAGCGCCCAACGTTCAGATCCCACACACGGACGGTATCGTCTAAGGCTGCGCTGACCATCGTGCCGAATGGGAAGTCGAAATCGATGGCGGTCACCATGTCATTATGCGCGGGCATCTCCTTGATCTGCGATCCTGGCGCAAAGTGCTCGTGCAGAATCGGCATAGATCGCTTTCCTAAAAGGCGTATCAGCAGAGCCGCCAGCGGGTAGGCAAGTAGACAAGACTGTACTTATTGATCTTTGCTTGATGCTCTTCGGAGAGGACATCTTCTGGTAGATTGACTCGGACATGAAAGAAGCATCCATCGCGGGATCCTCGGAGACGAAGGAATCTTCATTGGCCTCGGACGATTTGGGAGTCGCCACGGCGGCCTGGGATTCCGGTTGTTCTTCCTGAAGATCCTCTAGCTTATTATCGAGCTCCGTCACTGTCCACAGGGCGTTAGGATCAATCGAGACGCTGCAGAGGGCGGGGGCCACCAACGCTCATGTTCTAACTCGGCTTCCTCCATCTCCAGGCCCGCCAAGCGGTCCAAGACAATTTTTCGCATATTGTGCAAATTGGCGATTTTGTTGTCGATTTCGTGGATTTCGGAGCTACACATGTTCTTCCGCACCCCCATGAGATCCAATCGGCGGCTGAGAATGTCCCGGTCCTTTTTCAAGTCGGTCGGAGTGGACGGAAGGGCGGCCCGAGCATCGCCGTCTTTCAGTAGCTTTTTTCCCTTGGAAATACGCCGTCGATGGACTTTTCGATATTCATGGTCGTCTTGGGACGCCTGGAAGCCTTCAAACAGAGAGTAGGAGCTGGAATCTTCGGGGATGTTGGCGAGGAGGTCATCAGGAAGGGAGGAGATGGCACGCGACTGGATTTCGGTGGTGGAGAGCTTCGAGCGAACCAGATCGGTAGGGGTGGTTTGGGTCAAGGAGAAGACCCTGCGCTGGGTATTGGGACGCCGCAATTCACGTTGGATGTCCACCATGGCACTGTGATAGTGGCTGCCGGTGGTGGCTTCTGTCGACGAAGGGGCCATCAGGTGGCCGGCTGTTGTCGTTACTTTCCTCCCAAAGGCCTCGATATGCCGACTCTGCCGCCGCGTGGTGCAACGTCAATAAGGCGTCCCGAGGGAGGGAATCCCGTTAAAGTACAGCGTAGAAAAAAAAAGTATGAGCTTACCGTTAAACCGGTCCCTAGTAGACCGTCTGGCTCGACAATATCCGACAAGCCGGAGGGAGACTCATCCCGGCGGTGTTTGTCCATGACACCCTACCGAGAGAAGATTAACCACTGTCAGGACCTCTACCCACCCATATGGGTAAGCTGGAGTGACCGAGAATGGAGGAGGTCGGGGCGCGCGAAGGTCGGGAGGGGTGTGTGTTGAGGTCTTCGAGGATGGCGAAGAGGCGGAAGAGTGAACGGTCTGTCCGCACGCGATGATGGATTACCGCGTTTCCGACCGAGCTTGCCCAAGGTAAGGTACCTTGGCTGTACCTGCTGGGTGTATGGGGTAGTAATAATACACCCGTCACATGCAATTATGAAGGTCTTGTGCGGCCAAGTCGTGTAATAAATTGTAAATATTTGTAATAAGCGTGCTCAAATACCGTACCCACCTGATACCTCTAGCAAGTACCTACCACATAACCTAGTTTTACCTACATAAGTCTGTCCTTTAGGTCTCCATCTGTCATGCATGTAGTACCTTAAGTCTTTACACCCAATACTTTTACTTTTACTTTTGTCAAAGAACTACCCTGTATACCTCAACCTCCCCATCTTTCCCAGCCATACAACTCTGGCGTCTGTTGCATATGGCGTGCAAGATTGGAAGAGTTCCTCCGGGTGATCAACCATGACTGCTGGAAGAATGACTGCTCCGAAAGTATCAAGGTAGAGTATGTGCCTAATGTAGAGAATGGATTTGGTGGGATATTACATATCTGATGACTTCCACAACGGGGAGAGGATAATACTACCTACCTACTACTCGGAGTATACCAAAAGCGTTCATTCACACCTTTTCCGTCAGCCTCAGAGTGATGCAACCAGAACAGTACTTACCTTTATGGTACCTACTCTAGCACTAACCTCATTTTATTCTCTCTCCCACGATGATCGGCGCCTTGGTCTTCCCCTGACTCCCTCACGAGCACCTAGTTAGACTACTATCGTCTTCTAGTATCCAGTCCAAAAAATTCCGCCCTTTTCTTTCGACCGGATCCATCGAAGGATCGTACCCACTCCGTACAGCCTGGTAGTTTATCTACCTCGGATTTCCCCAACGCGGGAGCTGCGAGTCAATCAAAAATAGTCTGGATTTTTTCCCTCCCCGCCCATCACTTTGTACCAGAGTAATCCTTCCTCCCCCACGGTCTCGCTCTCGACAATCATGGATACGGCCATTGACCTCTCGGATGCCTCCAAGGCCTTGGACCTAGCCAACATTCGTTTCCAGTTGATGTAAGTTGCCAGATCGGAGATCCCGATCTTGCCGCAAGACACCCCGCAATCAACTCGACGTCCGCCTCTCCCGAACCGCTGACATGTCGTCCCACCTGCAGTCGCCTGGAAGACTCGATCACCTTCTATCTCATCGAGCGCGTTCAATTCCCCCTGAACAAGCCCATCTACGTCCCCGGGGGCGTCACCATCCCCGGCGATGACCACTGTCTCATGGACTACCTGCTCCGCGAGCAGGAACGCATCCAGTCCCGCGTCCGCCGCTACCAGTCGCCCGACGAGTACCCCTTCTTCCCGGATGTTCTGGAGGAACCCATCCTCCAGCCGCTGCAATACCCCCGCATCCTCCACGAGAACGATGTGAACGTCAACGAGATCATCAAACGGCGGTACGTGGAGGACATCCTTCCGGCCATCTGCCCCAAGTTCGGCCGCGAAGACCGCGGCGAGACCCAGGAGAACTACGGCTCCTCGGCCACCTGCGACGTCAACTGTCTCCAGGCGCTGTCGCGGCGCATCCATTTCGGCAAGTTCGTTGCCGAGTCCAAGTTCCAGAAGGACCCGGAAACCTTTGTCAAGTTGATCAAGGCCGAGGATCGGGCGGGCATCGATGCGGCCATCACCAATGCGGCCGTCGAACAGAAGGTCCTGGAGCGGTTGGCTTTGAAAGCAAAGACCTACGGCACGGACCCGGCCTTCCCCACGGAAGCCGGTACCAAGATTGATGTGGATGCGGTAGTCGCCATGTACAAAGTAAGACCGTTACACCCAGACCGTAACTCACGACCGGCACTGATTTTGTCCAGGAATATGTGATTCCCCTGACCAAGGTGGTCGAGGTCGAGTACCTGATGCAGCGCCTGAAGGGGACCCAATGGGAATGAGTAGGATGTCTATATACATTATAAAGCGTGATTCCGTATAGAGACCATGGGATTGATGAAAAGGAAATAGAACAAAAAATCTAATCGCTGAAACTCTAAGAAACAACTTTTTCCACCGGACCATCATGACAGCTGTCTGTGACTAAACGGGAGGCTTGAAGTAGTCCGAAGCAGCCTTCACGGCCCCTTCGAATTTCCCCCCGTCCAGCAGGATCAAGCTTCCGGTGGTGCGAATGCCCAGTTCCTGGAACGTGCGCTTGGAATCCGAGTGGCCCTCGTCATGCTTGTGCGTATGCTCGAACGATCCGCTGCACACCGCGTGGCGCTCCAAGATCTCGTCCTCGGGGTGGAAGAAGAGCCGCGTCGACTCTCCCGACTTCTTCTTTTTCTTCTGTGGCCGCGCCTCCTCCATATCCAGTTTCGACTCGACTTCCTCGTACGTCTTCGAAAGGATCAGGTAGTGCGAAAAGTTGTACGGTTCATTGTCCTGGATTGCCCAGGTGATTTCCTCGAGGAGCATGGTGTACATGGGCGGGATCACCTGCGGAGGCATATTGATTAACCGCTCTGCGAGGATAAGTCCGATCGGAGGAATGGGGTTTTGTGAAAGAAGTTGAGACAGCGGCGCGAGGGAGGGGGTGGAAGCGGCTTTTTTCTGGAGGTAGGCGATCAAGTCTTTGATGACGGGTTTATCCTGCAATGGGTCAGCGTCATTCGTGGGCTCGCACCAGCGCAACACACACACCTTATGCTCCTGTAGGTTCAAGACACTGAGGAAAGCGTACGGATCCGACTCGTTCCCGTCCACCTTTACCGTTGAGCCCAGTGTCGGTTGCGCAAGAATCATGTCGGCCAATTCGGACATATTGAACATCTGCGCATCTGCGTCGAACAATTGTCGCAGAAGATTTTTAATGCCGTGGAAATCGACCGCGGGTTGAGGGTCGAACCACTCGAAGTCGACGTTCACAATCTCCATCTCCTATGTCGGAACCCGTCAGTCTGGTGTCTCATGGGCGCAATTCACTGAAGCGGCGGAGGGGTACTATACCTCGTCAGACTCGTCGCCTTCGACGGGCGGATTGGTACCGCCCATTTCGACATCGCCATCCTTGACCTGCTTGCGCTTCCCCATTTTGGCTGTAAAGGTATCTATCTGGTGGTGGTAGAAATTTGATCGTATCGATAAGGCAGCGAAGAAGGTTGGCGGCGGGCGACGAAAGTTGCTCCGACCCGCTAAACCGCATTCGGATATGGCCATATCACCAAGACAACATTTAGACCATTCATCCATCTCTGATAACGCATATCAATCTCATTCCGTTGCTACTTTGGGGTGATGTGACTTTTAATACCCGTATATGCGTTTGAACAGCGTGGTCTAGCGGGCAGAAGTCTGGTCAAAGTACCAAAGTGCATATCCAAGCCCACGATATATTTTGAGAGCAGTTGACACTCAAAGTGATCTACCCGTATATACACCCGTCCATCGTCTTCAAGTGGTGAATTACCCTCCGTTTCCATAAACCACACCATTCCTCATGACGTCAATACTACTGGGTATCCGTTTGGAAAAAGAAAGCATTGGCTTCAGCTTTCAGCCTTCAGCTGAAACACAGCTGTTAAGCTCCAAGGCGGCATCTCCTCTTCTAAAACCAACTCACCGTTCCTGTCGGCTTGAATATAGGAGACATCAAGCCGCATGGCATAATCCAGAAGCTCCCTCGTCGTCTGCCGGCCTAGCGAGGACGGAGAACCCAGCCGCCTATAAGCTGTTTTGACGTCGCCAGGGCCCCCGGGATATAGTCTTTCAACCCTGAATGACGATCCCGGCGGCAAGGCCTTAAGGACTAGCTTTCTCTTCTCAGGGCTGCCGACCCTGAGAAGATCCTCGGCTGCTTCAGGATCATTGTAAGCGGGTGGCGGAGAGGTCTTGACCCCAGCCGGGTAGTGGAACATGATAGCGGAGATAAGTCCATCGGAATTGCGAGTTATGATGCCCGCATTCTCATCGCGCCCCAACACTTCCGTTCCGAGACGACTCAGAAGCCTAAAGGCATGGAAGGCAGGCTTGGGAATGCCCTGCAAGTTGAGCAAACCGAAACCTCCGTCTAAAAACGTTCACGTCAGCAATGAACCAACACAAGAACCGCAGTATGATAAGCCCTAAACCCTCTGGCACACAAGATCGGACTGACAGGAGCCATGAGAAGGAGAGCTTACGAAATGGACTGACTCCGCAGCCTTCTTCTTCGAAGACGTCCGTGAAGGTCCAATAAGCTATCGTGTCAACCAGATTGAGCGATGCGAGCATTGTCCGAACGATGTAGATCGCCACCGGAACTTCGTCATGCGCATGGTCCCTGGACGAGGGACTGGAACTCCATTCAGTGAGATGGATCTCAGCCGATGGATAGGGGCTCTGGGCCACAATCCGTCGCACATGAGCGAGATCATCAGGGGTTGCTTGAAGTCCCCGCACGCGTTTCGACATATTACCGGAAGTGTCCAAGGCCCAATCTGTTGGGTAGGGATGGCACGAAACGAAATCCACCGGGAGCTGTCGTGAGTAGCACCACTGGAGGAAGTGCTCGACCCATACTGGCCGCCAATGTAATGAGTCAATGTCCTCGACCTGCAGGTTACGGTGAGTCTCTGCTTTCGAGAACTTCTCGGCTGAGTTTACCTTCTCAAGTTGCTTCTGGACCTCGTAGTCCTCCCAGTCCTGATCAAACCGCGTGTCTGGCACAAAGTTGCTGGTGGCTGGCCCGCCGACACGGAGGGCTGCATCAAGCTGCTTGACCGCCTTGACTGTGCATTCGTACAGAGCATAGTACTGAGACCTGCTTCCTGTAAAGAACTGGTGGAGGTTTGGCTGCGGATTTCTTAGCCTACGTTCACCCCCACTAAGTAAGACGCCACTCACCTCATTCCAACACTCGAAATACCACGTCCGGACTTCCTCCAGACCATAACGCTTGATCCAGTGATCAACGGTAGCCCGCACCAGATCGCTCCACTGGTCGAGCTGTTTCGGAGGGCTGCCATTGCCTTTCCACCAGAACACCTAAGAGGCTGTCAGGCTGGACTTCGTCCTGGCCAAGGTCGGGCCTTAGTAGAGATAGATTGCTGGAAACCCACCGTGTCCACTTCGGTAGCAATCAAGGAAGGACAGAAGCCAAATTCAACAAAGGGGCGCACACCCATATCCAGCATGGCGTCGAACAGGGCATCGATATACTGGAAATTATAGACATGCTTCCCATCGACCTCGTGAATCACGTGCATGTCGTCGTGATACAAGCCATGGAAGCGGACGTACTTGAAGCCACATGTAGTGTGTACAAGTTTCAGATGGGCTTGCCAGTCAGCACGAAGACCTTCATTGGCACGTCCGGCACCGACCACTTGGGCCCAACAGTGTTCGAAGGTGTCAATCTTGGGCTTGTCCACTGAGACCTGGAACAGGCCGGCGGCGCCCGGATTGGTATTCATGATGTAGGCAGGAAGGAGAGACGAAGTTAGGGTATCCACGGTCTGTGGCCAAGGTCAGATGCTGACAACCTTGAATTTATTGAAAGCATGTTGGACTGTCGTTGTTGTGAATTTACCCTAGCGCCCGGTAGTATGAATTGCAACGCGGAGGCGAGTGCGAGAGAATCGCCGAGCGGCCACAGTTTCCTGAAACAACCGGATAAAAGCGGATAAAAGAGACTGTGGCCAAGTTTGCGCGGGGAAACCGGCTGCTTCGTATACAGTACTGTCGATTGCGAGTAGGCGGGACAATGTGCTGGTTGATTTCATCTCGAGAAATCGTCATTAAGAAGTGATCGTCGACTTGGAGTTTCCATTCCGCTGCACATACAAGCTATCAATAAATTTTCAAGAATGGACAAAATCATTACTAAGTAATTCGCAAAGCAGTGGATTGTAACCATCAGACTACCTTGTCGTATCAATATGATCACCCGCAAATCGTGTGGCTAACCTTGCGCCCCGACTCTCAGCTCTACTTTGCGCCAAACTCCCCAGTTGTTGACCAGTACACAACATAATTGAAGCCCTGTGCGTCATAGAACGGACCCAGAGTCACATTTGCACCGTTGGCCGTGGCGGAAAAATCAAGCGAGGAATCCCCCTGACGAACGACCGAATCCAGTGCAAGAGAGGGAGCGGAGCTCAGTGAAGAGCTCCCATAGTTGCCGGAGAGGATGACCGGACCATAAGCAATGGCCATGAGACTTGGGTCGTCGTTTGCAGGCACCGTCCGCAAATGCATGGGCAACTGGATCTGAACCTTGTCGCCTGAAGCCCAAGTGCGCGCTATCTTGGCGTACGATCCAGGGCTTACATCGACATCGGTTACCTGCTCCCCGTTGATCGTGATGGCCGCGTTCGACGTCCACGAGGGAATGCGAACGTATAGTTCCCAATCGCCGTTTCCATCAATATCAAGCGTGATGGTGTCACTGACAGGGAAGGTGGTGCTTTGGGTGACTTTCACCCCCTTCTCAGACCAGGTCAAAACCGAGGGAATAAACTGGTTCACGTAGAGGGCAGAATCGCTATGGAAGAAAATGGAATCCATGAGCTTGGTGTTGGTTTCTAAGGCTGTACCCTGGCAACACCAGAAAGAATCGTAGTCCGTGCTCCATGTGCCACCACCCCAAGCTGGGCCAACACCTCGATTGCCACCTGGGTTGAGGGACGTGAAATATGTGATATGCCCATGTGAGTCGGCCGGGTTCTGCTGACCAAGGAGATGGTTGAGAAGGGCATTCTCATAAAAGTCAAAGTACGTGGTATTCTCCGGATCCAAGGTCCACAGCTCTCGTGTTAATTTGAGCATGTTGTAGGAGTTGCAGGCTTCGGCAGTGTCCGAGTCAAGATACTGCGCGATGGCGTTGGGAGCATGAAAATGCTCTGCCTGGCTGTTGGCCCCAATCGCGTAGGTGTGGGCGTTCACGGTAATGGTCCATGCATTGCGAGCAATATCGAGATACCGAGTGTCTCCAGTTGCTTTGTATTCCCGGACTGCGCCAATCCATTTGGGCACCTGGGTATTTGCATGCAGGCCGTTGAGCTGGTCCTCATTGGCGGCCAGTGGATCAAATACAGCGGCGTGATCAAAGCGTTGGGCAGTCTTGAGCCATTTCTCATCCGAGGTTTGATGGTAAAGGTCCGCCAATACATCATTCATGCCTCCAAACTCAGTTCCCAGGACTGATTGCATTTGTGCCTCGCTCAAGGCGCTTGTCCGCGTATCCACCCACCCGGCAAGAGCTAGGAGGACATCACGGGCGGTGGTATCCCCTACCAGACGCCAGACGTCTAGAAGACCAGCCAGGGTCTTGTGGATGTTGTAGTAGGGGACATTTCCGTTGTTCAACGTACCGGCTTCCAGGGCATCGAAATCGGATTCTGGAAAGCCGGACAAGTATCCGGTCTTGAAACCAGCGGCTTCGTTATTGGCCTGGCACTTTGCCAGCTCGGAAACAAAGTAGGTTGCCCTTTCCTGACAATCAGTGTCGCCCAGAACCGCGTAGCACTGCGCCCAGGCAGTGAGAAAATGGCCTTGGACGTGAGTGCGGAAGGGAAAAGTAGGAGCATCCCAGCCACCGTTGGCCACAGCACCTTTGGTATCAAGTTTATGGTTTGCACGGAAGTTAAGCAGCAGTCTCTCGGTATCGACGAATTTCAGGTAGGACAAGGTGCGCTCTTGATTGTCCAGAAAGCGGCCGTCGCCAAGAGACAGCTCACTTAGATTGAACGCAGAGGCCGCCGCGTTGATTTCTGCAGCCTGGGAGAGCGCAGGCCACAATGACAGGGCCCAAGTAAGAAGGGATGGGAGCATGGTATTGAAGAGCCGGAGTAGAATACTTGTACTCCTCTATATCCGGGAGGCGTTGGAGGTGAATCCTCGGGAACCATGGGGAGAGAACCCGTATATAAGTGCCAGTCCGCCCGAGACATTCGCAGTTCTTCATGATGGATTGTAGCAAGGGTCCTTCACAGGTAAATAGTGGCTTTGTATCAGACTGTGGGGGAGAGTCGGGAATTTTCCCGTCTGGGTAATATAGGTATGGGTTATAGGTGTCCCATTGGCCATCCCACCGCTGGAGACACCATATAGGGGTCACCGACCTGCCGATCAGTGGGCGTCCTCCGGCATAAGCCCTGCGGGGGCTTGGAGAGTTCTCCCATGAATCGTAGAGTGACGATCGGTCCTCGCAGGATGCCAGTACTTAGTCAGGCAATCCTGTCTCACCCCATGCATAAATGTGTAACATATAGAGTAGACTTTTATGTGCCGGCAAATAAAAACCCGACATTCGGGCAAGGCAGGTTTCTTCAGACCTTCCCAAAGCCTCCAATCCGAGGTCGAAGCTCTGTTATATAGAATAACGATCTATTGCCTGTCCTTTTTGGACGTCGTCATGAATCTACTGGAGGGATATACTGGTATCTTGACCCTCTAAGATTTTGGTACTTTCTCATCTCCCTCTTTGATTGATCTCCTCTTTGCTCTATATATCATGGGAACGTGCATTGCATTGACACTATGTACTCCGTACCCACAACACTGTCACTCATTTGGTTGCAGTTATCGCCCGTTTGATCTTTTCTTTCAGATCAGGAACCTCCGGATCATCATCGACCCTTAATCCATTGAGTACCCTCGCGAGCAGTGCATACAGACCGATCACAACCAGAGCCTCCACGACTAGGTCTGGGCCTAGCTCTTGCACTGCATCCCCCACGGTCTTTTCTTCGTTCGAATAAGTCGCCAACTGCTCGTCCACCAACCGCAGCAGGACTCGGTCCCTATCGGTCCACGGGCCTTTACCGTGGTCCAGAATGTCTTCTGCGGAGCACGCGATGTCGTCGATCTTTTCTTGCGGCATCTCGTAGACCTCCGCGACGGGGAGGTTCACATCCCACTCGTATTTGGCCCCGAGAACAGTAGCGGTTCGCAGGACAATCAATTGCCATTCCAGTGTTGGGAGCTTCCGCTGGGAACCATCGAAACACGCGCCGATTAGGCCCAGTAGGTGAGGTGCAAGCCCGTGCGATCGGGCAATTGTAAAGAGAATATTGCGGCGAAAGGGTAAAATTTGTAGCTTGTCGCGCACAACTGGGGGAAGTTCTTCAAGGGTTGGATACGGTACCAGACACCGCTTGCGGTATGGGTCTTGCGCAGCTGAAGATGCTGTTGAGTCCATCGCTTGGAGTGGTAAATCGGATAAGAGGATATTCTTCGAAGTAGCTGTCTTGGAAGGGTTTCTGATGAGGCGTCTGTCGCATAGCTAATCGTGTAATGTGATAATGAAGTAATTTTCCCGGACGCCCACAGACACTATATAGGAGACAAGTTGAACGTGTCCTGCTCATTGCCACGTTCTCAATAACTCAATGTACTTGTCAGCTACGTGTCATCCTGTTACCCGGTGGAAGTAGATGCAGATGCACTCTACAGAAATAGGAAACAGAGACAGAGCGTTTCCAGGAAACAGGGTCATATCCTGCACAAACCACTGACTGCAGCATCTAAGATCTGGTGGCGAATTGCAGATCCAAGAAAAATCCTGCAGGATTCATAATGGTTGGCCAAATGATCATCCATCACGTAACTACCGAGGTTGCCAGCAGGATATCCGGTTGGAGTATGTGGCTTTGCAAGCCAATATGGTGCCTTAACAACTTCCTTGGCCACGGAAAGCCAGATTACGACAGAGCAGGTATCTAACTAACTCTATCCTTCCTCTACTGGCAGGTAATCGCACACCTCCACCCTCATACAAGTAATCTACACAATGCATGGTTCCAGTTTGGGAGGAGTGATGGCGATAATGAGTATGAAAAGACTTGGAAGACAAAATTTGTCTTATACATCATCGTCACGTTTCGCATAATAGTCAACATATAAAGGCGTCGTCTGGTCCATTAGCCAGTATGTAGTCAAAGCCTTGATCATTTATTGCTACCTGTTTCGATCCTTACAATGGCCCATCAATATCGAGAGCTCAAGGTCAAATGGCCAGCTGCTGGTATCACCGTCACGGTGAGAATGCATAATAAGAACAAGGCCCTTGTGGACTTATTGTGGGACACGTTGCCGTACCGGTCCCTTCAAACGCATGCCTTGGTCACTGGTGATCATCTCTATCATCTGGTCCCTTCGGAAGCATTGATAGTAAGTTGTCGACTGTGCCTAGAGCGATAAACAATATTGATAATTGCAGTACACACCTCCCGCTCTGAAGATACCAGACAGGACGGAAGCACCTGATGGCACGGTGTTCCTGTCATCCTTCCAGCACTTAGCCATCAAGTATGGCCCCGTCACAGAGCACCACCCTGCCGCTCCTTGTGGAAACGTTATCCCTGAGGATATAGAGAAGCTGCGCTCAGTCGGAGACCAGATCTGGAAAGGCCAGCTGGAAAAGAAGCAGCCTTTTCAGGTCGTTCTCTGGGATGCTTCCCAACCGGAGCCAGATGATGCATTCCTTTCACTCCGCCTCCAGCGGACCGGCGTAACTGAGGAGGTCAAGGAGCTTGTAAAGGAGATCCACGACAAGGCATGTGTCTCCAAACGGCAATTGACTTGCATGGCCCTTTTATCTAATGTAAACCACTGGGATAGACAAACGAATCCTGGTCTGGGATCTCAGATGACATCCACAGCATCCACAGTGGTCAGGCGCCAGACCACCCTGGTTCGAAGAACTCGTATTTTGCTGCTATGCTGTTCTCCAACAGCGAAATCAGGGCCATGGGCTACTATGTCTTTGATAATATACTCAAAGTGGCCGCCAACCGCCCGGAGTTTACACTCAAACATCTTATTGCCTTATACAGAGACTTCGTGCCTGCTACTGCCGAATTCCTTGGGTATGTGGGCCACAATTTTCTTCGCGAAAGCCATCGCAAGATCGACCTCCTTATTACGCAGAACGTCGAGAGCAACCATATATTGGACGAGGCACGCGAGGACTTCCTTGCCATGGTGAGCGTATTTGCGCAATACATCAACCTTCTGAATGCACAGAATTTGCACATGTTTCCCTGGCAGCACACCCCCGAGTACCCGATCAGACCGGCGTGAGAGGAGATTTTAGATCGTGTTCAACAAGTATACAATTGGTTTCATGGAACTAGCCATAGACAGATTTTCTACTTATAGATACTATAATCGGGATGGGCGGGTGTTCCAGCAGAAGCTTGCTGAGGGTAGTCTCACACGCTCTATCTCTTAACTTTGAATTGTATTTGTCTATTTGCCTACTCGTTGCATCGTGATGTTGATATACGTTGAATCTATACCGACAAGGTGGCATACTCTCACAGCAAGCAATCCGCCCAGGTCCAGATGTATCTATAACTGGACTTGAGAATCATCAGCTTGTTCCAGACAGACGTTTGTTAATTCAAAAGGAGGAGAAAAAAGAAGAAAGCACGTCCTCAAGTAGCAGGCTGAACCTTTACGTTACAGATGTCATAGACAATGGGACTAAGGTCGGGCTCAAACCCACAAAAGTACAATAACAACTACCCCTACTCCGTCACTTCGCAGAGAGTTGGATCTCCAGAATCGACATGGCACTCCCAAAAGGCTGGGTAACACCGATCAGCTGCAACCGGGGATCGGCGGCGGTGATTAGGTCTTTCCATTCATCCAACTCCCTCTCCTTGCTGTTGAATGACTGGATCATCGTCAGATCCCTGGCGCGGGCAATGCGCTCCACCGAAATCGGCACAGACCCCGGTTTCGGGAGGACTGTGTCCATGATGAACAAACGGGACTTTGTCTCGTCCATCGCCGTGACAATGTTGCGAAGGATTTTCACGGCTTGCTCGTCCGGCCAATCGTGCAGGATCATTCTGAGCAGATATGCATCCGCCGCTCGCACTGGCTGCGGCAAGGTAAAATCATGGGCCTGGAAGGTCAGACGAGAGGCGATGTCGGCTGGTAATGATGCCGCCGCTGCCTTCTCCCCAGTTTCCACGTTCTCAGGCAGGTCCTGGACGGTGAATCTGATATGTGGATAGGCCTGGGCTAGTGCTATCGCGGCTCCACCGGTCGAACCCCCAACCTGTGTGGACCAAATTATCAGCCGATCTTGTGTCCAGAGAAAACCCTAACGGCACTCACATCGACGAGCATACCCCCAGCAGGAATACTCTCCCAATCAACGCCGGAGATGAGATGCTTGAGTGCGACAGTCTCGCTGCTTCGGACACTCCGCATATACCGAGCAAACTCATCCATCCGGGCCTTATTCTGCGCCAGATAGTCGAAAAACGGCAGGTCCGTGTTGAACGCGACGTTGTAGGCTGTTTCGTTGGTCCGCGTACTCGCGCCCCATCGCTTGTGTGCCTCGGTCATGCTCATCGCCATCGGGGCGGTTTTCGAACACATGTAGGTTGCGTAAGAATAGGCATCGTCATCACTGGCTAGAAGCGCCGAGACCGCGGAGTGACCAACGTCGGTGCCGTTTGGATGCTCTCGAAAGAGCGACGAAGTCATGGCCATGCGGAGGATGCTCTTCAGGCGCTGTTCAGGAACGCCAGCCGCCCGGGCAAGATCTGCATAGCTGATGTTCTTATCACGGGGTACAAGGTGGAAGATATCGTAGTGGGCGAGCCAAGCGAGACAGGAGATGTACTGGAACTTCATGCGCCTTTTGGTCAACATGACCTCATGTCACGAGAGGTTCGGGGGTTCTCTTACATTAGTCGCGAGATGTGGCAGGAATTCACTGGGCCCAATAGCCAGTTGGAAAATCTCTAGAGAAGCGGCGATAAGTTGTTGACGAGCCTGCTGTACATCTTGCGGCGCATCGCTGGGAAGCACGACCACGGGGCCGTTGGCTTCGGGCGATGGCTGGGGTAAATGGTTCGCTTGTAAATACTGGCTCACTATAGAGGTATTCTTCGTGATGACGCTGCTCAGTCCTTCGAGAGGAGACACAGTAGAATCCAAGTCCGCAGCCGAGGAGTAAGGAGTCATTTTGGATGACAAGGTAGTTAGCCAGTCCCTCAGTCCTGATGGCAAATGTCCTGATATTCAAGCTGCTGGCGCACTCGGTGAGAAACGCAACGGGCATTATCTTCGGCGAGAACATGAGGGGTCATAAAGGTAAGGTAGTATAGTCCCGGGGGGTTATTCGTCCGTCCCCCGATCGGGACCCGAGGATTACGGTACTAGCACGAGGCCAGACCAGGGCAACGAGCTGAGCGAATTTGGGCATTCGGAGATAACAAGAAATCCCGATTGGATGGCAATAAGTAGTAAAAAGGAACCAGTGTGAACATGACTGTCTGTCGGAATGATGCTCATCACTGACACCGACTACCAACATGACGGACGACATAGCACCCTCTGGCTATCAACCGCATCGAATCAGTACGCTAGCCGTTCTCATTGGATTTATCGCACTCTTGACCGCATGGCTGCGCCGTGACAGAAGGCTTGCCTCGATCCCAGGGCCAAGGACATACCCCTTAGTCGGACTAGGCTACAAGCTCCCTCCCAAAGCACCCGCTCTGTTCCGCAAATGGGCCATGGAATATGGCGATGTGTTCCGAATCCGCGTTGGCTGGTATGACTGGGTGGTCATCAACAGCCCAGAGGCGATAGCGGAGATACTGGAGAAGCAGGCCGTGAAAACATCCTCCAAGGCGCCTTCGCCCCTGGGCCACGACGTCGTTACGGGGGGCAATCGCATGCCCACGATGCCTTACGGGAAGGAATGGCGAAACCTACGGTCTGTCGTGCGCCAGATCACCACCGTGCCCATGACTGCGTCTTTTGTCCCGAGCCAGGAGTTCGAGGCGAAACAATTACTCTTCGACCTGGCCACTGATAACGAGAACCAGCGCAACTTCTACCAGCACATGCGCCGCTATGCCTTCAGCATCATCATGACCAACACCTTCGGCACTCGGGTGAAGAGCTGGGACCATCCGGATGCTCAGAACGCCGTGCGAAGTCAAGCAGTTCTCCGACGAACGTCGCGACCAGGTGCCTTTCTCGTTGATGAACTTCCACCGTTGGCCCGGCTGCCAAAGTGGCTCCAACCTGGTCGAAGAGAGGCACAGAGGGCGGCGAAAGTGGTCCATGATATCAAGATGGAACTTTGGGAGAGACTGAAAACCCAGGTAGAAACAGGCAAAGCTCCTCATTGCTACGCCAGAGAAATCTACGAGAGTCGGGAATCATGGTACGCAAAGGGTGCCACGGAGGAGCAACTGGCATGGGTTTCTGGCGGCCTTGTGGAAGCAGGTTTCGAGACCACCGCAGGCACATTGAACAGCCTTGTCTTGTATCTCGCAGCAAACCCACAGGTACAGAAGACCGCCCAAGAGGAGCTTATGCGCGCCGTCGGACCCCATCGCCTGCCCACGTTCGAAGACACTCGCCGCCTGCCCTATATCCGCGCCTGTGTGAAAGAGGTGCTGCGGATGAATCCTATTCTGTCTCCGGGTATCCGGCATTATGCCGACGAGGACGTCGTATACAAGGAACATGTTATCCCGAAAGGAACAGTGCTCCTGGCCAACACCGCATACCTACATTATGACCCGAGGCGATACAAGGACCCGCAAAAGTTCATGCCGGAGCGGTACCTCGACCACCCCCTTTATAGCTCTGACTATGCGGCCATGACCGACCCGTCCAGGCGAGATCATTTCACGTTCAGCACTGGTAGGCGCACCTGTCCCGGGGCGCGACTGGCGGAGAACTCCCTGACCATAGCGCTCGCTGGCATGCTGTGGGCATTCGAGATACGACCGGGGCTGGTTGATGGAGTTGAGACAGAAGTTGACATGAGCGACGACGCATACCTGGATACAGGATTTACTCTTCCGAAACCGTTCGCCGCGAGGTTCCTCCCGTGGAGCGAGGAGAGACTGCAAATCGTCAAGGAGCAATGGGAGCTTGCGTCGAAGAAGGGATACGAGCTACGTGGGGTACCAGTGGATATTGAGGGCATGACCAAGTAAAGTATATATACGAAGAGCGTGTGTCTAAAACTAGGTCTATTCAGTAATCCAATTCTCTCAGCTTTGACCTCGTCAGATTGACCAGACTCGCATGTTTACCCGTCAACCACGAGTCGAGGCTTTGAAAGAGACTGCCCGCACCGCCAATAATGTCTTCCCCAATGTCGTAAGGCCCGCCAGAGCTGCGAGTCGTAAATTGATCAATGAGATCGCCCACGCGTCGGATCTCACCCGAGAGAAGCTGCACCTGCACCGCCGCCTGTACCCGCAGGTCGTCCACGTTGAACGACCCAACCGCCATTTCGAGAGGGGCGACGGAGAGCGCGGTCGATTTGGCCCCTGGGGAAGAGACACGATCCTCACTCACACCAACGACTGTCTTAGCGTTAGATACGTAACCGGACATGGGCGCTTTCTGTGACTCTGCGCCTGTGGACGTCGAGATACCCGATGGCGTGCTCCGTATGTTGTTCACGGCCTGATGATACCAGATCAAGATCCGGGAGATGATTGATGCATACAGAAGTGCTAAATGGGGAGATCTCGCACAGGAGCAGCTGAGAAGGGGACTGAGCCTCCTGCTAGCCTCGCGACTGAGGCTCAGCACTCGGTCCAAAGGCATTTGGGACGTCGAACCTGGAGTGGACGAGGAGGACGGCGTCGGAGGTGGCATTGCATGAGAAAAGGAGGTAGTCTGGAGCGACAGGCTGTCTAGGATGTCGATACCTTCTCGAAAGCAGTCATGGCTGCCGCGACCCTCCGCGGGTAGTCCGACCGCACCGACGGGATCGATGGTGTCCGAAATGTAGCTCGGAGGTATCGTCGTACCTTGTACGGGAGAGCCATATGTCGCAAAGAGAGATGGCTCCAGAAAACCGTCCCAAACGCTGCTCATGGCCGTGTCGTCCATGCGCATCGGCTCCTTCGCATATCGGGAACATAGATCGACGACCGCCCTGTAGGAGCTGCTGGAACCCGGCCCCCAATCCAGGGGCGACAGGTCGGCAGCACCTGGAAGCAGCCCAGATGCTAACGTAGCACCATCGCCCACCGAGCTGGGAGGACTAGTCGGGCCAAATGAATTGTAGTCCAATGGGGGGCCGCTGTCTCCTGGCGTCGGGGGAGGACGGGTGGCGCTTTGGGCATCGCGACGAGGCTTCCCAGCCTTTCGGGACACCCCATAGACGCATTTCAGACCCAACGAGATGCAGCGGCCACAGCTGGGATGCCCGCGGTCGCACTTGAGCTTCGCAGCACCGCATTCATCGCAGGAGGCCCGTAGCTTTGGAGCCCGCGGCATCCGAACCGGCGTGGAGTCGGCCATGGTGGATGGACAGCAGAGAAGATACGGTGGCCCATGTCATTTATTCTGTGAGGTCTGTCTTCATCTAATTCCCCTTGCAACAGGGGACGATTCTTGTTTTTGCACGAGGCGCGTGGTGCCGCCAGCCGATATGCAGGCGGGTCGACGAACTGCATTACGCTGCCATAATACTGCATATACGAGCGCTGAGCTAGATCCTTCAGCCAACTGAGCGAATCGGGAAGATCCGTCGCATCCCGAGTGTGTGAGGATTCGAATCCTCGGTGTTGGGGCTTGCAAGTTTTTGGACACGCATCATCCACGGATTGCCCGCTTGAGGAACTTGCAGCACATCCGTCAGATTGGGATGATTGTTTCCCTTCCCCGCCCGGGACGGTTGGACGATCTTATAGCTTAAATTAGCGTGGCGGAGTCGTATACTCCAGTCGTGTCCGACTCTTGCCTACTAAGGATGACTATAGGAGTCGTTCTAATTCTCCGTGGGAATCGCATCCTTGCCATCACTGTACTTCTTATCAATCGCAATCAATCACTCGGTGGGCGGACGGCACAGGGGGCCGAGATATACGCCTCTTCGGTTTCCTTCCGCACCGTACCTCTCTAGACCAGCGTATAGATATCCAACCTATGATGACCGGGGGCTCTCCGGGTCAGCTAGCTTGTCGACAGGCCTTTCGTCTGATCGAGCTGGCTAAGTTTTCGCAGGCCGTCGGGGCTGACTCGCAAACAACTCCCGGACAATACCCGACGAGAGATCCTGGATTGACGGAGGATGTTCCCAACAACGGACTCCCAATGGCTGGGGGATATGGAACACTTGGAAGAGGCTCAGAGATCTTGCAGTCTAGGCAGCTGGGTGGACCATGCAAAGCCGACAGTATTAGGCCCGGTGGCTCCACCCATGCGATGTATATATATACAAAAGTAGCATGCATTGGTTTTACATGATTTTGTAAAGACAATTCAACATGCCAAACACGACCATGGAGCTGTTCATATTCGGAGACCAGACCTTGGACGTCCAGCCCTGTCTTAGGGGCTTAGCCCAGCATCGTCACAATCCCGTGCTGGAGGACTTTTTCACGAAAACATACCAGGTCCTCCGTACCGAAATCGACCAGCTGCCTCACAATGTCAAAGTCGGTCTTCCCCGCTTCACTTGCATCGACGATATCATTTTTCGCCCCCCGGGGAGCAAGTCATGCATCGCCCTAGACATGGCGATGACGACGTTTTACCAACTCGGGGTTTTCATTAGGTATGTTTCGGATTGCAATCCCCTCACCCCCTTGTTCTGTTGGAATTAGTGCTGAGTGATCGATACAGTCAGCATGTCAATCATCTTGGCGACAACAGGGTCACCTGTGCTCTCGGTCTCTGCACCGGGGCTCTGGCTGCGGCGGCTGTCAGCTGTAGTCGGAATGCCCTTGACCTTGTCCCCATGGCGGTGGATGCAGTCCGGGTTGCTTTCAGAACAGGGGCCCACGTGCTGGACATTGCCCATCGAATTGAGTCCCCCGACGCATCCGACCAGAGCTGGCTACTATACGTCCCGGCCGTGGAGGCTGCAGAGACCGCACTGAAGGCCTTTCGTGAGCATACTGTAAGGAATTTGGTCGATGGGGCGCCCAAATATGTGTTGCTAATGGAAAATTCCTTCTAGTTGCTTCCTGGAATTCGTCAGCCGTATATCACTGCGTACACGCTTAACTCTGTAATGGTCAGCGGTCCTCCGTCATCGCTAGAACAATTGAAACGACATGCCCCGTTCAGAGAACTCAACCCCCAAAGCGTTTCCATCAACGGGCCGTACCATGCGCCACACCTATACTCCCAGGAGGATATTGACGACATCGTTGGGGATCTGGCTTGTCAGGATGTCCACAGCTGTTCTTGCCGAGTTCCTGTTATCGCCGGGGACGGAAATCCGGTGCCAGATGCTGACTTCGGCACGATTTTGAAAGCTGCAGTTGCTCAAATATTGCGACAGCAAATCAACTGGAATGGAATCTTAAGGGAGTTGCTAACACGCCATGATATTGCTGGCTCCCTTACATTGACTGTGACGACGATAGGCACGAAGACAGACCACTTCATTTACAATGTCCTCAAGCAATCGCCATTGCGCGAATACCTGTCCTCAAAACCCGCACAAAGCCGACAACCAGTCTCGAATGAAGGAGCCCCAGAACCTGGCAATGGCCGGCAAAAGCTCGCCATCATCGGAATGTCGGGCAGATTCCCGGGAGCTGATGACATCGAAGAGTTCTGGACCCTTCTGGAACAAGGCTTAGATGTCCACAAGCCCGTTCCTAGTCTTCGCTGGGATGCTCAAACACATGTAGATCCCACAAGGGCTCGGAAGAATACCAGCAGTACTCCATTCGGCTGCTGGCTGGAACACCCTGATCTGTTCGACGCACGTTTTTTCAACATCTCACCCCGAGAGGCGCCGCAGATCGATCCCGCGCAACGTCTCGCCCTCATGACCGCCTATGAAGCCATAGAACAGGCAGGTATAGTGCCAGATGCAACTCCGTCAACGCGCCGTGATCGAGTGGGCGTGTTCTACGGCACAACCAGCAACGACTGGATGGAGACCAACAGCGCGCAGAATATCGATACATATTTCATCCCCGGTGGCAACCGCGCTTTTATTCCTGGACGCATCAATTATTATTTCAAGTTCAGCGGTCCGAGTTATGCAGTGGACACGGCATGCTCTTCCAGTTTGGCTAGCATTCATCTCGCGTGCAATGCCCTATGGCGACGTGAAATTGATACAGCTATTGCTGGAGGTGCGTCAGAAACAGACCGCGTTCGAAAATCCTTTACTGACACGTTATCGCAGGAACAAATGTGCTTACCAACCCTGATTTCACGGCGGGACTTGACAGGGGTCAATTCCTTTCAAGGACTGGTAACTGCAAGACCTTTGACGATTCCGCTGATGGCTACTGTCGTGGAGAAGGGGTTGCAACTGTGATCATAAAACGGCTCGAGGATGCCGTTGCCGACAAAGATCCCATCCTAGGCTTAATCCTGAGTGCGTCTACCAACCATTCGGCGGAATCAGAGTCCATTACGCGACCACATGTCGGGGCTCAGAGGGAGATCCTCAGCAATATACTGAACCGAGGCGCCAGCAATCCGTACGATGTCAGTTACGTGGAAATGCACGGAACTGGAACTCAAGTTGGTGATGCTAGTGAGATGAGCAGTGTCCTGGAAACCTTTGCTCCGGCTCCAAACCGCGTCAAAAGTGCCCGTGGCCACGATACTCCACTATATCTGGGATCGGCGAAGGCGAACATCGGCCATGGTGAAGCTGTCTCTGGCGTCTCAAGCTTGATCAAGGTGTTGTTGATGATGCAGAGGAATACAATTGTCCCACATTGTGGAATCAAGACGAAGATTAATCATAAGTTTCCGACGGACCTCAAGGACCGCAACGCCCATATTGCTTTGCAGCCTGTTTCTTGGGAAAGAAATTCCGCTTCCTCACAAACAAGGAAAGTTGTCGTGAACAACTTCAGTGCCGCCGGTGGAAACTCGGCCCTGTTGGTCGAAGATGCACCACCCAAGCGCGAATCTCCGGGCGAAGCAGCCCTAGTTGATCCACGACAACATCACGTTGTCGCTGTGTCAGCCAGGAATGCAGTATCTTTGGAGGGCAATATTCGCTCCATGTTGAAGTACCTTAGAGAAAATCCGGACGTACAGCTTGGCAAGCTCTCGTACACCACCACAGCTCGACGCTTGCACCATCAGCATCGGGTTATGGTTACGGGCTCAAAAGTTGAAGACATTGCCACCCAACTGCAAGCAGCGCTCGACGAGAAAACTGGAATGACAAGGCCGAAGGCTGCCTTGAAGGTGGTCTTCGCTTTTACGGGCCAAGGGGCCCACTATCCTGGTATGGGCAAAGAGCTCTTTGAGAACTTCTCAGTGTTTCGCACCGAAGTTCATCGCCTAGATCGTCTTGGACAGACAATGGGTTTCCCGTCCGTGCTGCCTGTTATCCAGTCCCCTGCGAACGATATTGATATCGGCACCTTCCAACCCAGCGCCGTTCAGCTGGCAGGCGTCTGCACTCAGATGGCACTTTGCAAACTATGGGCGGCATGGAATATTACGCCTACTGCAGTCGTTGGACATAGCCTTGGTGAATATCCTGCCCTCAATGCGGCGGGAGTCTTGTCAGACGCGGATACTATATACCTGGTGGGAAAGAGAGCCCAACTTCTCGAGGAGAAGTGCGTACGAGGGACACACTCCATGCTTGCCATCAAGGCATCGGTGGACCAAATTACAGGGGCCCTCGAAAACATGAAGTACCACGTTGCTTGCATCAATTCACCAGTTGAAACCGTCCTGGCCGCTGCCAACGAAGAACTGTACGCTCTGAAGGACGTGCTTACTGCTGCTGGTTTCAAATCCACTCCGCTGAAGGTCCCATACGCATTTCATTCTCCCCAGGTGGACCCAGTGCTAGCCGATTTCAAGGAACTGAGCAGGGGTGTTACATTTTCCAGGCCTCGAATCCCCATCCTCTCAGCTCTAGATGGCAACCTCCACGTGGACGACCACTTTTTTGATCCCGAATACCTTATTCGCCATACACGAGAACCCGTTAACATGCACCGCACACTTCTGACGGCAGCCCGTGAGCATGTGATTACTGAAATGACCACCGTTCTCGAGATTGGCTCACACCCTGCTGTCTCTGGTATGGTGAAGGGGGTTTTGGGTCCACAGGTCTCGTGCCTCGCAACCGCTTCGAGAGGCAGGCCAAACCTTCAGGTCCTCGCAGCGACGCTAAAGGTGCTGTATATGAAAGGTGCCGACATCTGTTGGCCTCAATACCACATCGACTTCAAGGCCTCACACGAGGTCATCCCGTTGCCCGCCTATAGCTGGGATCTGAAGTCGTACTGGATACAGTATGTCAATGATTGGTCGTTGCGCAAAGGAGATCCTCCCCAAGTAATCCAGAGCTCCCCAGCCCTAGAGAGTACGACCGTTCACCGAGTCGTTGAAGAAACCCATGATTCGACGAAGACTCGGATTGTCATTGAGGCAGACATTGCGCGGAAGGATCTGAGCCCACTGGTGCAAGGTCACGAGGTCGACGGTATACCGCTATGCACTCCGTCTGTCTATGCCGATATGGCATTAACCCTGGGGACCTACCTTCTCAAGCGTTATCGTCCAGACCAAAACGACAGCCTGGTGGACGTTACCGATATGGTAATATCGAAGGCACTGATTCTACGCGCCGGTGCCTCAGAGCAACTCCTCCAAGCCCATGCTGATGCTGATTGGGCAGCGAACGCCGTGACCATCAAGTTCAAGTCCTTCGACGTAAGTCCATTGAGCAATTGTTGCGTGGTCCATTCAACATACAGTGTACTAAGGATTGATTATAGGCTCGCCAAAAGCTGCAGGAGCACTCTCAATGTGTCGTGCGCTTCCGAGATAGAGGCCTTCTAGAGGACCTCCAGAATAGTGCTCCAAGTGTAAAGGCAAAGACACAGGCCCTCCGAGATGGAATCGTGACCGGTGAAACCGCACGCTTTAACCGGCCCATGGTTTATCGTGCCATCCGCCCGCTTGCTAAATTCCACGAGGACTACCGAGCCATCGATGAGATTGTCTTGAACAGTGAAACTCTAGAGGCCTCAAGTCGTCTGAGCTTTGGTGATGTAAAAAGGGGTGGTACATACCATACACATCCGGCCATCATTGACTCTCTCACCCAGTCTTGCGGTTTCACGATGAACTGTAATGACAGGTCGGACCTGGACAAGGAGGTCTTCATGAACCATGGCTGGGGTTCTCTCCAGATCTTTGAGCCTTTGAGTTTTGATAAGGTCTATACTACATATACACGCATGGCTGAAGGATCGGATCACCTCTGGCATGGAGACGTTGTAATCTTCGATGGCGACAAAGTCGTCGCGTACATTGGACAGATATCGGTTCGTTCTTCCTGCTACCTTCCCTATGTACATGAAGCTAATTATCTCACGACTCGCAGATTCAAGGCGTTCCGCGTCGAGTTCTGAAGACAGTCCTATCAATTGAAAGCGGATCGCAGAAGAAGCATCAGCCCACGCAAATGAAGCAACCTCATACAGCCACCCAAGCGAACGGTTACCCCGTTGCCAACGGCCATGCTCAGGCGACGCCAACTTCTGGACCAGTGAACGGAGAGCCCCGACCATCTAGATTCCCGCGGGCCTTGGAAATCATCGCCGAAGAGAGCGGCTTGTCTTTGGCGGACCTAACCGACACCACGGTTTTCAGCGATGTTGGGATTGATTCGCTGTTGAATCTGACAATCTCCTCTCGATTCAAGGAGGAGTTTGACGTGGACTTGGACTTTACGGCTTTGTCCCAAGATTATCCCACCGTTGCGAGCCTGAGGGCGTTGCTGTCAGAACCCGAGAGGAGTACGAATGGCATGCCGGCGGCGTCTGCTAAGGATACTAGTCGCTTCGACGAAATACCTCCTATGAATGGACACAAAACGAATGGCCACGTCATGAATGGGCACAGCAACGGTTCTTCCAATGGGTTACCTGACACAGATAAGGTTGACTTCCAGCGTGTCCTTCAGATCATTTCGGAGGAAAGTGGCGTCGCAATGGAAGAACTCAGCGAGGATACCAATTTTGCTGATGCCGGTATCGATTCCCTCCTATCACTGGTTATTGTCAGTAGGTTCCGTGATGAGCTCGAACTGGACATTGCACATGAGTCGTTGTTGATGGACTGCCAGTCTGTGGCGGACCTGAAACGTTACCTGTTCCCCCAGGATCACAGCACGGCGGAGAACGGAGTCGAGCCGCCTGCAAAGAATGGATTAGCTGCTGATGCACCGGCAGTCTCTAGCATGTCACAGGACATCATTTCTAACGGCAACGGCGAGACGGCGCAACCCCTTGGCGCTTCTCTTTTACTCCGCCAGAAGGCCGTTGATCACTATGTGCAGAAATACACCGCTGGATTCAATGCGCCCATTCCAAATGGTGCTGGCAACGAGAGCGAAAAGACGGATAATGTGAAAGTTGTCCTAGTAACTGGTGCTTCCGGGAGCCTAGGAGGCCACTTGATCGACCAGCTCGCTCAGCGTGCTGACGTGAAGACTGTCGTTTGCCTGAATCGCGAACACAATTTGGAGCCCTACACTCGTCAACAAAAAGCCATGAGGGACAAGGGTATCCGATCCTTCGATAAGATCCGATCAAAGCTGTTGGTGTTGCAGACAGACAGCTCGCAGCCAATGCTCGGCTTGCCGAAGTCCCAGTACGAAGAGCTCGTGGACTCCGTCACTCATGTCATCCATAACGCCTGGCCGATGAGTGCAAAGCGGCCATTGGACGGGTTTGAGAAGCAGTTCCAAATCCTGCGTAACCTGATTGACTTCGCCTGCGTCGTCACATCTCGCCGTCCCAAATCGTTCAAATTCGGCTTCCAACTAGTGTCTTCTATTGGTGTTGTCGGCCACCATGGTCTCTCAAAGCCGCACGACCGAAAGGAGAAAACCATCGTGCCGGAAAGCAGAGTTAACATTGACTCTGTCCTGCCGAACGGCTATTCAGAAGCCAAGTGGGCATGCGAGCGCATGCTCGACGAAACACTCCATAAGCACTACGCAGATCGCGTTCGCACCATGGTCGTGCGTCTAGGACAGATTGCCGGGTCCAAGCGATGTGGCTATTGGAACCCAACCGAGCACTTTGGCTTCCTGATCAAGTCCTCGCAGACGCTGAACGCTCTTCCGGATGTGCCTGGTATGGTCTACTGGACACCGGTAGAAGAAGTCGCTGGCTCGTTGGTGGACCTCATCCTTGCCGATAACCGGCCATATCCGGTCTACCATGTCGATAACCCGATCGGTCAGCCGTGGAGTGAGATGAACAAGGTCTTAGCTGATGCGCTGAACATCCCCAACTTGGTCCCTTTTGTGGAGTGGGTCGAGCGGGTGCGCAGTGCGCCGCACCGAGACAATCCCGCCGCTATGCTTTCTGATTTCTTTATCGACAATTACCTACGGATGTCCTGTGGTGGGTTGGTGTTGGATGTGAAAAACACGCTGGAGCACTCTAGAGTTCTATCGGGCGTGGGACCGGTGACTGAGGATGTTGTGAGGAAGTATATTCATGTCTGGAAGGAGATCGGGTTTCTGAAGTGAGATATATATTCACAATCTGGGACGGGATAAATTGGACTATTTGTTACATGTGCAAACCGTTAATAGACTGAACAGTCGTTTACATTTAAATAGTGCCCCGATAGATCTACTTGTCTGCTGTCAAGATCAACTACGAGGCGAAGTACTTGTACAGGTACATTGTAGAGACAGACCACATATGTGTTCGTATTGCAACACTGGACGCTGATAGCCACTGTCGAGGTCGGAGCTGGAGAAATTCGAGAAATTCAGGGCCTCCTTGGGGAGTAGATATGCGAAATCGAACAGGCACCTTTGTATAGATCGGCGGGACAGAAGGAGGGGAGTGGGACTTTGGTGGATGAAACCGGGGATTCTTGCAAGGTGAGTATCTCTATTGGTCCCATGAGCCTGCAATTGTGAAGCCCTCTTGCTAATCAAGAGCAAAATACGCGTGGTGGGAATACTAGTAGTATGAGTGTTCATGATATTGACCAACACAATGCTCCGAGCCTCCTGGACTACCTAGTAAATATTGTCAAAACCTGCATGACGCCTCAATACATGTCGCCAGCATCAAACTGCCATCCTCCACTTCAACTTATCCTCCTTGACAATCTCCTCCTTCTTACTTTCCAGGTCATCCATATCCCATGTGGCACAAATATACCTTCCGCTAATCCAATCTCTCTTCTCCTTCGAAATCCACACACAGACGGCTCCACATAGCCCTTGGTCATCGGTCAAGACTGTATCGGACAGCGTGAGCCCAGAGTATAATGCGACGACACCAAATGGGTCAAGCAAACTCACTATTGTGCAAACTCGGAGGCATGGACCCCAACGCTCCCGGCGTGGGCGACGAGCCCGGATGTACGGCAACAACCACAAGACCCTGATCAGCATAATTTTCTCCCAGAATTTGGGTGAACCGATTGAGCGCCAATTTGCCAATCGAGTATGAAGCAGGTGTTATATTTCCACCCGTGAAGTGCGAAGCAGCGGAGGTGATATTGACGATCGTCTTCCCATGACTCTGTGGACGAAGCATCAGCGGAACGAGATACTTAGCTGCGTAATATGAGCCCGTGAAGTTGAGCGCAATGGACTCGTTCCATTCGTCTACGTCTGTCTCGTCGATGTGTGGGGTCCAGAGGGTTCCAACAGGTCCACCCCCAGCACAGAAGACTAGTGTGTCGAGACGGCCGTTGAAGCCTTCTTCGAGTAGGTCTTTCAGTTTGGTGTAGCTTTCTGGCTTGGTGGCATCCTGCACTAGCGTGGATACCTTGACGGCTTGACCAGTTTGTTGGGCTAATGTTTCCAGTTCCTTCTTGACTCGATCCAGGTCGGAACCAGTTCGTGAGGTGATAACGATATTTTCTGCTCTGGCCTGGACGTACGCTTTGGCGATATGCTCTCCGATTCCTTTTCCTGCGCCAATAACCACGACAGTGTAGCCCTGCGGGAATGTCACATTGGAAGGATCGATGCGGCGGCTTGGTTGCTGGTGGGTGGTCTCCGTAAAGTTCATGCCCCAGTGGGCTGGGGCTTTGGATAGGTCGAGTTCTGGTTGCGCCATGTTCGATCGTAAGTGAGGATGTGCTTACTGAGCTTGACAGGAATGAAAGTCACCAGAAAGAAGTAATGGTGGTGACCTAGGCAATGTAGACAAGTACTATCCAGCCTTAGCTACCCCGGAACTAGCTAAATATATCCCCCGCAGTCCCCCCTGATAGCCCGGTCCATTCGGGATATTAGACTGTAGACCCCCGGGCATGGGACTTGGTCGGGGTTAACGGTGTTTGTATATCCCCGATGAGTGATTCAATCCCGGAGAGTAAAGCCGCAGTGCTTCTGTTATATCCCCATCATGCACACCGTTGCTGATCCTAGATTTACACATTGATCAATACTTCCATACTCTAGAGTCCTGTTCTCAGCAGTCGTCAGTCAAAGATCGAACATCATGGCCGAAACAGCAACCCGAAGTGACTCTGGGATGTTTTGGAAAGCAACCACCTATAAAGAGCAGTACTGGGACGGATACCTGGCTGCTCGCCCAAAATACAGTAGCGACTTTTACGAGCGTATCGTCGACTACTACAAAGCTCACAACCCATCGCCTCCGACTCCCACCGTCGCCCACGATGTCGGCACAGGCCCAGGCCAAGTCGCCTCCGAGCTATGCAAGTATTTCGATAAGGTCATAGCCAGCGACCCGAACTCCACCCACCTAGCTGTCGCATCGGCCCGCAACGAGAAATCTGGCCTGAATCACAAGATAACTTGGACAGAAGTATCAGCCGAGGATCTCAACTCCCACTATCCGGCTGGTTCCGCGTCGTTCCTCGCGGCAGCTGAATGTCTGCCTCTACTTGATGTCCCTCGTGCTCTGAACACATTCGCACACCTCCTTCATCCAAACGGGACTCTCGCCGCATGGTTTTATGGCAGACCAGTATTCTCTGAGCCCACTGTCGCAGCCAAGTGCCAGCCGATCCTAAACGACATCATCGATCTGACCTTCGAGAAAGTCATCAAAGGCGCACCCCCGGCCCACAAAACGACCTGGAAGCGGTCAACCGACACGCTATATAGCTTCCTTGATAACGTCGCCTTCCCTACCGAGACCTGGCGCGATGTCTATCGCTTCAAATGGAACCCCCATCTCCCGCTCTCGGTAGTGGGCCCGAATGCATGCGACTACCCGATTGAGCCGTCATCGTGCATTGACCCAGAGCGCGAGAAGGTCGTTGAAGCAAAGGACCCGCATTTCTGGGAGGAGGTGTGGGATATCTTCGAAGTGAGACGCTTTGTCGAATGTCTTTTGCCCAATATTGAGGAGTTGAAGAGTAAGGGAGTCTATGACCACGTTGAAGTCAAGTATAAGGAGCTCGAGGAGGCCATGGGCGGGGCCAATGCCAAAAAAGAGATTACTTGGCCTGTTGTTTTGATTCTGGCGACGAGAGTGTAAATTTTGGCTTTGATATTCAGTTGGAATGAAGGGATATGGAAGCATTGTCAAGGAGTCTCCAGTAACACATTGTCGCATTTGTTGTAGATAATGATTACGACTACATTCTAGAACAACGAACTCCAGAAGCCCCAAACATCCAGCGGCGGCCCTCCTAGTCTTCCCATGTCTCGTCAATCTTCACAATAATTTTCCCCTTCGCCCGCCCTGTCCTTAATTTTTGGTACGCCTTCACCGCGCCATCATCTTGCATACCAAACACCTCATCCACTACAGCACGCAGCTTTCCTTCTTGCATCCACCGTCCAAGCTGTTCATAGTCCTGAACGTTGCTTTCAATATGCATGAACTCCCAAGGCCTCTTCCCACCCCCAAGCCAACCAGGCCACCTAGCCTTGAAGAAATTGCCCAAAATGAAGCCTGGAGTGACCGCCAGAGCTCCAACCTGTACATAAGGAGCCCCAGGGTTCGTGAATGACGGCGCAGCCCAGTAGAGATCGGTAGGTACGCCGACGTTATCCACAACGAGGTCAAATGGCTGCATCTTCTTTAACTCTGCAATGACGTCTGTTTTCTTGTAGTCGATAACAGTGTCGGCACCAAGACTCCGACACAGGTCGACGTTCGGCGTTGAACAGCTGGTTGTAACATGACAGCCCATCTGCTTGGCGATCTGGATCCCAAACGTCCCACAACCGCCGCTGCCACCATTGAGGAATACTCTCTTTCCAGCGTGATCTTTCAGCCGGTACACAATAGATTGATATGCCGTCAGCCCAACGGATGCCACGCATGCCGTCTCAATCACGCGTGCACCAGGTGGGATAGCCACACAGCCCTTTCGCGGCGCAATGGTATACTCGGCCAGAGTACCGAACTTGCATGGACTGTCGAGTCGCCCAAACACGAGTTGTCCCGGTTTCAGGTCTTCCACCGCGACGCTCTTGGTGTTGGGTCCGGTTGCGACTACTCGACCGGCGAAGTCCATCCCCGGCGTGGACGGGCTCCCGACGATAAACCGGCCGAGCCATGGGATTTCGGCAAACTTGAAGTCGACCGGGTTGAGGCCTGCAGCGATGACCTTCACCAGAACTTGGTCAGGCCCGAGGTTCTTTGCCCCGTCCGGGAGTGGTGCGTTATTGTTGAGCTTCAGATTCGCTTCAATCGTTGGGTAAGCGCTAGAGAACTGCCAGGCTTTCATTGTGCTGGGTACTGTGGAGGCCATTGTGTTGGTGGTAGTACGTGATTCCGTTTAGGTGCTTCGTCTGTCTCTTCTCATGCCAATACGCCAATTCCACTTTTCTATGCTATCGGTTTACCACCCTTACGTCACTTCGGGAAGACAAGCACATCGACCCACCGGAAACCCTGCCGATAACACAGAATAAACGGCAGCGTGTCACCTTATGATCTCGTCAGATGCTTGGTGGGCTGACAGGGGTGGACGGGGGCTTGAAGAACTGCCTATTCAGTACCTAGTCGGAGTGTTTCGGGCACCGACCGGGATTTGACCAAGTACTATCCCTGCCGAACGCGTATATACGTGTCTCGGCATGCGACATGTAAGACAGAGATATAAGACAAATACTTGGTCGGGTTTAGAATGCGGATGGTTCCGACGCCATAGGACCCTTCTCCGGTGGAAACTCTGCTTGGCAACACCATCTGATGGACGATTGAGGTAGGAGGAACAACGGTAAGCTTGATGAGGGGGAAGTAAGACGGGGTCAATCTGGAAGAAGACAAAGAAAAAAAAAAAAAGACTGGGCTTGCATCATCAGGCATAATATATCGTACTAGTATTCGACCTGGAGACAGCATGGGTCCGGATATAAATCGCCTAGAGCGGAGATAACGCTAAGCCCCGGCGGTTAATACCGACTGTCCAGGGCAAGCGGTTTGCTCGCTGGCCGCGCTCTAAGGGTATGTAGTAGGTACCTATGTAGCTGGCACAGAAGCTTCTCCTCTGCGTCTTCGCATCAAGTCGCCAATTCGGCTGCTCTCTCACTCCAAACTTCTCTCCTTCCTCCGTCAATCGACTTGAACTGCGCACTGTCATCGATCAACGCCGAACGACCATGTCCGAAACAGTTACCCAGACTGAAACGGACCAGAGGCCAGCCACGGCCAGGAGTCTTGGTGCAGAAGAAAAGGAGGCCAAGTCGGATGAGCAGTTCCAACAGGAACGCACAATCAAAGGCTTCAGGTGGTTTATCGTCATTATCTCGATTCTCTCCTCGGTCACTCTCTATTCTCTGGACAATACGATCGTCGCTGATATCCAGCCTCAAATCATTAACACTTTCGATGAGCTCGACAAGTTGCCCTGGTTATCGGTCGCTTTTCTGGTGGCTTGCGTTGCTACCAATTCGATATGGTACGAGTTTTTCTCATCTATCCATGTGCCAGATCCAGAGTTGGTTATACTGATCAATTCTACTACAGGAGCAAGATATACAGTCAGCTCAACGCGAAATGGCTCTATCTGTTTTGTGTCGTCCTGTTCGAGGTCGGGTCAGCTATGTGCGGTGCAGCGCCGACCATCAACACCTTAATTGGTGATCCCTCCGCGTCCTTTGTGTCCTGTATAATCTAACAACTTTCAGGCGGCCGAGCACTGGCAGGCCTTGGGGGAGCCGGGCTATATGTTGGAGTCATGACTCTCTTGTCGGTTAATACCAGCAAGCGCGAGAGACCCATGTACATTGGGATGACGGGTCTGACATGGGGCGTTGGGACGGTTCTTGGGCCCGTATGATCCCCTCGATTTGAACAAAGTTTCATACTGATAAGGGGCAGATTGTCGGTGGTGGTTTTGCCGTCAGCAAGGTCGGTTGGCGCTGGTCCTTCTATATCAACCGTGAGTGTCGACCGTCGGTCCAACCCATTCGCCCGCTGACAGTTCCTCCAGTCTTCTTCGCAGCTGTAGCAATCCCCATTTACCTCTTCATGCTCCCATCGTTCGACCCCCGGCCGGGAGTCTCTTACAAGGAACGGCTCGCCCAGCTGGACTATCTGGGAACGATCCTAATGATCGGTGCCTGTGTTTCGGGGGTCATGGCTATTAACTTCGGTGGCCAAATCTATCCTTGGGACTCGGGCCAGACAATTAGCTGTTTCGTGGTATCTGGAGTCCTCTTCATCGTGTTTGGTCTCCAACAATGGTACTGTATCGGGACCACGAAGGAAAACCGGACATTCCCCTGCCAATTCTTAGCGCGCCCGGCGTTCATCATTCTATTCGTGCAGACAGCGTCCGTGGCCACGGTGTTTTTCGTTCCCATCTATTTTGTCCCACTGTTCTTCCAGTTCACCCGAAATGATTCTGCCATAGACGCTGGTGTCCGCCTTCTCCCACTAGTCTGCTTCATTGTTGCGGCCATGATTCTGAACGGCGCCCTCATGTCGAAGTTCGGATATTACATGCCTTGGTATCTTGTTGGTGGCTGTCTGTCCCTCGTTGGCAGTGTCCTCATGTACACCATCAAGCTCGGAACTTCCACGGCGAATATTTACGGCTACATGATCATCCTGGGTGTCGGAGGTGGCATGTACGCACAGGCAAGTTTCGCCGTCGCCCAAGGAAAAGCCAGGCCGCGCGAGATCCCAGTCGCGACGGGGTTCATCTCACTAGCACAGCTCACCGGCGGTACCATCGCTCTCGCCATTGCAAACTCCGTCTTCCTAGAGAAAGCCTCGGCGGGGATTATGGCTGTCGTCCCAGACGCATCGAAAGAGACGGTCCAGAGCGCGATCAGCGGTGCCAGCTCGAGTTTCTTCCAGACGCTGGATCCGGATGTGAGGGAGGCTGTGCTGGCGGCTGTTACCCATGCCATTAGCCAGGTCTATATCTTGCCCATCACCGGTGCCGCAATGAGTATTTCCCTGGCTATTTTCATGCCGAGGGAGAAGGTCTGTCTTCTCGTTTCCTGTACTTCTGTTCTTTTAGAGATCGTATTGCTGACTACGGATGGTCTCACAGCTTTTTGTCGCGAGCGACAGTGGGGATCGCGATGGCGTGACTCCATTGGGAGCCATGGGTTGATTCACTAGCTTCTGGAACCGACAAAGAATAGCAGCTTTCCACGAAACGGGGGATGGGTGGATTGCGAAAACAACAGTCTGTAGAACATAGATCCGGTGTGACTATATCGAAGGATGAAGGAGTGCGCTGGGGATCACTATTTGTAAAGTTAATTTTTTCATTCTTTTCTAGTTAGCTCTAGTGGGAAGCTCGATCAAATGAAGGGACACTTGTATCTCGTGACTATCTACAGCTTCCATATATCCCATCTACGCTTACTACGTACGGACGCCCTCATTAACCCCTGACGATAGAGCAGACATTAGATTAAACGTGGTGGCGGGAACGCTCCGCATGTGGAGCGCGGGGACGGGGACGGGGACGGGGACGGGAACGGCAACCCCGCCATCCGTCTTGATCTGATTAAGAATAGCCTCCTACGTTAAATCCTAATTCCGTCCGATCGAACCGGCGATATCGCTTCCCGGGGACCGTCCCCGCAACCAATGAATGGGTGTTTTCGGGAACCGAGGCTTTAGCGGCGAGTGGGTGGTATGATCATAATCCTGGATGAAGCTCAGCTTGTCGCCTGGCAGTGGGTGATGATGGATATGAGCATTCAAATATACAGAAGGCCGATGGGAATGGGTTCTAATCTTTCGAGAAGACCTCGCAATCAACATCAACTGAGTGCATACAAACGAATAGATCTAGATGGACCCCAATATTATGTGGCAAGCGCGCAATGACGGCTCTGGGCTGCTGGAGGAGGATATTCAGCAATTGAGGTCGTCGATTCGTGGCACGGTTGTTCTCAAGAACGAAGCTTCAGAGGAGGAATACAACGCTGCGGTGACACGATGGAATAACGTCTCGATTCGACTGGCGGTAGGCTGTGATTCTCTTGTTGCGGGACGCGTATTCGCGGTTAGGACTGACTCGTGGCGCCATTAGACCCTTGTGGTATACGTCGAAGATGAGCAAGACATTGTCAAGTGCGTGGAATTCGTGAACAAGCACTACCTTGATGTTGCCGTGTGCTCTCATGGGAGGCACTCCTACCATGGAGCGAGCTCATCTACGGGCATGGTCATCGGTCAGTTTTCCTGGTTCATCGAATTTTGTGGATGTCCTTGACGCGGAGATAGATCTGGGGAGAATGAGAAAGGTCTCTGTGGACAAAGAAGCAATGACCGTGACCGCACAGGGTGGTTGTATCGCACGCGATGTTGAACTACCCCTCGAGGCCGAGGGTCTTGCGGCTGTGTTTGGTGCGGTCAATGAAACAGGTAAGTGAGATCTCCTGCCGGACACTGGGTTGGATAGAAGAGCTAAGTCTTTACAAGGCATTGGGGGGCTAACACTGGGCGGAGGTGTTGGTTTCTTGACCGGTGCTCACGGTCTGGCCGCGGACAACCTAGTATCCGCTCGCATGGTCCTGGCCAATGGACAGGTTGTGACTGCGTCTGATGACGAGAACAGCGATTTGTTCTGGGCAATCCGGGGAGCCGGCCCCAACTTCGGAATTGTCACTGAGTTCAAGTATCGCGTCCATAAACAAGGGCCCGTATTCTGGTGAGTTGGCTGCCACTCACGACGAGGCCACAAAAATGCTCATAAAGTCCCATATAACAGGCAGATGCTGTTCTATAGCCCCGACAAGCTGAAGGATTGCGTCTCCATAGTAAACCAGATGCACAACATCTCTCTGGCACAAAAGGGCGGCGATTTTCAAGTCATGATGTGCTATCTCACGCCTCCCGGATACCCAGACCTTCATCCGGGCCTGCGTATCTTTTACAACGGGCCCGAAGAGAAAGCCAAAGAACTTGCCGCGCCGGCCTACGCGCTGGGACCACTGAGCGTCTCCGGTGGAATGTGCAGTTTCTCCGACACCACACGAATCCCACCATATCTGGAATTCGAGGGCTTCGACCGCTACGCGGCCAGCTCTGCGCACTTGGATTACCCCCTCGACGAGGACCTTCTCCTCGAAGTGTTCACGATGTTCCGAAACGTGATCCACAAGTACGGACACCACCTCCTGCACCCGTCGAAATGTATCCTTGATCTTCGGAACTACGAGAAGGTTGCATCCGTCCCTATCGACGCAACCGCTTACTCTGGTCGCTTCGATGTCGCGTGGATGATCCCCGATTTGCAGTGGGATGACCCTGCCATGGATTCCACGATGCGTATGGAAGTGACATCGATCACGGCGCACATTCGGGAGAGGGTGAGAGAGGCGAAAGGCGACCATGTCAGCGGTCCTCGCGACGCCACAGCCATTTACCCCAACATTTCAGCAGGTGGAGAGGAGAAGGCGAAGAGTGTGTTTGGGCCTAACTTGCCGAGATTGCGGGTGTTGAAGAGGAAGTATGATCCGAATTTTATCTGGAATAAGTGGTTTCCTATTGTGCCTGCCTAGGGTTTGGCAGTTTAGTGATTGTGGCGAACTGCTGCTCGGAATGAGGGTACCCAGAAAGAATTAGATTCTTTGAACCGATCTAGGACAGTCTCTACTCCATAGCCGAACTCTGCTCGACAGGCTAGCGGAAGTACCGGCACAATCATCCTCCAGGGCCTACTGAGGGTTATCTACCAGTTTCGCTCCTTTCCTCTAAAGATACATTAGCACATACATTGTTCAACCATTTTGTATGATACTACCTAGGTAGCCTTTGGAGTTTGAAGTAGGGAATTGGTTCTGGCTGGTTTCTACAGCTCTTATTTAGGCTCTACTATCTTGTGAGGACACTATCCCCCAGGGCAGGTAGTAGAATCCAGCAAATGGAGAATAGTATTGAATCACAGGTGTGTTACCGTCATCCATAGGGACTAGTCTTCGATGTCGCTGCCTTCGATAATATCATTACCATCCTTATCCTTCGTAATCTCATGCGTCAGAAACCAGTGCGTATCACTATTGTCTAAGAACCCCTGGCCTTCCCCACCAATATAACCCGCGACCTCCATCTTCCGAATGGTTTCAAACGAAAGCCAGACATATCTCTCAAAATATCCCCCATATGCAAAGTTTTTTCTATAATAGCCTCCACCTAGCGGATCCATAATTTCGGAACGAAGGCGCGTCCAGATACCGCGGCCCGTGGGCTCTAAATTAGGGGCTAAGGTTCCATGCCTCTCATCGAACTGCCCAATCCAGGGGCCTTCTTCCCAGAGGTCAGTGATTCCTAGCTCTACTGCGCGCTTTTCTAGGTCTTCCTTGTAGAAGGGATTGCCAACTTTCTCAGCGGCCTCCATGGGGCCAATGCTGGGCCGGATATTGAGCCACTCATATAGACCTTTGTAGTCGCAATAGATGGCGGCAATGGCAATCTGCACGTGCATAGAAGGGCATCGCTTAGCGAGTCTAGACAATGCCATTGACTCCGGTTTGAGAGGATACCATATAAGCCAAGGCTTGCAAGGGGTGTCCTCGGTAAATTTGCCAATGTCGTTAATCATTATGCGACGTGCATTAATGGCTGTTTGGATCTCGACCCGCTCGCGATCTGTGATCCGGTCTTGAAAAGCATCAGTGTCGAGCTGGTGCTGCCACCACCGAGCAAACATTGTGTGATGATATATACCACGCACAACGCAAAGGATTTCGAGCGAGTTGATTCCCTTCCGAGATCGACGATTAATGAGTCGGGCATATCGGTCCACACTTCCTTCAAAAGCAGCCATCTGGCGTAGCAGGTCTGTCTTCAACGTTGGAATATCAAGAGGCAGAGGCTCCCAAAGCAGCGTCGCCTCTTGCGGGGTCAATTCATCGTAGCGAGACTCCTCAGGCTCGTCAACCTCGAGGCCCATGTATCGATCTTCTTCAATATCAATTTCTTCTGGTCCAAAATCCTCTGTAGCATCTTCTGAGAGCGTGTACCGCCACTGTAGCTTCCACCGAACATGGGTTTCGCCATTTAGAAAGGCGGGCCATGGTGGACTATCCAAGTTGATTGAGCGTGCAAAATCATCCATCACAGCATATCTGACCGGCGAAGACATGATCAACTGATAAATTTGCTCTCCACCTTCAGTATTTCCCTCACGAGCCTCTTCAGCGATGGAGACATCGGGGAGCAGGTCAAGCTCCCGATAAAGGTTGAAATAGCCGGCAGCAGCACAAGCCCGGCCAACCTGATAGCGCATGGAGGGATATTGTTGGACGACTTGGCGGTAGGTATGTTCACTGGCGAAATCCGGGTTCCAGATACAGTAGGGCTGAGCTTCGGGGGCCTCAAGGCCAACAGGAACTATGTTGCTCATAATGAGCCGGGCATTGCGTGCCCGGATGAACTCGGGATAGCGAAACAAAGCACACAGATCTATAATGGCTTGGTTCATTGCGAAGTCGTAGGAGCAGCGCAGCCCTCGAATTACGGCACACCGTGCAGCCGCAGAGGTGAGGTCATCTGGAACGCTCCTTCCCTCCAGAGCCGCTATGCATTGGTCGTAATCGTAGACCTGCTCGTTTGTTGCGGCAGTGCTCTGCTGTGAGCTATATGAGCCGGCTTCGCTCACGCTGTCCGACGACATATCGAAGGCCTCGACTTGGTGGATGACTTCGGTAGGTCGGACTGGTGGACGGCCTGAGCCTGTGAATGAAATGTAGTTAAGCCACGTGATTATGGGACTCCCCAAACAAAACAAAACAAGGAACAAGCGACAATCGGTACAGTTGCTTCCGGGCCGCCGTGGGTCCAAGTCCAGAGTGCCCTGGATTCCAGTAAAACCCTTGCTTACACCTGGCCTATACATATACAGAGTATGTACATATCTTACTAGGTGGTGGCCCTCTGAGATATATATTTCTACCCTACCTCTCATTATCACACAATTATTATATAATAATAGAATAATTTAAAGCAGATTATGAGATAGCTAAACCTATATTTTCTAATTAAGCTTTTTTCTTTTTTCTTATAACCAGCTTTGTATGGGAGAGATATTTTCTGAGCAATCATCTTGTATCCAGATTTATTGCTTTTCTATATAGGAAATCAATTCAGACGCGAAACTTTGTTGCTAATATCGCGTGGTTCCTTACATAGTAGGCGGTTACTTATGGGCAGGTTTTACTGTAGTTAAACTAGTAGTTTTATCCAATCGTTGGTGGGCCCAGGCTACGTCTGGGCCTCTCTATAGTAAGAGATGGTTGACTATTAAGGAGCATTACACTTAATTCCAGGATGTTACCACTAACAGGCCCCTTTTTCATCGATTCTTTTCCACATCTGAAGGGTCTTGAAGTGTGAAGGGTTGGCTTTGGTCTCCTCTGCGAAGCGCCCATCCGGATTGCCATAATCCGTAACCTACAAGGAACCATATTAGCACACGTAGCGAAGAGAATGTGGCCAAATAATACCCAAGCCTCAAAGTCTTTGAAGGTTTTTATCTCCACCTGGCCCCCAGTGACTCTGCTGATGGCCTTTTTGACGTCATCTTCATGCTTTTCCCAGGTTTGTCCAAGATCGAGACGCTCATAGTCCGGCCCCCCCGGAACAAGAGACTTCTCCTTAGTTATCACAATCTTGTCCCCCAAATTCAGGCCATCATCCCTGGAGAAGTGTGTCACCATGAACCGATGGCTGTCTTCAATACGGAGCTGCACAACTCGCTCAGTAAGTGGTTTCATCATGGTATCCCAATCCTTAATCTTGGGGTAGTTCGTCTCATCCTTGCGCCACTTTATTAACTGCTCATTGAGCGCACTGAATAGGCGCTGGTACCTTGCATCGTCCCTCGATGCGGCTGCTGCCTTTTTCTGTTCTTTGTCGTTGCTTTCGCTTCCCCCCTTCCTGCTCCCACCTCTTCCGCCCTTTCCTTTGTTCACCTTCCCACCACCACCAGACTGCCCAAACTTTGGATTGATCTAATCAATCTTCAGGTTCTTAGTTAGATGGTGGTCAATCAGTTCTCGTGCAGCGCGCTCAAGATCATCAACACCGGACGGAGGGGTAATCTTTGGGGGCAGGTTTCGTTCGTTGGTTGGCACGCCGTCAAGTCGCAGCATAAACTCATTGTAATGCAGAGGGCCTTCTCGTGTCCCAGTCTCTTGGTCCCAGTGTTTATTGTTGATTCCCTGCTCTCCACCTGTCTTGTACTTCATGGGCAAAATCTCATTCTGGTCTATAATCTTTCCCTCTTTGTCTTTTGTTTGCATAGCACTACAGTCATAGAGATATAGATCAGCATCTAAACCATCACCTAATAGGGTTCTGTGCCATAAAAGGTCCCCAAGAAATTATGGATCCCGGAAGAAGAAGAAGAAGAAGAAAGAAAGAAAAGAGAAGGAGCGAGAAGAAGTATGTGATGTGTGTGACTTACATGGCCATGTTGTATCTCTCCCATAGCCACATTCTCTCATAGGCATGAGCATACATGTTTGCTGTATCCTTAGTGCCGGCGTCTAATAGTATGGCTAAACAGAGCCATAACAATAGCAGTGCGGTCCAGGGCACCCGCGCAAGTAGCCCAGGCATGGTGGTAAATCTATGGGCGCTATGTAGAGCAGATTGAGAAAAAGAAAGCCATGCTTCTCTTTAAGACAAAGGGAATGTCCATACTTAAAGCCACTACACAGTCCTCCTCGGGTGTTCATGTCCACCACGGGAAACGAAGACTTGTCATACATGCCCAGGCGCCTCCCCCTTCGTGATACAGGCCCAGGAGGCTCGCCCCTTCGCTTTGAATGTTGCATTCGTTCTCTAATGCATTCTTTTCTTTTCTTTTCTTTTATTTTCTTTTCTTTTTTTTTTCTTTTTGTTTCTTCTCTGTCTCTCTCTCTCTCTCTCTCTCTCTCTCTCTCTCTCTCTCTCTCTCTCTCGCGTTGATGGCCCCTTTAATAGTGGAAGGAGGCTAGCATCGCCGGTAGTCTAAGTGGACGTCCGACACTGGAACACGCGGTGGACAACACGATCCCACAAGGTTCGGCCCGCCAGTTCCAAATTCCGCCCAAAATGGGATCATACCATGCAAAGGAAAGTCGAGAGATAGGGTAGGAGCTTTCCGAAATTCGTGTATGTGTACTCATCTGCTTGGTATGTTAGAGTTCGGGCAAGCATTGCCAACCCTTAGCAACAGAGCTTTGGCTCTTGGCAGGATTGTGTCTATCCACTGGTGTCTTGATAACAGATCCACAATGAGGGATTTTCGGTGATCTAGATGCGTGAATTGGGGTCCGGCATGTCGGATTGTTTTTTATCATTTGCATCTGAGCCTGGTCATAGATAGACTAGGCACCATAGGACGCTAAGCTGGAGACACAAGTCTAGATTCTTGGGTCAGGCGGCTACGAGAGATTCCCGGCAGACGTTATTATACAGGGTATAAATAAGATGATAGAAAGTAGACACACTTTCTCAGTGCACGGATTTAGCCAGTAATTCGTTCCCTCATTTCTAAGTAGCCACCATCGCTACTTCAATCTCTTCCCCTCTTTAGCTCAACCAATCCGGCTTTGACTTGCATTTATTCATTATGAAGCCGAATATCAAGACACTCTCAATTTCCTATCTCACTTTTCTTTCTCTCAGTACTTTTCCGACTCCCACAGATGCCTCCGCCAGTGGTGCTCTGGGGCTCGTCGCACCCATGGGGGATTTGAGAACCGAAGACCCTATCGCATCCGCTCTCGTTCATGGATGCCCCCAATCATGTACTACTCTAGGGTCCGACCCTGCGAAATGGACCCAGATCCACGACCTAAACATCCTTGAGCGGTGCAAGGGATCGACTCTGTTCGCCTTCAACATTCAGAACGAGCTGGATGTTAATACACCCATGGTCTCTTGTTCATTTCTCGAGGAGTATCCCAAGCGTGTGTTGCCAAAGGTAGCACAGGCCACTTGGGAAAAAATAAACACAGAAGACATTGACGCTGTGAGCGAGCATATAATGGGCTCTGGAAGCTGCGGCGCCACCGTAAGCCCCATGGAGGTGGTTCTTCAATCTGGCAATGTTGGAGACCTGGGCTCAGGATCTAACTTTACCAACAATGCCGTCGCTGCTGTGAAGAATTTGGCCTCTTACATGGCTGATGCTTCATCTTGCGGGACAACTATTCTCTTTTCTAAGAAAGAAGACTCCGTGGCTGCGCTGTACGCTGGTGCAGATGTTTTGCACACAGATGTGGGCGACACGCTTGATCATTTTGGGTAATTGTATCCAACCACATGAAACTGCAATCAGATGCTAACAAATAGGCTAGTACGTCCACATGAAATCAACTTCCACCCTTCCTTCCTCTTTATCGCCCTGCGGTACATCCCCAGTCGAACTTCCATCTAATGCATGAATCTTTCCAAATAGCCAATGAGGTTGAACAGGGAGCCCGAGCTGTTCAGGTTTGCGATGCAAACTCGGAAAGGGCTAGAACAATTGGCCTGTTTGTTGCTCGGTCTGTCGACGGCCTTGGTGACGCTCAACGGGCTCTCCAGACCTGGGCTAGCGGTGAATGCATCTCCCTTGCGAACTTGAAGACATCAGAAACCAGCATACGTTCCTTGGAAGCCACCAACAAAACCAAGCGCTCCTCTCCGTTCTCCCTCTTTTCCAGTCTTCTCACTCTCCGCGCCGAATGTAGGGCCATCCAAGTTGCTTCAGGCGATAGCTGTGGTGCGCTCGCTAGTCGCTGCGGCATCACCAGTGCCGACTTCAACAAGTACAACCGCAAAAGGAACCTCTGCGCAACCCTCAAACCAAAGCAGTATGTCTGCTGCTCATTGGGCTCCCTACCAGACATCAAACCAAAGCCTCAAGCCGACGGCACATGCGCCACCTACACGGTCCAAGACAACGACAACTGCAAGGACATCGCTGCGCAATATGGTCTGACCACGAAGGACATCGAAACCTTCAACAAAGCCACATGGGGCTGGGCTGGCTGCTCCCGTTTACAAAGGGACCAAGTCATCTGCACGAGCAAAGGTAATACTCCCATGCCCGCCGCGATCAGCAATGCTGTGTGTGGGCTTCAGACACCTGGGACAAAAAAGCCAAAGGGAGATTTTACGGGCTTCAATCTCACCAAGCTGAATCCTTGCCCTTTGAACGCCTGCTGCTCTGGTTGGGGTTTCTGTGGCACGACAATGGAGTTTTGTACAGAGTCCCCCGCTGATACTGGCGCTCCTGGAGCATTCAAATCTGGCATGAACGGTTGTATTTCCAACTGCGGAACAAACATCATGAATAATAACGAGAAACCAAAGTTCTTCCGCCGTGTCACATACTACGAAGCATATAACATGGACCGTGATTGTCTGAATATGGATGTCAGAGAGATCAACGACGACGACCTGACCCATGTCCATTTCGCCTTCGCAGGCCTAACCAGCAACATCGAAATTATGTTTGATGATTCATATAAGGACCAATTTGGTGCCTTCATTGAAATGCATGCTCCGTGGAAGAAAATCCTCTCGTTTGGTGGGTGGGCCGAATCGACCGACGCAGCGACATTCCAGCGGTACAAGGACGTTGTCAAGCCAGAGAACCGTGAAAGATTTGCTAATAACGTCGTTGCCTTCGTCAACAAGCACAAGCTAGACGGCATCGATTTCGACTGGGAGTACCCTGGTGCAACCGATATTCCTGGAGTCCCAGGCGGCCAAGGCGAGACAGACCACTACCTTAACTTCTTAAAGCTGATGCGGGAAAAGCTGGGCGATAAGTCTCTATCTATCGCCTTACCAGCATCTTACTGGTATCTTAAACCATTTCCTGTTGAGAAGATGGCAAAGTACCTTGACTACTTCATCTACATGACATATGACCTCCATGGCCAGTGGGGTATGGTCCAATCGCGTTCTTGTTCTTTTAATTGAGTCAAACATTACAACACTGGCTGACATTCCATAGACTTTGGTAACAAAAATGCAAGCCCCGGGTGCGCGAATGGAAACTGTCTTCGTTCCCATGTCAACAAAACCGAGACACACGACGCCCTGGCAATGATTACCAAGGCCGGGGTGCCTGCCAACCAGGTCGTCGTGGGCGTCTCAAGCTACGGTCGTAGCTTCGGTATGGCTGATCCCAACTGCACCGGCCCCATGTGCAAGTTCACCGGGAGCTTCAGTAAGTCCACAGCTGAACCTGGAGACTGCACCAACACCAGCGGTTACATTTCAAACGCAGAGCTCATGCTTCTCAGTGACAATGCATTACTGGGTTATGATGGCTACCACGCTAGGTCATGGCACGACGATGACAGCGACTCGGACATTATGGTTTACGGCGAGGACGAGCATGCGCATAGCTGGGTGGCTTATATGAGTGAGGATACTAAAGCCGGTCGTATTGAATGGGTGAAGGGTCTTAACTTTGGTGGAGTGTCCGACTGGGCCATTGACCTTGGCGACTGGTATGATGGGGTGGATCCGGATGATCACAGTTCGAGTGCCTTGTTGGCAGGCGGTAGGACATTCGACGGTTGCCCATCAAATAATTGGCCTGACACTCTGGACGAACTGAATGATAATCTGGATAAGATCGCCGTCGACTGTGGATCACAGGCTGTGGTTCATGTGCTGCTCATGCAAGTCAACGATGCAGTCTCCAACTACAAGGCTATTTCTTCCGGCGACTACGATGAAAAGGTATTATACCCTACGTTGAGCCCGGGTCCCCGGTCACGGTTGTGATAATTCAGTGGCTAAGATACGTCTAGTTCAAATACTACGCCAAATGGATCAGAGACGGAATCAACGACTCCCTTGACAAATTTATGCGTCAAAACGGCTCTAAACACATGGATTGCGAGTGGAAGGATGCTGGTGTGAGCGGTTCTGGGCCATGCACTGAAATGAAGCGCGGATCACTCAACGGAAATCAGTATGTGACTTGGAAGATGCGGGACGAAGATGGCTTCTATAAGGACCTGTTGGCAGACTACGGCATCCAAAAGGATTGGATCCAGTGGAAGGGCAGCGTCCAGAAGGTGCTGCCCTGCAATTGCCCGCAGGTTGGCGAAAATTGTCTCATGTGCAGCCCTGGCGTTCAATACGGAGAGATTTACTACAACTACCCCTGCCGCAAGGACAACGACGACGACATCGCAGTGCCGAATCCAAAGACAATAATCGACAGTTCTATCCCAAATATAACGTCTCTCTCGAGCGTAATGCTATCTAGCTATTTCGATATGCGGACGTTCACCCTTGATGCAGACTATGGTGATGTCGCAACGTCCTTCAGCATGCCAGTTTTTATGTTACAAGACGCCACGGAACAAATGAAAACAATCAAGAAAATCGGAGCCGAGGTCGAAGCTGCCGAGAAGAAGCAGCTCATTATGGGAATTCTCACTATCGTGTTTATGGTCATTCCTTTCGCTGGCGACGCTGCTGCTGCCTTAGGTGGTGCCGCTGCCATTGCGCGTATGGCGTTAGTCATTGGTGAAGCCGGGAACGCAGCACTTAGTATCGCGGATATGATTGATGACCCATCTTCTGCTCCCTTCGCGATCGTCGGTTTGCTGCTTGGAGCCGGGACTGCGGGACGGCCGACAAGAAGCGCTTTTAAGCAGGCGGCTGATGCACGCAGAGCGCTGTCTGCTGATAAGCTAATGCTTTTCAGCGACACCTTCCGGCGCAAGGATAGTATTGTGCAGAATATTGTGAAGAGGTGTGCTGGTTAGTCTAGGTTAGATACATAATATATTAATTAGTGCTAAGACTCCTGCCTTAGCTGCCTTACATATTCTCAGAGTACCTAGATAAGCGGCATTCCCTTGTGTCTACAGACTGATAAATCATAAAATAATGGTAGCCCAGGCCTACTGTAATTCGGAATAGTAGGGCAAAGGTATATTCTGTATATAGTTGTTGGATCGATTGCCGTTTCCCACAGCGTACTGGTCTTAATCTGCACGGCCCAGTCGTCATCAGGGTCGATTGGTGCGATCCTCAAGCCGCCAGAGGGTAGTCGCGGGAAGCTAGTGGCGTGTGTTGTTGCGTAAAAGAAGCGAAGAACATGGATGCGAATTTGATTAACACCGAGGACAAGGTATGGAGCCAGATCGACCTCGTCATTAAACCACAGGGCGCTGTCATCCTTTGCAAGGCCGAAACGGACGAGTTGATGATTGTCATATAGTTTGTACTTGGTGTCCGCAGTAACATATAGACGTAGAGACGCCGGGACTTGGTCTTGAATGACCAGATCCCGCCGGAAATGAACAAAGAGACCGGCTGTGTCTGGGCGGTCTTCCGTGAAGTATACTGCTGCCTGATGGTTGCCCGGATTTGAACCCTGACAAACCCTATATAACGGAGCTGTGCAGGCCCCTTCCACTAGGCCTGCATAGTAAGACCTCCCGCCGCTAAGCCTATCTTAAGATCTTGGACCGGGGAGAGAGGACCTCCCAGAAGTCGATCAGATTCCTCTTATTGTTGAATGGCTGATTAACTATTGTAGCTGGGGATTATGAGAGACTGTTTTCTTTGAGTATTAGTCTTATCTTGTGCAGACCTTAGTTAATTTCGATACTTCTCTCTACTTTTAATACCTCTCCGAACTCTTAAACAATCTATGTTCGCGAGGTACATTTGCTTCAGACATTTTCGAAGCTTCATTTCAACGTAAGAATATATAGTAATAGAGGTATACTCCTTAAATAGCCTATTAATTGGGGCGGATTTTTATACTATTCCGCCTGTTAACTACATCTAGCTACCTGCAAGGATCCGGCCTAGTCACCATTGCAGATATATATCATCAAGTGGAAGCCATAAGTATCCCGACCATTTTTCAGTCATTTGGACAGCAATAAACGTTCTTATTTCTAGGACTCCATTTACTATATGACAGACACGCTCAGTCCTCCTGCCGGATCCTCAGTGTGCCTGTTTTGCTGATCATGAACTCGTCAACCGCGACATCTTTCCCACTTTCTTTGCCCCATCCACTATCCTTGATGCCTCCAAAAGGGGCTTCTGTTGCTGATCCATTGCCCGCATTCTGTATGGAACCAACGACTGAGTCAGATGTATATCCTCGTATTTGATGTATTGCAATTCGGATTTACTCACCAAACCGATCATGCCTGCTTCCAGCTTCTCCATCATTCTCCATAGCCGATTGACGTTTTCGGTAAACACGTAGCTCGCGAGGCCGAATGTAGTGTCGTTTGCACGCTTGGTGACCTCTGCCTCTGACGTGAATGGATAAAACCCAAGGAGCGGACCGAAGACCTCCTCCTGGCTCATTAACATGTCGTCTGTCATGTCGATCAAGATGGTGGGATCCATGAAGTATCCGGCACATGAATCAACACTTTTTGTTTCATGGCTTATCCGCCTCTGCCCTGATCCGAGAAGTAATTTCGCTCCTTTTCGGATGGCATCTGAAGCGATTGCTTCAACCTTATCTAGACTTCTAGGCACAGTCACTGGGCCCATCGTGGTCTTGGCGTCCATTCCATGTCCGACAACCAGCGAGCGCGTGCGATGGACAACTCGGTCGATAAATTCCTCATATACGCCTCGTTGAACGAACACGCGATTAGCGGTAATGCATGCCTGGCCCGCATGTCTCCATTTGAGAGCGATCAACTCATCCACGGCATGATCGAGGTCCGCATCGTCAAAGACGATGAAAGGACAATTCCCGCCTAACTCGAGAGTCGACTTGGTAAGACCGCTAGCACAAAGCTCTGCCACAATCTTTCCCACCTGAGTGCTCCCCGTGAAGCTGACCTTTTTCACGAGTGGGTGGGTGCAGAGCGCTCTCGATACAGCCGGGGTGTTCTCCGCGCTGGTCGTCAACACGTTGAGCGCGCCAGGAGGAAAGCCAGCTTGCGTGGCTAGTTCAGCTAAACACAGTGCTGTAATTGGAGTCTCGGGGGAAGGTTTGATCACCATCGTGCAACCGGCGGCCAGGGCGGCACTAGCTTTCCGCAGGACCAGCGCAATAGGGAAATTCCACGGTACCATCGCGACTGCTACCCCGATGGGTTGCTTAATCGTTATAGCACGCCTATTCGGCGCGGCGCTAGTAAACGTCGAGCCTTGGATGCGATCTGCCTCTCCCGTAAACCACCAGGTAAAGCTGATCCCGTAATCGAGCTCGCCGTATGCCTCAGACAATGGTTTTCCGGTCTCATGGACAAGAATCTTTGCCAGGTCATCCCGTGAAGAGACAAGCAAGCGGTGCCAGGACCCTAGGAGTTCAGCGCGTTTTCGTGGATTCAGTTGCGAGTAAGATTTGAACGAGGCATGTGCAGCCTTCACGGCCGCATCGGCGTCGTCTGGCGTACTGTCTTGACACCATATCCAAGTCTTACCCGTACCTGGGTCTTGAACTGGAAATGCTTTGTCAGAGACAGACTGTTTCCATTCTCCGTTGATGTAGACCTGGTTGTGTAGAAAATCCGGGTTTGATAACTGGAACGGCATCTGGCCCTTCTGAAGATCAGTCTGCATTGCGGTTGGATGTCGAGTGTCCGATTGTTATTTTCTCGAGAAATTGGGGTATCCAAGCTTATTTCGTCAACCATGGCCTCAAATATAAAAGGAGGCTCGCCAACTACGTCAATACGGGATACTCGCCGACTCTCTCAATGAAGCGTGCCACTTGCGTGTCGTGGCACGGCCGAAAGTCTATACGGAGGAGGATATGTGGCACGCTCCGAAAAGCCCCATCGTTCGAGTCCTTTAGAAAGTCCGTCGCCCCACAAGGAACCCGTGTGACTTGCCCCGGATTTCCAGTCAATCTGTGGGATCTATCTCCCTGAGCTCAGAATCGACATAATCCGCCATCGTGATTTCAACTTCTCGAACTGCAATGGTCAAAAACGCTCGCCCCGGTGCCTACAATAAGTTGGTGACTGTTGCCGTCGCTTTCGGCTCGCTGGTACGCCTGATTCACGATCTTGCCATAGTTTTCGTCACTAACAGCAACAGACGTACGGGTATTCATCATCTATCATCGGTAGTACTATCGGCCAACCAGGATGGTACTCCTTTTTCAACCTGCCGGTGGAGGGCGAGCCTGGGTATGCGACGACGACCACGCAGACAATTGCCACTGCAAATGGACTCTACAGTACTGGCGGTGCAGTCGGTAGTCTGTTCATAATGTGGGCGGCCACTGCAATTGGACGCAAGCGCAATATCCAACTCGGGGCTCTCCTTGCGCTTCTTGGCGGGGCGTTGCAAGGCGGCGCTGCCAACATAGCGTATGCCTATCCGTCTCGTTAAAATTGAGGACCACAGGCTGACTGATGTCTTATCTCTTCTAGGATGTTCCAAGTAGGTCGCTTCATTGCAGGGGTAGGCATCGGAATCTTGGTTACAGTCTGTCCCATGTACATGTCTGAGCTGGCACCACCAGTGAAGCGTGGATGGTTGGTGGGGCACCATGCTATCTTCCTCGTTTTCGGATACATGCTGTCTTCCTGGCTGGGTTTTGCATGCTTCTATGCAACTGATAGTCATCCGTCCTTTGCCTGGAGATTTCCTTTGTGCATGCAGTGCTTAGGCCCACTGGTACTCTCGGTCCTGTCCAACTTTATTCCCAAGTCCCCTCGCTGGTTGCTACAAAAAGGTCATACTGAGGAGGCCTGGAAGGTTCTGCAGAGATTGCGGAAAGACCCCTTGGATGAGCATGACTTGGTTGCAAAGGAAGAGCTATTCCAGACTAAACAGCAGATTGCTCTCGAGCAGACCAAGCTGCAGGCGTTGGGTTGTGGGCCCTGGACCGCAGTGCTCAAGAAGAAGAGCTACCGGAAGAGAATGATCATTGGATTTTTGACTCAGTGGGGGGTTGAGTTTGGTGGTCCCCTGGTGATCGTATGTCCCTTTTATCGAAAATCCGAATGACTGGCCACTAACTGTTGCAGAACAATTACGCTGTCATTTTATATACGAATTTGGGCCAGACTGGTTCAATGCCTCTTCTTCTTTCGGCTCTTTGGCTAACTACTGCGGGTGAGTTGCTTTTGAAGACGGAAAATGGGGGAGCTCGAAGAACTGAGGATATCTGACCCGTGTACCGTGTATAGGAGTGATATACAATCCGCTCGGCGCTTGGCTTCATGACAAGGTCAACTCGCGTCGAGGGATGCTGATGGTCGGCATGGCCGGTTGCCTTGTCACGACTTCAGGTTTGGCCGGGTGCATCGCTGAATATGCTGGAACATCAAATCGCGCGGGAAACGCAGCAGGGGTGTTCTTTATATTCCTCTATCTCGCGTTTCAAGGGTGAGTCGGCCCATCCCTGGCACAGGGCTGCAACTAGAATTCCTAATGTTGATTAATACAACGTATAGGACATGCTGCGACACGACGATGTACTTGTACGTGTCTGAAATCTTCCCTACCGAGATTCGAACAATCGGTATGGGATTCTCTCTCTTCGGCCAATTTGCTGCCACCATCGTCCTCCTTCAGACTGCGCCCATCGGCATTCAAAATGTCGGGTGGAAGTACTATCTCGTGATTATTTGCTGGTGTATTGTCTTTGTTCCTCTTGTATATTTCTTCTGGCCTGAAACGGCCCGTCTGTCATTAGAAGAGATTGCTGGCAAGTTTGGTGATGACGTTGCTGTCCACATCAATGATGTGTCTGAGGAACAGCGAAGGGAACTCGATGAGTTCTTGAAGAACCAGAATCTGGTACACATTGAGGACACCAAGCAAGAGGAGATGCATACCAGCTCTCCCGGAAGTGGTAATGTCGAGCAGATAGTCTGAGTGTCTGGGTATCTCTTCGTTTTCTTTGCAACTGTCGTCTTAGGAGAATGTATCTACTCTCGGCTTCACGATTGTTCAATATGTCTTCGGTAGTGGTCATCGCAGAAATCCATCTTCTTAGTTTCCTGTGGCGTTCCACTCATCAGGATTACCATGTAGTAATGGGAAACGTGTGCCCCGCGTATGCGTTGGTACGAGATGGGTCCGGGGGTGGGGACCTCCGAGGGACGCCGGAGTCGTAGACTGTGGCCAGTCTTATAAGGTAAGGCCCATCCGATCTCCATGGGTCAACTGACGCGTATTTGCATACCATATACGGTGTTCATCTCGTCTGAGAAGCCCATATTTCTTTTTCTTTTTTTTTTTTCTGGGACGTTTTCGATCACGGACCTGGCCTCACGATGTCCCCCGGGGTGGAACCAGAGAGGATGCATCTTACAAAATGTCCAGCGAAAAGTGATACCCTCTTAAGCCTTCATAAAATGCCTTATGACGAGCTCCCAGACAAAAAACACGTCTGGAACACCCCATCCAATTCAGAAGAAGAAGGTCTCGGTAGACTTATCATTCTCACCCCTGACATCGTCCAAGCGGCTGCAGCGTCGTGCATCAGATCCGGACGGCGAGTTTGTCTGAACTGGGATATGAACAAGCTCGAGACAGCCAACTTCAGCCGTCAACCTGCACAACACCACATCGTGCCACTCTTGAATGGCGTCGCTTTTGATGACATCTACATTTTCAATCCACAACAATCGAGTCAATGGGACGGCCTGCGTCATTTTTCAGCCCCGTCGCCAAGCAGCGACAACCCCTCGAGACGAGTATTCTACGGAGGAGTTGATGCCTCCGAGATCATGGATCGAAGAAGTACTCGAATCGGGCTACAGCACTGGGCTAAGGAAGGAATATGTGGGCGAGGTGTCCTCCTGGACTATGCCGCCTACGCCGAGAAAAGAGGTATTCAGTTCTCGAGCTTTTCATCGCATTCAATACCCTTGTCTGTATTGAAAGAGATCGCCCAAGAGCAGAACGTCACCTTCAAATTCGGAGATATTCTCTTTGTCCGCATCGGTCTCGTTCGAGAATGGGAAACACAAATGGATGAAATTGCCAAGGTCGCTTATGCCTCATCAAAGGCTCCTCAGCATGCTGGAATCGAGGGGACGGAAGAGATGCTTCGCTGGATATGGGATTCGGGCTTTGCTGCGGTGGCATCTGATTCAGTTTCCTTTGAAGTGTTTCCTCCGAGGGAGAGCTATCCCAGAGAAGGCGGCGCTGCCAATGTTGATGGCGTATTCATGCATGAAGTTTTGCTGCCTGGGTGGGGGATGCCCATTGGCGAACTCTTTGACTTGGAGGGCTTGTCAGAGCTTTGCAAAGCACAGGGTCGGTGGGATTTCTTTGTTGCTAGTGCACCACTCAACATGCCTGGTGGTGCTAGTAGCCCGCCAAATTGCGTGGCGATTTTTTGAGAGTTACCTGCATCTAGCTTTAAGTGTTATGGGGTTCTCCTGGGACCCTCCAGCGAAGTATACGCAGCGAGGAGCCATGATAAATGGTCTCTGTCGAAAGCATTTGGTATTGTATTAGGTTATCAGTCCATAATTTGCTGAAACATTTGAAGAATTTTGACGAATTTCTGCGATAAGCCCCAATACTGTATCCGAGCGAGGAGAGACTGAGCTAGATGGCTGACGTGCGACGCAAGCTCATCAGAATAAATATCCTCCAGTCCAGCAATACTTGCCTGCCCGCCGTGCTGGATCCAATCCATAATGAGGTTTTTCTGGTTGTCATTGACGGCCAAGTCGTCCAGCCTGACAGGTGGGCCGGGCCTATCGTGACTGCTCTTGTGGAGAGAGGTGCGGCCGTATTTGGCAAAGGTCATCAGAAAGATGCAACCCATGAAAATTCGCAGAATCTCACAGGGTGCTGAAACTAAATATTCACTTGCGACAGCAGTAATTTGCACTGCATGCCACACTAGCCTGCGCGTTCGACGTGGATCGCCGGCGAATTTTGCTTCGAGTTGCTGTTTGGCAGCCGCTAGACTGGTCTCTGCTTGGGCACGCCGTGAAGTTGTCACAACTCGTACAATGAAGACGACAAGTTCCATGAAATCTTCGGCGCTGTATAGGTGGCAATAGTGGATGATCAAACGAGTAATACTGAGTGAATAAAAATAGTGATGATTAGTTGAATCCACAGAGGACGGAACAAATTGGGAGCGAGCGTACTTGTAGTCTATCAGTTCCTTCGTCGAAAACGGGCAATCAATGGTAAGAGCCAAACTGTCAAAGCCCTGAAGCAGAGACACCTTGGCCTGATTCTGGGCAGATAGCAAGGGGGGCCGCCCAAGCCAACCGCAGAGGGACAATGTATCGAGCTGCTTAAGATCCCATAGTAGTCGACCGATGATTTGTCCGCAAAGTCTCTTCGCCCAAGAGGAGAGGGAGATGTCGCTCGGGATCGGTCGTCCGGCCATGATGTTCCGCAAAACAACGTCAACAGATGCACCGAACGAGGTGGGAGAGGAGTGAGAGCCGAGAGCTCTCCATGCCATCGCTGTGGGAGCGTCCCACAATGCCTCAGTACATGGCAGCCTGCTCGGAAGCTCACTCAGGTCGATTGCTCCTCGTCGTCCGGTCAACGTGCAAAGGCTACAGTCGTACTCAAAGCAACTCCATGTCACCCGTTTCTCCTGTTCCTGGTTGATCCATTGGCTCCATTCTTTCTGAACATCCGCTAAGTCAGCTCCGATTGACGGCTGACACTCAGATGTTGTCATTTCCACAGAAAGTCGCGAGTGAAGGAGGCCCATTCCACGTAGGCTCCCGACTAGGATTCCACGAGAGCGATCTGCATCTTGGTACATCTGCCAGTTACCGGATCCCAAAGAATAGATCTGGTGGAGGCAGCATGCAATAAGATAGGTGATGTCATGGTATTTGTTACTGTCTGAGTCACCCTATGATATGTAAGATTCGGCTCTCCGATTGCCACATGTGGTCGGTGTAGTAGACGGGACCTACCAGCCAGAATATCATACGCGCACTGATCATGCTTAGCGTCCTGGATCTGTCCATGGCGTTCTCATCGTTCAGAAACATCGCACCAATACAAGCCATGCTCGCAATCAGCACTGTGGGGCAGCTTGGCAAACTCCAGCTTGGGCGGTGGATCATAGGAAGAATGCTGTCAAACTCAGAAAAGAAACAAATTATACTGCGTTGTACTAAGTGCACAGCGGGCAGAATGGTGCAGTCCTGTAGCATTGCAAGGTCTGGAAAGTGGGATTCCAAGAATAGGTTAATAAGGCATTGCGAGATATCTCTGGTTCCGTCGTGGTCCGCAGTCAGGTTGGTTTGCAAGACCTCACGGAGGGGAGGAAGTTGGTATGTGCGAGGCACCTGATCGCGGCTTTTATCGAATGGCCACTGCTGCGGAGCAGGCCCCAAAGTATGTGTCCTTGTTGTAGAGTTCTCACTTATCTCACTGTGGCCAAATGCAGCATCATTTGATGACGAAAGACAAGACAACGCTCCACCACAGGAGCCTCCGACTCTGCAATAAGGTGAGCATGGTGTTGGGACAGAATTTAGTGGGTTGTCCTTTCGTGCTAGTCCAGGATCCACAGGTGAGTCAAGAAGCTGAATATCCAGCCAATCCATACAGCCGGACCCTATTCCTGTGATGTTTGTCAAGCCAGACATGAAGCCACCGAAGGCAGTATTCTCTTGGAACATGATCCCAGAAGAGAAATCCGAACGAGGGTTTCCCCCTAAAGGGATTTCCGTCTGGGAGATATCGGGAATTGCGGCCGAGTTGGAATGAGGATCACAGGAATTAGGATCAAATTCACATAGACTTCCGACTGAAATCTCTTCATGTTGGATCACCTGCGGCTGGGCGCAAAACGGTTCAGAAAAATTTCCGTTCAGCGACTCGGTCTGCGGGACTTCGCTTGAGACTACTGAATCGTCCATGCTATCGACAGCCATGGAATTGATTGAACAGGGTGATACAGGGCTGTTCCAGCCTGGTGATTGGAGCTTCCCCTCGCGATATTGGCAGGTCGTCCCCGCCCGTTTACATGACGAGCACGGCTGAGTTCTGTCGCACTTCAACTTTTTGCAAACGCAGCGGTAACAAGAGAGCCGTATATTTGGCTTGGATAAAGGAGACTGTCCGTGGACGCTCCGAAGATGTCGCAGAAGAACATCGTTGCGGAAGAAGCGTCTATTGCACTCTGGGCAGAAAATGTGGTCACGTTCGTTTCGAGGACGATGAGAGTCGGCATGGCGAGCGAGATGGCTCGGTCTGGTAAATACCAAGCTGCATTCCGTGCATTTGTGAGTTCTGCGCATCTTCAGAGCTCGATCAGTCAAATGTCCCAATATCGGCTCTCTAAACTGTACTGTCATACCGAAACAGATCTTCTTGAGCCCTCAGTCGAGGATAGATCAGGCGAGTGAATGGCCATGGCTTGAGGTGTTGGTGATTCAGTTGGGGGATGAAGTGGCCACACAGCGCCAAGGTCAAGGTTGTCGGTGGCGGCGGCTCATTTTACCCCACGGGGAATTTGGGTGCAGTGCGGAGGTGGTACGATCCGATAGAATCACGTGACACTGTCTACTGTACGATCTGCAACAGGGTAGGTGGACCCAGAGGAGGGGGAGGAGGGGGTGGATAGGTTACTTACTGGTACTTCCCGCTACGATTACGTAGTCTTCCATTTGAGTCCATCCAAATTTGATTCAGGCCAATTGTAATTTCAATTAGTGCACTCGTATGAGCCACTCACTACATTTCCAACATAATCTCGTATGTACTGATGAACCCTCCCTGCCTAAGGCATCAGGCAATCACCCTCCGTTAACTATACACGCACATTATCCCTCCTCTGCACTCGCAGGCATTGCTGACTGATCTCAGGTTACACACATCGACCCCCATCGACCTAAGCTTTGATGAGTTCGTGATCGTCAACTCCTTGCTAGGAAGGGGAGACAAATTGGGGATGGATAAGAAGTTGAGAATGAGATGGTATCTCGCGTACCTGTAAATCCACACCTGTGATGAACTCGGCCTCGTCGCTGGCCAGGTAGCAGCATGCATTGGCAACGTCGATAGGTGTTGAGCCTCGACCGAGAGGGATCGTACTCGCAAAAGGTGCGCGATTCTCCTCGGTGTCAGGCTTTCCAATGAACAAATGCGTCCTACATTAAGGTTAGAATCGCCCGAAAAGCAGCAAAGGCGCGAAGGAGGAGGAACGCTTACAAACCAGTGCTTCCCACTACTGGGCAGACATTGTTGAAACGGATGTTTTTGGGACCGAATTCCACGGCCATAGACTTCGTGGCAACACTAACGGCAGCTTTGGAGGCGTTGTACCACGTTAACCCAGGACGCGGTCGAAGAGCCGCCGTCGAGCTAACTTGGATAAAGACGCCAGGTCGACTGTTTTCCAAGAAATAAGGCAGGATAACCTTAGTTGATTGATAAATGGACCTGACGTTCACATCCATGACCAGATCGTAATCTTTCTCCGACACTAATGTCGTTGGTTTGTTGGCGTATGTAGTGCCAGCATTGTTGACAATAATGTCGATTTGGTGGAACTCGTCCAGTGCTTGGCTTAACAATGCCTTCCAGCTGTCCTCGCTGGTAACGTCTGCCACAGCAAAGCTGCACCCAATCTCCTCCGCTGCTTGCTTTCCAGATTGCTCTGAGATGTCTGCAATTAGGACCCGAGCACCTTCCTCAACGAATTTGGCCGCAATTCCCTTGCCGAACCCAGACGCTCCACCAGTCACGATTGCGACTTTGCTTGCAAGTCTTGGAGCCATTTGTGCTGACACGTATTTGAGATTAGGATATGTGGAAGATCCGACGTTTGGAAGACTCACTGATTCTTTCAGACCAGAGTCGATCAAGATAAGGTTTATGGCGCCCTGATGTTGGGACTCGCCAGCAACCTCTAAATAACCAAAATCATTTATGGTGTGGTACGGTTCCGTCGCCCAGCGAAGCTACGGCCGGAGCGTGCCACCGGGCTCCCCACGAGTCCCCTTGGCTCTCGTCACTTACAACTCTCCTGTACCTTTTGAATTTACGAATTGGTACTCCAACTCCCCATTTCATCCCATGTTCTCTGCGAATACGTAAACTCGTTATGGGACGAACAGACTGTAATAATCTTTTACTTATTTAGTGTGATTTCGGGGAGGCCTCAGAGATAATATCCAAAAGAAAGTAATTTCAACTGGTACGACAAACCACCATCTCTAGACGCTGAGAACCTGCCGATGAGATTCTGGGGGCCCAAATCGCCGGGCCTGATCGACTTTGCAATCACCGACACAACCCACTCCGCCGAGCAATCGGTGGACACGGTCAACGAACGCGTGTCCTCAAGCCCTGGCAAAGACGCTGGCCTCGGTATCAAGTTCGGCAAGCCGATTGCAGGCTCACGCAAGAAAGCTGACGGCGTCGAGATCAAGTGGAAGGTCACACGGCCCGAGTTCTCCCAGGGGGAAAACACGCCCGGCGACGAGCTGTTCGCCGACGGCAGAATCGACGTCCCCTTCTTCTGCCACGACGTCACCCCCCGAACCGACCGCGTGCCCAGTTTGGATGAGCAGAAAACGACACACCCCTGCGGCGCGATTGGTATCGCCGCCTGCGAGATCCTCGTACCAGCTCACCTTCTGACCGAATATGCGCGAGTCTATTCCAAGATTCTAGGCTCCGAACTCAAACCTGCCGCTGATGCCTGGCAGAACTCGTATACCCTCGACATTGGGTTGCTACAAGGACCTGCCCGTTCCAGGGTTGTAGTGTGTGCTGCCGAGACTGCGCGAGACGTCCAGCGCATCCAAGAGAGGGGCATTGGTTTCTCGGACCTTGTCATCGCCGTCAAGTCCGATGACACTGGCGGCGAGACGAGGTGGTCGTTGGGCTCCACTGGTATCGAGTCCACAATCTGGTTGGAGAAGGTGTAGGGAACTTAGCAACACATTAAAGCGTATCTAGTGGCGGAGGTAGTTGGTTCGTTCCCCTGTTCTGCTCGTTACTGGAAATCTCGGGCAGACTGCATGGAGGAGACTAACCAGAGCGGGTGCCGTCTGGGCTATCAACCATGAACTTATCTGGCTGGACCATCTACAATTGCCAGTACAAATCTCATCTCATTATGGCTCTTTGAAATATGTAATTTCCTTGCAACGTCCTGGAGGTGCCACTGATGCTCTGGCTGAGCGAACATGAGGCAAGATAGCTTTAAATCAAGGAGAGGAGCATGATAAACTACAATTCGTGCTGCTTGGTGTTGGGTGACTGATGTACTCCGTAGGTGGTGAGCACGCTGGAGAATAGGCACTAAAATCCATTATCCTACCACAATGACCCCCACTGTCACTCTACATCCATCCATCTATTGTTTTCTGTTCCGTTCTCTGAGGTCTGCTGCATAATAGCGCAATATAGCGCCGAGTATGCCAAAATCACCTTCTATTAGCGGACAACGCAAACCTCAGAAAAGGAAGAGGATTGTCTTGTCGTGTATCGAATGCCATCGGCGCAAGCAAAGGGTAGGGAACCCTGGGCGATATATAGCTCAACAAAGGTTTACTAAAGGTTGAATAGTGTGACCGCCAGTATCCATGCTGCAACTGTACCAAGCGAGGTACGCAGGTAGGTATACTTCCGAAAGCAATCTTAAGTATGGTCTGATTGGCGACCGCAGAATCTTTGCCAATATGAGGCTGAACCGAAGGGCTGCCAACCCTCACGAAGCGGTTCCGGTGACGGCGATCCTCCGGAAACCAGCCGCGGCACGAATATGGTTCATATCTGCCACCCTGCTGAACCGAACACCGAGTGGTCTAGCGAGTTTCAGGACAAAATTCGAGATTTTGGATACTCCAGCCACGGCAATTTCAACTCCATGAGCCTTTTGCATAGTGCTAAGCTGTGTGGCGGTCAGGCCACTAGTTTATCTAGCTCCCGTACCACAAGGCAGGCCACTTTCCGAAATGATGCGAACCGCAAGTATAAGGAAGCAGTCCGCCAGCTGCCCTCACAAGCCTGCATCGACCTCTTGGTCCAAACCTTTTTCTCGGACATCAACTGGCAGTACGACGTGCTGGACGAGGGATCCTTCAAGGAACAGCTAGTCGCATGGAGAGATATCGTACTCCGACCTCCAAGTGGACTTCGAAAAGTTAGCGCTCGAAACGGTTATGTTTCCAGCACTACTCTTTCAAGTCCTCGCACTCGCCCTTCTTTTTCATCCTCCTCATGATGAAATGATCGGTTCTCTCATTACCATGGCTGATATGACCTTCCATGATCTTGGAGGCGAATATAGTGATACGGGTGCTGACTTATTCGCATTGTTGGGGAAAAGGGATCTAACAATCGCCACGGTGCAAGCAGGTTTGCTACGAGCCTCGTTCTTAAAAAGCAGTGGTAAAGTTATTGAAGCCTGGCATACACTCGGGGCAACAATCCGCGACGCACAGGAGATTGGTCTACATACCGGGCGAATCGTATCTGATCAATCTCCAGTGCGGCCGAAACGCGGGAGAGAAAGTGTCAGTCTTGTGGGTCACAAAATCTGGGTGGTCTTGCATATTTGGGACGTCCACATGGCTGTCGTTCTCGGTCGACCGATCGCCACCGATATTCAAATCGATCACTTCGCCCGCACAGTAAGGGATGAAGAACAGCGGCGAGAATTCTTTCCGCATTGGCAGACCCAGACCGAACCCCCTCGACCATTTGATATCATCCTCGCCGGCTATAATGTGGCCTATCGATATTTCAAGGACATCCACCAACTGGAACATAACGGTGCTAGATCACAAGACTACCCCATTGTTGAACACATTAGCGCTGCAATAAAAAAAGGCTTGGAATGCCTACCCTCTTGGTGCCGCCTGGAAAATCCAGATACAAAGTTCGATGGATTACGCCGGTGCCAGTGGTTACCAGCTGCTCGAGAGGGACTATCGTCGCTCATCCACTTTGTTATTCTGGCACTTCATCGACCCTTCATATTCTCTGTTCCTCATAGTCGCACAGAAGCCCTGGGAGCTGGGATATCCGTTCTTCGCGCACAAGAACGACTATTTGAGCAGTCAGAGCCACGCCAGCGCAAGGTGTTCAATTTTGTCTATGGTTCTTTCGATGCAATTGTTCTCATTGCAGCACTCTGCCTTGTTTCGAACGAGGACCGTGAACTACAAACAGCGTGTATCGAAGTTGTTGAAAGGGGGATGCAAAGGCTGAGTATAATTGGCCAAACCAACATCATGGCAAAGTCAGCACATGGCGTTGTCTGCAGCTTGTACCGTCGTCTCGCATATCGACTCGGCATTAGAAGACGATAGGGCGTCTTTCACCAGTCCAGAACGGATCCCCCCCCCACCAAAAATACTAATTCTGTTCATGGGGCACTGTCCAGACCTTCGTTTGACCCCGTTCCACCCCCCGCGTCCCACCCACGACCTATTCTTCGATCATCTTTCAATAACACAAGTACCGTTCACAGATTCACCTGACAGTTTTCCCTTGGACCCCCTTACTGTGAACATTACAGATGGATGGAATTTTGAAGGCGACTTCTCAGATACCAGCTTTTGGAGTTTGATGAACGGACTTAACCATTGAAATGTACATGTCCCTAGTTGCATCTTATTTGATCCCGGCAAACCAGGTTGCAATATCCCCCACATTGCGATCAACGCAATCCGGCTGGTCGTAGTGCTGGAAGTGCGAAACCTCGTTATTCCAGATCAACTTTTTCTGACTGGTGGGAATGGAATCGTAGTGGCGCTTCGCGGCCGCCGCATTCATACAGTTGTCGCCGTGGATGGCAGGGCCGGCTTGTTCAGCTTCGCCACGCCAGGTACGGTGGTATAGTCAAAATGGTCCAAGTCGCTCATCACTGCATATCGGTTTTCAAATCCCTTCAGTGTCCACGGCCCATACCAGGACCAAATAACTGGTCCCGGAAGACCGGCCAGCGACCCTATATCCGGATCAGCGGCCTTCGGATCAACCAACGGCTGGTACACCATTTCCCCGGTCTTGTTGTATAATTCATGAGCTTTCTTAGCTCGTTCAAGCCGGGCTCTGTACAGGGCTTCTCCCTGTTCGTGAGTGGGCATTTTCATCGCCGCTATGTCCGCACCAGGCGTCCATGCAACACACCCAGCGCAAATCATGTAGTCGTCGGTTTCATGGTCTTGGTAATATCCAGAGATAGAGGCCACGCCTGCAACTCGGTCATCGTAGGATGCCACATCCAAGGATTGCGGGCCGCCCTGGCAGATACCGACCAAGAAGAGCCGAGATGGATCGACATCGCCGCGGGCCGATAGATAGTCAAGTGTGGACAATGCTGCGGAACGAGCAACGCTGAATCCAGCTGCGTCCAATGTGAAGCTGTTGCGCGGCAAAATCAACGAACTGCTTTCGTTTTTACCATATTTAGCTTAACTCAACACAACATCTCCACTTTAGAGACGCTAGTACTAAGATGGCGTCCTCCAGCCAGCCAAGTTATGTACACGAAGGTAAACATCGACAAAAAACTGTGATACGGTCAAATACACTTTAATCATACCCTCAAGGCCACGTCACGATAGATACTTGAGAGGTCAGACTTAGAGGTTAGGCTCCTAACGAATTTGTCAAATCTATGGTTTACTCTATCTAAAAGGCATCTGGCAAGTTGAAGAGATGCTTTTCGCAGATCAAGGTACACCCTGCCAACTATATATGTTTTGGGAGGCAAAGTCATATTTAGATGAATTTTATTTCCTAGTGTAGATGATCAAGCTTATGAGAAACTGAATATCATTCTAAGCTCAGAGTGGTTGAAATGCTCTTGGCTCTCACAATATACCGCTTATAACATCCCTGCCATCCCACCACAGATATCCACACTCTCGTAGTTCAAGCCGTACCCCTTGTGCTCCGGAATGATGCGAAAATAGAAATTGGCCGTGTGACCTGTTTCCACAAATCCTATGAAATCCGAGATGTCATTTCCAAGAGCCATGGTCTGCCACTTCAGACTAATGTGCTGGGCCATCTTCAGGGCATCCTGCTCATTGAGTGGTGCTTTGTTTCTCGTGGTGTAAGCAATTTTGAAGCCAGGCTTGTCCCAGCGTCTAGTTAGAGTAGAGCTGCCGTTCTCTTGACCATCACCGGGGGCAATTTGTAGGGTATTGTCGCCGTTACTGTAGTGGTTGACCCAAATATCAGTCGTATCATCGCCTAGATCCGCATGATACAGGTTGCGGATAAGAAATCTCTCGACGAGATAGGGTTCTTCTGACGACCGCTTCTCGACGCTAGGCAGGTTGTTGTCCACTTCGATACTGGCGAATTGCAAGTTGCTTTCTTTCAGAGCAGTAGTGGCAATGTCCAGGTAGGTTCTTGCATTTATTCTGCGAACTGGCTCACCAGGACGAACTGCTGGCTCTGCACCATCTTGATGCAAGATCGAGAAGATAAGTGTCAAGGCGAATTTGATCCCCAGAGCCCAGTCATCGCACGTAGGGCTGCCATGTGTTATGGCGCGGCAAATGTATTTAGCAGCTTCGGGGCCGAAGGCAACAAAGGCGAGCCTATTGAAGTTAGCAGTTGTATATGAATGGTGTGCATCGGCGCGATGGTATTTACATACTTGGCTTGAACTGAAGTGATCCTGGAGATGAAAGAATCCAGGCGTCTGCAGTTAGGTGCTCTTTGTTGGAGGGTTTTCAGAGCAAGCCCCGATGGGTTAGGACTAGCTACCTCTAGCTCACGCGTGAATTCCTCCGCGGCTGCTGGATGAGCATTGATTGCATCGGCACCTGCCAGAAGCAGCAAAAGGGATGCGAGGAATTTCATCTGCAGTCGGTACTCTTGAGGGACAGCTGGGGATGGTAAGAAGCGTTCTAGCGGGGGAAAGTAATAAATGAGGAGCCTGAAGTATGTCCAGCTTGAAGTTAGGATCTAGGCCAAAATAAGAGGAGAGAAGGGATTGTTACTTCGCTGGTGTCCAAACAAAGATGCTCAGCAGATAATGACTGACGGTTGAAAGAAGGGAGGTGTTGTTGCTCTTTATAGATGGGCCATCGTCCAGCATCGAATATGCTGGTTCACTATCAGACCAATCATCTCTGCTCATGAGTAGCTTTTCACTCTCTGATGCCGGTGTCTCCATAATGTTGCGACACTATACTAATGGTGCGAACAGCAGGTTGCATTGACCACACAAGAAGATTTCAAGTGAATTAGCCAGGGCCTGGGGAGTTTCTGATTATGAACTCGAAATATCCATAGCCCCACCTTCGCTAACGGGTGGAGTCGCTCCCTAGCGCTAATCAGGAGAGCGGCGGAAACCTATAGAGATAACGTAAAGTCCCCACTAGTGTGGGGGCCAAACGAAAGAAGCACATAATCTTAGAATAATAGAACGATCTACGATAGTTAAAGACGGATGAGGGAGAACCAATCTTGCTCTACCCAAAGTTCACGCAAACAAGAATCATGTCCAGTCCATGTTAAACTGCTAGTACGCGTGGATTACTAGGTAGTAAGTTTTGACTCCTTGTGTTGGCTGCTAGCTATAGTCAAAATCACTTACTGTAGGCTGCAGAGCACACTCGTGATTCACTTCCTAGTCATTCTTGCTAAAACAGAGTGGGACCGGTAGCCTATACTCTCGGCGCACTTGCCATATAGATATGATGCAGCCCATTCCATTCCCACTGCCAGAATTGGAAGTTAGGATGAAAAGTCGGAGGTAGCAGTTTCGGCGTTATCCGTGGCCGGGCAGTGTTCGGACCACTTTTAAGCCCATACCAATTCTCTACGTTACATCGACATTTCAGGAGGCTGGTGCGTTGTGATTCATTGGTTGGGCCACATATTAGGTCATACGATGATGTGGGCCATAATCCTGAGTGAGCAATGTTGAACCCAGACCACATGTGAAGCTGGTGCCTGAGAAGACAAAAATCCTGCTTTCATCTTACTCTCTATGGCGAATATAACATCTCGACCACAGAGACTTCATATCCAACACTAGGATGTCCGCTATTTTAGCTCATAGGTAGGAACATGTCAAGAACCATTATCAGCGAAAGGTGGATTGCTGCGATGCGAGATGCATTAAAAGTTGGACGCGCTACTTCCTCACAGCACAACGATAGTATAATTCCATAGCGCTCTATTAATGAACCCCCCTTGTGCATAATCTGCTGACTGATGCAAAATATATTGGTCCTCGTGAGGAGCTTCTCTGATAAGCTCCTCCATGGGTCCGATGGCCTTCAGTGCCTTGACTGAAACCCTCCACAGCAAGCGGGGCTGTGATGCATCCGACTCGCTGAACAGCTCCCAGTGAAGTCGAACATTGGCGAGATCACCAGTCCGCGAAACTTGCATCTAATTTAGGGTGCCAGTAACCTAAGAATAATCCAGCCAGAGATTTGCTTGGGGACTAGGGATCCCCTACTTCGGTTCGAACTCCGGAGTAAACCGGATTGTCCCTGAAAACACCCCAAGAAAGTCGCCTTCATGCACTGGAATGAGAGAACACACAGAAAGGACTTGGTTGTTATATTTTGGTGCAAGAAGCATGAAGATCGACTTGTCTCTTTCGTCTTGCAAAAGTGACTTACGCTGAATACAACACTCAGGTTGTCGGGCAGGACCGCTACAGCTCCATTCTCCAGCGCGAAGCTACATTCCTCATCACCGGAGAACCACACATTGCCAGCATTATTCCATAATCGTTCTAGGACGGTGAGTCTTGCGGCCAGGGGAGAAAATTACACATATAACCTGCGCGCAACATCGCCCTTCATATAGTATAAGACTAGATATTCTAGTTGCTCAAGGTATGGTCCATATACGGTTTCCCACTTCGCGACTGTGTCAATCAGGGAGATCGCCGAGTTCTGAGGATAGATCTTACAGTAACTGTCGAACTCTTACGTGCGATGAATAAGGAATTTATTAATACCCGCCTGTCGCATGTCGAATAGACCTTTCTACAACTTGCGCTGCTGTCGCTAACTTTCGGGGCTTAGCCCAGACCCAAGATCTTCTATTAGTCTCTTGATTGCAGCTTTCTTAGCGGAGGTAAACCCATCGTTTAGTCCTCTCGCTCTTAGCAACGTAGCCAAATCTATGCGTTTTACGCCCTTCAAAATAATATCCTAATATACCGTTTCGTTAAATCGAGACTGGAGATTCCAGCCTATCGCGACCGTATTATCTCTCTTTATTGTCCGGACTGCTTTGCAATACTCAAGCGTAGATATAGACTCGGCATAGTTCTGGAGCCAGGAAAGATCCGTGTTTAACGGGCCATTCCACGTCTGATGGCCGTGTAGCCCAATCGTAGAATTCAGCCGGACACAGTTTACTAATACTGTTGCCACTACCTTTGATGCATAGCCAGGATCCAATCATAGAGGAAGGCGGCGAACGAGAGCTACCTCTAAAGAAGGATCGCCCGGGTTCTTCTCGTTTGCCGATGTCTGTGCAAAACGGCATTAGAAAGTGATATAGCTTCCCGGAACAACATTCAATCGACAAAAGAGAACTTACAGCTGAAGGGTTTTCAGATAACGGTTGGGACTCTGCCTCGACCTGGGATAATGCTAAGATAGTTACTTTGTTTGTAGGTAGATTATCGGACGTAGCGGTAGAAGTAATCGTCTGACTATTGTATTCTTCGTTCGCTTCCGCAGCCTCCTTATTCTACTATAAGCAATCTCTAGGTTTATTTGTTATTCTAAACAGTTTGTCTGATATCCGTCTTTTGCTGTTAGTGCCGTTGCTACCGTCGCCTAATAAATAAAGCTATTAGTTTATAACCGCGCATCTCTAGGATTTCACTTATTAACTGTAGATGTCTGTACTATTTAAAGTCACTCGGTGCCTTCTTCTCTTCCGAGTAGGGGCGCGTAGATTCTTTACGTTTAGTAATGTTCTCTTTGCGCTATGTAGGAGCCGGTAAGATCTTCGAATTCCGTGAGACGTAGCAGGAATTTGTTAGGAGAGAGAACCGATAATACGCGAAAAGGGCGTTTCTTTTTTGTTTATTCCGGCTTTAAGTAGAGTTTCATGGACAAGAATATATATTAGCCAAGACTGCACTGTAAATACGAGCCACCTACTCACCTATACCTAGTAGCTTAATAATAAGTAGGTCTATTCGCTTACTCTTCTTAACCCTAAAAAGCGCGAATATCTTATTAATATTTTGTTTATTAGGGCGTGAATTGTTGTCTTTATGGTTACTAACAGATTAGCTCTACTATAGGACCGCCGCGGTTGGTTTATAATAAAGTGTCGGGATCTTCCAGAGGTTTCTATAGAAAAATTTAGAGACGGTACTCTAAGGTAGAGAAAGAAGAAAGCTAAGCCAATAATCGTGGACATAAATTTACTATGGGGTCTCGACTACGGAGTGACCTTCAAGCCTCTCTGCTCATTAAAGAATAACGTACAACGGAAGCTTTTTTCCAATATACGAACGTTGGTCTAGGCTTGTATAGCCCTATGGGATACTATGTATATTAAAGAGATAATTAACCTGCAGGCTTTCGAAGACCTCTCTATTAGTAAATACAGGTGTTTATCTAGTGAAATAAGAGGATAGGACCGGTTAAGCAGCTGCGATTAATAAAAGATTACTAGAAACGAGAGCTAGGTTGTAATATTAGGCGACGGTTAAACGGAAAAGCATTTTAATTTTATTAACTATTTCCTTCCCTTGTCTGTCTAAATCCTTCCTTCCTTAACTAAGAGCACACTAGTAGTTTACGGGCTAGGGAACCTAAGAACAGAATGTTAAATACTTTAATCTATCAGGCATGGGGCGTGTTGACGCAGTATAGAAGCCGCCGACAGCTGCCAAGGACGCCACGGGGCCTGGGTTGAGCGGCACGAAGTGGCCTAATATCCTAGAATGTTGGACATAAGTACGGAGGACGGTTCAATAGTAAAGAACACCAGTTTATTACTTGTAATATGTCGTTAGGTGTATTATTGCGTAGAAGCTCTTTCTTGATTGCCCTACGCTCTCGTGTAGCAGCCCTATCCCCAAGCTATATGACGTGCCGGGACGGCGTAAACTATTCTATTTATTGATCACCGGGCATCTTTTCGCGAGTTGACTAGGTAAACCCCATTATCTACTTGCTGGCCAACATGAGGTGAACGGTCCACTCGATAGGAGGTGGGCAAAGCCTGAGGTCCTCAGATAGTTGATGGCGTCGCTCTGCTGAACACCACGATTTTGGTATGATCCAAAAACCATGGCTCTCCTAAGCCATATATCTGACCTATTCTCAACTAGACCCTGCTGTAGATAATAACACAAGCAAAGAAATACTTTGTGATTCTCTATATAATCTTGCTGTATCTCTAATAATTTTCTCGATATAGCCTTCGAGACCCCTATCCAGAAGAATAAGAAAAAGGGAGTCTCTTTAAAAAAGGCATTCCGGCAAATAAGAGAAGGACAAAGGGAAGGCATTATTAAAAAGACCTATAAATATAACAAGTTATGCAAAGCAGATGTTTGTCTAGGCATCCAATTAAGGGGCTCTGGTCGGGTGTACACGATCTTAGCTGATCAGAGTAGGTTTTAATCCTCCTTTGAGTTATCATGCAAGAATCTGCTTATATTGCCCGAACAGTGAATACAAGTGTGGCCCTCGGCCTGATATGCGCATATCCGTCGACTTTATATGCAATGGGATAATCTCCACCCCAGCAAGGCCAGGCGGGTCTGCTTGCGAACCTCGGAATATCTGGCCTTGGGCAATAGCCTTACTCTTGACTAACCGAGCAGAAAGGTCTTTACATGACGGACCCGCTCATCTCCACCGAGCTAGGCGGACTGGTTCTTGCGCGCTACTTCGGTGTAATCAGCGGCGTAGAATGTTAACGCCCAGTTTAGTCTCTTAGGTAAATTTAAAGCACGATACTACTATGCGGTCTATCTTAGAGTCTATATAGTACCCCAGTTGCCCAAATCCTATTTATTCGTCTCGGGCCGGACTCCTTTTTTCAAGGCTAGGAACATCTGCGACTAAGATATCGAGTATACTGGATTTTCCCTTCGCAGTGTATCCGCATAACGGCAGAGTCTAGCCTTTAGTTTCACCACATTTTCACCATGCACTTCTTACACTAAAGTTCAGAACCGGCGCCCGGCTTTAGGCGCACATCTCGAGGATAGATCCTCAGCGCCAGCCGATCATCTAGATCGGTTAGCGTAGTCGATGCCGGTGAGCATAACGAATATACAGATATAGTTTGCCAGCGTTTCCTAACACTGGTAGCGTAGCCGAGCGCGCTTCTTATTACTATCTTAAACTATTAGCGGAGGTCATTTCCAGGGCGATTGGTTCAGAAAACGTCGAAGGCACCACAATGCTCAACCAGATGAGATTCATTCCGGATGGCACTTTTCCAGTCCCACGATCTCTGCTACCAGCGGCGCAATCGTTGCCCAGAAATTTCCTGCCACAAGTCCTTCGATATTGCGAAGAAAACCAGCAGTCCATAAGAGTTCGCATTAGCCCATACAGCCAAGCATATCAATCCAGCCAGAAAAGTTGCGATACCGGCGATGTTGACACGGCCAACACTGTCGCTGAAGTATCCGATACAAGGTCGACCGACAGCCTGGCCCAGGTTAAACAAGCCGCTAATGAGGGATGCCTGGGAAGGAGTAAGGCCGATCTCATCTCCATAGCTTGCTAGATTGAATATAAGGATGAAATAGCCAAAGATTGTAAAGCAACTGAATCCAACCAGAAGAACGAAACCCCCATTTTTAGTCAGAGCTAGCTCCATCATAGCTTTGCTACATTTAGCCGTCCTGCTCCGGTCCCTGATCAAGAGAATGCAGGTAGTGATGACCGTGAACGCAAGAATACCGAGTATCCGAAACGCCCAGGTGAGCCCGAAACGATCGATCATTGCCTCCGTCGCTAGAGAGTAAACAAGGCCGCCGAGACCAGCTCCCGAGAGAGAAACACCGCTCGCTAAGGATCGCTTCGAAGTGAACCACTGAGGAATCACGGAAGCTACGGGAATGAATAACATCCCCATCCCCATACCAAAGAGAACGCCTTGCGTCAGGAAAAGATGCCAGATCTGGGTTGCTAGGCTAGCACAGATAAGGCTGGCCGTCTCAAAGATGACACCTGCGAACATGGTTTTCTGAATCCCGTATCGTTGCGTGGCGACGGTGGCTATAGGGGATATCATGAACGTCTCCGTCAAACTTAAGGACCCAACCAGGGCGTAGTGCAGATGAGTGGCGCCCTGGAAGGTCTGATGGTCCATGTAATATGCCAGAAAGATGGCGTATGCCGAATTGAATCCCCAGCAGTGTGCGTTGACGACTGCTGCTGCAACTGTACAGACCCATCCGTAACCTCCGTCAGGAGGTTGGTCCGATTGTTCATCCTTACTTGGGCACCCGTTTGGGAGACGTCGGTGCTGGCCTGTGTGTGGCATGGAAACAGGTATGATACTTTGCTGGTGCAAAGTCGTGAGAGAGAGACGTCACGTAAGCTCTGAAGACAGAAAATAATAACGAATAACGACTATGAGCAAATGACAGGTCGTTCTAGATCTTAAGAATTAATGGACATCTGCAGTGCAGACTGGTGTAGTAGAGAGCAGCCTCCGGCTTTTATACCATTAGACTGGACATTTATCCACACTAGCATCCACAGCACAACCAGTCATTTAGGAACGCTCGTCTTGATGCTGGACCTTACGTAGCTTACTCTCCTATTATTATTCCTCTCGTTTTCTCCTCCTCAATCTGTACTTGATACGCTGCACGAGAAAGCGGAAGAGGCTTATAGACTATAGTCCTCGAGCCGACGGTTCTCAAGATCCTGCAAAATCAACTGCATAGATGGCTTGTTCCATCTGTTGGATTGGCACCGCATTGGGTTTCATGACGGACAAGCAAGAAATGTTACGCTTCAACGGGCAAGGCTTAAGGTGCCTTGTGGTTCGCTCCGTAGCTTGCCATCTTTGAAGTAGCTACCTATAACAACTCATGAATGATCCCATACTCCACGGCTTCTATACGGAGTACATCCAGATGGACAACCCCAGCCAGGACAAAGACCGACTTGCCACATCTTGTCCAATGAGTGCTCTTGTGGATCCGGGCTTTGATCTCGGTCTACCAAACGGCGTTTGCTTTAGCACAAGCTTGTCAAAGTGGGGGTTTCGGAGAGTAGCCGAACCAGGTCGATATCCACCTCTGTATATCGAATGAAGCGGAATTCCGTGTCGCTGTAAGCCGAATCACCCTCGACTTGCTATCCTATGGTGAGAAATCTACCACTAGGATGGTGATTTGCGACGTCTGTTTTACTAAGCACACTATCGATGTTTGACAAGAATGTATGAGACACTCATAGATTGCGTATTTGCACATTCTAGCTTCTAATCCACTCGGGCAGATAGCAATAACAAGAAACAATACAGCATCTAATAGACCTACATCAATCCAACATCCCACTCATTGAACTGCATTCACAATCCGCTCCATTGCTTCCTTCAACCAAGCGAAAGGATGTGAAAACACCACACGAAACCACCCTGGCTGCGTGGCACCATATGCTGTTCCATGGGCTAGATACACCCTGTTGTCCAGTAATCTCTGATGGATGATATCGGTAATATCAGAGGCCTTTGATTCCTCTCCAGCATGTCTCTCCATGTACTTGTTGCCAAGATTGCAAAGATCAGAGCTGCGTAGCCTTCATCTGCGAGACGGGTTGCGTATTGCAACGGCGCTTGCTCTTTCATAAAAAGAGTATGGGCCAGTTATAACAACGCCGGGTGGCTTCGTAACATTTGTGGGATAAAAGAAAATCCCGGCGACAGTGTCCCCATGAGAAGGATATTTGACTCTTTCGGTGTGGTATTGACCGTGGGAAGGCATTTTGAAATCGGTTCAGGGAAGTCGGGACTCTGGTTATGAGGTTTGACTGAGAGGAACTTGATGTTCTCAAGGCGACGAATCTGGCCGGGTTTAAATAGCCCAAAGCCATCGGCGTTATGGCATGGTCATAACCGCACGACGGTAGGTACATTGTAGGTTTCATAGAAACCTATGACGCATTGGAATCAAGAGGTAGCAGAACAATTCTCAATCATATTCGGGAGACAAACTCCGTTTTCGTATTTCTACCATTATCGCCGATAAAAGCGGGTCAGGCTGGGCCTAACGCCGATAGACCAATCAAGGACAAATGAGCAGTGGAACTTACCTATACAGTACACAAATGCTCGCTCAGTTCAGTTGAAACGCTGACATCCAATCCTCAACTCTGATGCGCATCGGCTAGCCAAGTACTAGGTAGTACTAAGTACTCCATATCTGGAAAGTCTAGCGCCTGTGATTGAGAGGACATTTTTGAATGAAGGCGACTCGGTCCGTAATGCTGTCCCTGGTCAGATCTTACCAGCAATATCCATCGTCCAAGATACCAAGCATGACAAGGAAGGACACAACGCATCGGGTTAAAAATACCCCACCAAGCAAATTCATGACTAGACGGGCTTTCTTCAGCTTCTAGTTGACCGTCTTGCTCGTTGAATAAGAGACGACCTATTACCGGCCTATCTAAGGGTGGGTACAACCTATTAGATAAAAGCATACATTGTCTTGCTTCCCACTGCAACATGCAAACTTAGGCAGTCACTCGTTCGTGGTTTTATGATTAGCTATAAAGTATTTCTTTTTCTGCGTCTTTCAGCTGCGCCTTACCAGCATCAGCTCCACAATCGATTTCTCTGCCCTGTCGACGAATTCTGGCAAATCATTTGCCGCGCTTTGACCCTATGCATTGTTTTGGCCAGAAATTGGTCCCATGACTGGTTCCTGACCGGAAAGTCGGAGAAATCCAAACAACCTAGATTTTCACTCTTATCTGGGCCCCATACTGGCGCCGCGAAAGCAAGATAAATTGACCGGTTGCCCTTCAGCAGAAACAACTTATCCAAACAACTACGGTTATATTTTCCTCTATTCTTCTCCGTCTAGCTACCCACAAGAACACCGGCACAAATCACAATGACAAAGATCAACACCCAGGATAAATATGTTTTCGGGAGGAGCCAAAAGGAATCAAAGCGGTAAGTAGGTCAATATACCTCGAACAAAGTGACAAGAGCCCTAATAAGAACAACACCAGGCTCGACGCACAGCACAAACTTCTGTCAAAAGTGACAAATAATACGTTGATCCATCCTTCAATTCCTCTGGGGAAGGCGCTTTCCGTTGCAGATATAGGTACTGGAACTGGGTGAGTCCGCTGTCAATCTCATAAAGCGCAGGAGACTAACCAATACGGCGTGGCAAGTATCTGGCTGAAGGATGTCTCCCAAATCTTCGAGAAAGCGCACCTTCAGTGTTACTGTCATGGATTTGACATCTCAGCGGAACAATTCCCTAAAAAGCCAGGAAACATCGAATTTTCTGTGCAAGATATAACATTGCCGTTCCCAAAAGAACATTGGAACAGGTACGACATAGTTCATGTGAGACTACTAGTTGCTGCTCTCGACGAATCCGAGTATAGAACTGCGATCTCGAATCTTTCTGCCATTTTGAGTATGTAGCTCCTAATGTTTTATCAATCCCTCGGATAATACTAACCGCCGTTTTTTAACGAAAAAGAACCCGGTGGCTTCCTTCAATGGGAGGAAATCGACGAGGAAACATACATATCAGCCGACAACCCAGTCATTCGGGAGATGCACCGGTGTTTCGATTTTTCACTGAGAGCTGAGCGCAAATGTTTCGCAGCATCAGCTAAGGTCTACAAGGAGTGTATCGCGGCCAGTTTCTTGGATGTTGTACGGCTAGAATATCGCTCGGACTCGAATAGTGATATCCGCCTCGATACAGAACAAAGGCTCGCGGCAATTATTGAAACGCTGTATGCGAGTCTTTTGTTGCGGTCTGGGCAAGTTGCTGACGAGGCGGAGGCATCGAAATGGGCTGCAGAGTTGATCGAGCAGCATTGGCGTCTTTGTGAGGACGGAAAATCCCCACCCTTGAAAGTGATGAGAGTAGTTGCCCAGAAGCCACTGAATGGTTCGTCCCTATGAGAAAGGTATTCCCGCTCCAATAATCGGCGACCAATTCCCAGCTTCCCTTGAGAGAGAACGTGGTGGTCAGTGTTGTGATGCTTGGACTAGGCAAACTAGGGCTTCTATTATTCTAGGACCGTTTCTGATGGGCCTAACATAGGAATAACAGGTTTAATTCAAGAAACGGTCGGCCCGATCGAATGCAGAAACAGCGGTGTCCTAAAGGATCGAGCAAAACTTCTTCCCACAATCTGGTGCCCTTTTTGGCCAGTCATCCGCTCTCAGCTCGCTCCTGTAATATCCAGGGAAAGCCTTAGTTCCTTTTAATCAAATGACCAGATCGACATCACCTAGCTATATCGAAGCTCATTCAGAGTGGTTGGATCTACGTGTATCTACATGCGCACCATATGCTGGGTCCCGTGAGGACACCACTCTCTCACTCTAGTGAGTGCTACCTAGGAAACCAGGTTGGTTGGGGGACTGGACTGGTATATCACGAAGCATGATGTTTTGGGCGAGTTTGCGTGTCGGAGGCGGCAATAGGTAACGCTTGTGCTCGTCAGTAACGAGTTTGGATGAGACGACCTCTCAAGAAGGCCCGTAGAGACAGTTGTCGTATTTTGCAGAATATGACATGATAGCAGCTTTACATTCGAGCCGGGCGTTGAGGAGCTGGAGCTTGATAGCACGGATACGACCGTCGCTCATATCCGATGGAGCCACACAGTGAGCGCCGGCCCGAGCGAAAGACAGCGCAATATCGAAAACACGGTTGACAGTTGCCTCATTGTCGACCGTGCCGTCGCTGAAAAGCACGAAGCTATGTCCGTGATCAGCGTACACGCAGAGATTTACATCGGCGATAACATATAACCCGAAAAAGCTCTGGCGGATAACCGGGATTGCAGGGCTGATGGGACCACTGACGCTGTCTGCCATTGACCAACATTATGTTTTATGTGGCTGCTGAGCAATGTGCCGAATAGAATAACTGAGTGGAGGAGTGGAGGCCGTTCACAACGAGGGTGGAGAGGAAAGGTAGTAACTTGTTCAGTCCCTATATGTACTGGTTGGGGAGATACCGGAATAGGCTCTTTCATCTCTGCATCAGGCGACAAGAATAGAGAATTGATAACATAGCCTGCAGGTTTGTTTTAGCACATGCTACTTTGAAGCTGAGGGATCTGGTGTACTCACTTTGTGTACTTGTCGTTCGGCTTGCCACATGGCGGACACGCTGTGGCTGTAGCCGCTCTTCAGCTGGCTAGGGATCTGGGATATGCCATTCCGAGCACACTGGATGCTGCCAGTAGGACGACTGACGACCTTATTTACCAGTGGAGGCCCTAGAAGTGTTATGATGCAATTGCTAAGCTGTAGGGCGTTTTATGTAGGTGCAGCTTGGAAAGTCATGCCGCCAATTAATATCAGTAGGATTGTCACTCAGATACCGCCAATCTCGCTCTACTTCAGGCTAGGGTCACCAATGGAAATAAATGCAAATAAGTTAGATTTTTCCTAAATGAATTCATTCCATGAGGCGCATGGAATAGGACACGTAATTCGTGTGTGTATGAAGTGCTTCTCAGATGCATGGCTTACATATCTACTGTATTACTGGCCCTATTTTCCTACAGTCGCAGTGTCCGGCCGAAATAACTGAACCGACGAGATTTGTGCCCAAGGCAGAATTGAAATCTCAACTTGCCATTTTACAAGGGACATTTGTGGGATCGAATCTCTCCTTGGCAAGTAGTTTCTGATGGTCTGGGCCATCACACTGCCTTATCGCACCAATCGGCCACGGAGTCGCCACATGCCCGCGATGTAAGACAAGAGGGGTCCCGTCCTTACCCTATATTATACACGTGAACTTCCTTCTACACTGATTAGTCCTCCCTTCCAACTAACATAGCGAAGCCGGAAGAAGCTCAGCCATGGACAGATTGTTTTTCTTCCGACTCACTTTTCCAGGAACTTTCCATATTAACAGACCAAGCTCCTTAAGGATCCCGTGCCTAGTTTCCTCAGACTGCTGATATAATTTCAGGGGTAGTCAAACCCAGCTGGAGACGAATGCTTTTAAAGACCGACGAGGAGCCGCAAAAAACCTAAGTAGACGTGTCGGAGAAGGCTTCTACCGTATGGCAAAAGAGATCGGTGATAGCCTAGCATCAAAAACAAGGATTCCCAATCTTTGGTCTTGCCAGCCTCATATTCTTGATATGTGTATGGCTCCCGGCGGAATCGGTAAAACTTGGAACTCTTCAACGCTATCTCCGACGCACAGTTTATCAAACCACCTCCTGCTCCTTGATCGATGACGCCAGGGTAAACGACAACTTGCCTGGCGCAAGTAGCAGCTGCCAGTGTACGGGACTGTAGTCGGTTGTGTTGGAAATGGTGTGTGGGACAAAGTGCGTCGTGGGTTTTGTTAGAGCAGAGAGAATTGGACAGGATATGTGCTGACGGGCGATGGGGTTCGTATTCGGGTTTTTCGGACGCCACGATATTGAGGCCATGGGCCCATAGAAGCTTTGTATACTCCGGACTTGCAGGGTCAATAAGCCGGCGAATATATAGCAAGTTCGTACATCAGTCCTCGTGCCCCACTCTGCCGTCCCGGTTATAGTAATCCGATATCTATATAGCGCCGAGTCTGCTATACATCGTAGGCCAAGCCGGAAACTATAGTACCCTTTCAACAGACTGTTCATTGGAATCAAAGTGTAGTTATCAAGAGCATTGACAAAATAAGCAACTATTTCACGAGTTTAGAGATCCAGTCAACTCTCTAATTATTTGATTGCGCCGTCTTCTCAGCGGCCCGCATTGCATGTTGAGAGGCGTCCATTGATCATCCCTACAATCTAATGTAACCAAGACCATACCTGCATACAACCAATCAGTTGAGAGGGAAGGCAGGGAGTTTGTATGCCACTAACTGCAGCAAACATGCGCGAGACGTCTTCGGTAGGAGGAGCTGAAGCCGTCATCAATCCTGTGATCTGTCAGACCATCAAAGCCACGAGCCCCTGGTAATAGGAGCCTAGCAGAAGCAGCTACCTGAGCGGAATACGAGATAGCCACGGTTACACCGGACACCAACAGATTACCTTGCTTCCGAGAGATTCCGCTTACATTATCGGCCAATATGTCCTGGAGCCTGATGATTCTCGGTAATAAAAGCACCGTTCATCCCCTAGCAACCGAGAGCCTACTACATGCCAACTGCATTATCTGTTTTCTTCAGTATCTCATCCTTTGGAATCATAAAAATGACTCGGGCTACAGTGACAACTACTCTTAACTATCATATTCCCAATGGATGTACCGAGATCAACCTCGGAACAGCCGAAATGATGCGGCTCGAACCTGATACTCACCAGGTCGAGATTGAAGATATCCGTGGCCATGAGAGCGAATTTAACCTAGATACACATGGATTTGCCTTATACTCTCACGTCAGCAAATACATCCCCCCAGAAGACGAATCCATCATCAGGAACGAAATATACGCTGAGACAGCAGAGATGCTTAAGGAGATGTATGTTCCCTGTGTCCATATCTCCAGTCTGTCGCTAATATATTATCCAGAACGGGTGCTACGCGTGTTCACGTATTCTCGCATCTACTCCGCCGCGCCGATTCCAAAGACATGGCAAAATGGGCCGCATCTACCACATCTAAACGTGTTGCGGACGCCGTGCCACCCGCCAGGGTCGTTCACATCGACCAGTCCGAGTCCGGGGCTCACACCATTCTCCGTCAAAACCTCGGTGAAGAGGCTGACCGGCTTCAGAAGACCCGCTGGGCTTTGATCAATGTGTGGAGGCCTCTGGAACCTATCCGACGGGACCCCCTTGCGCTCTGTGATGCGCGTACCGCCGATGACAAAGACCTTGTGTGTCTTGTTGCTCGTCTGCCGGCAGAGCCAACTGGGGACAACAAGTATAACGACCTTACGAAGGGACGAGCTTTTGACATGTACCGTGTGTTGTACTCGGAGCACCATAGATGGTATTATGCCTCGGATATGGTGCCTGAGGAGGTTCTGTTGCTGAAGATATTTGACTCGAAGGATGATGTGGCAAAGCGGACGCCCCACTCGGCATTTGAGGATCCGTCTTTGGACCCTACAGGGGGAACGCGGAAGAGTATGGAGATCCGGTGTCTGGTGTTCTGGGAGGACACTGAAGCCTAGCGTATAGGGAAGCTCAATGTCATCTTTTCACTTATTACAACCCAGTCACTATGTTGAAGTGCCAATTCGGGCTGTATGTAACGGGCAGGAAATTCAAGGTTCCTACGCTGTTTGTATCCGCAAGGTGTCCTTAGTGAGTTTCTCCATATGTACAATATAGAGACCGACAGATGTGCGGCCCAGAGTTCGGTGATTGGGAGGCTGTGTTTTAGAAGGGCAACTAGTCAGGCATGCAGTACGTCTTTGGAGAAAGCATATTGGGTGGAATTCACGGAGTTCTCGCACTATTACAGTGTATGTCCCACGCTGTCTTGCGGTTTGAAGCAATTGACTCTTAAATCATGAAGAAGAAAAAGCTCAATCCGTTCCAGCTCTCCCAACCCCTGACACCATATGAACCCGTCTATTAAGCAAGGGTGTAGTGGTCAGGAACAGGGTTGTTCTTGTCCCAGAATTTAACGATAACATCACAGTTTTTGTACACCGCATAGCAGGATGTCCCACCCCCGAAAGATGTCGGCAGTTGAACCCAGTACGTGCCATCATAATCACCAAGGTTGAAGTTATACGTCAGATCGACATATTGAGAGTTGCTTGGTAGCGGAAATATCAGCGAGGTACGTCTTTGAGAGGAGATATGTTGACACTGAGTAAACAATGACTTACCCAGAGACAGATTGAGTCTCTGACTCAAATTTGGCATTCACTACACCGCCGTGAAATCCATCGGCAAAAAAGGTTGAACCGACGCTTGTGGGCAATTTATGGTCGAGACTGTGGGAGTTTCGGCCGCAATCGTCACTGGCGACGAGGTCGCACTGGACTGCTGCAGTAGCGAAGCCCATTAAGCCGAAGGCAGAGAGTAGGAGTTTAACAGAAGACGAAACCATCTTTCAAGAAAGCTAGTAGAGTAGTTGGCTTCGAGAGATAGTTGTTGGGATGTTTGAGGAGAACGCAAGAACAGGTACAGAGAACTTATAAGAGTTTATCTGTAGGCTTTTTATGTCGAAAATATATAATTCGGTTGACTACATGCGAGGGCCGACATTGGCTTAGGGCACTTGACTGGTCCAATTAAAGACTGCAGGTACCGGCCACGTGTGCGGAGATATAGAACAGTGGCGTTAAGCTTTCGTAGTATGGTTTCTTAATCCTGGAGATAAGCGAAGTATAAATTCAAACCTCATGATTTGCCCGCATAACCTCACTCCGCATTTGTTTGCCACTAACATGGTGCGGTACAGTGGATCGTTCACAGAACCAAACCGGCTTTCTCGGAGAAATTGAAGTTTATTGCTTCCACAGACTTAGAGAGCATTTTGTGATTGGTTGCCTAACGGCGACACCCGAGGAACCCATAGGCGAATATATTATGTATCACTGCTTCGGAAATTTGCCCTTTTAAACAAAATAGGTTTCACTATTACGTTCTATATCAGCAGACAGAGCAGGGTTTTTGTGTACGTAATGAGACAATGTCTAATTAACCAAGCTCCCTGCTTACTCTGTTCTCCGAGCATTCTATGTTTTGAACTAACGGGTGGCTTGCGGGACGTTTTTGCCCTCTTGTCCATGAACCAGTGGGACCTCTTGCCATATTGCTAAACAATGCCCTGGATTTGGAATTTGACCTTTTACCGTCGGGGTACTTCATACTACATTTTCCATATACTGAGAATGTACATGGGAAAGTAAGGACTCAATTTCCAGCCCATACCGGGCTCATTCCGCTGACAACTCAAAAGCCTTAGCGTTATGGTTGAGTGGATCGATGCAGAACTAGTCAATTCTTGACTTCACCTTGCTTTATTCTGGACGGTTCTTGAAATGAGGATAAATATGGTTCCCCGAGCTCGATCGGTATGTCTCTGATGTTGATCAATAATTATGCTTCGTATTATGGTCCTTCATTGTCTCACTTGAGGCCATTTCCGGCGGGGGGCCACGGGGATTTTTCGGGCACTTTGCTCAAGAAGCGATGGGTGCAGGCATACCATAGCCGCCAAAAACTTTCTTCATAGCAGTTCAGCGTGTCTGAGGACAGTCCCTCATCCGCAATGGACGGATGCCACGAGACACTTAGTGAGGAAGCGTGGGCTGTTCTTACACAGCTGCGCAAAGGAAGAAGACGAAGGACAGGAGTAGCCCATAAAGCTCTTGAGATAGCCGAAGAACGAACGGAAGAGAAAGAATCCTCCTCATTTGGCCCCTCTGAACCAACCTCAGAGAGATGGAATTCTGCGGCCAGAAACCCGCAGCATACGTACACCAGGTGAGACACAACAGAGCAGGAGGAACCGGGAAGGAGCCATCTGCAACAAGAACCGGGGTGAGCAGAGTTCCGCCGAAGTCCGAGGACTACAGTACTTCGTAGGAGTCAACGGTTTGGCCGGTCATTCTTCGGAGGACCAACTCTAAGAGCCCTCCATGTAACCTAAGTAAGACAACCTTGAACCTATCGACCCTGTTTGAGAATAAGGTTCGTAAGAATCAAACAACAACTGTGTTATGCACGTTGAGTTTTGTTCGACCGTGGACGTCGTCGGAATGGTCATCATAATGTCTCACCATAACCAACTGACGTATTTTCGTATCCTCTGCATTTAGCTTTCTGCAGAAGTATAGATACCCCTCCTGAAAACTATTTATATGGCCCAGTCAGTTCACAAAACCTGGTTTCGATCAGACACTATTCCACTTCACAAGACCCGACGAACAGCCCTTCAACATGAAGTATCTCCTGTTTTTGTGTCTGGGAATCAGCCAGACCTATTGCCTTCCCACCTCGGACGGTTCTACGGCGACAGAACCTCTGTTTGTCAAAATGCAAGGTCCAGATGGCCTCGATATTTTCGAGCCGTACCAACGTGATAACCTTACCCAATGGAAGCCTGATAGCACTTTCTATGAAGGTGTCCCAATGGTCGAGAAGCAGACTGTGATCAATGGGGAAACACTCATTTACCAAGACTTCAACATCTCTGCTCTTACCTTGGAGCAGTTTAAGAAGTACATCATGTCTACCCCCGACTTCTTCGATAGCCATGGCAGCATTATCTTCTCCGATGAAGATGCACAGGCATACAGGTAGTGTCATTCGTCCTTGTCAGTCTGGCAGATTTCTTACTACCACATAGGGAGTTTATGATTGCTGCAGAGAACCATGGGGACACTGGCGTTGCTATGCCCCTCAATCTCACCAAAAGAGATTCTCTCCCTGCAACAGACTGTTCCGACTCCAACATGTTCTGCAGAGACAAATGCCTCAAATTAGTCCAGCGAGGTGTGGTGCAATCCACAAATGATGACGTGTATGGAGATTACCACTACGATTCAGACAGTTTCTGTGGTACTGGGAGTATCACCAAGACCGTCTCAGTCACTGATGTTTCAGGGGTCACTATCGGTGGTACTGGTCAGATCCCAGGAGTGAGTTTTGACCTACCCTAATATTTTATTTCAAGGTTGCTTAAGCTTGTCTACAGTTTGGCAAGGGTTGGACAAAGCTGGTGTCGACGTTCTTTAATACCTTTGGGTTTAATATCGGAAATACTCCAGATTCGTAAGCAATACCTTCCCAGTCATATAATTTCGTTTCCCAGAGCAGACCAACTAACAAAGGGTTATTAGTGTCACAACTGCTATTGGTTACACAGGTAACTGTGGTTCGGGCAATGTCTGCTTCCTCTGGCACAGGCCCCACTTTACAGTGAATAAGGGAGTTATAATTGTAAGTGAGCGACAGTTCGAAGCCCCTCTTTATTATAGTACTATGCTAATTTAGAATCAGACTGAGTATATCGATGCGTTTACGCAGAAAACCTGTCAGAATCCAGACACAACCCCTTATGAGGCCCATATAATGCATGAAGAGTCTGACGGTGGTGGCGCGGGTAAGTTATTATCTCCTCGTTCTGTTACAAAGCTCAAATGAATGCTGACTTGTTATAAGCATCCCATGGTCTTTGTTATTCGATGCAGACTCATGGGTGTCCTAGTCCTGTCTCAGCTTCGTCCACCATCCCCCCCTGCCCGAATGGCTATTAAGGCACCATGTCTTTCGTTCTCTTGGAGGAAAGTCCTTAGGTTGCCAAGGTCCTGTGTAGATGCCTGTCTAGTACTTTCTGTTCCGAATATTTGCTTGGAATTGCCAGCTCTTTATTATATTTATTTGTCTCCCCTATCGCTGGTTTATATTCTCCTACGTCAGTTCACCTCGTTGAACAATAAATTTGTCCCGCATATCCTTCCTCAAGCTTCGAGGTGATGATGGCTGCCTGGGGGACGAAAAACTTTCTGTAACAAAGAACCCACGGACGTTACATTAAATGTAAGTAGTAGGTATATGGGACAAGAAGCTGCCCGGGTTTGTTAAGAAGGCCCTAAATGCGTATTATAGTATCGAATGTATGCACTACCTTAGATCCAAAAGTGAAACCTACATTATTCCGTCGTGTACCTAACTTTTAACATCGCTGGCTGCTGTAAGTCACGCTATATACAAAATGACGGTGACTAAGTCAAAGTCGCTGTAGGATTTTGACGACAGAGGAAGCCTTGTTTAGTAGTCATTGTCTGTCGTCGTCTATATGAAGCTTCTAACTAAGACTTTTTAGATGTACGATGTTTCTCCCTAGGTTTCGCTTGGCCGCTTGCTTGCCTTATGGCTGCCCTCTTTTTGTCTCCATAGGCATACCGTCAAAAGGCTTTGCCCGATTGCATATCCTAACATTGTAGAATGGAGTGTCCACGGGCTCTTTATACCCAAATACCTTCTTTGCTGTAACACTAATGATAGTTGGCAGATCAAGTCAGGGTTCCGCATAGTTCGATTAGTACGAATATGCAGATCATTGGCCATTGCCTTGCTTATGGATATGTAACATGGTCTTCTTTATCCAGGCCGAAGATTCTACTCTGCTTGCGAAAGGCCAATTTAGTGGCTACTTATGACCACGCACGTCAACTACCTCCCCAACCCTCCCTCGCTATATTTTCCACTCAAAGAATAAACCTTGCCCAAACCAGGATGGACCTCTACCTGGAACGGGGCGAATGGTACTCGCTCCCCATCTATGCTAATACATCCATCTTCTTGATCTCGAGGCGAGATACGGAACGCTGAGATCTTGTAGTAGTTCACATCAGGATGGTGAAAATGAGCTGCATTCTTTCCAACCTTTCCGAAGAGCTCGAAAGTCTTGAGTATCGGGAGGTCCGACCTGAAGGTCACCAGATCTAGCAGTCCGTCATTAGGCCGCGAGGCGGGGAAGAACGCCACATGGGGAGCGATGAACTCCATCTATTGACCCTGTGATGTCAGAGAACACAGACTAGGATATCGCACCTAAGGGGGATCTCTCTCTTACCTTTCCACAATAGAAGTTCCCCATATTTTCATATTTAATCCGACGCCAACCATCTGAGGGGAGCGGATCCTGCACAGTGCCATACTTCAACGGTGGTAGTCCTTGGGACTCAGCATCGACCGCCCATGTATTGATCAGGTCTTTCACGGCAGGAATGGCAGCAGCAGCGTGGAAGGCTAGCTGGATGTCTGCTTTATCCCCTAGCTCAACTTTCACGTCAATGTCGCACGGGTAAGCCTTCTTGCTAAGGATTCTCGCGAGCACGCCCACATGAAACCGAGCAGCCCCCATCCAGCGCATATGCTCGGTCCCCAGGTCGGCCTCGGCGATGATACCCAACGCCCAACTTAGGAAGCTTACCCCTCGGCGGTCCCCCTGCGTGTAGCTGACCAGGTCCATCGCCGTATCAATGCCTTTGATTATCCCGAGAGCCACAATGCTTGCATAGTGACTGCCGTAGAGGTTGCAGGCCATCGCGTTGCCAGAGCCGCAGGTATTTGCGAGACGGCGACCTTGCTAAGAGCGCGACGCGCATCGGGTCTCTGAGCAAACCCGTTAAAAATCTCATGAGGAAGTCCGTCGCCGGAACAAGCAATAACTGTATCGAATCGGTCGATGTGAAGGTTGCGAGCTATCGCAATGGCCTCACCGGGCTGGCTGGTGACCATCACTTCTATCTCCATGCGGGCTGCCTCAAAGAGAGGTAGCACCTTATTCCACTTCTTCCACGCTTTCCCGGGTCCAGCATGAGGGTTGATCAGAACTAGGGCTCTTTTCTGTCTCTGCGCGGTGCCATACGCCCGGCGTATAAGAGCAGCCACCCACGTATCGATTTCGGAGCTGGAGCCGAAGGCTGGAGTATAGGTTCGAGTAGTTGGCCGCAACTCAGTTGGACTGGTGTACTCTGCAAATGTGATCGAAACAGTTTTTCCTTGGAATTCGGCCCACAGAATAAGCTGAAGAGGAATGAAATTGTGTAGCTCTTCCTTTTTCTGACTCTTCCGCAAACTGGACCAGCGCAGCGGGGGTTTGCACTCAGGTCTGACTTGAGGTTTTGGGAGGTCTACACAATTCTTGTACAGGACCAATTCACGGCCGTCCGCGAGAGAAAGTTGGAAGCCACAACCGTTGCCATCCATGTTGACTTAGTCGCCTTCGGGGATAGGGTTGACCCATATGCTTGAGGATCTTCAGTTGTCCCGGTAGCCTGTCGAGCGGCGAACGCGGTTTGCGCACCATTAAAGTAAGGTCCGCTTGAACAGATACCTTCCTCCTGCACCCAGGTAGACCTTCCACCTCTTGAATGGTTATGGTTACCCTGATGTGCATATGATGTATTCTGCGTTGGATAACCGAGGCAGACGTTCCCCGTTTCCAGGCGATTTGAGGGCAGGGTTCGGTGCAAGTCTCGGCCCTCCGAGGCAGTTGACCTCGGACCAGGACTTCGGACCTGAACTTCGGGCCTGAGCTCGGACTTCGTTGAAAAGGGTGGTGGACAATAATATAAAACGTACATGCCTTGATTCATCATCTCACGGGTTGCTTCTTTTCAATAATAGCGAAGCAATCTAATCAAGCACCATGTCTGAGCATGCGATTCTGTTGGCTGCGTGGAAACAGGGACAGGATCTGTTGCGGCAGCTCCAGCCCTTTCTGTGGCCTCAAACTACCCCAGTCGACGCGTAAGTATCTCCCTCTCTCTATTATCATCTGTATTCCCGTTGGCGCGTTTTTTTTTTTTTTTTTTGGAGAATTTTTAGTTGTTCTCGCTCCCCTTGGCCCCTTCTTGCGTTTTCCAGCTGACACGTGTTTGCCTGCATCAGAGCCCGCAACGTTGTCTTTTCTTGCTTTATCCTACATGTACTCCAACGCGCTTACTGGCAACTCAAAGGCCGTGGGGTGGTCGGCACCGCAGCTGAGTTTTATCACAATGTTCGGAAGATTGCCTACGGATATCTCCTTCGGACCCCCTGGATCCGCCGCAAGGTGCAGAAGCAAGTGCAAGAGGCATTGACCAGGCTATCCGAGCAATTCTCCGCCCACAATCACCCGCGGCATTTGACACTGCCGAAGGAAGGTCTTCAGGTAGGAACGATCTTGTCTGAACTCGATAATTTGGCCAATTTGGACCATACGCGCTGGGAGGATGGATACGTATCGGGCGCCGTTTATCACGGCGAGGATGCTCTGATACAGTTGCAGACAGAGGCCTTCGGCAAGTTCACTGTCGCCAACCCGATCCATCCGGACGTCTTCCCCGGAGTACGCCAGATGGAGGCCGAGATCGTGACCATGGTGCTTCGCTTGTTTAATGCTCCCGACACAGCAGCTGGCGTCACGACGGCTGGCGGAACTGAGAGTATACTGATGGCCTGTTTGAGTGCTCGCCAGAAGGCATACGTCGAGCGAGGTATCACCAAGCCAGAAATGTATGTCGGCCTTTCTTCCCCTGCTCCTTGTCGTGCTCTAGCTCTCAGACTTATCATCATGATAGGATCATCCCCTGCACCGCACATGCCGCCTTCCGGAAAGCCGGTGAATACTTTAAGATCAAGGTCCACACTGTCGCCTGCCCAGCCCCTAGTTACCAGGCAAATGTGCGTGCCATGTCCCGCCTGATCAACCGTAATACTATTCTCCTCGTCGGCTCAGCACCCAATTTTCCCCACGGGATTGTCGACGACATCGCCGCGATCTCCAAGCTCGCTGCGCGCCACAAGATTTGCCTCCATGTGGACTGCTGCCTGGGCTCTTTCCTCATGCCCTTCCTTAAACGGGCGGGATTCCCCGCCCCTGCCTTTGATTTCCGGCTGTCCGGCGTGACGAGCATCAGCTGCGACACGCACAAGTATGGGTTTGCGCCCAAAGGAAACTCCACCGTGTTGTACCGGACGGCTGAGCTCCGCACTTACCAGTACTTCGTCGACCCGGAGTGGTGCGGAGGCGTTTACGCGTCCCCAGGAATAGCGGGCTCGCGACCAGGGGCGTTGATTGCCGGGTGCTGGGCGAGCTTGATGTCAGTCGGAGAGAACGGCTACCTGCAGGCCTGTACGCAAATAGTCGGTACGGCGAAAGAAATCGCCACGGCCATCAGAACGAACCCCTTGCTGGCCTCGGAGCTGTTTGTGCTAGGAAACCCCTTGGTGTCGGTTGTCGCATTTGGTGCCCGCCACCTGGATGTCTATAGGATTGCGGACGGGATGCTCAACAAAGGCTGGCACCTGAACGCCATGCAGGATCCGCCGGCCATCCATGTTGCAGTAACCATGCCTATTGTCAAAGTTTGGATGCGTTTGATTGCGGACTTGGAAGCGGTAGTGCAGAGTGAGCGGAAGGAGGTCGAGAAACGACTTGAGGCTGGGGAGAGTATTCCTGAGCCGACTGGCAACTCGGCCACGCTGTATGGTGTTGCTGGATCGCTACCGAACAAGGGTATTGTCGTAGAGCTGACGAGGGGTTTCTTGGATTTGCTGTACAAACCTTGAGAATTCCGACATCCTTTCGCCTCTCTATCCGGCTGCCGTTATAGCTATAGTTCATCGAATTCTGCCACTTGGAATCTGTCGGAGCAAGCACTCTATCGTAAACTGCTGAATTGGTGATGGCTATCTCTGACCTAAAGAGGAGCTCAGCTCCATACAAATGGTGGTGGTTGTGGGCTTTAGCCTGGCGGGGCGCTAGGCCTAATTAGGCAACCGAGGCGCTCCGCACCGACAGAATCCTTCTCCGACTTCTATGTCCATTCATAACCAAGACCGAGATGATCGTAATGGAAAAACAGTAGCCGCCTGTGCAGACTACTGTTCTGTGCACTCCTGCATACCTCCGCAGGTGAAGACCGAAGCCCTTCCGAGGTTGAGCCGAGTTGAAGGAACCGTATAAATCCGTCCCCAATCTCGCCTCTGCTACCATGATCACCCTACGTGCCATACTACAACTACTACTTCAATAGACACCATGACAACAGTTCTGATTACTGGGTTCGTATGCATTCAGCTCTCGCTCAGACCTTTCCAGGGTATGTTATAACAAATTGACATGGGGTCACCCCGGACATTTTTTTGGGGCGGCGGGATGGCAACCACCTCGTGGGTGACCACCTGCTTACCGGATTGGATGACAGATATTTTGACCGGGCGATTTTCCGGGTTGCCGGTTATCGTGCGGCAGCTACGGGAGGCGACCGATGGGAATGCATTGAAGCGGACTTGAATCGTGGATTGGGAGATTCTATTTACTGGAACGGACTGATGATTTGGGCCCATCCGAAGAGGAATATGACTCGGCGCAAAGGTCCTTGTCCCTCAAACCGACGACGCCCTTCATCATAGCTTGATGACTGCTCCACTCCCCTGATTTAGGCTGTTGTAACCCAATTCATGAATTTTATAGTAACAAGAGGGTACATTAACCGGCTTTGACAATGGTACCTTTTACCCTTATACAGTACCCTAATAGTCTCCGGGATGCATTTGCTTGCCATCATAATTGCTTTACTGTGCATGGTCCTCGTCGTGTTGCTCCATCAACATTCAACAAACTTGGAGACATGGAGGAGAAAGGAAAGCATTCTACTCTAATAGCCACTTACTTCCGATCTGGGACTTTGGGTCTCTTAGTCCGGTGTGGTTATCATATCATAACGCAGTCGCGGCGAAGGCGCCAAGGTTAGAGCCATTTTTAATTCAAAGGGCCCTAAATAGTCGCATGACTGGGATTGGATTGACCAGAGAAGGCCAACATACCCGTACGTTCGTGTCCCCGTTACGCTTGATTCTCCCCAAGCGGCCATTCCACAACTTGAACAACCACTGACATGACGTCTCGAGCGCGAAATATATATTGTACGCATCTGGGTATTAATTGCCGCGTGTGGCTGGCTTCAAGAAGCCTTTATATACACCTAGACTCTTCTAGTTCAGAGCCTTAACTAGCTGCCGTAATATTTCGGCCTCTTTCTCCTCTACCCGGTGCTTCTTCTAGTGTTGATGGATTCGCTGGAGAAAAGCGGCCACGATCGACCGGATAATTGGTTGATCCGGTTGCACCACTGAGCTTGATTTATCCTTCTCGTCTAGCTGCTTTATCTACAGCATCGTTTCCTGCCACGCACATGTAGGCAGAGCTCCCCCGTATCTGTACGTATGCCAACCCGCACGACCTGGGGCCATTACCTTCATCTACATCTTTGAGAGAATACATTAGCCGGAGGGGGCGACACGGGGTTTGGACTTCCTGAATGATGGCTAGGCTATCGGTAACGAGAGTAAAAGCGAGCGGGGACTCGCATCTCTGGCGGTTTCCACCGCCATGCGGACCCCATCTAGTTCAGTGGCGTACACGATTGAATCTGCCTCTGTGCCCAGATGGTTCCTCGAATCTATTTTGGCGAGAACGTAGTTGCTGCGGTGGAGAACGTCGCGACCTACAGCAGTAAGTGGAGCCGTTAGTCGAAGGACCTTTCTTTGATAACAGGTAATCCTTATGTTACCGTATAGGCGACTGACGACTTGGTCCTAGTGAGCGCTCTCCTGACAGGAGAATATTAAAAAATCCCACGGCAAACAGGCTACATTACCATGATCTCCTCACCTAAGAGCAGAATCTCATGGACAGACATCGACTCCGGCCGCGTCTCTAACACCGCGCCGGATGCAATTCCCAGCTCAAAGAAAGGTGCGTAAGGAAAGAATTTCATAAGCTGAGAAGGGGGGGAATACAGATGCGCTTGGCAGAATTGCGATGGAAACAAAGAGACAGTAGACGAACAGCACGTCGCACAGGATATGCGCGAGGCTAAAGGAGTCGTAATCGATGGTCCAGTTAGGGCCAGAGTTCTCATTGATGACGAACCTTGCAAGCACTATTATGCAACAGGATGAGAAACAGCCCTTATATGGCCAATCTCTTGATCTCGCTACCGTACCGTAATGGCAAATTAAGCTCAAGTGACTTCGCAACGACACCATAGATGCTAGAAAGAAACAAAGGGGGTGAGCAGTATCAGGACGATCTAAGGTGGGCTGAAAAATGTATCATAATCAGACTGTATCATGGATCCAAAAAGCTCCATCACGTTGAACCCTGTAGCGGAGTCGGCATCATGCGCAGACGCGTCGAATGTCGGTAACATCAAAGGCAGCGTGCGCGGTAGATCCATTGACGGCGGTAAGGGACCCAGGATTTGGTTGGTGCCGTGTACAGCGGAAGCGGAGTTGTCTGCCAACCAATCATTTTGGGAGATGAGTCCTGACGGGGGAGCTCCGTCACTTCCAGGTTGACACCCATGGGTACGGACATAATTCCGAGCAAGGTAAGCGAATTCAGCAAGTATAGAACTTGGTAGAGTACCCCCGCTGACATACTCCAGTCTACTAAAGTGACCGGCAGCCACTTCTAGCAGCGCCAGATTGCCGGAGGTTTCGGGATGGCTGGGATTGTGGATAACAAGATCGAAAAGAATGAAAAGTGCACTCAGCGGTAGCAGTGCAATGGTACTGGACTAAGTCAGCAAACTCCTTACCTTGATGATTCTTTCTCAATGTCACGGTACATACTAGACGGGGGTATATGGTTCGATGTCAATGTGCCTCAACAACTCTATGATCGACCTCGCTGACCGCATGAGAATGGTCTTGCTCTCAATTTGTCGCGGTCCATCTTGGTTTTTCCCAACATGGAGCGTCAGACGGCATAGGGAGATTGAGGCATCATGATAGTAGAAATGTGTTGTCAATGCGACGAGGGTCTCACACGAGCTCCTGAATGATCGAGCATGGAATGCTTCTCCGGGTCGAAAGGCAAGAGGGATAGACAGGCGCCATCGTTCAAGTAAATCCGTAATCGCGTCCAATTTTTCATAGTACGCTTCCTGGGTGTTGAGGGTAGCAGAGATTGAAAAGAGGCCTTCATAAGCTCGTGACAGTAGACGCGCGAAACTGGCTGTAGCAAATAGCCAGTCATAGTCTCCGAATGTCGCCTCAGGAACGGATGGAATGGGGCACCCAATATCTGAGTCCATAATCACCTGCGACGAATGAGTATTGCGAAAATCAAGTAGTAGAGCTCAATGACATACAGAGCTCTTTGCATGGTTGAAGGCCAGTAGTTTCTCAAGCGCATATATCACCCAGAACGTCTGATGTCGGACGGTACTTTCTGGCAAAGTTGAAGCCTGGTTCAGGCCAATCTCCTGTGCTGTTCGAGCTGCTTCTCCAATCAAAAGCTCATCTATATGCATATAAGAGAAGTTTAGGGCCACAATAGCCTGAGTATAACTGTTAGTGTGCTCGAGGGACGAAAGGATTCATGCTGAAAGTGAGACTACCATTGCTGTAAGGGCCTATGTCGTCAAATTAGACGGGCTCCAGATCCGTTTCAGGAATATTACCTGTGCAGTGACAAGAGTCTTCTTCCCGACCAGTATCTCCGGGAAAAGACCTAAAGCTATGCGATAGAACTTCCAGGACTCCCCTTTCCTGGGTTCGAACGCAGCTCCTCCGTGATATTGACACCCCAGAGCAAGGACAGCATGATATAACGCCGACCAAGAAACATCAGTGGCTAAATCAGCTGCCAGGCCGGATTTGAAGGATCTGGTCTCGAAAGTTTGGCGATCCAAGAATGGATGGACCGGGTGGATCTGACTGAAATAGGCTGAAAGGCGACGAGTATTGTCAGAAGGCACCTAGGAGGGCAGCTGATGGTTACCTACAATCAATGTAAAGCTTGGCTGCATCGGAAGATGTAACATTTGCGCTGTCAAGTTGTTCCCCGGATTTGCGGGTGGAGGGAGAATGTTCCAAGCGGTGGTACCGGTGATCTACTATCGAAGATATTCTCTCCAGAAGCGGTTCCAGCCCGTTATGACCTAAGAGCCGCGAAATCATTCTTATCCGGCTTTGGGAAAAGTACGATAAGTTCGAGCTGACAACTGGGTATAAAATCCATTAGCGTGATTCTCTTGATTGTCAGTCAGCTATCTGTACCGTGGTTGTGATCGAAAGCCTAGATAACGGGATTATTATCAACGCTATCTGAATCTTTCGTTTCGGGCAGTAATACCTCAAAGATAACGTTCCTCTGCCGGGAACTTCCTGTGGTTCGATGACTTCTGATCAAGTGGTCTACGTATAGATCCTGCTGACCCAGGCATGTTGGTGAATGTTCAACAGGTCTTTCAGAATGACTTGGAGAGTGAAGCTTTTCATGAGCAGCATTCATGAAACTGGATTCAGTAGAGTCGACTGAGACATCAACGCTTCCCAAGCTAGGCCTATCGAGCGAGAATGTTGTAGTATCATCGGGGGTGGCGGCTGGAGCTTGCCGAGGGTCTGCTATCAGCACTCAAAAATTTTCTCCTATAGAATCCATAATGACATTCTTCGCCCCTTCTCTGATATATAATGAGCTAAATGCGTTATAGGAGTAAAGGGGATTGACACAAACCCGGCAGTTGTTGCACGTTGAAAGGTCAGGGGATTCTCGAATCAGTTAGCAACACGGGACTGGTAGCGGCTGGATCCTACGTACTCAGACATCGAACCTTTCTGGCTCTGCAGTGATCACAAGTTTTCGATAGACGCTCTTGCAACGTAGGACTCGACATTGCGTAGAGAATTAGATATTGCGTTAGGGGGTGAATGAATGGCCAGGCAACCTTTGTGCCAGTCCTCACCGCCTTATTCCTTACGGAAGCATGGGCCATGTGATATATTTCTGGAAAGACCAGTTGATGTATTTAGGTCCAATGACGGTCACATTTTTTGTTGGCACAATGGTGCCACGTTTCCGACCCTATAGTATTCTGCGGACGGGGAGTTGATAAATAACACCTTCGCGAAGGGCCCGTAGAATCGGTATTTTATGCGAGCATAGGCAATAATCAGGCGGTCGCAGCGCCTATGGTGCAAAATATTAATGGAATGTAGCTGCAAGTCTCCCCGACTTTGGGACTGCTACCACAAGAGACGCTGCTATGCTATTACCCTGATGTGATTTGGCCATTCACCACGGTTGCCGGGTTATCAGTTATCATCCGCAAGTCAAGACCCAGATAGAGGTAAAAATCACAACATTTGTTCGCCAATACCAGGCAGATTATGCATAGATAGTCACTTTCTCATTCTCAGAATGATCCTACAAGTGACAAGGAATGACCAGTGATGTGGATGTGTCTATCCTTGCATCGTCAGCTTTCGGAATTCGCTGTTCGGTGCTCGGTGAGTATGGTCCCGAGACATCTGTGCCCTCGGCTCTCGGAGCTTCGAGTTTGGCTGAACTCAAGGCCCCACTTACCCTTACGGTACAAAATGTATGGGAACAGAGTGTATTAATCTTTTATCCTAATTCAGAATACTGCCTCTATGCGAGACACACCCGGCAATGACTCGTGGCGTTCTGCACCGAGTGACGACGGCCGAGCAGTTGACGCCATTGTATCACATAGCAGCAGATGCCTGGCAAGACGACCCTTGCTTCAACTGGTTCTTATCCTGGCGGTCGTGAAACACCCGGCGGACTTTTGTTACTCTATGGAAACTCCTGCTACAGTATGAACATTTTTGACTCGAGCAAATTTATTCTCGCAACCACCGTCCACGAAACCGGAGATGACTCTGGTGGATTACGGCCCACTGAGGTGGTTGGATTAGCCGTATGGCAGCGGAGAGGTACTTCCGACGCTGCTAGAAGTTGGCAGGGGATGAGCGTCGTAAAGAGTATGTACAAGTTCCAATAATCCCGCAATCGGTGTATGTGCTCTCTTATGCACAGTGGCATAGTGTGTATGCCTTCCCTATTTCTGCGTTTCAACTAATGGAATTGTTCATTGCAACCAGAACTAAAGAAATGCTATACCTACATCAGGATGACCTTTATGTATTTGCTTTCCCCGTTGAGGAGGTCAATTTCTATAAGTAGAGTAAGTGAGTTAGAAAAGGAGCTTAGGCCGATAAGGTCTGTCAGCCGTCAGAGTCACCAGCTAGAAATACGGCCATATACAGCTATATCTGCCTTCAATTGCTTGGGAGATAGACTTCAGCTTATCCCACAATATCTTTCCCCGTTGCCTTCAGTCTGGCCTCCTTGACCGCTAGGTAGGTAGTCTCCTGTCCATTACTATTAAGCGGCATAACCTGGAGGCTGCGACTGGGGTCTAAATGTCAGAAGCAGCGGTCAAAACGCACGACAAAGACAAATAGACCCATATGGAGCTTTGGTGATTAAACACCACCAAAGGTATCCCGAAACAGCTCTTCATTCGTAATTATTACACTAAGGCGTTAGTCAAAATAAAAGCCGTTTCAAAAAGTGGGATCATCTAAGTTCCTTACGGATGGAACAGGTTGATGATTTCATGACAAGAAGAGACCTTGGTCCTCTACATCCTCTACTCGGAGTGCATATACAGGCAATGTCGTAGCTGCACTGAGCCGGTGGTTGGTATTTCGATTGTGACACATCATATCGCAAAGTATCCACCTACCACCTACCTCATAATGTCGCGTCAGTTACCTTTGTGACGAGGAATAACCTTGGAGGTTACACAAAAGCAAAGTAACCTTCCTTACATTGCTACTGCGGATTACGTATAGACGGCAAACAGTTAATGCTCTTCTCGCTAACAGAGAATGTAGGCTCATGACTTCCGGGGGAAAGACATCCGTGGGAACTACCCATGTCTATGATTTCAGGACGACCACTAATAATGAAGTGATAACACGTTGCACAGCAACTCTGCATTCCAACATGTAACGTCACACAAGGGACCACTTACAGCGTTCTAGGAGCTAATACCTACACGACTGGAAAATCGGAGGACTGTAAGGCGACTCCCTAAATATGCCGTGATGTAGAATATCAATTCAACACGGCTGCCACTACATCACCTTACCGCAAACGTAAAAGCGATTAATGCTGAAGGAGATCTGGAGATAGGTGGCCAATCTGGAAAAAACCTCCATGGCAGGGATAGAAAGATAGTGTGGTGCGTTTTGAACTTCAAAAAAATTCGAATGTACTAACAGTCCAGGCTTAGTCCGGCGCAGGGCCTATTACCTAGTTGCGGAAGGTGCCGGTTCCAGTAGTGCTTCGGCTGCTTGGCATGCCTGAGAGAGGGTCGTCGGGCCGGACCGGACGACATCACTGGCTGCCAGCCCCACAGCCCCTTTGGATCCAAGATTGAAACTGGACAACCTCAGTTCCTCACCACCCAAAAGAGGTGGGAACAAGAAAGTTTGTGTGATATGAATATATATGCTTAGCTCAATTGCACTCAAGTAATTCGCTGGTCCTTACCATGTGAAAGTAGAAATAATAGATTTGGTATGATAAGAGAAGGTGGGACTTATAATCTGAGGTAATTGAGATATGCACCATAGCTTTTACCATATTTAACATCTCTCCAAAGGAAAAAGAAAACCAGGAAAAAATTTCCAATCTGCTATCTAGCAGACTACATCTTATTAGCTGGTGTAGTAAAGGTTATAAGCCTTGCGAGAGGACCTTGTGACCTGTAGTAGTTCGTAGCACAAAAGTATCAGAACTCAGGCACCATATATTACGACATTACTGCTCCAAATTCTTCGACTCTATATCTATAATCATTTGAGTTTCATACGCCCTGGTTCTGCAGTATAGTCATGTCCAAGGTTGTCTCTTGTATGTGACATTATGAAGGATCATGTAACTTTCCATTTCCGTTGAATGTGGAGGCAAGAATACACAGTATTGATGTCAGCACATTCATGTTGAACTATACGTATCAAGTAGATGGCACATGTTGAAGCAGCCAAGTAGCCCATTAGATCACTTCAGTTAGAAGTTCAAAGAAACATATATATTTGTGATCCCTTTTGACATATCTGAAATGTTGCTACTAAAGGTTTACATACGGATTTATTAATTCCTATATTTACCCAATTATGGATGTGCAATATGTACTCGCCGATCTCCAAACGGGACCGGAATCTCAATCATCACAGTCAAGTATTCATTTTCATGATATGGCCCCGTTCTATGTGGTGTCCATTGAGCGGCAGCATGGATTGTCTGGACTTGTCAGCATAGTTCCCTGTTCCACGACGCCAACAATTCACTATGATGAAAAGGATAAAAAAGCTTACCAGAAGGCCTGGTCAAGGGGCAGAAGATTTGCTGCATTGTTCGAAAACTTGCTTAATGGGGGGAAAATGGCTACGAAAACATCATGTTCATTGCAGCAGACACCATACTTGCAACTACGCGATGAAGCACTTATTGTTGGGTCACCCCTTGGCACTCCTACACGGACAAGGGAGGGTATTTCTTCCTTCCACAACATGGAATTCAATTTTCCTGGAGCGAAACCAGTTGTTTCATCACAGATGCTGCATATAACATGCCCAGGTCTTCGGTCAGAGGAAAGTCTCTTTGACAAAAATGGCGGAGCACTGTAGATTAGCGTCACAGTTTTTGACCCGCCATGTGGTTTATTTACTCGCCAAAATATTGACGAAAGTGTTGCTGATGTTTTCCTGGACACCCCGGAAGCTGTTGGACATGCAGCCTGACTCTATATGAAGTGGAGCGCATCGCCGGATTGTCGTCCGCTATCGCAGATATAGCAGCTCTCGTCTTGTCCAGATACGATGGGAAGTGCCACAAGCCGGTTAATATCATACTGGATCTTCCAACCTGGCATTACTACCAGAGCGTTGAGGATCAACTCCAACATAGAGGCTATAAGCCATGCGAGGTGATGGATTGGATTGAAGCAATTACTCTCCGCAGTCAGCAGTTAGCAGGTTTGCTTAAGAGCGCAGTCCTGCATGAGCTTGATAGGCGTGGTGTCTCAAGCAGTCAACGTCTCTATGATATCCAAATTTCTCCGGGTTCAGCCTTGGTCGATGACGCCTTCCGAGAGACTCTCAAATACGAGAACCTACCATGCCTTGATAATATCCTTGAGGCGCTTAGCGGGAGCGAAGATGGCTCGTGGCAGCAATTCTACTCGCTTCTTCCCGAACGCGATAGGCCTCAGTCTATTAAGGATCTGAGCTATCTCTTCTACATTTTTGAGGTTGTTCGTCCTGCTGTGTTGGCTGGGATTCAATCCGGGAACCAGCAAACACCGACACAATCAGCCGATATGGATTCCACAGTCAGTCACAGGCAACAACAACCTGCTTCCTCCCGCAGCTATACGAGCAAGCAGAATCAAATGCCCCGTCCATTGGTCATCAGCGTTGATGATCCTTCGGAGAGAAAACTATATTCAAAAGCCCATAGCTTCTTCCTTAGGCTTCCTAAGAACCCAATCTACCCAGCTGACCCTACGTTGGTCCAAGTGTACACGACTCGTCGGGTTTTTGTTGACGGGAACAGAAAAGGGGAGCGCCTGTACCGGAATGACCCCAGCCCAGTGATGCCAGAGCTAAGTAATGGTAAGCTCTATGGTGATGGGGGTGATGCTGGGTACAGCAAGTATGCCAGAGAACTCCAGCAAATGGACTTCATAGCAAAGCTGTATGGTGCCGAATGTGCAGCAAATATCCAGCGTTGGTCGAAGGAGGTTGGCTTATGCTGAGGCAATTCGACTTGACTTGGTGAGCGTCCTCAGCCTGTTGACACTAAACCCTGGGGCTGAAGATTAGAACAGATGGTGTAATTCAGTGGGTCATGTGGTGCATTAAGGTCTCAGAAGAGTTTTGGGCCTTTTGGCAAGGTCCTAAATTATTACTAAGAATATATTCGACAAGTCTTCTTAAAGTGTAGGGAGATCTTGGAAGGAATTTTTAACTTAAAATTGCCATGGTGGGGTGCCAACAGGTTCTAAACTTGCCTAAACTTGGACTGAACGCAATATCTAACGTAATTTCCAGCCGAGTCGCTGCTTTCCCATCGATTCCAACGCGTGCAATTCAAAGCTAACCAAACAGCTACTATGCCACCAAAATCGCGTCAAATCTTTGGAAATCCGGTGTGGCAAGAGGGAAGGATTCTACTTGCAATATCTGCTTTAAAATAATAAACTTGTAATATCCACCGCCCTGCGGAGATATTCAATGCTGCCAGATCCACCCTTCGTGACCTGCTTAATGGACGCCAATGTCGAACTGAGAAACGCTCCAATGCCATAGGCTATCTCCTACGCAGGAAGAATCATTAGTGGAATAGATACTATCTACGGATTCACGTGGAGTGCCTTCTATGCTATCTCACGTGCAAGTAATGGACAATATTCTTCTTCAAGAAGATAATCCCTCTGGATTCAGACCTATTGCAAGAACTGGGCGTCTACCTTTATTAACCGACGTGAGGAGATCAAAACTCGATATGCCCGATGATATAATTATAGTCAAGCTCAATGCGAGGAACCAAAGATTATCACGGGGTGGTTTGACAGGCTACAGCAGATCCAAATATAATATGACATTTCCTACGAAGATAGCTAACTAACGGAGTTGCTACCTAACCACCTCAGAATTTTTTTTTCTTTTTTCAGATCCCAGTGCCTGCTTGAAGAGTACACTACGTATGGTGTGGAAGTATGGCTGAAAACTGAAATCAAATGTTTGCGCCGAAGTCAATGGAGATCCTCCTATCATCTATGAGAACCGATAAATATCGGACCAACGAACATTGATGTAATGAACATTTTACGATGACGTTAGCGTTGCTAATGCCTTCAGCCAGAATAGCATGGTGGTTGCAAAGGAGGTAATTATTTAAAAGGCTAATATTCCAGGAGCCTACATTGGCCACGGTTTTCTGCTATCTTTGCCCTCCAACCCGATCACAAAAACGACACTATAATACTGTTCTCAACTCATACAATAGCCTATCTCGCAATGTTTCATAGACCGACTAGGGAATCTCTAGATAGGTCCCGACACTCTGCGATTGGGGCGTGGTCTTTTGGTCCCAAAGCCGAAAACCTAGACTATCTCAAGGAGAAAGTCCAGGAACTACTGGATAACTACCACAAGTATAGGCAAACTCTGTATCCCGATGATAGGGCATTTATCCACAGAGACATGCGTGAATCTAGCCTGTTCAAAGAACAGCTGGATCGCCTGGACGAGAAATTATATAGCATTGGGGAACAACTCCATGGAAACTCAACCCCTTTCTGGAGCCCACGAAATCATGCGCATATGGTTACAGAAACTACAATGCCATCAGTTATGGGCTGTATGGGCTTGCCCTTATGTTCTGCGCCAATGGTAGCAGACTAATTAGCTGTACAACCTCCTACAACACAAGCTGCGCACAAGTCTTGTCTGTGTTAACTTAAACGACTGTTACTGGAGGGTGAGATCCCAAATAACGTTTGGCGATTATGTTTTAACCATGGGAGAAATAGCGTGCCCGGGGATTTAGGCCGATAGAATCTGCGACATACCGATTGGCTCCGAATCCCCTCCATACTTTGACTCAGGAGACTTCGCTCTTTCTTCATCCAGCAGCGTGACTGATACCGGAGTGATCAAGACTGGGACGGCCCATCCACTTCGAAAAAGCATTTCACATCCCTATGCTGCAGTTCCTCACACCAGTAATGTTAACCAAGATGCCAACAAAGAGTTTCATACACAAAAGACAGGAGGGAAACAGTCCACTGAAAGCCTTCTTCATTTAAGAACTGATTCCGATGAAACCTCGAAATGAGGAGAGATTGGTTCATGAAGATAAGCCAAAGGTAAATGGAGGACTTTGGAAGGGGAACAGGTGGTAAAGCAGAGAATACCAGCAAAATATGACTAGTCGGCAATTTGATATGGGAAAATTAGGACCAGATTGATAAAATATATGTCTGTAGATTTTCAATTCTAGTGATATCCCATGGTACAGTGGAAAGGTATTGTAGGATCTGTATGCACATCTACACTATGCACTAGGAACCACCAGCCATCGTCTAGACTCTCTTTGGATAGACTAAGAAACGATTAATTAAAGAGCTACCCACATACCGTAGCTTGCTATCCGTAAGGGCTAATTGATGGGCTGTTACCTTCTGGAGCCTGACCGGTGTTTAGAATCTGTTCTTCCAAATCATAATCATTCTGAGAACAACGATAAGGATTATTATATTTAGTTTTTTTTTTTTTGAGATATTCTCATATGCATGACGGAAATCAATAATCCCCACCATGCGGAAGATCTTGATACTGTTGATATTCAGAGACAAGATCGTTCATATTGCCTTGTGCTTCAGAGAACTCCATCTCATCCATCCCTTCATTGACGTACCAATGCAAGAAAGCTTTGCGCTGAAACATAACAGAGAACTGATCACCAACCCGCTTAAAAACGTCCTGGATGGACGTAGAATTGCCAACGAAGGTTGCAGACATTCTAAGCCCAGGGGGCGGAATGGCGCAGAGAGCAGTTTGAATATTGTTGGGTATCCATTCAACAAAACTGCTCTTGTGCTTGTTCTGTATATTCTGCATCTGGTTCTCTACCTCCCTCATGGATATCTTACCGCGGCTGATGTAGGTGGTCGGATTAGCAGATGATACGATTACACGGTCAGACAAAAGCTTAAGAAGACATACAAGATAGCACAGCAAGTGAGGTACCGTCCATTCCGGATGTCAGAGGACGCCATCATGTTCTGAGGGTCAAACATTTGTCGAGTCAACTCAGGCACGGTTGCTGCGCGGAACGAAAGCGCCTTTTGATGGGTGAGTGGAGCGAAGCCAACCATGAAGAAATGCAACCGAGGAAACGGAATCATGTTGACAGCGAGCTTGCGAAAATCGGAGTTGAGCTGCCCTGGGAAGCGAAAGCAAGTGGTAACCCCCGACATGACAGTGGAGACCAGGTGGTTAAGGTCGCCATAAGATGGATCAGGCAGCTTGAGGGTACGTTTGCAGATGTCGTGCAATGCCTGTAACGTATGATCAGCTTATATGTCGTCCTTGCTCTGCAGAGCGGCGCTTTACCTCATTGTCTATGCAGAACGTTTCATCAGCATGTTCCACCAGCTGGTGGATTGACAGAGTAGCATTGTAAGGCTCTACGACAGTGTCTGACACCTTGGGAGAAGGTACAACAGAGAAAGTGGCCATCATCCGATCGGGAAAGTCATCACGAATCTTAGACATCAAGAGCGTACCCATACCCGCTCCAGTACCACCGCCAAGAGAATGAGTGATTTGAAAGCCTTGCAGAGAATCACAGGTCTCAGCCTCCCGGCGGACAACATCAATGACCTGGTCCATAAGCTCAGCGCCATCCGTGTAATGACCCCTAGCCCAATTGCTTCCTGCGCCTGATTGTCCATAGACGAAGTTGCCGGGCCTGTAAAGTCTACCGAAAGCGCCGGAACGGGCGGCGTCCATGGTACCCGGCTCAAGGTCAACTAAGACAGCGCGAGGCACGTATTTGTTTCCATTAGCCTGTTCGGATATCAGCGCTTTTCTGCAACATTCGTATACATATATATATAAAGATAGAGAAAATGTGCAGCACGAACCTCGTTGAAATACACGTTCATTCGTTTTAATTGATAATCAGTCGAGCCAACATATCTGTACTTGTGTCAGATTGATTTGGATTCACGAGTAAAGTGGACATTCTACTGACAGGCCAGAACTATCGAGGCCATGTTCTCCTGATATGGTTTCCCTTCGAGACGGATTAGTAAAATACTTTCTTTAGGAGGTGGTACTCCAATCTCTCCTAATATCATCCATATTCTAAGCTGCAGTGCTCATTTGAATGGCATACCAAAAAGCCGAACCTATTTGGTTACCCTGTTAAGAATACCAGAAATCAGCCCTGGGTAGATACAGTCTATCGAGTTTTGGTGCGCACTTACACATTGACCGATCTGGAGGTGGATCTGGCACAAGTCAGCAAGGTTGTTTGGGATGCTGCGTATCATGGTACGCGAGCACGGAGTGTAACATACGACTTCACGCATAATGGCAGGGACTGTCCAGGTAGTGATCGTGGAAAAATCAGTTATCAAAAAGATGATGATCATGGGAGGAGCAAGGAGTTTTCTGCAATAGTTTGTGGGTTTTGACTATCGAACGCGGGATGGTATGACATAATCAATTATCAACCGAGCCAAAGCAGATTACGTGTGGGATAGAAAAATGAAGGGTTAGGACACAGTTGCCAGATCTTACTCCGTTTGAGAGGGAAATAGGATACTGAAGCAAGGGCAACCAGTAATACGGAATAAATCATGTATAGCTCCTCCTCTCCTTGTGTGGGGAATGATTGACAGCCTAAATGATGTCATGTCCTAGTAAGGTGGGTCTAAGTTAGGCGAGCCGGCCCTCCTGTCTGTTAATTTCCTCAGAGATGTTGCAAGACCAAGCCATTCTTTGCGATGGCTTTGTAGATGACTCTGAAGGTACGCGGCTGGAATAGCACGACCGCAAGGCCTGCATATCAGTACTTGATATTCGGGAAGGTAGCGAAAATGCTCCATCTCAGCCCTTTCTGTTGGATTAAAGTACGACACGCGAAAAGGTGGTTAGCGATAGGTATAGTCGACAAAAGCTGAATCGCAGTGTTCGCAGTATTTTTGTTTAGATAGACTGATGAACGCGTCACGTGTGTGCTTGTGGCAATGCTGGGACATGGTGCGTGGAGCTCAGCGGGTGGGGCTAGAGTGGGCCAACAGGAATCTAAAAAAGTCGGAGGGAGCCCTGGTTCCTTAAGGGCATTATGGATCAAGTTGGGATATAATATTTAGTTTTCGTCGGGAGGTGGATCTGGGCCTCCTGTTGCTGCGTCCGACTGGCGGAGAAATTAATTTAGCGATGTTTAGATACGGTGGAGAAACTTCTCTTAGTATCCGTCCAGTGGAACCCTGAGATCTGGGTCGTTAGTTGGCATGGAAGGGGGCGGCCCGAAACGTCCAGTACAGGAAGTATCTCTATGTATAGATGTATCGCGTCTCGGTATGTAGCTGAAGCCGGTCTAACGCTTGCTTGTAGGGCATACTAGAGATAGTACTATAGAAGATCTGGCGCATCGGCTCATGTGTGATCTCTAACGTGTCTAACGCCCCGGCCATCGTTCGGTCAAACAAGACACCGATTATACGGAGGATACGACATAATCGGTTCTCTGCTTACTCTGCCAGACTCCTGCAATTGTAAAATTATTCTAAATAGTATTCGGATCGCATTGGAGTTCTACAAGTGTCTTTAGGGGGCAAAACCCTAAGATAAGGGAGCTAGCTATTTAGTTTAGACTAACCACGGAATGATCGCCAAAAATAGTTCCAATTCAAGTTGTGAAGGCTAGCTGTGATTCCACATTCTTGATGCTTCGTCGTGCAAAAAGGTTACAGTCTACATTCAACGAGTTTTGCTCCGAATATCGCCTTCGAGGCCTAACGCTTGCTTGGTCAGGAGGAATAGCTCCAGATCGAGAATCTCCTTTGGATCACTTAGCCTTTCTTCAAATCCACCACTGCATTACCCAAAACCACTGATGCGACGATCTATATTGTCTTTGATATTTACGACCAACTTTTCGAACACCTCGAAAGGTCGACGTGGCAGCTACAACGGAAGAATGTCCCTTGGAAACAGCTAATGCTGAAGGCGCTAGGCGCTGCAAGAGATAAGCTTGCAGAATACTACAGGAGAACCGATGAGATCCACGGCAATCTCTTTGCAATTGGCACAATGCTTACGCCAGAAGGCAAGCTACAATGCTTCTCAGGGAAGCCATCACTCAACGCGCGGACATAGATACTTCTATTGGACGATATGCTGAGCGGACTTGACGTGAACACAGCGCAAACTATGCTTGACCACGTGTTTGGGCGACATGGAATTTGCCGCAAGCTCAGCAATGCTGTGAATTTTGCCATATATTCAGGTACTACAGACTTTCTTATTTGTTGCAGAAGCTGACCTTATATGAAAAAAGATACTCTTTCCTTTTGCCCAGCATATCAAGCAGGCAGACCGTGTGAGCATCATGGAATCTGGGGGAATTATCCTGGAGCAGAGCACGCCATTTTGTTAACGCAGACTACGGAGGGAGCGACCCTAAAGATATCGAATGCTGATGCTGCTAATCACCGAGGTGTTCCTTGTCCGGCCGCGGCCGGAAGTAGGGAAGTAAATCGCCGATTAAAGGAAGGACTCAACCCCACCAATCCATGGTAACCTTTTCCAAGGTCCCCTGCTCATGGTGTGCTTGCTGTCTGTGCTTGCTGTCTGTGCTTGCCAAAGAGCCATCTTTTTTCCTGCGTGATCCATTCTCGGCACCGTCCGCTTCATATTCCGCCCGCCCCCCAACGGGCGTTGGGGGACTCCTATGCGAGCTATTCGCCTTATAACCGGTTGAAAGAGCATTCGCTAGAACGCTGGTTGGTACGAATACACTTGTTTCCATTACTATAGGAGACTTTCAGTCATATTTCAGGCAGTCCAGCACATATATGAACAGACGAGGTGTCTCCACCAGAAGTAGCCTCTCTGCCTCTTCATACGGTCCGGAGTGAGCCATCCTCGATGAAATCCAGGGCAAGATCCTCCATCTAACCGCCCACTTGTACCTCTTCCAATTCTCGCCATATTCCTTCGCGCACTTGGCATCGTCCCGGCGTTCGTGATGGATGAGCAAGACTCCAAAGTAGAGCACATGGAAGTAATCTGAAGCTGGACGGTGGAGTCGCTCCTAGGTTGGCGAGTCTGGCTCGGCCCTGAACGCCGCACAACAAGAAGGTCAAGTCACATTTATGCGAAGCAAACCTACTAGTACCCGCCTTTGGTCGCCGGCTTTGTTGTCCCATGGGTCGGGATAGCAAATCGTGCTGGTAAAGCAAGGACCTGTGGAGTCTCTTTTGTGTACTATTTTTAGTTGTGTGATACGCTATCTTATAACACCGCCCTTATTGTGACTATATATATGAACCCTGACAGCTATCGATATTTGACCAGGAAAAATATTTTGACGTGAGAACATTTTCTCGGCCAATATGGACATGCCAAGGGCTTTGCTACTTTTTAATTTCCTCCTCACTAATTCTGGCGCGCAATTCCCAGTTTCCAGGTGGATTACCATCCTGGGAAAGGTTCGGAAGTTTTGATAATTGCGTTACCATCCCAAGTATCGAGGCTGAATTCCTTGGTCCCTGTTGGATTGAACTTCTAGAATATACGATCGATCATGATGGTTTGATCTCTCCATCCCTTTGTCTAAAAGTCGTAGTTCTAAGGAAGGCATTTTGGACATTCACATGTAAATAAAGGTCTCTATTGCGAACCTAACATGTCAAGACTGGCAAGTCTTGGTGCTATTGTTATTACGATAGGTTTCTCTCGTCATAAGTGTACAACGCCTGCCAATTCGCCCTCGTTTCCACTTCATCTCAAGGGCACATGTCCTTGACGACTCTCCAACATGTCATTTGGCACGCGTACAGTTTTACGAACGGTATTGTCATGGTCAAGTTCATACAGCAGAAATTGAGATAGCTAATCCGGAAGTGCCATCGAACCCATATTGACTGCGCTACTGATTTAAGTTTGCATATATGCAGATGTTTCAGAAAGTTGAAGCACGTTCGCTAAGACTGACAATTATATCAGGGACTGGTTTGGTCAGCCCACCGTCATCCCACCATTGATCCTGATCGTCTGTCCATTCACCCACTGGCTCTGATCGCTGGCAATGAAACAGACCACATTCGCAACTTCCTGGGGTTTCCCCAACCGTCCCATAGGGGCCAAGTTACTCTGAAGCTGCACCATCTGCTCCGTCTTCCCCAGAAAATACGCATCCGTCCCAATGGGCCCCGGCGCAATGGTGTTCACGGTGATCCCCCTTCTCCCCAGATCCTTCGCCAGAACACGCGTGATCTGCTCAATTGCCCCCTTGCTCGCTGTATAAAGAAGATAATTTGGGGTAACGCCGCTGAATGCCGCCAGTGACGTCGAGAAGAGCATCACCCGCCCACCATCTGCGAGATGCGGAACAGCCTCCTGCACGGTGAACAAGGGACTGCGCACATTCGCAGCGAAGAGTTTGTCGAAGTCGTCCTCGGTGATACTGAGCAGATCCCCCTTCTGCCAGAGTAGGCCTGCATTAAGGACGAGAATATCGATTTTGCCGAATCGGTCGACTGTCGTCTTGATCAAGCGCGTGATATCTTCGCGCTTCGATACATCCGCTTGGATGGCAAGGGCATGGTTAGACCCAATCTCTGATACGACTTCGTCGGCGGCTGCAGTGGAGGAGACGTAGTTCACGACGACGTCGGCGCCATCCTTAGCGAGGGCGAGAGCCGTTGCGCGTCCGATGCCTCGGGATGCACCAGTGACAAGGGCAACTTTACCGGATAGTGGAGACATTTCAATTGCCAGAGGAATATATTCAGCTTGGCAGAAGTATGAAATCGGACAGTGGGCCTCAAGTGCTTGGGGGATTCAGGAAGTTTATGTAGACGATGTTCTCTACCGTATTCACTGCGTTCGGTGTGCCATCTCCAAGCGCCGGAGCTAGCGGCCGATCCCTGCGGATTTAGCGGCGAATAAAATAAGTGGCTGCTTACTGCTTTCTGTCAAGATGACCATAGCACAGCAACGCCCGCAAAGTGATGTGGGGAAGCCATTAAACCTCAATGATCTTATTGCCTCTGCTCAGGCTTGCCTCAGGCTGCAAGGATGGAGCTGAGCGGACACAAAGCACAACGCTAGTTGAAACTTTTATTCCCTGGTGCTAGTGCCCTTCCGGAAGATTTTGCGGCGCTAAGCAAAAGCATGATGATTATTGGACCTTGAAGGGTACGATTTCACTGATAACCAATAATGCGACGTTTGCTGCCATACGCCACTGTCGAAGACAGTGCTCCATATTCCTTTCTCGGTAGATGATATCAAGTAAGTGCGTGAGATTGAATCGAGCGGTATCTTGGGAAGGATAAACTATGTCAGAAGACCATGTAGAAAGGGAAGTCCCATCATGCCATAACCCGGTCCCGGCCACCAACAGCACAACACTGACAGGCAACACATCGAATTAGACTAGAACACATTGAAATTTTGCTAGCCTCTGTTGGCTATCAGAAGTTCACATGAATGGAACAAGTGCCACTGCAATCTGTGGGATGCCTACAAATCTCTACAGGAGGATATGGGTTGCAATGCCAGATGCAAGATTTGCGAGGCCAGTTGGAGCTCTGGAAAAAGGCACATGTGTTAATTTTTAGTTCCTGGGTAACGCTGCGCCTCCAGCTTCCTTGGTTGCTCGCCAGAACATATTAGGAGGCTCCGACACTTTGACCCAGGCGCTGAATTTGCTGCCGAATCTTGAAGCACCGTACCCGGCGAGATGGGGTTATGACTATGCCGATCGTAATGCTTTTCTGTTAAATACTGGGACTTTGTTTATAGTATAGGCAGGCGTAGGCCAGTAATCCAGATCTATGAGCCATGGCTTCCTTTGAAAGTATTTTATTCATTGCTTTCTTTTGTATTCAACACTCCTTCCCTTACAAGGGCATCCGGTTCTGAACGGAATGTTACATACCACGGTCAAGGTGCTCAGCTTCATTCCAGACAAGCCTCTTCATGTAGTAATCTAGTTTCAATATCAGCAATGGCTACCGCAAACTTGTATAGCCTATACCTGCGAGGATCCAGTAGCGCCTAACACGTTCTAGCGCTAGGCTGAAAGCTCGACCATCAACATGCGACTCGTCAGGGTCTGCTTGTTTTAACCAAATTGCCGTAAGAGCTGTCTCGCCAATACACATGACAGCTGGTAACGGGACCCTGGAGATCTCTTCTATAGCTTCGAGTGCATTCAGTTGCAAGCAAATGTCACGGACCATGTTAATGACGGAGGATACTGCGGCCATGGACAGAGGCGCTCTGTGCAGTATATCCGGATGCTGTGCTATGGAACTTGGAGCCCCGTATCCCACTTGGCTTCGGTGGAGAGTGAGAGTAGCCCTGATTTTCGCGATTTAGCCTCAGGACTCAGCAAAAATGGAGATGGGTGGACTTTGATGCATACATCAGCGCAATTGCAATGGCGCCAAGATGAGCTTCCCAGCCAGCGCTTTCCTCGAACAGTTGCTGCATCAACTGCATCAAATTGCTGTCGATCAGATGAAAATGCTGTTGAAACGAATCCAGTCGCACTAAATTCTGAAGCATCTGCACGTTTCCTAGAATTCTAACCGCTTGGATCTCGCGAGTGTAGTAAGACAATGGAATATTAAGTGAGGTTTTGAAAGACAGAAATGTTTTGTTTGGCTTGTGTTCGCTTTCCTGGTCGCCAATTGGAAGCGGAAAGTCATCGACAGGCTCCCCAACCGCATGCGGTGCCACTATATCTGGCATAATCTGGTAAACAAGGCTTAATGGTATTAGTCAATCTCCCCACCAATCCAGGTGATTTGCTCTACTGACCGGTCCATCATGTACACCGCAGTCCAGACTCTTCTCCGCTCTTCTGCATGACACCAGGCGCCAGAGTAGTCGTCCACGAAGGATTCATCAACATGTAGTCCAAGTGAATACGCAAGCCTAGCACATGCTGCTACTCGCAAGAATGCGGCTTCCAAGGAGCCAGATCCCAACTCATATAGGATGAGTAGCAAGCCTGCTTGTACCAGTTCCAAGGATGGTCCGCGCACCAGTAGCAAAAACGAGACTAAACAGCTGCATTGCTGATAAAGATGTTGCTGGCCTTCCCTCTGAATGCGGGTATTGCCCCATTCGTTCTCCGTGAGAAGATACATTGCCAGTAATAGAAGCGCCAGTTCCGCCGAACGGCTACTATGAATCTGTGATATCCGTGCTCGGAACTTCTGCTCCGGGATAACGGGTAGCCACCGATGAATATTCCTAAAGTAAACACATAGAATAGCGTCTACTAACACGCTGCGGTCAAGCAAAGCGTTAATCACCAAGTCCACGAAGAAGCGGTCGATAGCGAGGCTGTGGGAATCCATATTCTGTGTGCAGGATTGCACCGGCGGAGATGTGCTAGGCAGCCATTGCTGACCTGAGACCACCGGGACATGAAAGAGAAGAAAGTCCAACGAAGACTTGTATTGGTGGCAAGCTTGGGCTTCCCCTGGATACCAGTCATAGTTGCATTTTAAGTCCAACCTTCCGACAAGAACAATGTGAGCCCATCGATGACTATACCTCACTGGGAAAATGGCTCATACTTCTCACACCGAGTGCAATTAGGCAACTTCTTGTCGCATTTGCGCTTCTGCGATCGACACAATTTGCAGACATTCGTTGCATGAGGTTTGCGGATCTCAGCCACGCCAGACACCTCGCTCATCATGACAACTCTACCCTGCACAGCAGCGGGGAGCAATAGAGAGGGTGGTGTCGTGAACATCAAACACGGACACCGAGAGAGTACCGAGTACGACTATATATCTGTATTCTTCCGACTTTTGAGCGAAGGTTTCTTACCAACTGAAGTAAGCGGTCCGTCTTTATCCGCGAATTTTTATAATTTTCGTTCTTTTTTCCGTCTGTTCACAGATGCCATGGCGTGCCGGAAATCGATTCAGGCCGTTTCAACACTTCTGCCGCCAGCTGAGGGTGAGTTCCTGCGTCCCACGCAAGGCGCCATAATTTCCCTGCAGATTGTGGCTGGCTGATCTGTACCAGTTACAACCGACGGTTCGTTCCTGGTGACTATTCATTCTGTCCGCTTCGCGATTCTAACCAGCTGATGAGCTGAGTTAACGTAATCAGAAATTCGTCCAGCTGTCGACTGTGGCAAGCAAGCAGCCACCTACCGCATCAGGTATAAAATAGGAAATTTCATAATGGTAAAATCTTAAGAAGAGCACTCCATAAGGTGCATATCCTGCGATGTGGACCAATACAAAGCTTCGGGCAGGAACTACTATATCGAAGCTGCGCCTAATGGTGTGGGTCTACTCAGGACCCACGCCCCCCGTTATGCTGAATAAGCATCAGCCTATCAAACCCTAGCGCCGCAAAAGTTTCCTCTTGCGGGCAATAGTCAGACGGCCGCGTGTAGAGTTCGGTGTACCCCGGCCGTGCCCGTTCCTTGACCGACTCAGTGGGTAGGCCCATGCCGTAGATAAGGAGACTCGCCGATGAATCGTGGCCTAAGCCATTCTATTGTGTAGAAAAGTCATCACCAGGTCATAATCTCCGAATTTTCGGTTAATAACCCACATTACTCATAACTGACCAGAAACTGTTAGATGTCTAGAGTCCGAGCGCAGGAGTAAGAAGGTAGTCCGCTTATTAGAAATTCCATTGCTATTACATCCTACCTACTTCAGGTACACTCACCCCAAGAACACCCTCATGGTTATTGTTATAAATATTGTTGAGTTTTTGTGATGAGACCTTTTGCCAAACTTTCTCCGCAGCGGTGTCCCCATGTCGACGGATATAGAAGAAGTTTTCAAGGAGCAATCGCACATCCCTAAAATCAACAAGGCCGAGGTTTGATGAAACGCCGCCCAGATGAGCACAGTACCAGACGTAGTGCTCGGAGCACTGTCTGGCCGTCAAAGCACCGACAAAAAGAATCCAGAAGAGGAGATCGGGTGCAGTCGAAAGAAAGGTGTCAAGTCTAGGAACAAGGCTCTCCCTGAGTCTGGCGGCGACCTCGTCCATGCAAGGGAATGCGCCAAATTTGCAGTAGCGCGTCATGGAGTACGCAAGCATTGAGCGGCGGAGCGATTCTCTGATATCGCCAGGGCCGAGGCTCTCGTATGACAATGAGAGGAGATAACGCTGCGATAGATTCCAAGGGTTATTATCCCCGTACGTGGCGATCCTCTTGCCCTCCCGTCGCTGGTCATCGGTCTCGTAGTGCACAATAAGGTTGCAGAAATTCTCGATCGCGGCTTTGAGAGACCGGTCAATTAGCCCCGCCCATGTAGAATTTCGGAACCGGGTGCCCAAGTTGCAAAAGATGTTGTCACTGCGTAGGCTCAAGATGACCTCTTCCGGTGGGCTGTCGGAATGGATGATGAGAGCTGGATGATTCATGGCGTACTCCAAATATTTCGGCGCCAATGGAAGAGCAGGAGGAGTACATTTCACAACTGCGCACAGGATATCCATACTAAAGAACCCGAGCTTCAGTATGAGAGTGGTCGGTTTGAAAGCAATGCATATATCCTTACCCCACTAGAAAGGAGATTGTAGACATGTCCAGACGGTCAACCCCACCGGAGGATCGAATTAACTGTTGTAGACCAGCCATGTGAATATCCATTTCCGCGATGTTCGCGTTGGAGGCCTGAAAAGAAGGGATCTGTCATCAGCTCAGTCCGCACATGAGCTCCAGCAAGTTGGGAATCACACCTCCACACAAACAAGCATGGCAATGGTGACGATGATCAATTCGACATTTGCCGTGGCGATGTTATCGATTGCCTCTTGAATATTCTGTATTATCCTAGAACGAGATTCATAGGCCTGCAGCATCCATTGGGACGAATTTGGGTTATTTGTTCCGTAATCATGATCAAGATGGAATCGGTGTGATGCAGACATCGATATCATCCCGTAGAATATAGCCGGCTGAGTAGTAGCTTGTTGTCCGCACCAAATCCCCAGCATCTCGGGACGAAACGGCCAGCAGCATCTCACAGTGTGCAGCATGACTACATCATACGCAACAGAATCAGTTCCTCACGTAACACACCACCTCGCAACCATTGACACACTGCAACGAGTCTGCGTAACACTTACAATGCTGAAAATGGCCACTGGTGCGCCCAGTTAGTGGTACCACCATCGCAGAGAATGGGTCTGGAGCGCCCGGCCTCAAGGCCCGATCGCCGTCCGGAGGCACCGAAGCTACCAGCTGAACGTTCTCGTTAATCGAGGACAAGGATCTCGGGGTTTGGTCACGGCCATCAGCCAGGCGCCGGAACTTAGTGGGGTCTTCGGGCTTAGACTCAAATATAATGAGCCCCCTCAATGGACCGGGGCATTTCCTGCCGCGACGGACACACTGGCCGCATTCCGGCTCTTTTTCATCGCACTAGGCGGACCGCCAGACTTAGCAAATATAGACAATACACGTAGACGGCCAGGAGGCCGGAAAGACCAAAGGATACTACGTGTGGAATGATTCAGGGAATACCATACAAGGGGGTCAACTCATGCTTTAACTAGGCACTTCGCTGCTTACCTTAATCCTCTTCTGACGACAGGGCTTGCAGCCCCGACTTCTCCCAGATTCGCGAACCATGACAGGTTCGGCAATAACGAAGACAGGCCTAGATTATCGGAGAGCGCTGGAAATAGTCTAGGTTTGTATCCTTGTTGGATTATGGTCTCTGGCCTGATCGATGGTAGTCTATCGATCGTATCCTAAAGGCGACACGTTGCTCACTAGCGCCGCAAAACTTCCCCAAAACGGCATAAGCCCATCACGTGTCATTGACATCGGGATACTGAGCATTCAATCGTGACCAATCCTCTTCTCTTAGGATACCTCAGCACGAGCATACAAGATTATGTTTCTGTCTATAATGGCCATGCTCTGTCGAGAAAGTTTTTGCGGCGCTAGCTGGGCCGAGCCCGGGAAAACACGATTGATCGCTATGTCTATTATTCGGTGATCTGGGCTTTTCTGCTACCTCTAAGATAGGGTTTCTCGACTTGTATGAAGGAAGCGAAACCAAGAGGTGCACAGGTCGACTTTATAACGGACAACTATACGCACGTCCTCCGCACATTGATTTTATGCAGTAAATGTCCTCGAGTTTGACAGAAAGTAGATACATGCAGCGTTAACAGTGGTAGGAATGCATAGAACGAAACAACCACGACAACGTGACTGAAAGGCCCCAACTCGACGATAGAATTAATCTCAATCTGACTGATGCTGAAGACATGCTGAATCAACACCCTTGGTAAAGCATTGCGGACTGGTAGCGAGAAACACCATACCTAGCCACAGTATCACAGGAAAAGGACTTCCCAGATTCGATCCCCTGATGGTGAACACGGCTACCACTGCAATCATTCGAAGCATACCAATCAGCGGTTGGGTATGGATTGCCATTGGTTTGCCTCCATAGCCAGCTGCTGCCCCAAGTGCACGTATTGCAAAAACTGTACTTCACTGAAACGCATACTCCACAGCCGAAGTTCGCGATTCGGAATAGGCGCGAGGAGCAGATTCCGTCTTCGAATGCCTCGAAGGCATTTGCGCCGGCTCGCTTGGCCAAGCTCCGTTTATAGAGGGTGGTATCAGCCAGGTCGAGGACTTGGCCAGGCTCAGTAATCTCGTAGAGCGGGACACGGGTCATCGGCTCCCAGCCGTCAGTGGTGTTGAGAGAAAGATATTCTAGCCACTCCTCGTGAGTAAGGCCGGGCTTTTCAACTTGGTCGGTCGGTAGGCAGAAGGCAGGTGGTACAGCCATAAGAGACATGGCCAACGCAAAGGCTTTGACCCTCATGATGTAGAATTCTGGATTGGAATTGAGTCTTAGTGAGTGAGGGAAAAATGTGAGCCTGCAAGAGCAACAGCAAGAGAAATCAAGGCTTGGGCTGAGGCCGTGTCTGACCGTATATGGGAAGTGTCGTTGCACTCTTATATAGTACTTCCTCCGGGCTTTGGAGTGGAGACAGGAACAGAAGAACCCAGCGGCCGCATTGTTTTACCATCCGCGGTATCCAGCATGCTCCAGCTACGCATTAATTAAGTCAGGCTGCCTCAGCCAAGAATGGGTTGACATAATAACCCATGTCTCTAAGAAGCTGCTGTAGGTAAGGAGAGGCAAATGGCCACCAAGTCAATTGCGCTCTAGTTAAATTGCGAGAAGAACAACCATCACTCAGATAGCTCGCATCAAACCAATAGTACATTGGTAGATGATGTTGAATACCGTCAGCTGAGCATGTCATCATTCAGGCGCATAGTCAATTGCGGCCGCTAGTACATTGGTAGTTGATGTCAAACACCGTCGGCTGAGCATGTTACCCTTCAGCCAGTTAGACGATTGCGGCCGCTAGCGCATCGTTCTGCTGCTCAGTTGTACTATGCAAGAGTCAGGACTGACCGTTCGGTTGTATAAATTGCCCGAACATCCGAAGGCAATATCACGTATTCCAGTCTCAAAGAAGTTCTTGCTCCTGACTTGGACCTCACGCCCCTCCTCTTCAATCTTTTCGGCTCTCCTTCCTGAGGCCTAGCCCCAGAGATCCCTGAACCTACATTTCGTCCCCGATAATAGCAAGTGGTATCGACTCTCTCATCATGAAGGTCTCCATCTCAACATTGGCCATAATTCTTGCAGTGCAACAAGCCATTGCCCTCCCCGCCGAGCAGGCTGAAAAACCAGGTCTCACGCGCGAAGAGTGGCTAGAGTATTTGACTCTGAACACGACTGAAGGATGGGAGCCCATGGCACGTGTGCCGCAGTATAAGATCTCTGCCGGCGAAACCCTCGACCTCTCGACCACGACCCTATTCAAAAGAAGCCTGGAGAAGCGAGGCGGCGGAAATGCCTTTGCCCCGTCTTATTATGGGGGATGTGCGACTCGGGAGTTCACCGTAAAGAACTTCGGGTGCGGTGCCTGCGTGACTGCGGCGGGTGCCGGTCAACTCAGTTGGGAGAGTAGCTGGTTATGGAGAGAAACCACTGGGAACCCATATCCAACTGTTGAGTGGTACAACGAGCGTTACTGTACCGGTACCAAGGTGCATCATCAGGGTATCTACTCGGGACGGTATTCATCTTGCGACACCGCTGGGCAAGGAAACCAAGCTTCAGTCTACCTGTCCGCTATGCTTTACCAGGGCTGTTGAGAACGCTTAATGAATAGACTGCGGTGGAGCCTAATTCAAGCTGGGCGTGGTTTTTCGGTGCACTTCAGGAACGTCGTTTAGAACTGTTAGGGCACCTTGCACGCAGAGGACGTTATGTTCTCCGTCTCTCTCGAGTGTTTCTATATCGTTGCAAACAATACAGGAATGTAGTCCTCCGTTAGTCTTCAGATACCACCATGGTCCGTGGATTGAACCAGCCATCATGTACGAGTCTCAGCGAGGATTGTCCGAAAATATCCATCTGAAGACTGCAATATATGCAACAGTAGTCTCAGCTTACCCCTTGGGTATCATTACTAGATACAGTGTGTTTTTTCAATTACCCTGACCCTCCAGAAGGAAACCAAGGCTACTATAACGAGGCCTATCCTTCTATGTACAAATGCAGCGTACCATTATCTTCTAACGAGTTCAGAACCTCGTTATAGTGGGATATTCCGGACAGACCAGATCTCGTGATATCGAGGTTCTCGTGATATGAAGGATACGTATATCTAACCTGTAAAATATCTTCGAATATCCAGCTGAGTCTATAGGCCCAGCTTTCGACTCTAAAGGATACGCTCATGCTTATGTAGCTTATATATAAAGCTCTCCCTTATTATCGTCATTGAGACCTGGCCCATACTGAGCTAGAACCTGGCTATCCGTATCATTAGGAATATCCTGGACGGCTTCCTCTGCTGGATTAGGGAACGTATTAATATCCATTAGGCTCTGGATAGGCGTAGAGATCTTGAGGGGGAAAATTATTTCTGTATATTATCCAGAAATGCTGACAGGCTCGTGATACGATGGTTGAGAATCTAGAGCCTTTCTAAAGTAATTCTGGATTACCTGTCCAGAAAGTTTCATTTCCCAGTTCTGGATTCCCCGAATCGCTTTTAGAACATCCATTTGACGTGATTATATCACGATTAATCGCAAACTCCTGAAGGATACAGCGAATCTAGCATTGTTTCTAGTATGACTTCCTACAGAAGATATTCCCTTGATCAAGAGGTTGATAACGGCTTTTAGAGTCCGCAGGATGCAATATAGTAAGAGTATTCTGTAGTGGATAGCCATTACACTGAATCTCTGTTACAGCAGCTTGATGAGCATAGAAATTATCCATAAGAAGGGCAACATTACGGCCACTCATCTGCCTGTTAAACCAAACGAAGAAAGTATTCATGAAGGGGATAAAGGCATCACTTACAGGAAGGCTGAGTGAGAGAGACAGCACCATAACGGACCAGCCGCAACAAACATGAATGCAATAAATAGGGAATTGGCAAAAGACAGCGAGGGAAAATGGATGCATGTGAGGTTGAGAATGGTGGGGGGGGGAGAGCGGTCGGATGGAGGAAGCGGAAGAGAAGTAGGAACAGCGTATATTTATAGAGATGGGGAACCTAAATCGCCCTCAGCAAAGTAACTGCTGTAAGGATGTGCGAGACGCAGCGAGAGGAGCGACTTTCAAAGAAGGTTGAGAGCGATGGGTTTAAAACGGTCGAAAATCGTGCTTCTGGGCCAAAATTCCATTGACTTGCCTCCACCACACCAGCCCTGCGCACCCCGGCAGGTTCCCGCAATCAGGGCGGACATAAAAAACATACACCTACACTGCCGGAAATATTTACCAAAGCCAAAAATACAGCACAAGTTCCACAATTCCATGACCTTCTGTCAATATGCGGGAGTCTAACTTACTGTGTATAATAACGCTTAATCTGAACGGCTGCAAGGACTTGAATTCATCTAAATCTAGAAAATTGATGGCCCTATTATGATCAAGCTTGACCGCTAGTTCAGGACCTCGGAGATCGAAACCCGTGTCGTCGAGCGTGGTGCACGGCCTGTTCGCCCTACCTGATTTGTATGGGCCGCGAAGCTATGGGCAGGCACCACGAGAAGCCCAGATACAACAGATAATTTCGACCACCGTTGGGTTGACCGAGTGGCACTAGCACAGATTCCGATCGAAGGACTTTTGGTGTACCGAGTATTTCGGCACCTAGCACGCGCGGCAGTCCGAGGTGCGAAGGGCTTATGGTGAGATACGTGGTGAGTTGAGATATGGCCCGTCTATCAGTCCATGCCCCATTGTGACCAAGCGATGTAAGCGATATGGCACTATGACAAAATTAGTCCACCATTGTCATGAAATCCTTGCCCCAGCGGCCGACCGGCCGAAGAGCGTGGATAGTCCAAACAGGACTCAGATGACAATGAGGCTAACGGGGCCAATGCACAATAGAGGAATTTCCAAATCGAGTAAATGCCTAGCCATTCCGCCGACTAGCAGGTGGTCACGCGGGTAAGCGGGTTCCTAGATGTGTCTGTATAAATAAGCCTACCATCGCCATAAAGAGTCTACGAGTGAACCAGCCAAAATGCTCAAACTCTCAATCATCACGCTTTTCGCAGCAACAATGTCCGTAGCATCATTCACCCCACCATGGACAATCCTCCCACCAACCCCCGAACTTCCACCCTCGTACCATGCAGCCTACGCGCAGCTCAACAACATCTCCCTCTGGTATTCGCTCTTCGGCCCCTGTCTCGGCCAAGCCGGCACCCCTGTAGTTCTGCTACACGGCGGCAAGATCTCCTCGCGCTGGTGGGGCCACCTGATCAAATCGCTCGAGTCGTCGTTCAGCATCGTCGCAATCGACACACGCGCACACGGCCGATCAACCGATGACTTGTCCGTCCCATTGTCTTATAACCAATTCGCAGCCGACGCAGTCGCCCTCCTTGACCACCTGAAAATCCCCAAAGCCAACTTCATCGGCTGGAGCGATGGCGCGGTGACATCGCTCGCGATAGCGATGCAGTACTCCTCCCGTGCGGACAGAATCGTCGCCTTCGGGGCGAATTACCGTCCGGACCAGGCAAACACCACGGGGCTGGGTGGCGTCTCCTTCGGAGAAGACCTGTACAATCGGGAGAAGGAGCAGTATCTAGCTCTGAATCCAGATCCGAATCCCGACTTTGAACGCTTCTACGACCGCGTCGTGCAGATGCAGTCTGCGTCGCCAATGTGGGACGAGGAGGATTTTGGCAAGATTCCGGTCTTTGGGGAGAGTGAAGATGCGCCGTTTGTACTCGTTGCTGCGGGGGACTATGAGGAGGCGATTATTCGGACTGTCCCTGGAGAGATCCACGCCATGGTGAGTGTATTTGATTCTCGTAATTGAGACGGGGATTGGCATGACAAAGGCTGACGTGGGTAGATTACAAATTCGCAGCTTACTCTTTTACCCGGCGTAAGCCATTTTGCGTAAGCCTATATCCCTGATAATTGATACTTCATACCTAACATTATTGCTATATAGACCGCTGCAAGACCCGGCGACGTTTGCAGCATCAGTCAAGGCCTTTTTAAGGAAAGCAAAAACGGCACAGGAAATAGTTTCGTTTGGCATCGACTGAATAACTAGGAAAACAGCGTAGTTTCATCTTCTATTAAGATCTCCCATATAGGAAGGCATTTTGGCGTAGGTGATGTTTAGGTGCAATACCGTCAACTTGAGCAGGAAAACAGAATAAAATCAAACAAGACATCGACAAACACCTCAGAATGGCTGGGCAGGCCGATATCACGAATAAAATCCGTTCATTTTCGCTCGAAGGTGGTTCTCCTTCGACCTGGGCGAAAAAGAGAGCGGAGAGCTCATTATAAAGTTACTGTATTATTCTCGCAATAATTATTTCTCACGTGCAACTCGACCGCGCCTCCAAAACCGACGCTCTCGACGCAGTCCGCACACTCCAAACTGAACACAGCATCACCCATCTCGAAATACGAATCTGTACCCCGCCTAGTGGGTTGTGGTTTAGAATCTAACTGACGGTGAGAGGTCAGTGTGTGAAATCATCACAACCGTCAATACTGGTTTCAAAATTAAATCAGAATGATTCCTCTACATCGTTGTTCTCACACAAGGTACAAAGCGACCCCTGGATCTAGTTTTGAAATTATACCGGCGGAGGATTCCTGCACTAATATCTGATAGGCAATATATATCGATGTGCCTTGAGACAAGAGATTCAGTTGCCAGACAGAAGTGGCTAATGTCTTGAGCAGTAGATATTTAGAAATCACTCGTCGGGCGACTAGTCTTAATTTCAACTTGTCCCCTTGAACAATCTGGTCTTTCCTTGATTTGAGCTCCTCCCTGTCCTAGTTGACACTGACACCTGCCTGCCAGCCAGGGTCGCCGTTCCTGCGTCAGCCATGCCATGGTGTTCGCCGCAAGCTCCGGCTTATCTATGAGGACAGCATGCGCGTCACGAGGGATTTCCCAGCGACAACTCAGTGGCGCCGATAGGCCTGAAGTCTGCGAGATATACCGTGTTGTTGATGATAAGTACATCGATACATGACAAATGCTGATACGCCAATTTGACTGCTGCACAGACCTCTTTGTCGGATATCACATCCAAAGACATTGTAATAACGCTGGACTGCGCGATGGACAGGATTTGAAGGCGTTGACGGCGTCGAGGTCAGACTGGGCCGCAAGACTTAGCGTCGAAGCCGTGGCCCGAGTAAACGCCAGGGCGGTGGCGCGGCCGATGCCCGCTGGACGCCCCTGGTCGGGAAGCAGGACTGACTGTCTCCGCCCATACAAACTCCGGCCGCGTAGAGCGCCAGGATCGCGCACTTTACCCGCTGCTAACCTAATTAGGCAACTACCTGTATTAAATACCGCCGGAACCACTCTAGTATTGCTCCTATCACTTCCTGCACAGTATTAACACTTATTATTATCTGTACTACTCTTTATTGCCCGTCACTTCCTTATCTTAACTTTACCATCTGCTCTGTAATGAAATTGCCCGCCTGCCTACCTACCTGCATACCTACATTCCTGTCTATCTACCTGCCTGCTTGCCTGCCTGCCTACCTACCTGCCTCAAAAACTATTAAATAAACAGGTAGGCAAGCAGGCAGATAGGCAGGTCAGGTAGGTAATCAGATTAAGCATGCAAGCAGGCAACTGGTTAAGTAGGTCAAGTAGGTCGAGCAGACAGGTCCGCTCAGCTACTGCTTTTATTCTGCCGCGGATCCGCAAAAGTTTGGCAGCCAGCACAAAGAGCTTGGCGGGTGCTCCTCAGATACCTCAAACCTCTAGACAACTAGTTATAGAAGCGAGGCAATTTAATACTCTAGAAGAAAGGAATGAATCCATTATTAGAATAATCTTTTGAGTTTATTAGAGCGTGTACAGATATCTAATCATTCGGCATATTGCTCCAGAGACCTCCATATAACAATGAGCGAGATATTCTCTGATGTACTTTGGCACGAGAATCTCACCCTGTGTTGTCCTTCGCCTTGGATGACTCTGTCCGCTTACTGGCCAGATCCAGCAATTTCCAGGGAAGGGCTGTACGCCATAGTTGATTGTCAGCCGCCCAGTCACAGATGACTCGCACGACCTGCTCGAAACCGGGGTCAAAGGCGCTGCCCATCTCGGACTGACGCAATACCGTTGCTTGGAAATGGTGGGCTGGTCCGCCTTCGCGATATTCGACCTGATAGCTCCCGTAACCAGGCTCCGCGTTCAATGCTACTTGGATGAAATAGTCATAGCCCGAATCGATATTGGTGGGAAGCCGCTCCAGAACGACAAAATTACACCAAAGGTCCATGTCCGCGAGCAAGTCGTGGAGCTGGTCATCAGACGGATCATCCAGAACGCGGTTGCCGTCCGTTGCCCTAACTCGCTGCATAGGTACAATAAAAAGAGTGATAGCTGGTCGATGATGGTGGAGGAAGACGCGTTGAGGAAATGATATGGCAGTGTTGGGTGATGGTTAATTGTGTGGCAGTGGACACTTGTTTTGTGGGTCGGTGCGGTGCACGTCGCCTACCTAATTGGATCTAGTGCCCCTGTAGGCATGAGCCCTGGATAATGCAGTATGACAGCAGTTTTTTAATACAAGGAGGGAACCACAATCAAGATCACTTAAAAGGGGCATAGAGGACTACAGAAAGACAAATCCGTCTAATTTAATTTTAAATATTTGCCAGCGCAGCTTCATTCTAATCCTATCTTAAGAAGCGTTGCGTCATGTTGCCATAGGGTGTTTGCCGACTAGACTTAGAGTCCCAACAACGTCGATGCCATGTAAAAATTCGCTGAGGTATAGAGTAGCTAATGCACAATCCCTGCCCTTCAATCAGAATTTTAATATCTTCTTCCGTTCGCGTGGAATCGTTAGCCAAAGTTGGCAACTTTTGAGGTTTTCCGGGTGGAAGATTACTTAATCATCCCGCTCGACTTAACGTCTCAAAACTAAGCCTTTTTCGATTAAATTCCTCAACACTAAACTACTTTCAGATTTGTCCTCAACACTAGACCTATTTTGGTTTTATATTCTAATCACCTCTACTTCCTGGCATACTGTACACTGCTTCTTTCAACCGCTATGCTTTGCACATTCTGACACTGGTTTACTTATAAGGGAAGTGTAAGACTTTCGGTCATGTCCGAAAACCTTGCTATCGGTTGCCTGGCTAGGGAAGGTTGTAATAATGCGTTGTTTTAAGATCATCTTCGAGACAGAATAGAAACCGACCTATTCATCCTGTTACCCCTTTTTCTTATTTCAACTTTCGACGACCAAGGCACTTGAAATCTCTCTATCTTATAGCGCCGCCTACTTTCTCTCCCCTCTCTTAGGCTTCGGTTCTAGTGATTCTTCCGTTATTATGTCTCCCCTTAACTCTACTTCCACCCGAAAGCGCGGTCGGCCCCCCAAGTATCAGTCTGCAGAAGAGCGACAGGCCGCGAAGATAACACGACAACGAAATCAGCGACAAGCCGCCCAAGCGGCTAAACGCAACACCTTCTTTGATGAATACTACTCGGCCGGTCCATCTGCAACTGGGTGAAACGCCCGATCGGCTTCTTGTTCCTGGCATAGGCGGCGTTGTCGGGTGACCCATGAACTTGGAAAGAGTTGCTCCCGGCCGTTAAGCCCCGGATTCAGCTCCTTCTTGAGCTCGAAGATAGCTCTATCCTAATTGGACGGAGCCGCCTCTAGAGCTTAACAGTCTCGAACCCTGCCCGCTAGTCCTACCCCTAACCTTTCCCGAACAGTCCCGACCCGACGCACAGTGAGCACCTCGAGGGGTGATCTATCAAATTTAGAAACCGGAAGCCCTGCCCCAGCGGCTGCCGAAGATGGCGAGGATGTTTGCACGCTGGCACGCGTGCTGGCCGACCAGCTGTATCAGCATTACGGCTGTTGTCGGGAGTGCCATGAGCAGGCCCGTGTGGCGCACCAAGAGACGCATTCGGTTTATACCGGGCTGGGGGAGTATGTGGACCAGATTAATATCGCTGGCGATTTCCCGGATGTGCTGGGCTCGGCTATAATCGCGGCCCGCGAGTCTAATCTCGCCCAGCAAGTTACTAAGGCACGAAAACAACAGATCTACTGCGGCATCGATCCTCACAAGCCCGATGAATCCCCAACGCATCTCTGCGTGGCAGCCGACCATCGTCCCGATCCTTCCTTGGGCGTGACTGTTGATATCGATAGCGTGGGTGGGTTTGTCAGTAGTCTGGCGGTAGCTCGTCGGGGGATCCGATGGCATCCTACGCAGATGGCGGTGTCCGACCTCCAGTCCAGCCTGCATATAGATCCGGTTTCAGTCCAGTATTTCGACTCCACCGGGCAGGCCCACCATGTTCGCCGGCCGGTCCATCAAGTCCCGCACTATACCTTTGGTCGTCTGATTGGATTCGAAGATCTCTCTCTGTATCTGCTCTTTCCCCGACTGTACCGGGAAGATCAGCAATCCAGCCGTCTGCTAGACCAGGATTTCCAGCAATGGACGGACGAAATCCTCCTCCCAATCATCAATCGGTGTTATTCCGGCGACCTAATCCAGCACTACCCCTCTAGCTTTGACCATAGCCGGCTGAACGCAACCGCCCGGGGAGTAGAAATGCGGTCCCAGCGAGTGGATCCCATCCCCCGCGAGCAGCTCCTTGCCTACTTTCTTCCTCCCGAGGCGCTTCCTACGATCTGGGAACAGATTCTAGAGGCGACCCACCGCCCCGGATTCCACCAGTTTCAGGATCTCAAGATTCTGATCGAGGGGAAACTAACCTAAAGAACCTTGACTCAAGGCAGAACACATTAGGCGGTCTCATGGCGGGCGGAACGCTTTTCAACAACACTATCTGGCAGAACGGCTATTAATGAGGACTATCTCGCTGAGACCCTTTCTTCTACGACCTTGGAACAAGGAAACCTGCCCCAACCACGGCGAGCGAGCGAGAGAGGCCGCCGCAATCTTTACTCTGGCGGCGTTGTTGCCTGAACGCGTATAGCCAGTGGATCCATAGCAAGCAGCCAGCGGACGCGCCCCATGCTCTGCAGCACTTCTACCCAATCAGTATGCTAGAAGACACCGGCAGCCTGACGTTAGAAGGACCCGGCGAACATCACCGCAGCGGCGGGCCGGTCATCTATGTATAGTCAATTCTACGCTAGT